CCCCCCCCCCCCCCCCCAGTAGCTACGGCACCCAATTACCCATGGACCCATAAGTTTCATGTGAGGTGAATTTCATCAACACATTCATATGTTGCAAATTCTACCTGTAATGGTTAGGACCCACTTTATCATTTTTGTTGTGTTACCTCATCACTGCCAAAAATGCCGTTATCTTGGTGCCTTGCATGAACGTCCGTTTCATTGTGTCTGGCCCAGCTTGAGCCGTGAGAGTTGGGTGATTTGGCCACATGCACTACCAAGCCGCTCAGGCCATGATGGTAGTGGGGGTTATATTTGGCCATGCACACGTGAAAAAAAAAAGTGCTGGGGATGCCTACCGCCCCAGTTGTTTAGGAAATGGGGTACTTGCTCCCCGATACAATTGAGGCCATCTAGGCGCTTAGTTGCAGACATCGTCTATCTCCTACGACATTTATATGTGGCCAGTTTACGGAGGGGTGGGCGATTATCTTTGTTTAGAGCTGGCACCATCTAAATTTGGCTAACTTTTGACTCCCCTCCTAACTCTCTCTTAGAGGTTTTTGACGGTCTCACCCAATTAGGGAAGCCCTCAATTTAAGCATTCGTAACTGCAAATATATTGCACTATCATTGGGCAATGCTGTTGTCTATAATCCATTGTACAATATCCTATTGTTCGGGGTCTAAAACAAAATTGGACTACCCCTATTATCGAAATTCTACGTATACATTGCTACAATCGGCAGCGTTCGGCGTGCCCAGCCAGCGTCTAGGCAATACTTGACAATTAAGAGCTGTCAGGCTCTTCCTCAGATGGGGGCGGCTCAGGAGTATGCAGGACCCAAAGTAAGTGGTATGAAATATTCAGGGCGGGGTCCCTGTTACCATCAAATTACCGCCGACGCCTGTGTCGTGCGTTAGTTAAACATTCCTACTGATCGTCTTTACGAGCGGATCATCGGATTTATATCGGGCGGGAGGCCAATCATGACAACGCCGCGGTGACGCTCGTCGCATATGTAGACAATTGCGAAAGACCAGCACGCGCACGCAAGTCCGGTGATAAGATAGCCTTTGGGAGGATTCCTGCACGTGACCCCCATAGAAGTGTGGCACCTGAAGCGTTGTGCACGTGACACACTCATCCCCAATAAATATATATATACTAGGCTACTTAGTCTATGGGTTTTGCTTAACAAATTCAACACCCTTTTGGATGTTCTTGATCAAAGTCTCCTTGGCCAACTTAACCAATTCTTCTTCGTGGTCACTCAATTCTCCCAATCCATGAATGGTCTTAACACCTTCAACTCCCAAAGTCACCTTGGAAGAGAAAAAGTCAATACCTTCGTCCTTGAACAATGGGGAATCGACAAAAGATGGTTCAATCACATCCTTTTCACCAGCCAATCCGTTCAACACGGAACCAGCAAATCTGGCACCAGCCTGGGCCATTGACAAGGTGGCCGAACCAGCACCATCCTTGGCTTGAACAACCTCATCCCCACCGAATTGGATTCTGTGGATCAAAGCGTCTCTCTTGTCAGTGTCCAAGTTTTTGTGGTTGGTTTGAGACAACAATGGCACAATAGTGATTCCACTGTGTCCTCCCACCACAGTCACCTTTTCGTTGACAGGATTGGTGCCGGCAACTTCAGACACAAATCTACTGGCTCTCAACACATCCAAAGTAGTGACACCAAACAACTTCTTGGGGTTGTAGACACCCTTGGACTTGAAAACCTCAGCCACAATTGGCACCGTCGAGTTGACAGGGTTGGCAATCACACACACAGCTGCGTCAGGACAGTGGTCGGCACAGGCCTTGGCCAAGTCTCTGACAATGGAGGCATTGGTGTTGAACAAGTCGTCTCTGGTCATACCTGGTTTTCTAGGAACACCGGCTGGGATCACCACCACATCGGCGCCAGTCAAGGCTTCACCAATGTTTTCAGGGTTGTAACCCTTGACGGTGGATGGGGTTGGGATGTGAGACACATCAGCTCCAACACCTGGAGCTCCTCTTAAATCATAAAGGGCCAAATCGGTAACCTTGTGGTTTAACTTTAATAAAAGTGACAATGGTTGTCCAATCCCACCACCAGCACCTAAAACGGTGACCTTGTAGGCGGCGGATGGGGATGAAGAGAAGGATCTCGTGGCAATCTTGGTGAACATATTGCAAAAACTATCGACGATTGGGGATTGATTTTTTGAGAAATTTGCGGGTTTTTATATGGTTTTTTCACCATGGGCCTACCCCATAGTTAACCTGGGCATTGGCCAATCAGAGGCCAAGCCGTCGTAACCGGCCGCGATCATGATGATGGTTGGGAACGTGCACGACCTTCTATGTCCGAGGCTCCGATGATTCACCGCAATTGTCCAACGAATACGAAGGTACGTGTTCCAATACCCTGGGCATTGTATAGCGGAACATGGGGGGATCAGAAGGGTGTTTTTTGTGCCTGAAAGCAACGTCTCCACCCCTCGCTGCCCCCGATTGCTACAGCCGGCAGCCCGCATCACGTGGAATTCCAGTCACTACCTCCACCAGTGCCGTTTTTTCGCCCCCAGCGCTGCCGGATCGGCCACTAGTGGGCACGTGATGTGGCTCAGATCATACTGGTGGCTGATAATACTAATTAATTCCAATCATCCTATGTTGCTTGCTTCATACAAACATTAGTATCACCTAAACCAAGAACTTCCAGGGGATTGGCTATTAGGTTGAGCCCGTGATGGTTCCCCTAACTCGGTCAATGGGCTGATATCACGTGCTTTCCTTTGGTGCGATCATTGTAAATGACGTATTTATTCCAAAGTTGTAGAATTTGCAACATCCAGAAAAGTAACCACTACAAGTAAACCCATCAAACACTCTCAAAATCAACGTAAAAATTCCCAAAAAATCTCTTTAGGAAACCACATTCATCTTCCAACCATCAGATACCTCCAGTTTTCCCAAACCCCAAACATTCACAAACATCACCCTGACCCATACACCCACGCAAAACCCATACATTCGCATTAAATACAATCGCGCAGTTTGTAAATAAACCATGAGTAAGAAAGTCGCCCAGGAGTTTTCCCTAGACCTCCCCCACGTCATGGCGGTCGAGCTTCCCCTTGTCGTCAACAACACCGACAAGGCAGTCGACATGCTCGGCGGAAAAGACAAAATTGCCAAGGTCGTCAACTCCACCAGCAAATCGATCGATGAGATTCCTGAAGAAACCTTAGAACTAAGACTCCGAAAAGATCGGTTCCACCACCCCATCCAGAGTATCACCAGTACACGAGAGCGGGTGCTCTTGAAGGTCTCGGTCCCCAAAGACAAATTGCCGGCCGACTACGAAAAGTTGAGTTTGAGAGATATTCTTGACGCCAATGGCCGTCAGTACACCGCCAAACCGGTGGGGATCATCAGCAAGACCCATTCCTTCAAGACCATGACGGACTTCCAAGCCACCACCAAGAACAACGCCTTGGTCCAGGAAATCAACGAGAATTTGATCAACGTCCAGAGTTATGACCAATTGATCAACTTCTTTGATCCTGCCCGGTTCATGAATAACCAGGACTATCGCAACCCTGCTGCCTACGACAATACCGACCACCAGCTCCCACCTCCACCGGTCTTTAGCACTATCAAGTTCCCATTTGACTACCAGTACGAGAAAAACCCCATCAGCATCACCGTCAAAGACCCTGAAAGTGGAGACTTGAAGGTCATCAGCAAGAAGAGTACCGTCAAGCTCCATACCCTCATGCTCGACTTTAACACCGACGAGATCCCCAACCAGGCGCCTGACGAGCTCGTCAAAAGCATGCAAGAGCTCCAGCAGATGCAGTTGGTGCCCAACACTTATAACTACGACTTGCTCCGATGTATCGAGTACCTTCACGAGCTTCTTGATGTCAAGCCCATCTGGTTGAGAAAACACTTGGAGGACGTGGTGCCGTACGAGTTCAAGCGGGTGTTGAAACAGGCATTGCCGTATGTGACATATATCTTTAAGAATGGGCCCTGGCGATTCTGTAACGTCAAGTATGCTGTCAATCCTAAGACAGACACCAAGTTCTGGATGTACCAGAGCGAGTATTTCCGGGTGTTTAGCTTGCGGGTCAAGAACCAAACCCTCAGCTCGTCGGAAAAGATCCTTCCCAGGACCATTGCCATGAACAACAATCGCCGCCTCAAGATCTCCAGCAGTTTGGTGTTTGATGGTACCAAAGTTCCCACCACCGTCACGTTCCAGGTGGGAGACATCATCGACAAAGATGTGTTGAAGCTCCTTGAGCGGGCCAACGAAAAGGGACTGCTTGTTCGAGAAGTATTGGATTTTCAGGACGGGTGGATCAATAAACCCGTCATTGACACCATACGAAGACTTTTACGGTATAAGCTTAACCAATTGGTGAAGAACGAGTTCATAGACGAACAGAGAATTGACAAGATCCTTGCCAGTGGTACAGGTGAGAAGCTCGATGACAAAGACGACGACGACGACGATATGTTTCAAGATGCCACTGAAGATGTTGAGACTCACGCAGATGAGACTGAGAAAGGGGACCAGCAATCGTCAGACGAGGATGGGGAGCTTGAACAAGACACGGTTGTCGGAGACGAAGAAGAAGATGCTATGGATGTTGACCAGCCTACGCAAACAGAAGATCAGATTCTTCGGTCCCTTCTGAAGGTTGATTCGGTGGCTGCGAAAAAGCTCGCCAATATCACCGAGTTGATCAAGCAAGAAGCGTTTATGTAGTGCGCGCGCCCAAAAGCCCCAACTGGAAAACTCGCACCGCACTTGGCACACATTTAAAAACACGTCAATTCATATTCTCCAAAATGACAAAAGCTACAGAGACGTTATTGGCGTTGTCTGCGGTGGGTGCCGTGTACTTTGCATTGTTGGCCAAGGTAATTCCCAGCCCCCAGCTTTTCCACCAGGAAATCTTGCCTTATTTACCCCTCTGGGCCGTTGTTTCATTGGGATCCTACTCGTTGGCAGTATTGGGGTACCGGGTATTTTCCTTCAAGGACAAGCCCGAGAAGTATAAGGAGTTGTTGGTGCAGATAGACGAGGCCAGGGAGTTCTACAAGAGCAAGGGAATTGACTTGGACGAGTAATGTGTTATAATAAATATACAGTCTATTGACGGATAAGACCCAGTCTACTGGGCCGGTGATGTAGTAAGTGAATTTCGTGAGTGGATCATGAAACTCTTCTCTTCCTGATTGTCTTATCTTCTAGTTTTCATCTTTAACTTCATCTTTAACTTCATCTTCTAGTCTTCATCTTCCCTCATCTCCAGCTTCCCGCTGCTTCTTCCGGGCCTTGATCTTCTTTTCTGCCTCCGCAAACACCCGGATCGCCACAGGCACATTGCTCCAAGTATCATCATCTCTTCCCTCGGCTGACCCATCCTTCTTTTGCTCCTTGAACTCTTCAGGTATATGACTTTCGCCTAAATGCTGCACAGGAGGATGGAAATCATGAGGCCATATGAAATCTCCACCCTGTTCGTTGATTTTAGCAGCTGCTTCGAACCTCTTCTCATTCCACTCCTTGACATCATCTCTGTACATTTCCCAGACACAGTTAATACACCCACTCATACAACAATTATCAGGTTCGGGTGGCTTGTCAGGTACCATCACACCTGCTATATTTCGTGGTTGACCTCTCGTGAGCCGGCTCGAGCTGGTCCGCGTATCACCTCTGATTCTCCCCCCAAAGATCTTCTCGATACGTTCTTGTGGCAGTTCGTCGAGAGTATATTTTCCTTCAAACGTGACTTTTGTTGCTGCTCTGAGTTTGCGCAAGTCTTTGGCTTTCATGAGAGATGCTTCTATTGGTTGTTGGGGCCGGGTCGGCGTGGCCACCACCAAGTCATAGAACTTGTACTTCGTGGACATGAACCGCCTAAGCATCGTGGCCGTGGTGCGTGGATGCAAAATATGTGATAACACTGACTTACCTTTAGGTGAGATTTTATTTGATGATGCGGCCGGAACCGAATTCGTGCGAAGCGAGGCTGGCCGGGGAGATCATTAGTTATGATTGTAGAAAAGTGAGAGCTTTGGGCAGGAGCAGCGGGACCATCGTACGAGAGATAGCGGGAGGTGGCAGGATCAAAAAATTAGGGAGTTTGGAGTTCAAGTGTTGGAGATATGGAATTTGTACAGTTTGAGCATGCTTCATTTCTTCTGATCTGGCTGCAAACCCACCCAGATCCTACGCAAAAGGTCGATTCCATTCTCTCTACAGTCACCCGACTGACAGCATGTTTGATAATGTCTGCGCCTCGGCTTATGGCTCGTAAATGCTCTTTTCTCGAATACTTTCTCCATTTCCTCGTTCCCATTGCCACCACGTGGCAAGCTTCCCCAGTCCCTGTTTCACTTACCGCTGCATAGTGTCTTATGAGTCCAATGATTGGGATAAAAATGGTCTTTGGTCGCACAGCCGTTCTTCTCTACAATTGACCTTTTCCATCACCAATAGAACTAGCGTTGATAAAGCCAACTGAACAATAAGTTCATCATGGCAGTTTAATAGTACCCAGGGTTATCCAGTATCGATATTCTCCCACGTGTGTTGCAGTCAAGAAATTTCTTAGTGCCAAGCATGCCCAGCAAAATCCGCACGCGACCACCAACGGCTGTACACTGGGTCCATGATTGTGCGAGCTGGCGCCAGGTCTCGCCCCGCGGTGTGGCTTCCTGTAAATGCTGTTGCAGCCTAATCTCAAACCAATTAATTGGCAACAATTTGGGTGGACCATGTGCAGAGGTCTGGAGCAGTATAAAGGGCCACTAAATAGCCCTCCGATTTCTCCATCAACCGAAAACCAATTACAACAATGGCCGTTTTACAGCAGTTTAACTATATCTTCGCCATTGCGATGATCTTTGGGTTCTTGGATGCCTTCAACATCGGAGCCAATGATGTGGCGAACTCATGGGCCTCATCTGTATCATCACGGTCCTTGAAATACTGGCAAGCCATGGTTTTGGCAGCCATATGCGAGTTACTTGGTGCGGTTCTCGTGGGTTCAAGGGTGTCCGACACCATCAAGAACAAGATCATAGATGTATCCTTATTTGAAGACGATCCAGCCGTATTGTTGTTGACCATGACCTGTGCGTTGGTGGGCTCTTCCCTCTGGTTGACGTTTGCTACACTCATAGGGTTACCAGTTTCCACCACACACTCTATTGTAGGAGGAATCATTGGTGCTGGAATTGCTGCAAAATCCGCAAGCAGTGTCGTATGGGGCTGGGACGGAGTGGCTCAGATTATTGCCTCATGGTTCATTGCTCCATTATTATCGGGGATCTTATCGTCAGTGGTCTTCTTGATCTCAAAGTATGGAGTATTGGAAATTAAGGACTTTAAGCGTTCCTTGAAAAATGCATTATTGCTCGGACCGATTTTGACGTTAATTACCTTTTCCATCTTAACTATGTTAATTGTATGGAAAGGGTCTCCAAGCTTGAACTTAGATGACCTATCCCAGGGAGCTACCGTGGGATCCATTCTCGGAGTTGGTGGCGTTGCCATGGTCATTTACACCTTGTTCTTATATCCTTTCTACAGAAGAAAATTGGTGTACGAAGACTGGACTTTAAGGTTCTACGACGTGTGGAAAGGACCCATGCTCTATTTCCAGTCCACCAACAACATCCCCCCAATACCAGAAGGACACAACTTGGTGATTGACTACTACGCCGGGCGCAGACACGAAACCGAAACCTCTGTCCAAGATGCAGAAACCCACATTGAACCCGATAAGTCTACCAGTGATAAAATCGATGGTAGTGTCACCTTTGAAAGCGTCAACAGCAACAACAAATGGGCCGACCTCTTCAAAGATGGGTGTCCAGAAGGGATGCGTACCAAACAATTCTGGGGCGTATTGGCCAAGAGTCCAGCTCAATGGCCGTACCTTTTGTGGCAGATTTTAATCCACGGCTGGAACAGAGATGTGATTAATTCTCAGGTCAACGACAAAGACATGTTATCAGGGGACTTGAAGAAGATGCACCTGAAGTCCAAGTATTATGACAACAGAATCGAGCATATGTATTCGTTCTTGCAAGCTTTGACAGCTGGTACGATGTCTTTTGCTCATGGAGCCAATGATATAGCCAATGCCACAGGGCCGCTTTCGGCCGTGTACATCGCGTGGACCACAAACACAATCGGATCCAAGGCCGATACGCCTTTGTGGATCTTGGGATATGCCGGGGTAGCTTTGGTTATTGGGTGCTGGACCTTGGGCTATAAAATCATGAAAAACTTGGGAAATAAAATGATTTTGCAGTCACCTTCTAGAGGGTTTGCCATCGAATTGGGGGCTGCTGTGACCACGGTGATGGCCACACAGTTGGCCATTCCAGTTTCTACCACCCAGTCGGCCGTGGGGTCGATTGTATTTGTTGGTTTGTGCAACAAGGACGTGAGATCTGTCAACTGGAGAATGGTTATTTGGTGTTATTTTGGTTGGTTTTTCACGTTACCGGTGGCAGGATTAATTGCCGGACTTTTGAATGCCATAATCTTGCACGCTCCACGTGAGGGTGGAGATTATCAGTTGAGTTAGGAGTTAGTGCAGAGTATAGTAATACAGAGGGTAAAGAATCAAGTATTAGGGTGTAGTAGCAGGTGAGAAGCAGGCTAATCCACGGACTCGATTGCTGAACGGGTCAATGCAGAACTTGTACTGCCGAACGTGTACCGTCCAACGTGTACTGTCGAACGTGTACTGTCCAACGTGTGCACTGCTAAGAGTTCTCTACTTCCATTCAAATATGCTCAACTTAACTGATTCGCAGTTTCTCACGTATTTTGGATCGCACAACCACCTCACACACAATGTCTTATGAAGACAAATTCGACAGCTCCCTCGACTTATTGAGGAGATTGGACCCCAAGCACATCTCCCTTAACCTCAACACACTCTGTTCCATCATTCAAAGCCAGGACTCAGACTCCGAATTGGTGCCTGACTTACTTTCTTCCGTCGACACTCCCTTGAAGTTGATCACCGATAAATCCAACAACAAGCAATTTTTGAGCTGTGACTACAACCGGGACGGCGACTCGTACAGGTCACCGTGGTCCAACAAGTATTATCCCAGTTCCAGCGTCGACGACGACGAATTACCTCCCTACCCATCAGATGATTTGAGACAGTTGGAAATAAAAGCCAACGAGAGTTTTGATGTTTACAGAGATTTGTACTACGAGAACGCAGGCATCTCGTCGGTGTACTTGTGGGACACAGATGAGGGCGATATCCCAGACTCGTTGAACAACGGCTTTGCTGGGGTGGTTCTTTTCAAAAAGGAAATCGATAATGGTGAAGGAAAGTGGGATTCGATCCACGTTTTCGAGGTCGAAACTGCTGGCTCGTCCACATACTCATACAAGTTGACCTCCTCGGTGATACTCGACTTAAATAACAATAAAGACTTGTCTGTATCCGGGAACTTGACGAGACAATTTGATGTGACTAAGAAATTCACCGGTTCCAATGACACTGGTGCTAACTTGGAAACGTTCCACTTGATCAGCTTGGGCCAGTTGGTAGAAAACTCCGAGTACACCATCCGTAACTTGTTGCAGGAAGTGTACTTTGACAAGTTGAAGGACATTATTTTAAAAGATTTAAGAAGGTTTGGTGCTGATGATGGACAACTCCAAGCCAAGCAAAGTGACTTGATTAAAGGCTTGCAAGGTTTATAGGCTAGATTAATAGGCAAAAAAATACCACATGACAATGCACAATCTGAAACAAGGGATTTGCATCTCTATTATTAGTATACGTCGTGTGTGGGAAAGTGCGTTTCATATTTGTCTCAGGTTGTTTGGCTGCAAAACTATATAAAGACACCACCATCTCCGTTTTAATTGTACCGGAACACCATGTCTAACATCCAGTTCACTGACTTTGTTGCCTATGTACCACAGACGTCACAGAAGACGTCGACCATCACTTTGACCACTACCACCAGAAAGACCCTCGTGACGAAGACTTCCACCACTTCTGAAACAAGCAGTTCTTCGGCAGTCCGTGTGACTGGCATTGGCTTCGATGGACATGCTACCACCATCGTAGGCACCCAGGACCACCTGAGCAGTACTACGAGTAGTCATAATATCGTTTCTACTGTAGTTGAAGCGACTGCGAGCACCTCGAGTTCTGATTATTTGACACTGGGTTCGTCCAGATCCTCCTCTCTCACATTAGGCTTGGTGATTGGTATTCCATGTGGCTTGCTTGGCCTCTCACTTATTGTGGTTGGGACCTGGTACTATTTCAGAAGAAAAACTGCTACCAATAATCTGATATTGCCCATGACCAGCAGCTTCTATGAAACCCACCCTAAAGGAAACTCCAGCGAAATCACCATTGTATCCAACGCAAACCCATACACCCAGCAAAGAGCCCTGGTCCCCGATACCACCAGGCACCTAAATCGACTTTCGTCGATGCTCACACCCATCAGGTTCAAACCAGGTCCCAAGACCGACAAGGCCAAACCTGAGTCGATGTTCTTGAAACGGTTTTCTAGTCAGGGAAGAAAAGACGGAATCGATGTTGCAGATTATACGATTTCTCCACTCTTCCCAAAGAGATTTAACTTGAACAAACCTTGTACGCCCGAAACCATTCCCGAAGCACCAGAACCAGTTAATTACAAGCAAAAACGGTTACCTAAGCTTCCTACACTCATCAATATGGAAAGAGCTATGTCAGTGTATGAGGTTGTGAAGAGGTATCAAAAGTCACTTAACGATGAAATTGACCTCAAGGTTGGAGATAGAGTCGAGAAAATTAAAAGTCACAGCGATGGATGGTGTATGATCAAGCAGCTTACGAATGGGGCCACCGGGATGGTACCAGAGCTTTGTCTTAGGCTTGAATAGTTGTTTTTGGTTTCATCTACTTGAATGCTGCTTCAGATAATAATGGTTTCATCATTTAGTACATAGTATACAATAAAGGGTATTCTCATCTTACTAGTAGTGTCTGGAATAAGGGTTTTGTTGTTGTTGTTGTTGTTGTTGTTGCTGCTGCTGCTGTTGCTGTTGCTGCTGTTGTCTCTGCTGCTGCTGTTGCTGTTGCTGCTGTTGTCTCTGCTGCTGCAAATTCTGCTGGTATGGGTGGGGAGTTCTTCCTTGTGGTTGAACCTGCGGTTGGGCCTGGTATTGGAACTGCTGATAGGGAGCACTTCCATCAGTTCTCAACGGATTTGCACCCATTTGCTGAGGATAGTTTCTTGGTTGGCCCTGAGGTATTCCCTGGACAGGAGGCTGTGGTTGTACGGGCCGGTTGACTTGTTGGGGAGGTCTGCGACCTTGGTTGTAGCTGGCTGGTGGGACCCCAGTGTTGTAGTTGGCTGGTGAAACTCCAGGATTGTAGCCGGCTGATGAAGGAACTCCAGCGTTGTAACTAGTAGAAGGAGGAACTCCAGGATTGTAGCTGGCAGACGGAGGAATTCCTGTGTTGGCTGGAGGAGGACGTCTGTGCGCATGATGTTGCTGGGGTTGAGCCTGGTGTGAGTACTGTTGAGATGGGGGCAGCTGCTGGTGTTGTGGTTGTTGATATTGTGGCTGTTGGTGCTGTGGCTGTTGATATTGTGGTTGTTGATGTTGGGGCTGTGGTTGTTGGTACCGTTCATAGTTCATGGGTCCGTTGCTGGGAGGTCCATCCAATGGCTTTTGGGCCATAGGAGGTTGAGGAGGAGCCTGTCTGAACTGCTGAACAGGAGCGTCTCTGGTGGTTTCTTCCCTATAACCAGTCAAAGCTGGAGCAGCAACGTCATCGGCTTTGAACACCGGGAGCTGGTTCTGCGAGCTGTTGGGTGAAGTTATATAGTTTGGCTTGTGGATCCGACCGTTGCTCTTATAAGGAGAAACAGACTTGTGTGGAGGTGGAGGAGGTGGAGATTCGGGATCAGAATCGGAAAACTGGGCCAACTCTTGGGCCTTGTCTGTGTGAGGGTACACCGACGCCTTGAACTTCTCGTTGAACTCGGTGTACTGAGTGGTTGGAGATAGAACAGAAGAATAGGAGCTGTTTCTGTTGTTGTAAGGAGGTACAAACAAGTTAGGATTCGAGCTCGAGCTTGAATGACTGGGCACCACCCCAATTTGTCTCATATCAAACTTCTCACTATTGCTGGAACTAACTTTATCCTCTTCATCTGAGTCGTCCTCGCTAAACAAGTCGTGGTCATCTTTGGGATAGACGTTTTCACTCAAGCTGAGTTCCCGAATGTCTGAAGGTAACTCGTCTTCTACCAACTCTTCGTAAGATCCGTTCAATAATTGGTTTCGATCAACATTAAATTGGTCGGAAGGCGTCTTGAGCGTACTATACTTCTGGTAGATGTCTGACAATTGCACCGACGTGTGAGGGTCTCTGGTGGGATCTATGGTCAAATAGTTGCCTGCAGCCAGCTTCTCTTCCGGGGTATGCACCACGGTGCTGTTGGAGAAATTTCTGGAGTCAGCAGGTTCTCTCACGTTTGGAGGAGGTAACCGACTCGAAGACTGGGACACAACAGGAGCACCACCGGCGGGATACAGCAGCAGTAACAGCAACGGCGTAGGCTTTCTTTGGGGAGAAGTGGACCGCTGGAAGGTCGAGGTGCTCGGAGACAATGGGCTATTTAACGAGCTGACAGCACCGGCAATGCCTCTGCTACTTCCACAGCCCTCATAGCCCTTATCAATTTTGGACTTCAACACAGACCGGATATTGTCGTTCCAGGTCTTGACATCCCACGCCAAAAAGTCACCTCGAGTTAAGAATCCGTCCAAATCAGCCAATTCCAAGTAATGCACGCGAGGTAAGGTGGGTAACCCGAATAACATGCTTTCGGTGTCATTTCTCTCGGCCTTCAACCGCTTGGGCCTTCCATATAACCCGAACGAGTCGAGCAACGGCACCAAGAACCTGATCAAGGTGTCGAATCCCGGTACCGAGCTATGCTGTTCCGGCATCAAAAAGATCGAGGTATTTTTGAAGTCGTCGATGGACTTCTTGGACACTTTTGTCGACAAGGAGGGGGACTTGAAGTTGATATACCCTTCCAACTTCAACATCGTACTATGGTCAATCAACACATGAGACTGGGGATATACGGCACTGACAGCCGAGCAGTTTGTCACCACCGCCATTAACAGCTTCTTTTTCTTCTGGTCGTTTTCGTAAAAGAGAATCCGACCCGAAGTAAACTTATCGTGTCTCTTGGTAACACTGGGCTCAACCACCGCGTAGCATCTCTTCCACGCCATGCCCGACCCATACCGTATACTGACCCAGTCCTCGTGGTCAAAGCGCTTTTCGGCCAAAATCGTCCGTATGTCAGACAACCGGGACCCTCTGGCACTCAACAAGGCGCCCGTATACGCTTGTTGTAACGCCTGGTACTCAAAGTTCGACAACCGCAACGCCAAATACCAGTTGTTTAAATCACCCAGCGACTTGAACTGGATGATATATCGATTTTTCAAGGTGGTAGACACAATGATCACATTGTCCAAGTTTTGTTTGGCAGCGGGTAACACTTTCATGGCGTTGTAGACGGAGTCAGTAAAGTTGATATAGTTGGGTTTGGAGCTATTTTCCAACAACGCGGCCGGGTTGTGCTTGAACTCGGCCAAGTTGGCGGCGTCCCAGTACGCTAACTGGTTGCCGGTCAAAATCCCGTATACTTCTTTCCATTCACGTTCGGCGGGTTTGCCATCCCCGTTGAGGTCATAGTACAACATGAAGATTCCCTCGTAGTATCTTCGGTGGCTCTGGGACGACAACAACGTGACGATTGGCACCAACTCAGGCGACAAGTCCTTGAGGTCGGTGTTGGCGGTGCCGCTGGGGAATCGGCTGGTATCAGTTTTAGTGGGGGATCCACTGTTGGAGGTGGATGCAGATCGGGGGCCGGAGCCCGACCTCAATCTCTTTTTGACGGCGTTCATCTGTTTGTGGTTCTGGCTACTTGTGGCAGGCACAAACAGGTGTGTGAGTAAAAAGTGGAAAGCTTGGTGAAGGGATCACAAGTCAAAAGGATTGGAGGCTATTTTTCTGCGGAGCAAACAAGGCTTGACCAAAAATGCGAAAAGGGATTGTGTGGTGAGCACAACAAGAGTAAGTGATCAATGGATGAGATGGAACCAACGACAAGGTAATAGAGTCGAATAGTGCAAACAGGGGAAATGGCAGTGGGAAAAAAATTTGATGTTTGATCCAGTCGCATTCACAATAGGCTAGGGTTGAGCCATTGTCAACACAGACACTACAGCGGGTGTGCACACAACCAACTAGATTGAGATTTTCCTCATCATGTACGTAGGAACAAACCAAACGGTAATTGTGTTGCCCATTTGAGCATATATCAAAATATCCGGGGAGGGTGTGACAACAAGGCCCTGTTTACAGCTGGGAGAGGTATGGCATATGGCATAGTTGTCGAGATTGATCGGCGTGCCACTGGCCCCAGTTGGTGTAGATGATTCCGCTTCCGGCTAGGCTATTAGCCAGGCGATCTAAACAAGAGAAACTGAACCAATGTGCGCTTGAGGTGTCGTATATGGTCTGCGGGAGATGCACACGAATGCATCTGCACCCATTACCGAATGCGTGTGGTGAGCTTGTTTATATTATGCACTGGTGCCTAATTAGCAGCCAGTGTACTATCTGACGTGTTTGGTATTTACTTTCCTTCATTCTGTTCCAGCCTGTTTCACTAACCGAATCATCTCCAACGCCTGGAGAACCTCCTTCTCAGCCGTATCCAAGTCCTCGTAGTTCAATGCCGACACCGCAAACTTACAGTGCTTTTGTGCCTTTGTCATCAGTTCCTGCCTATCAAGAATTGAGTTGATGTGCTCTTTGGTGATGGGAGCATGCCCATGAACAGGTTTCTTTTGTGGTTTGGATTGGGGCTTCGGAGGCTCCTTCTTCTGGGGGTCGTCTTTTTCAGGCTCAAACACATGGATGGCTGATGTCTTGTTTATATGGCTCAAATCGTCGTGGGGGAGGAATTGAGGAGCTCCAGGAAGCTTTATGTCATTATCGTCATCTGGTGAAAAATGGGGCACTCCTGGCAAAGTCACGGGTTCTTCTGGCTCACTGTCAATGAACTGCGGAGGGTCTTCGCTGGAGGCCTTGATCTCTGGCAGTCCCAAACTCGGAAGGGTTTCTTGGGGCAAATCTTCCTTGGATGTTTCATCCTCAGCCTCCTTGGGTTCTTCATCCTCAGCCTCCTTAAACTCGCTCTCCATCCGTTGCAACTCTTGATCTAACTCGTCCTGCTCTCCCTTAATCTCGATTTCATCCTTGATGAGCTTGCTCAAATTGTATTTTAACAACTTGATTCTATCCTTATTAAACTTATTGAATTCGTCATAACTCGTATACTTCCCACCCGTTAAGCTGCTGAAGTCAATGTCGTCGTTCTTGAAAACCTCTGTCAAACTCATAAAGTTCAAACACGCTTTGATCTTGTTGACAAGTGCTAACTTAGCACCGGTATAGTTGTTCAACTCATGAATACATCCATTGAAGATCTTCAATGAGAACGAAAAAACAACGTTGATGGAGAGGTTCTTGTCGTTCAACACCTTCGTGAGCGAGTCGTCGTCCGATGTCTTCATGAGCTCTGTGTCATCCAACAAATGGATGGTGAATGCTTCTACCTCCTTGTCATCCTTATGGAGTTTCTTATTGAGAATGTGTTCCAACACGTAGATCTTGCAGTAGTAGCTGACAATGGGGTTGATATCTTCCAACTCATTGGATCTGACGATGTATGGGACGATATCCTTGTTGGTTTTAAGGGATTCAGGAATGTCACTTATCATTATGAGTAGGAGAAATTAGCGAGCGTCAATACGCAGATATTTGATAACCAGACAAATTCATCGAAACACAAATGACCTACTCATATGCCCAACACAAGGAATTTACACACCCCTATGGCGTCCTCAATCGTCTATTCAGTGGGTCTTTATACAAGTTCATCAATAAATACTATAAATACGTCAATACTTACAAGTCGGGCATTCTCAACACCTCTCCAGCTTCGTTTCTAGCATCTTGTTGCAACATTTTCAAGATCTTGGAGTCCTTCCACTTGTCGGGTAAAGGCGTCACCTTGTAGTTTTCAGTGGCCCAGTAGTAGATGTCCCAATCAGGCTCATCTAAAAGCTCATCATACTCTTTCAACTCTTCCATGTTCAAGTTGTTGAGGTGCTTTTTGGCAAACCGAGACAACAACAAGTCGCTCTCCAAGATCCCCCTCTTTCTGGATTGGTAAATCAATCTTGCTCTGATGGTGGAAATGTCTTCCCCGGTTCTTTTGATGGGTAAAATTTTCATTCTGTGCTCTTTGTTGTACTCCGGGTTTTGTGGTTTACCGTAGTTCAACAGCCGCGCAAATACACTTCTGCTGCTTCCTGTGTATCCGGTCGCTTGCTTGGCCCTGGAGACGCTTCCTAAAACCTGTTTTCTGAACATCTCGTTGACTTGTTCTCACTTAATTTTTATCACTAGCATTCCATTCGCACTAAAATGTCAGCAACCATTTATGTTATCCACTACCATCATTAAGGCATTTAGATCTTGATTCTGAACCTCGACACAAACAGGAGTCCCCTTGTCAAAGACTCAATCGTGCAATCCGTCTTGAGTTCTTGTTAGCCTAGCTACCAATTTTTATTAGTTCTACTGGAGTGTTTCCCAGCGGGGGAACTGATTCCTAGGGTTTGTAATATCAGCACAGGTGGATTTTAAGGATACTTCTGATCGCCTTGCCTGTCCATTTCTTTCTTTCCTACCCTTCTCCAGATACGTTTTCATTTTGCAACCTTTTGCAGTAGACTTATGATGAATTGCGAAATTCGTCAATTCCATGATTTTGCATCCACTACAAGACAGTAATCTAATTCGAGTTTGAAGAAACTTATTTAAGACACGAACGAATATGTCTCCTTGTACTACACCCTAACATACCTCTTCAAAGATGGGTGAATCCTTGCTCTACTGCCCATAAATCGGGTTCATCCCTAAACAGAGGGTGAACAGTTATTTGGCCCAAACACCCAAACCATCTGAACCCGTATTACCAAATCTTAGAGGTTGTCTGAAAAATTGGGAAACCTATACACCTACTTTCTTGCTAAAAACGGTGTACTTGTACAGATTTTGCAATATTATGAACTCAAGCAATTTGGTATATAAATTTCTCGCGCACTTTGTCCTCAACCAACAACTGGTTTGTTTTGCGCATCAATCCATTCTGCTACATCATGGGCAAAACCGTGTCCAAGTTATCAAAAGATGACTTGAAGGCCTTAAGGCTGGCCACATACTTTGACAAAAGAGAGTTGCAGCAGTGGTACAAGGGATTCATAAGAGATTGCCCATCAGGACAGCTATCAGAAGAAGAGTTCATTAAAGTGTTCAAACAGTTCTTCCCCTTTGGAGATCCACTCGATTACTGTCACTATCTCTTCAAGGTGTTTGATGTTGACAAGTCCAATTACATCGACTTCAAGGAATTTATTGTGGCCCTTTCAGTGACGTCTAGAGGTTCAATGGATCAAAAGATAAATTGGAGTTTCCGGCTATATGACCACAATAAAACTGGTAAGTTGACCTATGACGACATTTTGATAATAGTCAACGCCGTGTACAAGATGATCGGTTCGATGGTGGCACTCCCACCCGATGAAAAGACCCCGGAACTCAGGACCCAGAAATTCTTCCGATTGCTAAATAAAGACTACAAATCTGACACCATCACGTTGGAGGGATTCAAGCAGTTGGCCAAGTTGGATCCAGCCATCATGAACTCCATCAGCTCGTTTGATGGTCTCGTATAATAACTTATTCATTTCTCCTAGAGAATTATAATTTTGCATTTGGGTACGGTATTTGTGTTCATTTATACAATTATATAATGTACATATTCTTTTTCTTTTCAATACAACTGGATTGAAAAGCTATTAATTTTGGCTTTCCACCGCTTCTAACAATCCATCCAAGAGTTCATCCACTTCGTTAAGATCGACTCCCGTACAGAAACTCACAACTTTTTTGAACTTGGACGTCAAAATGTCGTAGTTGCTCAAAGCCTTCAACTCACTCTCGATGCTGGCATTTAACTGCTTGTAAGAGTTGATTCGGGCCTTAAGGATCAGCGAGTCGGGAAGACTTTCAAGAAGGGTTTCGTCATTCTTGAGATCTTCAACTGGTTTTTGGTTGACAAGCTGGTTGTATATGGGTTCGATTCGGAAAGGGTAATCTGCATCGAACGTTTCCTCGTTTTCAAGGGAATCTTCGTTATTGTCATTTCCGTTATTACTCTGCTCATCTTTGGGTAGCTCCTGTTTCAAGATTTCTAATCTCTCGGTGATGTTGGACATTTGCAACTTTAAGCTATCCAAAAAAATCAATTTATCGGTGATTTTCTTGTTTAAAAACTTGTTGTTGGCGGTCATGATGGTAGTATCGTACAATTGCTTGTTTAAGTCATTAATTTGCAGCCTTTTAGTATTCATAATGGTTTCATATTCGTTGTTGGTATTCTTCAACAAATCGTTGATACTGTTGAACAATTTATTGGTAGATGTCATAGAATCGGGTGCCTTATCACTAATTTTTTCGGGCTTGTCGTTGACTTTGACAATATCTTCATTCTCAATGATTTCATTACTGACCTCGAGTCTCTTTTCCAAAAACTCAAAGCTGGTTTGGATCAACTGGATCAAGTAATCGTCATCATCATCAAATTGATCGTTTTTAATTCCCAACTTCTTGCAGTTTAATGTTTCTTTCACAAGATCGTATTCGATAGGCTTAACTCCAGCTTTGTTTGGTAAATCTAAGTCAGCCTTTAACTCGATTAAAATGTCCACCATCCACTTGTTACCATTTTCGATTGCTAAATGCAAGGCTGTATTTCCCGTTTGAGTGTCTTGCAAATTGATGATCTCGTCCACCAACTTCTTGAGGAAGTATTGACTGGCCTGGTTTGAAGACAACAAGTACAACAAGATCTTCTGGGTGTAGTATTTACAGCTGTCGATTTTCTTTGACGACTGGTGGGCCAAATAGTGGAAGAAAGACCAGTTTTTGGAGTCTATGGAGAATAAGCTGGGATAGAACCAGTTCCTCAAAAGCGTAGAGAAGTTACCTTTGGTCATGGAGTTTGTCACTAGTATCGCCGATATCAACGGAGTTTCACCTGATTTGGATCCTCTAATAGGAGAATTCAAGCCCAAGGAAACAAAGGCAGCCACCAAGTTTGTGGAGGCCAAAGTGGAAGCGAAATGTAATGCCGTTTTGCCCTCGGCGTCCAAAGGAATGTCGGTGATGCTCATCAAGTCTTCTCGGTGTCTTTCTATTATGCGAGCGAACATAGTCTTGACATCTTTAACAGACAAGTCAGACGATTCTATCTTCTTGAAGATCTCACCGAACCTGGTCTTGACCTCATTGACCACCTCTGGGTCCTTTCCCTTGGTAGTGAGACCAGGAAGCGCGTAGGGATAGTTGGCGTTGGTGCTTATCAACAGTTTAAACTTCTTGAACGAAATGCCTTCGTCGTTCTTAGAAACTTCACCAATCTTTCGCTTCTTGAGGCTAGGCGAGTCAGTGGACTTTGAGGTGTTCTCGTCGACGTCAGTATCCTTGCCATTCTCCTCTACGTCGTCTTCGTCTTTGACATATACTTTGGTGGTGTCTACCAATTTAGGGAGCTCATCGAAGTCATGGACATCGACCAAGAAGAGTTTTTTAGTCAATTCGTAGATATCAAACTGGTTGGCAATGGTCACAGCCTTGTCAAACGAAACCCATATTCCCTGTAAGTGGGAGTTCTTGGAGGACGACAAATCGTTGAACTCCTGAGTATATCCGTCTGGAGTGAAATACTGAAGATTGGAGGTGATGTTGTTGGCGATGAATTTGTGGGCCAGGTCGGTACTAAAGTGGCCCAATGCCACGGGGATGTCCAAGAGTTGAGTGACGTTAACGTAGGAATCTTGGACACGTCTTAAAATGATGATATCTGATTTGGCGGTTTTGGAGGCCGGGAACTTGACGTTCAATTGGATACATTTTTCCCCCGAGTACACCGACGAATGGATGGACAGCACGAAGTTGACGGCACCCAAGTGGGTGTTTGTCAAGCGCTGGTTGATGGAATGCGTAGTGGTATCACCAGCGGCTATGGGTGATTCCATTGTTGGTAGGTAAAAGTTTGAGGTTGAATTCTGGTTTGGGATAAAATGAGATTTGGACGGGGACGTGGGCGAGACGTGTTGAGGGTCGTGTCCAGCCCCATACTCACAGCGCGCGCTTATGAGGCCGGTCGAGATGAGGGTGCTTGCCATATATCATGGACTACTCAGATCGAGTGAACTCGAAAAAAGGTGCTGGGGGAGTGGCCGACGCCGAGAATGCTAACGTCCACCGTAAGCATCGCGTGCGCGACCTCTTGACAACGTCGCTCCTTAACCTCGACTCCGATCCCTATGTTTTTCGCAACCATTTAGGACTACTCGAGTGCAAGCTTTGTTTGACCACCCATAATAATGAAGCATCTTATCTATCACATGTGGGCGGTAAAAAACATCAGTTGAACTTGGAGAAGCGGCGGCTATTGGACGAGAAGGGTTCCCGGTTCCTGACGCCCGTTGGCGGTGGAGTTTCTATCAGCACCACCCCCAAGCGCAAATGGGACAAAATCGGTACTCCCCATTTTAAAGTCACCAAGATCAGAGACCCCGACACCCATCGAATGGGGATGCTTGTACACGTGACGTATCTGCGGGCAACGGCCGAACCCTTGTTCCGGTTCCAGAACTACTACGAACTATCTGCCAAAAACCAAAATGTCGCTGTATCGTACCACGACAAACAGGCAAAGGACACCCAGGTGGCCCACACACCGGCCGACGTTCGCACGGCGACAGCACAACTGCAGTACTTGGTGGTGTCGTGTGAACCGTACGAGAACATCTGTGTGGTGATACCAGGCACCAGTCCTATTATCAACCCGCTGACCGACACCAAAACTGATGAGTTCTGGTGGCACTGGGACCGGGATGTGGGCGAGTTCTACCTCCAGTTTCTCTACACCTGAAAAATTCGTTGTGATATCGGATGGGCCGCCGCTTACAGCTCCATTTCCATGTTCGCACTTTTCCTGAGATTTCCACTCCAACACCTCCATCCCACATGTCTAACACTTTCTATGACCGATGCAAAGAGGCCCACGAGCTCGTGTCTGGCTACCTAACAGATTCGCTTCCATGGGGGAACGTTCCGCCCCTGCGGGCCAACTATGTTTTCAATCCACAGATTCGGGCTGAAAACAAAGCTAAAATCACAAGATCTGCTCAGGTGTTGAGGGCTTGTTTGACAAAATATAACCTCAACCAATTGGCCATAAGCTATAATGGTGGCAAGGACTGTCTTGTGATGCTATTGATTTTCCTCTACGCCATCTATGAACGGAGCTTACAAGTGGAACAACTAGATCCTACCACCCTTCCGGCCAACGACCAGTTCTTTACCAAGAAGTATTTACAAACACATCGAATGGACTCGATCTATATCAATAGCGAAGACCCGTTCGAGGAAGTGTCGCAGTTCATCTCCACGTCCACAAAACACTACAATTTAAACCCAATCAGCATCAAGAGTTCACTTAAAGACGGGTTTGAGCAGTACTTGAATGGCCATCCAGATATAAAAGCGATTATTGTTGGAATCCGGCATTCTGACCCATACGGATCATCTCTACTGTACGAACAAGAAACTGACCACCAGTGGCCCAAGTTTATTCGGGTGCATCCCATTTTGCACTGGAACTATGTGGACATTTGGGACTTTATTATTGGGTGCAACTTGGACTACTGCGTGTTGTACGACAGAGGATACACTAGTCTTGGAGGCGTGAAAACCACCGTACCAAATCCCGTGTTGGTTCATGGAGGAGAATCGGCCCCGGCTTATGCCATGACTGAAGATGCAGATGATCGTGAACGATTGGGAAGAAACAAAGCTCCACAGTAGATATAGACGATGTATATAGTAAGCACTATGAAATGGAGCCAAGAGCCTTTCCTACAAGAATTCGTCACATGAATATATGCATAATCCTGAAACAAATATAAATCATCAAGCCCTAATGGCTGTTCCTAACTGCCCCTTCTCTGGGACTTATTGGCATTTGCACTCGCAACTAACACCTTCTTGAAATAGTCGGTACTTAGTGGTCCCACGCCAATTTTGCCCAATGCCACCTCGGCACTAGTATGACCAATCGAGCCGTCTCTTCCCGACGACCCCGACGTCGATACCCCCAAGCTCTTCAACTTTAGAAGCAACTCCACCTCTTTTCTATTATTCTCATCAATTTGATTCTGTAAGTACTGGATGTATTCCACCGACTTGGTTAATATCTGTCCTTTATTGGGCTTCCCATCTTTGGTCCCGCTGTTCCTCATCAACTCGTCGTCTGGGTCTTTACTAACCCCGGTGTCCTTAAATAAGTCTTCGGGTACAAGCGTCAAAAGTTCTTGTATCTTATCATTGATATTGTCTCTTCGTTTTCGGTCATGGCCATCATCATCACCATCGTCCTGCTCACCACCGTCCGAGTTGCTGTCGTTCAGCCGTATGGGGACCAAGGAGCCACGTCTGCTCAGGGGTTTGGAAATACCTCCGTGGCTCACTCCCCCTCCCAAAGACTGGGACAATTGACGCTTGATGTCGACGGAATTGGACACCAAGTCAGACTGCTTAGACTCACCCTTGAAGTTGATAGAAGGGATGGGCGACGTTGACAGGCTATCGCTGAAGTTGTCAGGACTTAGAAAGTCGTCTCTAGGCATAGCTAATGTTGTGGGAGATTTTCCTGCCAAGTTTGGAGGTGAGAAATCGCGAAATGAACTAAATCTGCTGGCTGCGAATACATTTGTGCTATTTACATACTTATGTTCGGTATTCTCGCCGGATGCGCAATGCCATGGTCCGCAACGCCAGCTCGAGCCTCTGCACTCGCTGGTCATCGTCCTTATTCCATACTGGCAAACTGTTGCGGATGGGCTTGTAGTTATTCATCTTCAATCCGTAGTAGTCAACGATGATCTGCTTGAGGATGTTGAAAGTTACCAAGTTGCCCTGAAACCCGTTGTTCAACATCTCGGTGACGAGTGCTTCTACCTGGTACAAACTCAACTTTCCCTGGAATATCCAGATGGTCTTGAGAATCTCGTTGTAGGTGTCTTGGTTGCAGATAACTAAGTAGAGATTCAAGTCGTTTTTCAAGATATTAAAGAGGGTGATGGATAATTGCCCGTCTTTAAATTTGTGGTTGTTGGTTTTAAGGAATTGGTTGAAGATAATGGGAAGTGTCAAGATGTTCAACACGGGCATCTGGGGTTTTTTTAATGAGGATTCGTGGATTTCGGTGATAATATTGTCCATGGCATCGGACTCCACATTGGGTAAAAACACCTGATCGGGTGGCTGTTCCGAGTCTGGCGACTTCAAAAGACTTGAGGTCTGTTCCAAAATATCATTCAACGACGATACCAACGATTTTTTGGTGTCGATAGCTTCTATATGTGCTATTGTAGGAGAAATGGCTTCCCTTACTCGGGTCAAATGGTCCAGGTGTTTGGAGTAACTTGACTTTTTAACGGTCTGAAGGTTTATTATGTTATCGTAAATGCGAGATTTGAGGTCCACGGCGGGCGAATCGGTGTTGAAGGACTTGAAAATGTCTCTGAAAAGTTCCCTTTCTTGTGCTATGATCTCGCTTTGAGATTGTCCTGGCTCATCGAACTGGTCTTCGAATGAAGAAGATGGGGAATCGTCGTTCAACTCGAGGGAGTCGAGAAAAGATTTCAAATCGTTACTGCTGTCTATCTGGGAGTCTGTAGATGAGTCTGGTTCGCTTTCGTCCAACGTTTTTAGCATATCCAGAACATTTGGAGATTCTAGAGGTGTTTTCACACTATGTTCCTGCTCTTCTTTTCGAAGGTCTTGTAAAATGGAGATCAAGCCAAGGGGGTCTCTTTCCTTCAGATGGTTGAAACGAACAGGTACAACCCATATACGGGGGCGTATGGTGCGTGATAGTCTCATTAGACTCGCACCTCGTATCATCTTGAGTAGTTTCGAGATGAGGTTTTTCTGCTGCGAAAACTCTATTTCCATGTATTTGCAACTATGGGAATATATAATACAACATTATGACAGTCAAGGTACATTTAAGACTCTTGATCCGTTTCAGCCTGCTGAGAAGCAAGGTTTGTGACTGAGTAGAGGCCGCGATACTCGTTAAGAGTTCTGATTTCCAAGTTGTCGCCCTGCGACCCTAATATGGAGTTGAAATCCTTGTGCTCAAGTTCCCATCCAAGCTTCATGCACAAAAAGCTAGCCACATCGTCGCAGCAGCCGAGGAGCGACACGTCGAACTCGTTGTGCAAAATCGGCGTCTTGTTGATCAACACCTGCGGAACGGTTCCTGGGAGCCTCTTGACTATATCAGCCACTGGAGCCACTTCAAGTGATGTGCCAATACTTATCAACAAATCACACTCGAGGATATCTTGCTTGATCAAATCGTGGAATCTTTCGGGAAGCTTTTCGTGGAAAAACGTTATATCGGGTTTGAATACCCCATAGCTTTCTTCGAAATATGAATCTGACTCTTCAAGCTTCTTTCTTTTCTTCTCACAACGAGGGCAGAGACTCGGAGTTTTCTTCAAGATATCTTTCCGAATTGCTTCCAATGGCACTTTGTACTTACAAGTCATACAGGTAGCATTGGCAAATGAGCCATGGCATTGTACCACTTTTGAATGGGAAAGCCCAACGTTTTCCTCGAGGTTGTCGATGTTCTGCGTGTAGTTTCGAAGTAGCTTGTTTTTGGATTCAAGAAGTTTGATGAATTCGTGCAACGGTGTGAAGGCACCGGTAGGAGGGAGAATCATATGCGCAATCGAATAAAAAATCGAAGGGTCTTGACGGAAAAAATCCAAGTCAAACACTTCTTGGGGATCACTTAATCCCAACGCCCCCAACTGCGAATAAAACCCTTTGGAAGACCGGAAATCGGGGATTCCTAAACTGGTGGAGATTCCTGCTCCTGTGATCACCAAAATCCGATTAGAGCTCTTAATCTTCTCGAGAACATGGTCAATGGAATAGAAGGTCTGCAACCGGCTTCGTTGTCTCAACACCTTGTGTATCGAGATCCGAAGCGCGTTGATCATTCCAGCGAAAGAAGGCGACGCAAACTGGCCAGGGTTAACGTTGAATCCCAAGATGCCTATGGCCCGGCGGATATCGTCAATATTAGCGGTTTTTGGTAAATAGGCTCGTACAAACGCCATGGAGCCGTTGGCCTTAAGGAACGCACGAGCCTCGAACACCTGCAGATCGGTGGCTTCTTCAGTCAATTGCCGCAGATGTAGTATCTCGTCTTCTTCGTCAGAGAGGTCTTCAGACAGCTCTGAAGAGCTAGTTTGGGCAAGCGCATCCGAATCGTCGTAGCCACCATTGACATGTTCGTCACTCAAGTTGGAAGTTTCAGGGGGCGGTTCGTCGGCGCTGGAGGAGATCGGCGACACGGGTGGTGGTGCAGATTTATCGATACTGCTCAGGGTGGCATCTGAGTCGGAAGTACTGGCAAACGGCTTTGTGGCGAGGCGTTTTCCATCGTTCAAAAGCTGGTCATTAGCCACGCGCTTATTGTAGAGATTGAGACGGGTGTTGGAATCAATTTCAGACTCCTGGTCCGACTCTATAAGAACTATATCCTGGACGGGGTCCGCCATTAAAGATATGTATTGGCGCGCATTTGCCAGCCATCAAATCTAGCATTTCATCTGCGCGAACATGGACGGCTGGTGCCGGCGGCTGGGGCCACCTGGTGCGAACCCAGGGGAATTTTATCCTCGCGCGTCTGCATGTGGTTCCAAGGCTGGGTCAACACGCGCGCCCACCATAATCTCCAGATCTCAAAACCACAAACCCATAAGTCGGAAAATTTTTCCACCAAATCTCACGGCTTGTTTGTAGAATTTATTAAAACAGATGTTACCATCGGTTGAATTCATCAAGACTCCTCCTCAGGGGCCAATTGCCCCTCCTTCTGACAAATATGGTGTTAAAACCACCAATAGTCCCACCATTCATAACGCTCCTTTACCAGCTGATGGTCCAGGAGCAAAGCACTTTTCTAATTTGGTGTTAGCAGGTCTTTTGATTGGTGTTCCATGGTTCATCGTCAGAAAGATTGGGTTAGGCTTCAAGACCTGGTTGGTGTTGTTTTTGTTATTTGGTCTTCCTATTTTAATGGCGTACTGGACAGTTATGTCTACGTATTCCCCTAGATTGAACGAAAAGGTTAAATTCCCAAACAAACCCGTAGGTGATTATTTGGAGTTCCACACTGAGCAATTGGAGAACAAGTATGTCAAGTCCAACAATGGCAAGGGCACGAAAATCCCCATGGAAACGTTCCATGAATTGTACTTTGATGGTAAGGTTAGTTTTAAAGGTGATTGCTTGGACGTGTTGGAGTTCAGACACGATTGGTGTAGCTTTTCCTTCACCTTGTCATTGTTCCGGTTCTTCTTGTTGGGAATGATTCCCGAGGTGATCATGCACTCCAAATCGCAGGATGAAGAGCAGGTCAGAGATCATTATGATAGAGGTGACGATTTCTACACCTGGTTCTTGGGTCCCAGAATGATCTACACCAGTGGGGTTATTAGCGACATCACCAAGGAAGAAACCTTGGAACAGTTGCAAGATAACAAGTTAAAGACGGTTGCAGAAAAGATTCAATTGGCTAAAGGCGAACAGGTTTTGGACTTGGGATGCGGCTGGGGTACCTGGGCCACCTACGCGTCCTCCCAATATGGAGCTCACGTCACCGGAATCACATTGGGAAGAAACCAAACCAAATGGGGTACTTCATTGTTGTCTCAGTACGGAGTTGACTCGAGCCAATCTGAAATTGTTTGCTGTGATTATAGAGATGCTCCCAAATCGAAGAAATCGAATGGAAAATATGATAAAATCACCTGTTTGGAAATGGCTGAACATGTGGGGGTCAGAAGATTCGGTGCATTTCTTAAACAGGTCTACGATTCCTTGGAGGATGACGGATTATTCTTTTTGCAATATGCGGGTTTAAGAAAGTCCTGGCAATACGAAGACTTGGTATGGGGATTGTTCATGAACAAGTACATTTTCCCTGGAGCTGATGCATCCACCCCATTGTCATTTGTGATCACCAGTTTGGAATCCACTGGGTTTGAAGTGGTGTCGTTTGATAACATCGGAGTTCATTACTCGGCCACTTTGTGGAGATGGTACAGAAACTGGATCGGTAACAAGGCCAAGGTGTTGGACAAGTATGGAATCAGATGGTTCAGAATTTGGGAGTACTTTTTGGCTTCTTCCGTCATCACCTCAAGACAAGGAGGTGCTTCTTGTTACCAGATTGTGATGAGAAAGAACTTGAACTCGTACCACCGGGTCAACTATATCCCCAAGCAAGACGGGGTTTTGGGTCCGGTTTCCAGAGGCACTAAATGGGCCCAATGATACCTTAGCTGTTGTAAATAGCAATAAACACCAGAATCCGAATATCTGTAGTTAGTTAGATATGGCTTATCTCCCCAGAGGGACGTGCGTCGGTTAATGTTTTTGTTGTCGCGGCGACTGCGATGCTGCGTGGTGAGTGGGAGGCTAGGCGGTGACTCGGCCCGCTGGCCTCAAGGTCGCACCTCGGTGATACGTGATTGGCGATAGCCCTCAGGTTCGGCCACATCCGATCAGCCGAAATACCTGCTGTTTTTCACCTGCTAAATGTCCTGCCCTGACACCAAGGCGTTAAGCATGCCGGAGTCGGAACCGGTCGAGTCAGATGACTTCTTTTGACTCTGTGCTCGTACGAACGGAAGTTTGCCTTTTTGTTCACGTCACCAAAACAGGGGATTTCGGTTAATCAACTAGAGCACCCACTCAATTGAATTACTTCTATTACCTCCTATTAATCATTGGACCCATTACCCAAACCTCCCTACCACCGGCAGGTGGCCGGTTCTACGATGGCCCGAAATTTCGGCACTTCCGCCATTTTTGACTCTCGCCAGATCGAAGTCTCACATGGATGAGGATTTCCAATTTCCTGGGGTATACGCATTTTGACCCGAAAACTATAAATTTGATTGCTTTCCCACCCAATTTCAAATTATCTAAAAATTACCAATGTCTACCCCCTTCCCAAAAACCATCGATAAGGTCAAAGGCCTTGAGATTCTTGCTCCAGTTCCTGAATCCGCCAAACATATCTTCAATATCGAAGCTTTGGGCTTGGTGGCTACTCTCCATAGGAACTTCAATGCCAGAAGAAAGGAATTGTTAGCCAACAGAAAGATCCAGCAGCAGAAACGAGACGCCGGTGAATTACCTGATTTCTTACCTGAAACCAAGCATATCCGGGAAGATCCCACCTGGACTGGTCCACCATTGGCCAAAGGATTACAGGACAGAAGAGTGGAAATTACCGGTCCTACCGACCGTAAAATGGTGATCAATGCTTTGAACTCGCAGGTGGCCACCTACATGGCCGACTTTGAAGACTCGTTGACCCCTGCGTGGGACAACTTGGTTGACGGTCAGGTGAACTTGTACGATGCCGTCAGAAGAAACTTGAGTTTCAACTCCAACGGAAAGGCCTACAAGTTAAACCAGGACCCTGGTAGACACATTCCCACCTTGATTGTGCGTCCCAGAGGTTGGCACTTGGAAGAAAAGCACGTTTTGGTTGACGGCGAGGCTATCAGTGGAGGTATTTTTGACTTTGCCCTCTACTTTTACAACAACGCATTTGAAGCAGTGCAGCAGGGATTTGGACCTTACTTTTACTTGCCCAAGATGGAACACCACTTGGAAGCCAAGTTGTGGAACGACATTTTCTGCCACGCCCAGGACTATATTGGTATGACCAGAGGAACCATCAGAGGTTCAGTGTTGATTGAAACCTTACCAGCCGCGTTCCAGATGGATGAAATCATCTACCAATTGAGACAACATATCGGAGGATTGAACTGTGGAAGATGGGACTATATTTTCAGTTACATCAAAAGTTTGAGAAACCACCCAGAGTTTATCTTACCCGACCGGTCACAGGTGACAATGACGGCTCCGTTTATGAGCTCGTATGTCAAGCTTTTGGTCAACACCTGTCACAAGAGACAAGTGCACGCGTTGGGAGGAATGGCCGCACAAATCCCCATCAAGGAAGATGAACAGAGAAACAAGGCTGCTTTGGAGAACGTTGCTCGTGACAAGTTACGGGAGGTACAAGCCGGCTGTGACTCGTGCTGGGTGGCTCACCCAGCCCTTGTGCCGGTGGTATTGAAGGTGTTTAACGAACATATGAAGGGTCCTAACCAGATCAATGTGCCTCCTAAGGTGCCATATACGCCCGTCACCGCCAGAGACTTGTTATCGCCATTTGTTCCTGGTGCCAAGATCACCGAGCAGGGAATCCGTGCCAACATCATCATTGGGTTGTCGTACATTGAAGCTTGGTTGAGAAACGTTGGATGTGTTCCCATCAACTATTTGATGGAAGACGCCGCCACCGCCGAGGTGTCCAGAACCCAGTTGTGGCAATGGGTCACCCACGGAGCCAAGACCGATGCCGGCAAGACCATCACCAAAGAATACGTGAATCAATTATTGGGTGAAGAATACTCCAAGTTGGAATCGGCTGCCAAACCTGGTAACAAGTATAAGAGGGCATTGGAATACTTTAGGCCCGAATCATTGGCGGAGAAGTACTCAGACTTTGTTACCACGTTGATCTACGACGAGGTTACCACCATCGGCAGAGCCGTGGGGGCCGAAAAGTTGTAGGAGGGTAACTATTGTATAGTTTGAATTGATATATTTATTTTTAACTGGCGCGCGGTTAGGAAAATAGTAAGCAGCTGTCACTATTTATCTACTATGGGTTTGTCCAGAAGACAACTCCGATTGCTCATGGTGAGTGGATTTTCACTCTTTCTCATGTATATCATGTACAGCTCGAAAGGTGATAATCCTTCTTCTTTAAGTGACCTGAGAGAACTGGCCAATAGTATCATTTCGGCTAACCCCAATGCCAAAATTGATGAGGCTATCAACAACAAAATCTCCAAATTATACCAACAAGAACAGGCGGAGAAGGCAGCAGAAGAGAAGGCTGCAGTCGATGCAGCTGCTGGTATCAAAGTGACCGAAGAAATTGATGCAATTGAAGAGGACTTTGATCCTGTCAAGGAGTTGATGCAAATTCGTGCGTTGGCACCTATGATTGTCTTCTCTAAGTCCTACTGTCCCTACTCCAAGCGGTTGAAAAAGTTGTTGACAGAACACTACGAGATCACTCCTTCGTTCTTCCCGGTTGAACTTGATAAACACAAGCACGGAAAGCTTTTACAGGAACATTTGGCTAAAATATCCGGTAGAGCCACGGTACCAAATGTGTTGATTGGAACCTCCAACGAAAGCAAAGGAGGATGCGACGACTTCCTCAACTTGCACGAATCAGGTAAGTTGGCCACCATGTTGAATGAGTGGGGGAACAAAAAGTTGTCGGTGAAGCGGTTGGAAACCCCATCCAACGTTTAAGTGATACAGACTAATGTAACATTAAATATATAATATTATTTCACCAACGTCTTATTATATTTAAAACTTGGAAAATTGCTTGGACTTGGCAACGGAAGCAGAAATTCTCAACACGTTGAATCTAACAGTCTTGGAAATAGGTCTACATTGACCAACAACAACGGTGTCACCTTCTTGGACTCTGAAAGCTGGAGAAACGTGAGCAGCCAAGTTCTTGTGTCTCTTTTCGTATCTGTTATATTTTGGCACGTAGTGCAAGTAGTCTCTTCTGATGATGATGGTTCTGTGCATCTTGGTGGAAACAACAGTACCAGACAAGATCTTACCTCTGATGGAAACGTCACCAACAAAAGGACATTTCTTGTCAATGTAGGTACCCTCAATAGCGGTCTTTGGGGTCTTGAATCCCAATCCAACATCCTTAAACCATCTCTTGGTCTTTTTGTTGGCCTTGGCCTTTGGGTTGGTGAAGATGTGAGGTTGCTAGAAAAGTTAGTATGGAGATTTGACATTTCAGGTGATTGCAAGGTTCTTTCTACTCAACCAGGTGGATTGGAGACGGTTGGATAAAATTTTTCAGGAGGAACGGGGTCGATGTTTTGGGGTGGAGGAAAAGGAAATAGTGGACGATGGGAGTCCAGGAAGTTGATGAGTATGGAGTTGATGGGGATTTGTCATGTTCTGGACAAGTTCAGTCGATTACTTGTGACTTTAGTCAACAAATGTCTTACCACACATATGTAGTTTCAATCCATCGTTGGGTCGGGAAATTCGAGAATGGGTCCGTTGCAAGGGTGTCACCAGTACGTGCTGTTTAATGTGATACAAACCTTTTGGAAAGCGTCTTGGTTTTGGACGGTTAATTCAGTAGCCATGTTTAATGATATAGAAACTAAATGAAAATTTTTCCCAGCTATAGTGAGAAAAAAGCTTCGGTGTGTGTGCAGGTTGGCCGCGAGCGGGAAGCAGCAGGAAAGACGGGCGTGCTCCCACCGCCGGCTGTTTCGCGGGCACGGGCTGGAGCCCTCGTGACTGGGGCAGCCCTGTAGCCGCCCCCTTCCACATTCGGTAATCAAGCCTTATCCTTTCGCGCTCGCTTGTACGCTCGAGCCTCACATATATTTGGGTTTGTAAAACTCACACATCTCAATTACCCACACAACCCCCGAGCACCTGCCTCATCAACCACTGGCTTCCAACCATCCCCCACGTCGTAATGAACTCCCGAAGGATTCCTTCCCAGCCCAACACCGACCAATCGTTCCTCAACCCCAACGACTCGTCGTTCCTTGCTCACAACACCACCTCCCGCTCAGTATCATCATCCACATCGATGGTCAGTACACCCAGCAATCATATTCGTAAGTTCCACCAGAATGTTCCCCAAGATCAGGGCGATGGCCACAAGCCCGACAAGTTCCGTCTGTCGACCAATATCGTTTCCAAGAGTAAGAATAATCATCACCATCTCAAGCCCAAAAAGCTGTCCAATGTGGACTTGGTCAAAAATAAGTTATTGAACCTCCATAAGCTGCTGAGGATATATACCAAAAGCAAGAGTATCTCTGAGGAAGACGCCATGCGGAGCCATCCCAACTTCACCACCAAAAGCTTCATCTTGCGTAAACCACTCCATATGAACCTATATGACTACTCGGTGTTTCGAAGTTACCCTGACGCCCTGGCTGGTGATGACAAGCTTCCCCCTGCCGTGAAGGAGTCGCAGATCAAAGCCTGGGAATCGGCAGAGAAAATCACCAACAACTTGATATTTGATAACGACAGCGACTTGTCGGACGACGAAGACATAAACGAGGGCGAAACCCACCACGACATCGCGGGCGACATGGTCCGCCCTCTTGATAGCAGTAGTGTTCCCGCCGGCGGGGACGACACTATTATTAAGTCGATTCCAGGGTTCTGCAAGGACGAAGTGGATGTCCTTCAGACCCGATTCCTCCACCTTCAGACCCTCACTGCCAGCACCACCCCCAGCATCGCTGCGTACGACGAAGAAGAGCGCAAAGTGTTGTGGAATCACCGCCAGGAACAGCAGGCTCTTCAAGGTAAGCACTTTGGACAGTATCTGTCGCTCACCAGTAAGAGAAAGGCTCAAGTCCAGCAGAAGAAGGACATGCTTAACCGGATTTTTGGCTACAACAACACCTTGAACCATGAATACATCACCAATAACACGTCCTATTCGGCTCTCGACTCGGTGATGAACACCTCCAAGTCTTACCAAGAAGATAAGGAAGAGATGAGCCAGCTTTTGGCAGAAGACAAGGAATATCATGCATCACTCGAAGAGTCCAAGGCTAACTTAAGGCTTGCCCGCAGCGTACATCTCTACAATGGCGACGACAGCTTCCACTTGAGCATATTGAACAAGAAGCTCAATGTGGCTGGAGCTGGGGTGAACGAGTTTGATCACTACAAATATCTCCAGATGATCTCAAATAAGCTCACGGGTGTGTACGGGAAACATGGCACCATGAAACACGATGCTGGAGGAGCCCACGACGACCTCACTGCCTTTGCCATGTCCTACTTGCGCCGGTGTATCCGTCATGAACCGGATGGGCATGACCATAACGATTTATAGACTGTAATATTATTTCACAATCGACTTTGATTTTTCGCAATAAAAGGGCGCGATGATTATAAATCGATGTTCACAGCTTCAGTAACCCGATTATTGAATATCAGTAGACACTTATCAACAATGGCCCCAGTAACAATTCCCAAGCATTACGACTACCTCGTTATCGGCGGCGGATCCGGCGGAGTAGCCTCTGCCAGAAGAGCCGCCTCCTATGGCAAAAAAGTGTTGTTGGTTGAAGCCAAACCGCACAAATTGGGTGGCACCTGTGTAAATGTCGGATGTGTGCCCAAGAAAGTCATGTGGTACGCCGCTGACCTCGCCCATCGCAAGGTGCACTTGAGCAAATATGGCTTGTCTCGGTCCTCGGTGGAGGAAAATGAAGTCAAGCATGGTGATTTTGATTGGAGCTATTTCAAAACCAAAAGAGACGCTTATATCACCCGTTTGAATGGTATATACGCCAGAAACTTGACCAATGAAGGTGTTGAATTCCTCTATGGTTATGCTCGGTTCACCAACGATCAGGCGGATGTCGAGGTGACGTTGACGGAAGACCAGGAAATTCCATTTTTGGAAACCGGTGAAAAGCTGTTTTCCAAGGACCAGAAATTTGTGTTTTCTGCCGACAAGGTGTTGGTGGCAACCGGTGGAGCGCCCATAGTACCACCCAGCGTTCCAGGAGCCGAGCTCGGTATCACCTCCGACGGGTTTTTCGAATTGGACTACCAGCCCAAGTCGGTCGCGGTGGTGGGGGCCGGGTATATTGGAGTCGAATTGGCCGGTGTGTTCAGGAGCTTGGGCTCAGAGACCCATTTGGTGATCAGAGGAGATACAGTGTTGCGTGCGTTTGACGACTCGATCCAGGAAACCATCACCGACTACTATTCAGATAAATTGGGAGTTAATGTCATCAAGCAATCTGGTAGTGTTAGTAAGGTGGAGAAACTCGCCAACGGGTTGAAGAAGGTGTACTTGGGTAACGGCCTGACTTTGGAGGTGGAAGAGTTGGTGTGGACGGTGGGTAGAAGAGCATTGTCAGACATTGGTTTGGACGTGGTGGGGGTTAAGGCCAATGACAGAGGTCAAGTCATTGCCGATGAGTACCAGCAGACATCTCACTCGAAGGTGTTTTCCTTGGGGGATGTTGTAGGTAAGGTAGAATTGACTCCAGTGGCCATTGCAGCAGGAAGAAAGTTGTCGAACCGGTTGTTCTCTGGTCAAGAGGTTTTTGCCCAAGATAAATTGGACTATAACAACGTGCCTTCGGTGATCTTTTCTCACCCGGAAGCCGGATCGATTGGATTGTCTGAGAAGGAAGCCACTGACAAGTACGGAAAGGATAACATTAAGGTTTACAAGTCGAAATTTGTGGCCATGTACAATGCGATGCTTGAAGATGATGAGTTGAAGCAGCCAACTTATTACAAGATCATTGTGACCGGAGTTGATGAAAAGGTCATTGGACTTCACATGGTTGGAGAAGCCACGGGCGAGATTTTGCAAGGGTTTGGAGTGGCAGTGAAGATGGGTGCTACCAAGGCCGATTTTGACAACTGTGTGGCCATTCACCCCACGTCTGCGGAAGAGCTCGTTACCATGAGATAGAATGTTATCGTGTTTATTGATGTGCTTAAATATAGTATACAGTTTTGGTTACCGTTTTGGTTGCTGGTAGTAGTAGTAGTCTAAGATCTCTTGACTCGCTTGGGAGGAGGCCCTCTTACAGGTGGTTTTGGCTTGTCACTGGGCTTCATGAAGAACATGGGGGCATTCTTCAACATCTCGGGAACAATAACCAACCGAATCATCGACCCCCGAACAAATACCTGGCTCATATGGGAGGTGGTGCCGGAGCGACCTTTGGTTATCACCACGTCGTAGAGGGATAAATTCATGTTATCTTCGTTTTCAAGAAGCTTCCCCCGGTACGTATCACCCGTCACCAACTCCACCGTGACGATGTGGCCCTGCGCCTCGGTCAATAGTCTCACAGGTATGTCGATTTTGGGCATACTGTGATATATGAAGAAGAGTTTGAGATGATTGGAAAAGTCGCACCAGTTCGCGCTACTAGTGCGACCTCTGTCCCAAAAGTGTAAACCCGATTCTCGAAAAACCCATCCATGCTGGCAAAAGTCGACAAAAGCTCTGGCCGACAACGTCGACGGGTCCCGATCACGTGCTCCAACTGCAGGCGGCGTAAGGTCAAGTGTGACAAGCAAAAGCCCGCCTGTGGCGGGTGTGTACGTAATGGGGTCGCCAACCTGTGCGAGTACTTGCAGCCACATTGGACTTCGGCCAATGGCTTGAACTCGAGCCCCACCCCCAACACCGACCGTTCCCAGGACATGAATCAAGCCTCACAACTATCCGAGCTAAGCCAGTTGAAAACGAGTTACGAGCGGATTATCGGCAACCAGAGAAAGGAAATCGAGGATCTCAAAAGGCATCTTTCCTTCACCACTCAACTTACCACCCAACAGCCCCATGACGACACCGGCGATAGCCCCGTGGAAGTGTTGGCCAAGCTTCATCCGTTGGCCGATAGAAACAAGGACTCCTTGGAGATCGAAGACTGTGTTAGTTACTCCATCAATTTGGAAGCCCCCAGGTCTAAGAAATCGATAAACCCATCCGACACCAGTGAAATCCATTCGTGGATCAGTATCATCATGTTGGACCCCAAGCTCTCGGGCTTGTGGCTGAGGATCAATAACATGCAGCGGATATATCATATGTACAAATCGGCAATGGTGAAGAGACACGCAAACTCGAGAATAACTGAAATCGACTTCACGTCGCCAGGTCCTGCTTGCCACATGCAAAACACAGACGTCAGTACTGCTTGTCCCGTATCTGCTGGGTCCACTGAATCCATGCCCAAAAAGTGCCCGGTGGTGCTGTGTGACTTGAACTTTATGAATGAGTCGATGATGACTATCCCTAAGGTCAGCTCCTTGTCGGCTGTAAAGCCGGTTGTCCACGAGTTCCTGACGGAGGGCCTCGATGAGTTTACAAAAGGCGGCATACGCTATACAAAAATGGTACAAGAAGTGTGGAGGCCCGTGGTACACAGTTTGCGAGCCAATAAACCATTAAACTCAACTCAACTCCAGTTCTTACTTGACTTTTACTTTAACCAGAAGACCGTCGACACATCTCGGGACTTGACGGTGCTATTTAAGGACGAAATAGATGAGATCTACATTTCCAAGAACGGTCGTCTCATACTTAATATGGGGTTAGCGGTGCCGGGTGAAGATGATGCGGTCCTGATAAATAAGTTTTTGTTGAAAGGAGTCTATGTGTGTATATTGATGCTTATTGTCGAGGAGTCACTAGACATCTTGAAACTGAGCCACCAACAGTCGTTGCCTCCTGACGTGGTGACAAAGTTTCAGGCTCTTTTTCCCGATGAAGTGAGGTTTGCGGGCCTATCGTATAATGGCAGCCAAAACTTGAATGCGGTGCAGAAGTACTTGGACAACTCCTGTTCTTCAAGCTCCAATTTTTTTCTACTCAACCGGTCATTGGTGACGTTAACATGCAGATTACTCTTGTTGGATCGGGATATTATGAACAATGGAAGAGAGGGAAATGAAAGAGGTGAGACCGAACGAGCCATCATGTTCAAGACGACGTTGGCAATGGTATTCGACCTTGAAAACCCAATACAAATATGGAAACAGCCCACACAGATTGTCCTTCCCGGTAACGACTCAAAGAAAAAGGTCAAGGACATCCGGATGCATGCTTGTTTCCTTTGGAATGAGTTGATTCGGTGCTTGAATATCGTTTCTAGCTCGTTGGTTTCTTTTTCCAAGAGTGATAGAGAGCTCCAGGCCCTTATAGGACGGGCCCATTCTCGGGTGGAAGAAGTTCAGGTTCATGGGAACCACATGAGGTATTTACAAGGATTGAAGTCCCCTCATTTGGACAAGCTTAGCAGCAGTTTGCAAGTCAATTACTTACTTTCAAATGTTCATCTTTTCTTTGCCAGAGGAGTCTCCAATCTCTTGGGGGTGAAACTCACCATGAAAGATCTCGATGATTTGACGGGAGAATGTGGAAGCTGGATTGACGACGAAAGATTAAAGAGACTAGCTCCTATCATTGAGTGGGAATCCAAGATCATGCTTCATTTCAGTAATATCTACACCACCTACGTGATGTTTTTGCAGGTGGAAGAGAGCAAGCTAGAGAAGTTAAAAGAGAGTCTTATATCCACGATTTTTGTGAAGATCGATGGTTACTTTAAGCTTTCAAATCACATTCTTGACCAGACCCTCAATAAAGAGAGTCAGTACATTTATAATGCATTGTCCGAGTGTTTTGTTTCAGTGATGCAGATTCTTGTGGCTCTTTTGTTAAGAGTTTGCCTGAGACCCAAAGAGAAGAACGAGGATTTGGTTAAACAGTTGTCAACTTTCTGTTATTCCACCTCCAAGTCATCCCTTAGAATTGAATCAGATATCTTCAATCTCATCAAAAATCAATTATCCAACTCAATCAATAATACTCTAAGAAAGTTGAATAACGCCATGACTGTAAACAAGAACCATTCGATGAAGCTCAACCAGCTTTGGGTATTCTATTCAAACCTTCTTGAAAGTTCAAGAAGGTTTTATTCCAGTTATAATAAGGTTCATGCCAATATTCCTGGGTTTAACAAGCTTATGAACACCAATTCCCCTATTGGAGACTTTTCTAAGTGTCCAGTGGCACATATACCCGCAGTTACAAAAGCTCCTGGAAGATGTCCTATAGACTATACTCAGTTCATGAAATCGTACAAGCGGAAGTCATCTGGCGATAGCCCTCATCACCAGGAGCCTATGGAAAGAGAACTTAAGCGTCTCCGAATGGAAAGTGACTCGCCCAAGAGTACTATTTCGCCTACAGACTCCAATGGGTTTATCGATAGAGTTACCCAAAGTTACATGGATGACGATCTAATCAATTCTGGTGGTTTCGATTTCGATATCAACTTTAGGAACTTCTCATCATTGGATATCGGATTCTTAAGTGATTCTTTCGAAGCCTTGAGCCGAAGTGCAAGCACTGATTCTTTCAACTATAACATTGAAGAATCATTCCAATGATGTTGTATTATTTAATAAATAGATCTATATGCGCCAATAGATAACCTTTTGAAGGTTTGCAGCAGCGGTTGCGATGGGCTTCAAGTTCAATTCCTGTACTGAGGAAGAAGTGGTAGATCCAAAAGAGTCTGTGTGGGAGAGAGAATCGGGAAGAAAACTGTTAAATAGTAAATGTATTGACGACTATTTACAACCAAGCGCGATTCTCTGTTCTCAATTATTTGCAGCCATGCTGCTTCCTATATTCTTGATCATGAGCGTGTGAGTTCCCATACAGAGTGTTTCAACATCTCCACGAACTCTAATGGGATATGGCGCATGTCGTCGCTGAAGAGCTTATCACTGTACGAGAAGATTAACTTAAGATTCATCAAATCATCCACAGCTTTAGGATTACTTGCAACTCTTTGCAACTCGAGTTTTGTGTCAATGATTATAAACACAGACAATCCAAGATCATTCAAACTGGTGTCATTGCTGAGACTGCTGGATTCATAAAGATATACCTTCTTTTCGTGGGCAGAGATGGGTTTCATAAAGTTTAAGCTGAGAATTTTTTCTATGTCTTTATCAACTTTAACTTCATTGTTTTCCACTTGCAAGCTTCTATTCTCGTACTCTAGCAAGTTCTTGACTGAAGACTTGAGCATTTGATAGTTTTGTCTTTTGTAAACAAAAAGAGTAAGTGCTTTCTTGAAGATTTCCAAGTAATCGGGGTTGGAGCCAAAGTCAATTCGAACTTTGAAATGATCCAATGAATCGGTCTGAATACTCAAAATTGACAGAAGAGAAGGTAACAAACAAGGAGAAGTGGCTTTCTTGACTTGTCCATTCCGAAGTCGAAGTGTGACAGGAATTTTGGATGGCTTATGGGTATCAACATCTCTCACAATCAAGCATCTGGGATCCACCGAAATGGCCCAAAAGTGTCTTAAAGCCTGTAAATGTACCTCATACTCGCTGTTATTGTTGGGGAATACCGGATATAAAGACACTATTAAGCTTGCAATTGCCAAATTCGAATTGCCAAAAGCATATTGCCCACCACCAAGAAACAAAAACCCTAATGCCATATTGATGGCCATATAATTCCCATAGTTGGTGTCTTTACTTGTATCCCCATACAAAACTCTGAGTCTCCTAAATGTCTCAAGATCTCCGGATCCTGCCATCACCACAGAGATAGAAAGTGCTAAAAGATTCTGAATGTTGGTAGCAGCATTGCAAGTGATTTTTTGATCATACTTCTCGGTAGGAGTCATGGCCACTACCATCATTTGGTCCAAATAATGGAGCAATGTGTCACGAGCAGTTTTGTCGTGAGTTGAGGCGTACTTGATTGCTATTGATAAACAAGTACCTCCAAGTACATTATAGTAACAAATCTGATCACTATCTAAGTTATCAGCGTTTCCTTTCCCGTATCGTGCCAACAAGGATTCAGGAATCTGAGATTCTACCCAACCTCTTGTATTGTTGACTGAACTCCACATAATGATATTCTTAGATACGCACCTCAAAAGAAGAAGATCGGGACGGATATAATCCAACAACTGTTCAGACTGAGGAACTCCAAGCTTGTTGGCAATGGTAACATCTTCGGTCTTCATGTGTATGAACCCCAATGCCATAATCGCTCCACTACAAGACTTATCAAGCTCTTGCACTGGTTGGTAGTCTTTCATAGAAGTAGCCAATGCCAATAATCGGTCCACGACCCTAGTATCATTTAATCCTTTCAAATCTTTTCCTTTGCCTAAATTGACAAATCCCAATGAAATCCCAGCAGCTAGTCGGTAACCTTCATGTATCTGCTCTGAATCATTTTGGGATACGGTGCTGGTTATTTGAGCCAATAAAGTCTCGCTCATCCGCCTATGTTGACTCTCCAAATATAACAACCCAATTCCCAACAACCCAGCTGTTTGAACCATCACCGGTACATTTAAATCATTAGCACCCTGTGGTAATAATGCGACAGCATGAACCGATAACACCTTAGTCAACTTGATGTTCATTGTTCCCATATTACTGGCTGCCATTCCAACAAGTAAACCAACACTTGTCAAAGGATGCTTGGGACCCAAATAATTATAGATATGCCACTCCTCCAAGTTCTTAAGGTGCCCATTGAGGCCAAGTCCTAATAAGAAACCCGCATGTTGGGCATTTAAAGACGGGGGCTTGTTGAAGATGATCCAACTTCCAGAGATTCCTTTGGACTGTTTGCTGATGCTCAAACCTGCTGCAACTCCATTGTGGAAGTATCCCCATTCGATAACTTTTTCATCAACAGCGCCGTCATGAAGCACAATATTCGTCATCTTAGGTGCAACCACCGTATTCAAATTGAATTTGGGGATGGGAAACTTCTCTGTTAATAGTGGCATTCTTCCTCCATAATATAAAGAGGCTCTTCCCAAGGGAATAGAAAGTGTTCGAAGAGCAACAATTGCTGCCAAAGCTCTTTGGAGCACAACCACATCGAAGTCAGACTTTCCCTCTTCAGTAATTAAAGTGGCCGTTTGGGCCTTTGTTTGGTGCAATAAAGAGGTGATCTCATAGTATCTTCTGTCGTGATCAAAGATCAACTTGGTGATACCAATTCTGTCAGCCTCTGATTGATCATCCCAAGCAGATACTTGCTCCGTTCCATCGAGGACTCCAGAAAGTATGTGGTTTATATCTCTAGGAAGTTGGTTGGTGTTGGGGCCAAATTGTGTATAGAGTGACGTTGGTGGTTGGTAAGAACCGGACCTTAAGAACATGTTCAACTCTTTTCTTCCAACCAAGTCCAAAGCTTTGGGGTTCCATTGAAAGTCAGGATTCTCCTGGCAGTACAGAATTGCTTCCTTTAATGGCACCCGAACACCGAGAGGAAAGGTTTCGAGGTCTTGGATCGTGAAGCCCAATTCACACATCAAATCCACCACATTATTGGGACCATAATTGGGCGAAACAATCAACTCAAAGAGCTTCAAGATCGCATGGGTTCTTGGGATAATCAATTCATCAGCTGCAAAACTCTCCTCCACTAATTGGGAGAAAGTAAGGTATTGAACTATGGAATCGTTGAACAAACTGCTCAATGACTCCAAGATATTGGGCGGTTGGGGTATAACAAATACCAGAGGCATCCTTGGTTCTCCATCAATCTTGTTTATGTCGACCATATAATACTTGCACCAAGCCTCCGGCCAGCCCATCCACGTACATAATTGAGTCAAGAACAAGCCAATTTTATCCAAAGAATCGTGAGCCAAAACATCAAGCTTTGCCTCCTCTCTGATGAGATGAAGAGATATGGCGATATATGGGAGCATTTCACGGAAAAGGTAGTCATCATTTAGTTGTTCATTGAGCTTTTTGGCCAAAGGTAGCAATACCGTTATTTCGTTTAGCTCATAATTAGATACTTCAGAATCCATGGGTAACAATATCGCAAGAATTGTCACCACAAATGCCCACCAATCGTCTTTATAGTCATCAAGCATAAGAGCTGTACGCCAGAGTGTCCAGATGGTTTCACTGATGTTTGACCCACTGAGGTATTTGAAGCATTGAAGACATTTTAAGACAATATCAGAACTGGGTTTCATCACAAGTTTAAGTATGAAAGTATCACCATCTGATCCTATTAATGCAATGTCCTCGTCACATGCGCATTGAAGTCCAGAAATTGTTGGATACTGGCCTGATAAGGTTATTGGGGCGGAGGTGACATCCACAAATGGGTTCAAGATCTGAATGACATTGCTTTCTCTCAAGACCACAATGTATCCCGGGAACTCTGAATTCATCAACGGAACGCAATGAAGACATTTGATGGAATACGTCAGTTGATACTGAGGAATTGCAGTTATCAGCTGGTTGAAAATATATACCTTTGCTTCTTTCTTATATCTGTTCATGATGATAATCGCTTCTTGTTCTTCGTAACACAAGTTATAGATGTCCAAATTTTTCCGGTCAACCTGGATGCTAAGGACCTCTACTCTTGTAAGGATCATATCTTTCTTGAGAGCCATTTCCATAGGTTTTGAAAGCTCTGAGATCGACAGCTCTGATCCCATTCGAGCCATTGAAGAAGCATCCGATAATAGGGTGCTTGTCCTTTTTTTTTCCATGTTTATAGACGAGGTTATCAGCATATGATTGGACATATTCCCATTACTATAGTCGATGTGTAAGCTTTCATCTTCAAGAATTCTGGCAGGATTGGGAGTGGTCAAGAAAGTGTTTTTCCTCTTCGAGTACTTAAAGGAATTGAGACGCTTCCCGTTGTTTTTATTGGAGGTTCGTATGTGGTATATCACGATTACCTTATCGTGCCGGTTATAAGTGGCACATAAAGAAGAGGTTTTATTCAAGCCCTTTAGTGGAAATGCCACCATTTCTTCATATGGAGATATTGTCGAAGTGGAAGACGACGTGATCACTCGAAACTCGCCTATGGGATCCACCAAGGACAAGAACGTGGCCGAGTTGATCCCCAGCTCTGAAGGATATGTTTGTAACTGGCCCTTCTCTAACAATAAACCAAATTCAAACGGGAGAGCCGACCGTAGCACAAACGGGAAACTCACTGTATAGTCTTTACCGTTGGTGTAGATGAATGCCGACTTGGCGAGGCATATTACAAGTGAGGGTTCACTTTCTGTAGCTAATGATTCCGAATGAGTAAAACAAGTGAAAGTAGCTGTCACCACATCCTCATCGAAGGTGAACTTCTTGGACAAGCTGGCTCCATTCACCAACAATACTTCTCTTTTATGGATCACAAGATGTTTGTTGCCTGGGAAGAGCTTTGTTTGTCCTCCACTTGATGTATACGCTCGTAGATACTTTAGGTCTATGGCAGGAGAACTTAGTTGATCTGGGGTTGGTGAAGACGTCATGAGCTGTCAAAACACTGTGGTAGATCTAACGTACACCTGTAGCCTCGATTAGTTATTCAGGTACCTCTCAAAGCCAACGACTGATGTCTGAATTGCAATGAGTTTACAATCACTGTCAAACAATGTTTGTGTATTTACACCGAACGCGAGCTGCGAAAAATCAATCAGTTGCATACATCACTCTGTTCTTTGGCATGAGTATAGATTTGACTAATGTTATCCGTTCGGTGGAGTCTCTTGGAAAGATGTTTAGGTACTCCATGGGAGAACTTCAAAGTGGAGTTTTGGGGGGGTTGGAGCGTAAATTGGGTGAGATATCTCGTATTGTTCCTGGGATCTTGAGGGGGCAGGAACAGATCAGATCGGATATCAACAGATTATGCAAATATCTCCAGGAACTGGACGATGTTCAAGCACAGCGGGATGAACGTATTAGGTCCTTGCAGTTGGATATCAGACTGAGTTTGCCGGTTGTGGTCCCAGAGTCACTGTTGCACCACAAGTATCATCATCCTCAGAATCTACCTGCCAGCCACGAGAGTTTGGCAGCTAAGATTGATTTTATTATACAATGTGTGCTTGTGCAGAGAGGTACCAATATTGACTGGGCCTCCAAGGAGATTGTGTCTTTAGTGTTGAGAGAAACAGGAAGAATGGCTGATGGTCCAAGAATCGAAAGAAGCACCCCAAGACTTGAGATGTTGGAAAAGACTCAAGAAATTGGGGCGAGTGAGCCGGTAACTAGGATTATTGTGGATGGACGTGCAACTAGTGTTGTAGCTGGAAGTACAAGGAGTGCGGTAGCTAGTACTGAGTTCAGTCCCAACGCCCAATTCAGCCCTCAGGCATCTAACTCCAGTAGGGACCTCAGCTTGATCGCATCATCGACACCTAAAACTTCCCCTAAGCTTTCTCCAGTCAACTACAACTATAAGCTTGCCAAAAAGATCAAACTCCCCGCAATGGCAGACATGAAACTTGCCAAATCGCTATGTGTAGCCATGGAGCCACCGCCCTGGCATTGTACCTTCAACACCCTGAAAATCTATTCGGTTGAAGGTCTCGTTAATTACTGGTTCCTTGATGATTTTATGGTAGATGAAAATGCAGAGCCTTGTGTGGCTCGGAAGAACCTTTTGTACGGCTGGAAATGGAGAAAGAGGTTCGAAACCAGCTATTTTAGAAAACTGTGCATCATTGATTTTGTTCTTTCCATCCACCACGGCACAAAGAAAAATAATTCAAGAAAGAATGCACCCCAATCAATCACATGTCTTCGTCTTAGGGAAAGACCCCTTCTTGAAATTGCCAACTGGATTGACAAGTGTAAAGATGCTCGGTGTCGTGGGCTCACTCTGTTCCGAGAATTTATTGCCGAAGATACGGATGGTTTGATCATAGGCTTGAATACCATATTGGATGAAGCAGGTGTTGTTTAGCGTTTTTAGTATTTAGTTGAAATTGATGAAAATGAGGGTAGGTAATGGCTGCAAAAAAGCCGCACTAATAAAGAAATTGAATATTTCGATTCAACAATAAACACTATATACAACAGACTAAATACAGTTGGAAACGCTTCAACATTTACTCAATGATTCTAGTAACCAAACCGGTACCAACGGTCTTACCACCTTCTCTAAGGTTGAAACGTTGGTTAACTTCAATAGGAGTCTTCTTAACCAATTCGATTTCCATTTCGATGTTGTCACCTGGCATAACTTGTTGAGAGTGGTCAACACCTTCACCGCTTGGGAATCTCAAGGTACCAGTCACATCACTGGTTCTGATAAACAATTGAGGTTTGTAGTTCTCACCAAATGGAGAGTGACGACCACCTTCTTCAGCAGTCAAAATATACAAGGAAGCCAAGATCTTGGTGTGAGGAGTGACCGAACCTGGTTTGGCCAAAATCATACCTCTGTTAACATCATCTCTCTTGACACCTCTCAACAAGATACCAGCATTGTCACCAGCCATGGCAGCGTCCAATTCTTTTTTGAACATTTCGATACCAGTAACAGTTGCCTTGATAGGCTTGTCCAAGTAACTGACAATTTCAATTTCTTCACCCTTCTTCAAAGAACCTCTTTCAACTCTACCAGTGACAACAGTACCTCTACCGGAGATAGAAAACACGTCTTCAACTGGCAATAAGAAAGGTTGTTCCAAGTCTCTGGTTGGAGTTGGAATATGTTCGTCAACAGCATCCAATAATTTCATGATGGCTTCTTCACCAATTTCAGGTTGTTTTCCTTCCAAAGCACACAAAGCAGATCCCATGATCACTGGGGTGTTATCACCATCAAAACCAAATTGGGTCAATAATTCTCTCATTTCCATCTCAACCAATTCCAACATCTCTGGGTCATCAATGGTGTCCACCTTGTTAACGAAAACAACCAAATTTTGAATACCAACTTGTCTGGCCAACAACAAATGTTCTCTGGTCTGAGGCATTTGACCGTCGGTAGCAGCAACAACAATAATAGCACCATCCATCTGGGCAGCACCAGTAATCATATTCTTGATATAATCACTGTGACCGGGACAGTCAACATGAGCATAGTGCCTTTTCTCGGTAGAATACTCAACGTGGGCGGTGGAAATGGTGATTCCTCTGGCTCTTTCTTCGGGAGCTCTGTCGATGTTGGCGTAGTCCAAGAAATCGGCACCACCTCTTTGTGCCAAAACCTTGGTGATAGCGGCGGTCAAAGTGGTCTTACCGTGATCAACGTGGCCAATGGTACCGACGTTGACATGGGGTTTGGAACGGTCGAACAAAGCGTATCCTCTGGTGAGGGCTGGCCTACTGGCCCTCAAAGCAAACCTAACATTTGCCCTGGCAATAGAAGCGAAGTTGCTAAGCATATCGTTATTGGAAGAAAAAATTTTCAGCGTCTCACCCGATAAATACCTTGGTCGTGTCGCGAATGTTTCCGTACCGAGACAGTGGCAGTGGATCATACGGGTGATATCACAACTGAAAGAGGTTGATACGGATTTAAACAGTTGGTTATGTTTCAGTTATGTTTCAACAATACAATTATATGATATAATTCTAAAGCAAACAATAAGCAGTTTGTGTAATTGCAAATATTCGTGAAGGGTATGAAATGTCGTGGTGTCGCGGCCAGCACCACCAACCGATAGACTATCCCAACAACGGACTGGTGTCTCCGGTTGGTTCGTCAGAAGCGGGAGTATGCATCTTGGCCAACGACTGCACGTTTCCCACGTCAAAAGCATCATTTTCTTCCTCCCGCATGTTCGTCTCCATGATCTGCTCCACTTGCAATCTCTCCAAAGTATCAGCATTAAGGCCCCCTTGACGGAAATACTCAAAGTAGAGACACATGGAGAGTAAGATCCCCTGAAGAATGAAGGCAACGAAGTACGAGATCCATGAACTCCAGTGTGATCCTTTGGTGAAGAAAAGCGTAGCGGTGAATAGAGCACCCCCAGGAGTCTGAATACACATCATTCCCACCGACAATGTACCTGGATGCTTAAGCCTGTACGTGGTGTATATCTGAGGAACATACTTGATGACTGTCAAGGTGGTGGACATCAACCCGTTTAAGTTAGCGATGGTCACAAGCACTCCATCATTTGATAAGAATGCCACGATGATTTGAACAATTGAAGCCAAAAAGTGTGCCATCACAAACTTTCCCACTTTAGCATTCTCCCTGTACTCGGCTTTGTCTTGCTTGATGGAGTCTCGGGTCAAAACAAGTACTAATACCAATATCATAATGGCACATATGCACTGAAGGCCGATTTGTACCAAATTGAGCTGGGAGTTGATGCAGTTGAACGTGGACAAGGCACCAGCACGACAGCACGAACGCGCCGTCGAACTAATCAAAATGATGTTTGTAAATGTGAAAATTGATGAACACGAGCCCAATAATAGGAATTTTGTAGATAACCCTTCTGAGGTACGTTTAGCATATATACGATGGTACTGGGGAACATAACTGAGGAAAATCCCCAAGGTGATGAGAATCAGAAACACAAAGTTCGATACAGAAGCACCTTGGTACTTCTCACAAGTGTTCTTATCCAATTGAAATGCTTCAAACGACATAAAGAGCAGTCAACGGACGTGACAGATTTTTGAATGATAAGATAATTAGAGTCGCGCAAGTGGCTGCTAAAAATTAATATATGACATTTACTATTGTTATCTACACTAATCCCTTTGTCGAGAGACAATGTCAAGGGGTAGCTTGAGACTTATGCTCTCGTGGTTCTGGAACTTTACCGTGATTTTCAAAAAGTACAACCTTCCCATGATACAAGTTTGGAATCCTGGGACTAAGGTGAAGCATCCTTTTTGGAGGTCTTCGCTTGAAATGGCGATTTCTTTGGATAGCACCGAGTTTAAATCTATGAAAATGTCAAGGGACTTTTTGTATTGACCTTTCATGCTGTCAGTTCCAGCCTTATCAACATCCCAGTGAGAAAGGCCTCCTTCCGATTTGACATGAACATCATCCACCTTGAGAAAGTGGTACTTACAAGACAAGTCTGCGAGTGCCTTGATGTCCATAATCATTTGGGAATCGACACCCATTGCTTCATGTCCGACTTTATTGATGAGCTCGGTGATCTCGTCCAAGTACTTTTTGAACTTCAGCCCAATATTGTGTTCAAAGTCATCTGGTCCATAAGTGTTGTTGTACACCATCCCCGGAGTTATCACCACCGGTACTGGGTATTTACTTGATCTTGACGTAAACACTACCAACTCGGTGGAAACACTCTTGACTTCTGGGGGTTTACGAGCTTCTAATGCCTTGAAGAAAATATCAACCGGAATCCTAAGTTTGGTGGTGAGAGTGCTTCCAACGCTTTGACGTTCATGATACTTAAAAGCAGGGATGTACTTCACCACATGATTCTGTCGAGGACTTGACAATTCTAGGAACCCCACGATCTTAGGATTGGAGGTAATGGTTTGCTTTCTTTTCAATGGCATCGATATCTTATGCTCCGATGTATCGTCGTCATCATACTCTGCTGCCCTCGTATGGTTCTGGGTGGTATACAATTGTCTCCTTTTTGAAATGGAAAGCTTTCGAAGCAATTCTCTCGCAGTATCTCCTTTACCTTCACTAGTAAGATCCTTGCCTAACTGGATCTTTTGGTTAACTCTGCTCAAAAGATTTTGGTAAACAAGCTTAGCTTCGAGCTGGAGATCTTGTTTGTCCACTTCATCAACATGCAGTTCGTGGGGGATCACCCTGACAAATGCACTGGACTCCTCCATCATCACAAACTCGTCCGAAGTTACTGGGTCTATCAGTGGCTGGAATTGCGAGGCTCTTCCCACCACTCTGACCTCAACTCCATAACTGATGGCGGTATCTGGGAAAGATAAATCTTTGACTCTATCGCCAAACGCTTCACCCAAACTACTCATTTTCTTATTCTGAGAAGAATTGGATAACACAGGAGCCAAGGAACCAAACCCTGATCGGATGGGTGTAAGGGAAAAGTCTGCACTTCCGGTTTGGCGATTTTTAGGGTTTCGCTGTCTCATTCTCCGAATACTCTGAAGAAACTGCTCTCTGGCAAGTCCTATAGATGGAGCCACCTGACAGTGCCTTTCGAGATCATGCGACTCGCAAGCACAGTCAAGAAGTCTCTCTGGAAGTGTGAAATCAAAGAACTTTTTGTAAACTACCTTGGGAAAAAACTTCTTTTCGTAAGGAAACCTCAACAAAGTTCCATCCAAAGAGTCTGTATAGTGCTCAAGATCCGTATTCCTGTCATCCAACTCTGCCGGAGTCCATGAGGCATTGTAGTCAAACATGTTGAGGAACTTGTGGAATACCACCGGTCTTTTGGAGTCGCTGACATCTCCCATCACCGTGACCCTGCCTTCAAAAACCACAGAAAACATATCAAAATCCAACGGCTCCGAAGACGTGTTTTGCACAAGCACATACCCATGGATCTCATCTCCCTGCTGGTATTCATATCCCAGAACATCAATGGGTTGAGATAATATGCTGGGCTTACCCCGACCAGTAGTGAAGTAGATTTCAACCTTTAATTTGGACGGAGTTTTCAAGCCCAAATCCGCAAGGCGCTTCATCTTGTGTGTATTGGCAAGAATCGTATCTTCCCACCGGGTAGGGAGCACATCTCCCTGGGGTACTCTCACAGAAGAATCAACATGAAAGTACCCGGCTTCTGGCAGGGAGTCTGTACCCGATGACTCGGGGGTGGTGACATTGTAATATGTCGGCGGACTCTCACGCCGGTCCTCTTGTGTCGGGTTGATGCTCTTGGAAAAGGTTGACTCAAACAACTGGTACGATGGAAGAATATTCCATATCGGCACCTCATCGTAGCTGGGAGAAACTAATGGCCGAAGCTCGGGTCCTGGAAACCCAGCGTTCATCTGGTCCTGAGGGAGGCTCAAGTTGAACCTGTTGGTTCCCTGCGATCGGTCTGGGCGGTCAGACGCTAGGGATGAGGACCTTATGCTAATCCCGTTCCTGCCCCTCTCTTTTTGAGAAAACATCATGGAAAAATGAGCAATACTAGGAACTGAGGAAGCTGTCGGGGTGAAGGTCCGGTGCTGGCCCTGTGTGGTAGAAGGTTTTGGGAATAGGCTTCTAGAGCCAGGGCAATGGTTGGTTGGAAAACGACAAGGAAAACGACTAGTGATAAGTAAGATCAATAAGTAATCAACTTCAAATGTCTCACCTCTTGGAGTCGCGAACGTCCCATCAGGAAATTTCAAAATACACCTTTTTATCACAAACACAAATCCACAACTCCATCGTTGCCATTGATGAGCACCAACTTCTGGCCGTTACGGGTGATCCACCGCCAGGAGAGCGACTCGGTGCCAGGATCGTCCCGGTGGATTGCCGGGATTCTACGAGATTGTGATCGAGAAGCCTTAGATGATCTCAACCTGGTGAACCGCCAGTACGTGCTGGGATGCGAAGATATCGCAGATTTCATGAGTAAGGCATTGAGCGAGAATCAAGTCGACTCTTTGATTGAGTCCTTCGACCATCGGAATAGCATCATCTCCGAAAAGCTCTTGAAATCTCCCGTGAAACTCATCCAGTCCCTTGAACCTGTCAAACAGGAGACCCTCAATTCGCTGCCGTTGAAGCCCTATAATGAAACCACGTTGATACGCAGTGAGATCCGTCCTCAATCTAGTCACCAAAGTGACCAAATCATCATTGCATCCTCAAGTCCTACTCGATCTTCGGTCAATCGTGTCAGTCTAATATTCTCTCGTCAGTCACAAATCACCGCTCCCACAACCACCATTTCTATTCCTGCTAAAGACAGAGCCCTGTTGTTGGTACTGGATGACAAGAATCTGAACCCGGGGCTGGATGACTCGTTGCATCGCATCCAGATGTCTATCAGACGAAAAACCGATGCAAATGCAGAAAAACCTCCCAATGTGGCACTCCACTCGAGCTCGATGTTGAAGACCCCAAACCCTCGTCTTCCTGTGAAAACCCCTATCAAAACCCCTGCGTTTGTGCCGTTGCCCAAAAGGGAGCCGTTAAATATTGAGTCTTCGGCATCAAAGGTCAACAGGAAGTCAATTGCGACGCTATCCAGAGAAAAGCGGCAACCAGTAAGCAAGCCCAATTCCAATTCGGTTTCGGCAGTTAATTTTGCTTCAAAAAGTGTTGACAATGTGTCACCTATGAGGAGAAAGAGGTTTCCGTCTTTTGTTGAAATGGCACCAACAACAACTTCTCCTGTTACTAAAAAGGCGGACAAGAGAAGAAATTTATTTGAGTCAGAAATGGGTCTTTTGAATATCATGCCAAACTCTCCGAAGTTGCACATACGAGATACAGCTGAAGCTAAACATCCTTTGGTGAACAACACTCCTAGTATAGGATTGAGTAAACCACAGGTTTCGGTGTCTCCGTACAGAGTTTCTGCTACACCGGATGCTGATGTTCATCGATCAAAAGTTGACTTGCTTAAGATCCTGGGTGCTCCCAAGCTTTCGACACCAGCTGCCTTAAGAACTCCCTTCAATCCTGAAATGTCAACCACAAATTCCTCTACTCCATCTCCCACCAAACTTGAAGGAAGTATCGCGAAGCCCACAGGTGGTGCTGTTGATGTTTCTGGCTCTGCCAAGGCTCAACATCCGCGATTCATGAGTCCCACTGGTGCTAGTATTGCTAAATCTATCAAAACTTCCAAAGCTACCGATCCAAGAAAGAGTAAATTCATGACTACCACTTTGGGACCCAATACGAGGCTATCGAGGCATACGCCAAAATCAAAGCAATCTCCTGTCAAACAGCTGATCATACCAGAAGTCCCAAAACTTTCAGAGAATCCAAAGATGTCTCTCGACTCCCGAAGGATCCCCCTTTTACAGAAGAAGTCTTTGGTGTTGCCACGGTCTGATATGACTTCGAAGACTAAGCAAAAGCTCGTTATCAGCATGAAGCACGGGAAAACAGCTCCACATTCGAATAGGCCTTCTTCCCTATCGGCTCGAGCATCGTCCACATCAACTGCTTTGAAACACCGGGTAGATACTGCACCAGTTTTGACCACTATCCAGAAGAGAAGGCAATTGCGAGGTAATGCAGTTGCTCTTCCAGACGCGGCTAGACCCCAGATCATACGATCCAAAGAGTCTGACATGGAAAAGGCACCAGCAGTGTCTCCTAAACTTCCAGATAAGCTAAAAGCGATCCACCATGATCCTTCAAGTCCTGTGCTTCCACATATTGGAAGTGATGATAGCTCTGGCCTCGTATTGAAACCATGGGCTGAGATGCCAGTGTTACGGGGATTGGTGAAAGACAGCAAAGAAATGAACCCATACGATATATTTGGGAGTTTGCAACCCTTCAATGCTGATGATGTCTTTCAAAAATGAGGTAGACCGAATGAAGTGTATATTATGTACTATAATGAATGTCTAATTTACAATGCTCTTTTAGCAAGAACGGCTTCCTTATTCCATTTGGATAACCAGTCAGCCGATTCTTGCTTTGGAACTGTATACATCCTCAAGGCGTTGTCAAACAATGGAATCTTGGGGCTTTCTTTCATCAATGCTTCGTTAAGGGCAACATTTTTGCCCACTTTGATCAAACCTCCTGCTTCGGTTTCCAAGAAACACTGCATGTTTTTGACAGAAAAGTTCTTGTGTTTGGGGTCCTCAAAGAAGGAAGCTGGCCTTTCCAAAACCGTTGTTAAAAGTTCATTTGGTGTAGTAAGCTCGCCAATTTCTTGAACAAAATCAAACTCATCAGTAGTAGGATACAACACCATGGCTGGGAAAACAAGCTGTGACTCGTAATCTGCGGGGTCTTCCAAGCGTATGGTTGCTTGTTCCAAGAGCTCTGCCGGTCTTCTGGACTTGATCACCATCATATGTCTTAGCTTCATGGCATGCATGAGGATAGTATGCTTCATTTCTTTCTCCTTTTCTTCCCGTTCTTTTCTCTCCTTGGTAGCCTGGATCTGTTTTTGCTTCGCTACTACTTTTTCCAACACCTCTTTCATGGGTCTGTTTTCGGAATCAATAGTCAATCCATATTCCAACACTTGTTTTGCCTCATCGAGTCTAGCAACTGCAAACAATGCTCTACCGGACCGGTAACAAGCCTTGACATTCTTCTCATCTGCAAGAAGCACCTTCTTACAGTCTTCAATACATCTTCTGTAGTTCTTCAACTCCAAGTTGCAGGCAGCTCTATTCAAGTAAAGGGCCTGATTTATGTCTTTGCGATCACATTCAACGTCCAATCCCTTGGTATAGAACTCCACAGCAGTCTTGTAGTTCTTAGCCTTGTAATGGTCATTTCCTTGGTTCTTGAAGTTTTCTGCGATCTCATGGGGCTCTCCTTCGTATGCTAGACTTCTGAGGGCTTCCAAATTAACGTTATCTCCACCATCACCATCGGTTTCATCCAATGTGGTCATGAAGAACGGTAACCGATTTAACTCTTCCATCACTTCACCGGGGCTCTTCTCGGCATATTCTGTGAGCTGTGGAGGTAATGCAGGCTCACCAGGCTTGGGTATATATCTTCTTTTGTCCCATTCACTCTGATACTCTTCTGTCATCGTTAGTTGAAATTTTTTCTATCGTGGTCGCACAAAATTTGGGTGCAAAAATTATATTTACAGAATATTAAAGTCTATTGGGAATCGAATGGATGCTGAATAACAAGGGGCACTTTGAGAGATAGTGTCTCCCTGTTGACGTTTTTAAGGTTTATTTGGATCGCATAGTATCGTCCCATAAAACACGATTGGAAGTCAGGTATGAGCTTGAAGTCGGTCAGTTGGTACTTCTTCATTACAGTATTGGCAATGTCAATTTTCACCTTGAACTCTTTAAAGAACCGTTTTTGTTGCTGTTGGTTCAGCGCAGTAAAAGTCTCATCCAGCCATGGAATGGAATTTAAAATTGTAGGCTGGTCATGTGAAAGCACCACAGGGTCCTTGATCTTCAACAGTACTGTATGTGTTTTTAAATTCGCTAGACACTTGATGTCTTTTATCGTCTCTTCGTCAAGGCCAATGTCCTCTTTAGGCACAGTGTGGAGTATTTCAGAAAGCTCGCGGGCATACTTTTGAAACCTCTGAATCACCAAATGGTCAAAGTCGTCACCTTCTTTGGAATTGTTTTCGTAGCACATATCTGGATGAACAATCACGGGAATCGGAAGCTTTCTTGATTTAATAGTCAAACAAACCAACTCAACAGATATCCCGTCAAATTTGGGGAGCTGTCCTTGGTCCTGAAAGCTGAAAGAAATCTTCAAGGGAATGATGACTTGTGTTTTAATGCTAGGAGTCAACTCATGGATGTTGTGGTGAATTTTAGGCTCTACCTGATAGTCTTGTTTGGGTGTTGAAAGGGTAAGAAAACCAGCTAATTTGCTTGTGAATAGCGATTTCTTTACTTTGTATGCCATAAACACTTCATACATTGACCTTCGGGTAGGGGCATGGAAATTTTGATAGTACGAGTGTTTGAGTTTATTCATTTCTGCATTGGCCAGATGAACAGTACCAAGTTCTACTGAACTCATCTTGGAACCCAATGACTTGCATGTCTGAATAGCTTCTTCGATCTTGTCAACTTTGCCAGCAAAGGTCAAAATGGCTTCTTCGTTAATCATTTTCCTGTTCAACTGAAATAGAGGATGGTTATAAGGACGAATATGTACAAAGTTTTCCATCAGATTTACTATCACAAAATCATGACTATCACTTTGAAATCCCAAACACTTATAATCTTTGGCCCTACCGATTATCCTCGCACAGACACTGTAAGCAATATTTGAATCTGAGAAGGAGAAGTCTGTTACTGGCATCTTACGCTCAACATTTATACCTTCTTCATTGTTGTAAAGCTTCCTCTTCAAGTTACTAACAATTTCTTCCGTGGATAAACCTAATGATGGCGGTATTTGGAGGTGCTTCACGAATCCGTGGGAACAACCATGATCTAGTAGCTTTTCTGGTAACTTGAAAGCGAAAAACTTCTTATATTTAGCTTTAGGGAGAAACACTTTGTGCTGATTCAACTGCAAATAAGTCCCGTCACTTGGGTCCACCTCATTCACCATTCGGTAATAAGGATTGTGATTATCTGTTTTCAATCGATCAAGAGTAGCATCACTCCAAGACGCATTGAAGTCAAACATAACCAAAAACTTGTGTGAAAATGGTTTGGCTACCTCCCTAGAGTCTGAGCCGACGTTGATAACCCCTTCAAAGGTGACAGAGAACGTATCGAAAGGGATATTCAAGTCTGTCTCATTGGTTACGGTCACATACCCATAAAGGTAATGGCTTTGCTGTAATACTATGGATTCAGGTTTAATAGTCTTGGGCTTCACACCCACCTTTCCCACATTTTCCGTGAACTTGATCTCAATCTTCAATTTCAGAGTTACCTTAATTCCAAGCTTGGGAAGACATCGCAACTTATCCGTATTTGCCAATAATGAGTCTTCCCATCTCGTATACACCGTGTTCGGATCAAGATATTGATTCAGAACAGTAGGCGACAGTACCGGTAAAAGGTCTTCGAAGTATCCACTCATGACTGATTCCTGTGGAGATAAAATGGACGGCGTGGAGGATGAGTTCAAATAGGTCGGTGGTTCAGCTCCAGAAGAATGTTCGTTCTCATTGTAGTCGCTGTCCAAGGGCCGAGAAATCGTCGATTGGTACATCTGGTACGAAGGGAGGATGTTGATCAACAGGTCTGCATCTGTGTCTGTGTCATTATTGCTCTTGGGTCCGTCTTTTTCCCAGAATATGTTTTTAAGGAAATATTGGTGGTCCTTTGCAGGATTCATTTGTGGTATTCTGGAAAGGTTCCGCGATTTGCTATGAGGTGGGACAAAGATGCAAAAAAAAAAATGGAAAGAGGACTAAGAGCCTACGGAGGGAGGGTCTCGTTGTTCAATTTGAATGTGTTTGTGAAAAGTTTGCCAAAATATTTGGGGTAGTAAGTAGTTGAAGTATTACATCCACATGGCTAGCGGTAATTTAACCGTACACGCCCTGGGAATTCTATAGTAAATTACCTACGTTGGTATACTCGTAAAGGGCGTATCTATTTCATGACTTTTAAGGGAAGCTTCACTACAAGTGAATCTCCATACGTTAGCTTTATTGAAACCTTGATGTAGTGCAATCTGACCGAAAAACATGTTTGAGAGTCAGGCACCAATGTCACTTGATCGAAAAACTTGGATCCCTTGGGTCCTCGAACTTTGCTGTTGCAGTTCTGCAAGTTCAAATGTAAGTTGAACGTCTTGGAAACAGAATCATCTTCTGACGTCCAGGGAATTTTGTTTAAATCGCTTGTGCTTCCTTTGCCAGTGCCATCCTCATAAGTCAACGAATGTTCACGGAACACAAACGAGCTGAACTTGGACGACAACAGACCCAAGCACTTGACATCATGGAAGAGTTGTCTGTCAACTTGCATCGTTGAAGCTCCAACTTTCTCTATCAAGTCAGCAATTTGTTTGGTATATTTGTGACAAGGTTTAGTGACTTCTTCCACAAAACACTCATTTTCAGTTTTTGCACCCAACATTCTGAGTTCATCTTTCCTTATAAAAATGTCGTGAGTGAACTCTACAGGAATATGTTCCTTGGATGATCGTAGCGTTCCAACAATAAGCTCAACTGTTATCAGTTTGACAATTGGTTTTGATTTGGGAGAAGCCTGGTGGAGTTTGAGTTTCAATGGGACAGTGAGACTGACGTCTTTATCGTCAACTTCTTTCTTCCGAAACTTTGTTGGTGACACATATGCGATTGAATAGACGGTTTTGGGACTCAGTAGTGAGATTATACTAGAATCCCTCAGTGAAAGCAACGTCTTTTTTTTGTAGGAAATGATGTTCTGGTAGACATTGTCAAAAAACTGGCACGAGTTTGGATCAACATACGCTTTCTTATTATCATCCCTTCCAACCTTGTAAAGCTGGCGGATTTTGGAGTCTGTAGATGACACAGGCGAAAGAGCCATTCCTGAAAACGCCTCCCTTGAGTTGAAAAGTCCCTTTCCTAAGTCGATCACATCGGTTACAGACTTAATAAAAGCGGTGTAGTACCGACAAATTTCCTCTGTATCCTGAGCATACAATGGTGTTTCCAATGGCACTACTCGTATAGGCTGGATCGACTCACTGGCTATCACATACTGGTCTTTGGGTAAAGCAAGACCATAATCATGGGCCTTCCCAATGATTCTGCACTCAACACTGTAACTTATGGAAGTGTCTAGGAAGCACAAATCGTTGACCGCATCTGACTTCATGGACAACAAGGAAGACGGCCTCATGGAGTACTTGGGGAACCCGAGACTCGATGGGAGTAAGGTATGACTATTCAAGTTGTGGATCTCGCATATATCTTCCAAAAGCCTCTCTGGAACTTTGAACGAAAAGAACCGTTTATACTTCACGTGGGGTAGAAAATTCTTCTTGAGCCCAAGAGAGAGAATCGTGTTATCATAAGGATCGGTTTCCCCTTCACACCAGTCATGAGGATCCCCATTATCGGTGGTCAATCTGTCAATATTGGCAAACGACCAGGATGCAAAGAGATCGGTCATATTCAAAAACTTATGGACAACCTTGGGTTTCTGTGTATCTATAAGCCCGCCTTCGTTCTCCAACACCATGACCACTCCTTCGAAAACCACATACACCATATCAAATCCCAACGGTTCTTCCGAGTGGTTTTCTATTGTCACGTATCCATGAATGAAATCACCTTGTTTGAATTCCATTTCAGAAGGGTCAACCTCCTGGGGCTTGAACCCCTTCTGGCATACCCGGCTGGTGACATGGACCTTGATTTCCAAAGTTTTGGGGAGTTTACTATCAGTTTTACTCAAGTTCTTGAGGGTGTGAACATTAGCAAGAATTGTGTTTTCCCATATTTCAATCTGCTCATTTTCGGTCTGAGACGGCACGGGAAATGGGAACTCGGTCAATGATTCTGCTGATGTGTGGGAAAATGGGCTGTGGATTGCACTGAGTGATGTGGCACTGGAAATGGGGGTCCTTTCGTAGATGGGCGGTTCGCGCGAATAGTCCTCCTCCGAAGAATCAAGCGGCTTGGAGATTGTCAGTTGGAACATTTGGTACGAAGGGAGGATGTTGTTGATGAGATCCTCCTCTTCGTCATCAATTGCAGCCTTGCTGTTTTTGCGAGTGCTCATGTTGCAAACGAACTTTTAATTTAGTGGTTTTCTATTGTGTGAGTTCGCGATGATCTGCAGAACCGTTTGAGGGCTATATACGAGATGTATAGAAATATGTTCTTTACTTCAGCAGACTAGACCCGGAACGAGAAGCCGACAGGGAGCCGGAGCCTGATCCTGGGGTTGAGCTGGTGCCAGAATTGGCACCGGGTGGGGGGTTTTGGCCCATCCGCTGTCTATATTGTTGTTGTTGCAACTGTTGTTTCTGCAAAAGCATGCGCTTACGCTGCTCATAATCGAGCTTCGAGGAATTCATATTATTTGCACTCGGGTTGGCCATCACCGGCGACCCGTTTAATCCAATCTGCTGAGCTAACTGCTGTTGCTGTTGCTGGGTCATTCTCATTTGCTGCTGCTGCTGCTGTTGGGTTCTCGCAGCCTTCAACATTTGTAGCTGGCTGCGCTCTTGAGGAGTCAAGTTCGCTACCGGTTGGCCTTGAACGTTTCGTTGTTGCATCTGCTGGTTGGAAGCACCTTGTTGAAGCCTCTGTTGTTGCTGTTGCTGCTGTTGCTGCTGTTGCATTTTCTGCTGTTGCATTTTCTGCTGCTGCTGGATATTGGCCAAGTACGACGCGGCCAATTTTGCTACCTGATCACGGGGCAAGTTGGGGTTCTTCTGTTGAATAGAATTGATGATAGCAGATACTTGTGCAGGAGCAAACTGGATTCGTTGCTTATTGTTGCCAGAAGGTTGTACTTGTTGGCCTGTACTTTTGGGCATATTGGCCATCTTATTGTTAACAGGAGGTGCACGAGCTCCCATCATAGGACTAGCAGAAGCAGCTTTGGTCAACTGTGCTTGCTGGGCTTGTGGTGAGGCGATTGCCTGGTTAAGGGCCATAACGTCGGGCCCAGGTGGCGATACTCCTTGTCCATTGGTACGTTGTTGAAATTGTTGGTTCTGCATCATCCTCCGCTGTTTCTGGATCTGGATCAACTTTTGCAACTGTTCCGGGGTGTATGAAGTGCCATTGGGAGCCACCGGGATTTCTTCACCACCGGTAGCATTTCTATTCATCGCCTGAAGCATTTGGTTGGAGTTGGGCCGGTTATCCACGTTATTCGTAGGAGAAACTTCGGCACCAGGGGCTCCAGAATTAGGAGGAATGGCCCCAGGAGGTTGGGGTCTTCCTCCTATACCTTTCTGCTGTTTCTTCTGTTGAGCCACGGCTGCCATCATCCGATTACGGGTGGCTTGTTGGTTCAAATAGGCTTCTTGGATCGACTTATCTCTGTCGTGCTTCAACTTCGAAAGCTCAGCCGGACTAGGAACCTTGTCATTTTTAGGGGTGGTAGCAACTTGTTGAGCAGCAAAGTCGGTGGCACGACGACTATTCATCTTAGCCATCTGGTTTTCTCTTTTTCTCATACACTTTCTCATGGCATCAAACATTGAAGCCCATCTCAACCGACGATGACCTCTTTGTATCGAGTCATTTCCAATTCCCAACGGAGAAATTCTCCTTTTGGTTGTGGACTGGGCTCTGTGGGCTTGTTCGAGCCATTGCTGCGCTTGGTACGAGTATGGACCTTTCATGTCACCAAACTGAAACTTCTCGTTTAACTGTATGTACCTCTCAAAGCACTGCCATGGGGTTCGCCTTTCGATATTGGATTCATAACGTTTCATGCTTGCCACAGTCGACAGAAGGTGTTCGGCAATCAAATCCCAATTAAAGCAGAATTCGGCCACATAATGAATCAAGTATTTATCATCTTGAGGAAGCCAGATAGTGGGAGACCGATACTCAATGTTCTTGATCAATGGAGGCTTTGGAGGCTTCAAGTAATTGAACCTCCTGTGGCCTTGTGTACCGAATAAACCCTTTTGGTAGCCCGGTATTGCGTATGCCTTTGGCTCTATATGTTTTTCTTTAACCAAAATTTTGAAGAACCCGTCATCCTCCTCGAAAGGATACAAGAGTTTGGAAACGGGAATTATGTTATCAGAGTCTGGTTTAAGGGCCTGTGAGCCGAGATTGGGTAACTCTTCTTCGTCAAATGCAGTGAATTTTGGAAGGTTTCTGATGATGGACAGCTCAATTTTTTGCATATCATTCAAATCAAGGTGCATTTTGAAAATACTTGATTTATCTTCCACCTTCGCCGGAATTGATATTTCATGCTTGTTAATCTCTTCAAGAGCATTGTCGCCTTCAGGTGGGATCTCGAGAAGTAATTTCACGTCAATAGCAGCAGCGTCAGGGGTTTCTGCCCTGATAGTAGGAACTGGATCAGGTTCTACAGCAGTCTCTTCTTCCTCTTTCACCTCCCCGGTCTTTTCCAACTCTTCACCAAGATCTTCCTGTACATCGACTTCCATTTTTTTGTCTTCTTCGTAGGCAGTTTCTTCGACAGCGACTTGTTCTTGTTCTTCTTGTTCTGGTTTGTCCTCTATGAATTCAATGGGTTTCGTCTTTATACAAGAGGCTTCCTTTCCATAAGTCCAGTAATCCAGAACTGCCTGAGCAATGGATACACAACAAGCCTTTTTGTACTTGGTCTGCTCTTTAAAGTCAATAGCCATCCAATGGGCCTCTCTTATCAAATGGTCCCAGTGAGCTTTCAATGGTTTCTTGTTCTTTCTCAACATAGGATCTTGGTATTTGAGAGGCTGCCGAAGCGACCACTTCCCCTGTCTCTTCAACTCCTCTATTCTCGAGTATAGCACGGCAATTTTTCCCTCCAATAGAGCCAGCTCAAAGCTGTCTGTTGTCAAGGTTTTGTGAGCTCCAGGTAAGAGTTTGATTAATGGTAAGGTTTGAGTCAAATAATACAACTCCGCCAACGAAGAAACATTGTGAGGAGTGGTGGGATAGTGCTGTGGTACGGCCAATATATTCACATCAGACAAGTCCTTAGAAAGGATTTGTGAGTTGGTATTCTTGATAGAGTCTTTGAAGTCAGCAATAAGTCGAGGTTTCTTGGCCTTCTTCGAGCTGTCAGGCTTCGAACTAGACACCTTTCGTTTGGCAGACTTGTTTGTATATAGACCTTCATTGATTAACTGAGAAGGATCTGATTCAATTGCTGATAAATCAAGTAGCTTGGTGATATCACCGTGGACTTTGGCAAACTCTTCCAGTTCTAAGTTGAACTTTCCAAGCGCCTGCAACAACGGATCCTTGGAAATATGATGCAACTCCTTGAGCCTCTTGTTCCGTAAATGAACAAGAGCCTTCATGTCCTCAGGGAAGAGCTTTGACATGATGCTAGACCTTGTTAGCGCTGTTGGCAGAATGTTTTGTTTGTGGGCGCGCGCATGATAAACGGTGTGGATATCACGTGATCGGGACCATGAAAAAAATACCCCAACGCCGGCTTCGAGGACAGGGGCTTACCACTCGGGACGACGAGTTGTTGCACCTGAAGCTGGGACTGTGGCAAGGACATGGAAAACAAAAAAAAATGCGAATTCTGTGGATCGAACACAGGACCTTCAGATTAACTGGGACTGGAGTGTAACTTCAGTCTGACGCTCTCCCAACTGAGCTAAATCCGCATATTTTATAAGGAAAATCTAGATAGAGAAATGACATGGAAATGTTGAAGGCATTTTGTATATTTGCAAGTATCAGTATTACATGCATACCTTTAAGGTCCTTGACTTCACACAATCTTAGGCACTCTCCGTACCCGCCTCGAAGTATCTCTTTCCACTTCCTCCAAGTATCTTCTTCCTTTCAATACCTGTAAAGAGAGATGCTCGCCTGTGCACGACTACGCGCTCGTCTCCAAAAGACAAGCAACACATTCCCTCAAACCCAACTACATGAACTTCGAATCAATCAATAGCCTGGACCTCAATGGGGCCTTTAAAATTGCCAATTTGGCTGTGGCTGTGTTAACTGTGCGTCCCATTACCTTCCCAAACTCGTTTTTCGTTGTTGTTCACCATACTAACTTTATCTAGGCGTTGTCAGGATTATCCCAGTTGTTCCATGGATTGTATGTATCACCCTGATTTTTCAAAAAAATGCCCTTACTAACCCGCTCTAGCCAATCTTTTATCATCGGGATATACTTAGTGGCATTTGGTGCCGGAATTGGGTTTCTTGAATTCAGAGTTCCTGCTGAAGCGTATGCGTACGGATCATTCATGTTCTCTTTTATCGGAAGAGGAGTGTTCTACACATTTTTGAGTGCCAGTATCAGGGGCCACAGCATCTTCCGGTTGTTGGCGGCGTTGATTGTGTTTCTCGTGGGAGTGGTGTACATTGCGTTAGAAGCAATTCCAAGTATCTCGCCTCCTGACAACATGAACACTGAAGGAATTTCCATCGGTAATGAAGAAGACATTATCTAGTGAATGAGACTCACCCGGGGTCAAACAGAAGTAGCCCAGTACTATATCTTTCTTTAATCTAAAATACCATATTTCCAGCTGCAAATCTCGAGTCGCAATTTGAACCTCTGCGCTTCAAACATATTATCAGATTTGTGGAGCAACCGCAGTTCCCTCGTTAAAAAACGACATGGAGGCATTTGAAATCCCCCGAAAGTCCTTCACAGCCTTCCGATTATCGTATCTCAGTACTCCTGAGATTTCTACCACCTCGAAATCGGTGGTTCTCGGGAAGTTCCCGTATATCTGGTTTGAAGATGAGGGCCATGGGCTATTGAGTGAAACCGTTAGAAGTGCCAAAGATAAGGCCAGAAAGGCGTTGGACGAGTCCATTAGCTTGTTCAACCAAGGAAGTCTTGATAAGAACAACAAGCATTTGTGGAGCAAGTACAAGACACGCGTGGAGTCTATGTTGACAGAGCTTCGTCTCCAGAACAATAATATGAAAATGGATCTGGATCTGGACTCCGAAGCTGGTGAAATGTATGGTAATGAGTATGATGATGGTAGTGGTATCACACCTACGAGTTCTCCTGGTGCAATTGGTGATGTGATGACCAGTCCACGGGTGTTGGCCAGTAGTGGTTCAGAAGACGAGTTTGAGGTTCAACCCATTGTTGACATTTCTAGTGTCAATAGAGTGGCCACAAACTATACGTACACAGAAATGGAATCGGCTTTAACAGAAGCAACGGTTGTGATGAGGCAAAGTAGGAGGTTCAAGAAAAAAATGTCGGTGGCCACACCAGAGCCTATAATTGGTTTTAAAGAAGATATCGTTAAAGCAGAACGAGAGCATCGGAGGTTGAGAAAGAAGTTCAAGAAGTTGGCTAGTCGTTCCACTGGTAGGGCGAAAAGGTCCACCAAGAATTTGGGGTATAGAATTTACCGGTCGGTAATCAGGTCTTATAGGGTGGGGGAAGTGATTTTGAAGGAAAGAGTGCTTTTAATGGTAAAGGAAACGGTGAACGTTAAAGTCAATAAGTTTGAAGAGAATGAGAATTGTGACACAAGGGTTAATGAGAGATGGCGAGAGGTTTCCATCGTGCTAAGGAAACTTGCTGGTGGTGCCGTTGCTTTGCAAATGTACAAGATTGATGACAGGAAAGAGCTGGAGCCTCAACAGTGGGACGAAGAAAAACCTGAGGTTGAGTATGAATTGGACCTGGAAGTCACGGCAAACTTTTACAGTGTGGTAGATAAATCCCTTAGTATCAACATCCAAAAAAGTCACTGGTGTACTATCAACATCATCAAATTCCACAGCCAGACAAAAAGTGTACGTTGGTTGTACTTCATCAAGCAGGTCCTTGGCCATACTTTCCCCCTGGACTTCAATATCCATATTCCAGATATTGGCCTCACTTTGGATATATCGTTACCTGAGTCAATGATCATAGACACGTTACGGGAACTGAAACATATGAAGATAGAAGTGCTCAGAAAGGACTATAAAGTGACCCATTCTCCTTTGATTCAGCACCTCTTAAACGAAATATTCACTAAACTTGGTGAAAGCAATGATCCCAAGGTGATTCACTGGTTGAGCACTGCCTATCGGCCGTGGTTTTGTTTTAGAAACTATGACCGCTTAGAGTGGCCCTCTGATGAGAGTGAAATGTTTTTTATCCAGAACCAGGTGTTCAGGGACTATTTCCAGTTAGAATTGAGAACTATTGTTTCTGAAAAGAGATTTGTTGAAATGGAAAGTATCCGTCTTGAAGAACCAACTCCCATTGAAGGTTTTTTGTCGAGGCTTACAAACTCTACTGGAAATGAGCAGAGTATCATCCGAGCATTCTACAAGGTTCAGTACTTCAGTACGTGTGATAACTTACTCTTCTTTACGAAATACTATCGCAGCACTCCCCCTGCAGTAAAAATGGAAGGTATTGAAGTGTTTGAAAACTGTGAATATGAGTTAGATGACCTGAACCACATCGATTGGCTCGACTCCACGAAGTTTCTAATGAGGGACCGTGATGCTCTTGTAGAGTTTCAACGAAGGGGCCAACTCATCGTCAAAGCGGACTCGGTTATCGACCTTACGTCAGTTGTGGACATTCAACCTGTTGAGCTCAAGAAAATCAAGTTGGCACATCGAGTGCTTTTGGGAGTCCTATGGTATAGTAATGCCAGTTTGGTGGATGATGAGTTCATTACCGACTCTGTGTTTGAAATCACCACCCTCAACGGAAGCAAAATTCGCTTGCAAGCTCCTAACCGATTGGTAAGAGATGAGTGGATCAGGCGGTTGACTGACATAAGAAACTATTGGGACATAAAGAAACAAGACCAGACAGAAAGGTTCATCCAGTTGAGAAAGCGGAACATGCAAGCATTGAAAATCAATGAGTATGTAGATTCCAATATCAACCAAGAGTATAATGTGGTGGCCTTGGAGAGATCACAGGCCGATCCATATCTTCATGCCATTGATAGTCTTGCCATTTGCAACCATTTGATGATGAGTGGGTACTTATACGAGAAGTACAAAAAACACTCCAACTTCAACCGGTTTTTTGTGGTTTTAAGCTCGGGAAAGCTAATACTATACTCCTTATATAAACGGTCTAAACTTACTGGAGAATGGAAAACTGTTCCTTACTTTCACCATGAACTCACTATCGCACTACCTGACTGCTATGTTTATTCAGGTTTCCAAACCGAGCTGGACTTGGTTCAAAGTCACCAAACCCTTGATTCTTCGCATCCTGGTTATAAAGCCTTACCAAGAATCTATGTGGATGGGTGGAAGTCCCAAGAGGAAGAGTCTGTGAGATGTTTCACTCTATGGTTTGGCAGGAAAAGGAGTTTGCGAACTAAACATGATAAGAGCATCGAGCCTAGGAACCCGAATCTCGTTAAAATCGTATCGAAGTTGGGGATTACAGGTCAAAGTATTGTTCTAATGGCGAGATCTCGACAGGAACGAGAGATGTGGGTGTCAAGAATTGATGCGGAGATTGATCGGTATTCTAGATTATATAATTTGTAGAGAAGACTATAGTGCATTTATTATAAGACGAACTTATGACACACAGACGAAAGTATCTGGGCTTAAATATTTTACAAGTGGGGCAGGACTTATATATTAACAAATTAAATGCTATTCCAGGCAAAAACCAGTCCGAAGTGCACTCACCTCAAGTGGGCAGCATCTGGAGGGCTCGAAACACCGGGAGGTGGTCCTGCTGGTGCTGGAAACTCGTGCGAGGCGGCGGCACCAGTGTAATATTCTGGTGGAGCTTGGTTAAAGCCCTTTTCTCCAGTTCCAGCTGGATACTGACCCATAGGATATTGTCCCTGTTGAAATTGTCCTCGCGAGAACTGTCCCATTGGATAGTTCATTCCAGGTGGGGGTTGTCCCGGCGTATAGCCCTGTGGTGGTGCTCCAGCATAGTAATTGGCATTCATCTGGGCCGTCAATAGCCTCCTTCTCCGTCTTCTCATTAGAAAGTAATAGATACAAATCAGTACAAACAATGGGATAAGCAAGAGCAAGTACATGTAGTGCAGGGTATTTGTACCACCATCTCCGTAGTAAAAGATCATTCTCTTGTCAGCAACAACTGGCACTTTTGTTTAGCAAATTTCTAGGTGCAAGAAACCTCAATATTTTTCACGCAAATGCATCTCAAAATAAACGTGAGTCATTGAGACCGGTGAGAGTATTAGAGAGCTGAACATAAGAAGAGTCATTATTTTGAGAGGTTGGGCTATTTCTGGGAATACGGGGGGATCCTATTTGTGTTGTTATGATCAAAGAGATCATAATTTAGAAGGACTTATTTGGTGCGGCTCCCAAGAGGCTTTCAAGAGGCTTTGATTCGTAATTGAAATCATATCCGCGAACACGCAGATATGGGGACAAGATGAGACCCATGATATCATGGGAAAAAATCATGTCCATGCCTTGTATTAGTACAGTATTAATGCAATTGTAGCTATTAAGACTAATATTTTTTTTGGAGATTTTTATCACGGTATTACCCACTCTTGAATACTTCTTCTAAGAATAGTGGTTTTTGCAATTTCTAAAAATTCATATTGGGTATTTCTGTGAAATATTTCAATATCTCTGAAGACCTGCTTTACTTTTGCAATAAATCAACCGAGTGTGAACAACTAAACCTCATAAAACAAAAACGGTAAACAAAGTTCTATTCCTCGAAATGCATGCAAATGTATTTTCTCTATGTAAAACGAGTCCTTATCCAAATATCACACAAGTAACCCTTTGATTTTTTCTTCGTCCGAATCACAGTCTGAGTCCGAGTCATAATCTGACTTCAAGTCAGCCTCCGTAGCTGGCCCACTTAGTAGCAAAGAGTCATTGACGTTCAATGTCGACATTATATCTTTGATTGTATTATAATCCGGTTCAGAATACCCAAAGCCTACATTCAACATTGGGTTTTGGATGCTGGTGGCACTCGATGAGTTCCCGCTTGATGGCCTTTCAAAAAATATGTTCACCGAGTCGTCTAGGACCGAGGCTCTTGTGTTGGTGCTAGACCCATCCATGTGTAAAGTAGAAGTGAGAAACTCCGGGGGAAATGCAAACGACAAGTCGGAAAAACTCACAGTCCATTTCTCTAAGATCGAAGACGCATTGGACTTTAACCAGATGCTTTTGTCGTGGCTGTGAATTCGTATAAGATTGTTTTCAAAAGAGATATCAGCGTTGGCCATCTCGCACACTAGAGCATTTTCCTTTGACTTCAAAACCACAATATAGTTCTCAAACAAGTAAACGGTGGCTTGGGTCCAGTCTTCTTCTTCAAGGCATCGCACTTGAAGCATATCAGCCAACCGCAAGGTTCCTAACTTTACTAGGGTCGTTAGAGTAATTTTCAGGTAGTTGCTCAAAAGATGCTGCAAAAGCTCGTCCTGCAACACCTCAAGCGAAATATACTTATGGGCATGCATTTGGATAGTATCATTGTTGGCGGTGGATTCGGTAATACTGGGGGATGGAGACCGTACCGAAGTCTGGTACGAGAGCCACAGCTCAACACGATCGAGGTGTGAGGGAAAATCAATAGGAGGGCCCAAATTCCTTGGGGTGTTGAAGTAGACTTCTGGTAGAGGTTCGTAGTTAGAGCGAGATTGGACGTAGCTAGTGCGCGATACGGGGGCACAACCAGGATTGGCGACGCCCACGCGAGGCTCGAGGTCGGCGCCCGCGCCGTGGCCCATAGCCCCAGAACTTGAAATGGCTGCAAAAGATGCAAGCACCGCACTGTCTCTTCGAATAGCGTACGACCCACGCATCAACTGGGTTCTATCGTACTCCATGGACTTTACTATGGCAGAAGTAAGAAGTCGGTCGTGAAGGGAGGTATCGAGAAATTCAACTCGGTTACTGGATCCCAAGTGTTCACAGTATTCCCCTCGGCACCGGGGCAAGATCAAGTCTGCCAACCGAGAACGAGAAACCGTGAACGTCGACAGCTCTAACAGCTTGTTGACCGAGCACTCCACAGACACGTTCAAGCACTGCTCATGGATGAAGTCACCACATCTGAGCTCAATTATGTTCTCGTCTGCCAATTTTGTGTAGATCAACTCTTCGCAGATAAAGCATTTGCTCAGGCCAACTCCCGGGCGGTAGCGCGAGAATTGAGGCCGCAGCGGGAGATGCCCCGACAGATAGGGTTTGACGGGTGGGCCTTTCTTGGGGGTGGTGAATGGTGTGGTTGCGGATGAGGCTGTGGCTGCACTGGACATAAATGATGATGCACTTGAAAGTGGCAGGTGTGGTGAGCCCGAATAGTAGGGCTTGAGGGTGTGAATCGAGTCGTCACGACGCGCGGTGGGAAAAAAGGTGGTAGGGGTGGCGGTGAGTGAGAGCGGGCTGAGGGAGCTGGGGAATATGCTGGGTAGTAGCAGGTGGTCAGATACTAGTGGAGCTGGTTTTGAGAAGGCCCTGGTCAATTTCTGTTTGAATCTATGGCGGTGAGATACCGGGAGTGAGGTTGACGTTGGTGGGGCCACCAGGGATACTAGACTGGAAAGCATATTGTGGGAGTTGAGATTTGGGGAGATTTGGGATTTTATACAAAGATCCACTCCGCTGGTAATTTGCAGTCAATGTGGTACAAATAGAGCGGCTCAGGCTGGATCAAACACGCCCCGGAGATGGTTGGGAGCATGTCGGTATTCGCACACCCCGGACTCATTCCCCCGACCGGAGAGCACTTTCCCGCGTTGCGACAGCGAAAATTCAATCCTCTTTCCTATTTGTTTCCTTTTCAAACTACAGAGACATGATGTTTAATACCAGAGCTTCTCGTTCACTTGTGGGATCGGTGGGCATGGCCAAGAGAACCTTGGCTTCTGCTTCCACATCCGTTTCAATTGAGTTACCTGCTTCTTCTTTCGAGGGTTACAACTTGGAAGTTCCGGAGTTATCGTTTGACACCGAAAAGGAAAACTTGTTACAGATGTACAAGGATATGGTGTCTATCAGAAGAATGGAAATGGCCGCCGATGCTCTTTACAAGGCGAAGAAGATCAGAGGGTTCTGCCACTTGTCGGTTGGTCAGGAAGCCATTGCTGTTGGTATTGAACATGCCATCACTCCTCAAGACACTGTCATCACTTCGTACAGATGTCACGGGTTTGCCTTCTTGAGAGGTGCTTCTGTCAGAGAAGTATTGGGAGAGTTGATGGGTAAGAGATCGGGTGTTTCTTACGGTAAGGGTGGTTCCATGCACATGTTTGCTCCAGGATTTTACGGAGGTAACGGGATTGTGGGAGCTCAAGTTCCTTTGGGAGCTGGTTTGGCCTTTGCTCACCAGTACAAGGGTGAACCCAACGCTACCTTTGCCTTGTACGGTGATGGTGCCTCCAATCAAGGTCAGGTGTTTGAAGCCTACAACATGGCCAAGTTATGGAACTTACCATGTGTTTTCTCCTGTGAAAACAACAAGTACGGTATGGGTACAGCTGCCGCTAGGTCTTCTGCTATGACTGAATACTACAAGAGAGGTCAATACATTCCAGGTTTGAAGGTCAATGGTATGGATGTCTTGGCTTGTTACCAAGCTTCCAAGTTTGCTAAAGACTGGTGTGCCAGTGGTAACGGACCTTTGGTGTTGGAATACGAAACCTACAGATATGGTGGTCACTCCATGTCTGACCCTGGTACCACCTACAGAACTAGAGAAGAAGTGCAACACATGAGATCCAGAAATGATCCAATTGCTGGTTTGAAGTTGACTTTATTGGAAAAGGGCATTGCTTCTGAAGAAGAAATCAAGGATTACGACAAGGCTGCCAGAAAATATGTCGACGAACAGGTTGCCATTGCTGAGGCCGATGCTCCACCAGAAGCCAAGATGGACATTTTGTTTGAAGACGTCTACGTCAAGGGTAGTGAAATCCCAGAATTGAGAGGTAGAATCTCCGATGACACCTGGAACTTCGCAAAGGGTACTTTCTCTAACAAGGTTTACTAAGTCTTCCCCTCCACTTCTGTAAAAAAAATTCATTCATAGTAAGTTTATATAGTTTTATTAGAATACTCACTGTCATAGACAAGCGTTTTAGTGCGCACTGTTTTGTCGCGATGAGATAATATAATCGTATATCAAATGTCAAACCTTAATAACGTGGTACAGCCTGATCGGCGAAGGCTCGAGGATACCACAGACTCAACACCACAGTCCATAGTTGGTCACATATCTATGAAAGAGATGGGTTCCCATGCGGTTTCCGAAAACCTCAATTCTGAGACCAAGTCGGTGAGCAAGGCCAATAACATCTCCACCACAAACACTCGATTCCAGGCTAGCTCTATAGCTTCCATCGAAAACCTATCATACTACCCAACCACAGATGAGAACTCTGATTTTTTGAACGATCTTATGATCCAAGTACATCACAAATTGACTGACGCTAGTCATGATACGATTGTCTCTGCCACAGATGTGATTCTCGAGATTTTGAAGAACGACGAAATGTCTGTAACTGATAAGCGACAGGAGATAGACCTGCTCTTAGACACCAAGGTGACAGATGTTGAGCTCAACGACTTGATTAATTTGGGTAAGAAAATCACCGATTACCGTCAACATGAGCAGGCTGATGACAACCAAGAAGGTATGGCAATTGTGTTTGAGGAAGACGAGGATGAGGAAGAGAACGTCGCGGAGGCAGAAGCCGCTGTGGAAGAAGAAGATGATGAGTTCCGGTCGCCCGTACCAGTGGCTGAGTCGACTGCTGGTGAAGGTATAAATGATACAGCAGTGCTAAAAGGTACTACTCCAGGATCACTACTATTGTTGAGCCAGATAGGAGACGACTATATTGATAAGAAACTTGTTGATGTCGAGAAGGATGTGGTGGATGATTTCAAGGTCAAGTTAGCGGACTTGGAGTTGAGTGGCTCAGACTTGGAAGGAGAACTTCTGAATATAGTAAAAGATACACAGATTCTTCACCACCTTTTGGACAACAGGTGGAAGATTGTGTTCAAAATGAAGTTCATACGGTCGGGTTATGAATCCATCAAGCAACAGCTCGTGGACCTCAACTTGTTGGAGTTGATCGAAGAGTTCAATGAGCTCATGGCTGCGAACAATAAGAAAAGACGGTTGTCTGAGGACAATGTTGACAAAAGCACCAAGTCCACCAAAATAGAGAAAAGAATCCCAAAGAGAATTGATCTCGAGGCCTTGGTGTTTGACCAAGGTGCTCATCTAATGGCATCTACGAAGGTGAAACTTCCTAAAGGCTCTTACCAGCAGAACAAGAAGCTCTACGACATTGTGAGTATTCCAGCTCCTGAAATTCCAGATGAGGTAATAGAAGCCAGAAAGAATCTTGTTCCTATAACAGACATGCCTGAATGGGCCCAGGAAGCATTTCCCTCTGGAGAAACTGCCACATTGAATGTGGTGCAATCTAAAATATATCCTATGGCATTTAAAACCGACGAGAACTTGTTACTTTGTGCTCCCACAGGGGCTGGTAAGACAAATGTGGCAATGTTAACAATACTTCGGACTATTGAAAACTTCAGAACTGAGTCGGGACAAATCAAGTTGAACGATTTCAAAATGGTGTACATCGCCCCTTTGAAAGCTCTTGTTCAAGAACAAATGCGAGAGTTTCAAAGACGTCTCACAGCAAATTACGGTGTGGTGGTCAACCAATTATCAGGAGACTCCAACTTGACCAAGCAGCAGATTGTGGAGACCCAACTTTTGGTGGTGACCCCTGAAAAATGGGACGTTATAACCAGAAAATCTACCGATTTGTCCTATACAAACCTCGTACGGTTGATTGTGATCGATGAAATCCATTTATTGCACGATGAAAGAGGCCCAGTTTTGGAGAGTATAGTATCAAGAACCTTAAGACAAGTGGAGGAGACCGGCAACAATGTGAGATTAGTAGGGTTATCTGCCACATTACCCAACTTCGAGGACGTTGCTAGATTTTTGAGAGTCGACATGGAAAAAGGATTATTCTTCTTTAATGCTACCTACAGACCATGTCCTTTAGAGCAGAAATTCATTGGTATCAAGGAGAAGAAGGCCATCAAGAAGTTGGCTGCCATGAACGAAGCTTGTTATGAGATGCTCACAGATTCTATACTCAGTAACCAACAGTTGATCATATTTGTCCACTCAAGAAAAGAGACGTTCAAAACTGCCAATTGGCTCAAGAACAAGCTTGAAGAGGAAGAAAAGCTAGATTCCTTTTTGGGTTCAAGCTTGGGTGTCAAGGAAATCTTGAAACTGGAAGCGGATATGATGTTAAACAAAAATCTACAGGAAATTCTTCCCTCAGGATTTGGTATTCATCATGCTGGATTAAACAAAGATGAAAGAACCGTGGTTGAAGATTTGTTTGCCCAGGGACATATTAAGTGTCTTATTTCCACTGCTACTTTGGCCTGGGGTGTCAATCTTCCTGCCCATACAGTTGTTATCAAGGGAACCGAAACATACTCTCCAGAGAAGGGAACATGGGTTCAACTTTCTCCGCAGGATATTATACAAATGCTTGGAAGGGCTGGAAGACCTAGGTACGATAAAAGTGGTGAAGGTGTCATTATTACATCCCAAGATGAAATTCAATACTACCTTGCTATTTTGAACCAACAACTCCCCATTGAGTCTCAGTTAATGGGGAAATTGGCTGATAATATTAATGCTGAAATAGTGTTGGGAACCATAAGCTCATTGGAAGATGCCGTGAATTGGTTAAGCTATACTTATCTCTACATACGAATGCTCAAATCTCCTGCCCTATACCATGTGGGAGCTGAATATGGTAATGATGAAAACTTGTACTACAAAAGACTCGATTTGGCTCATTCGGCGTTGATGGTATTGCAAGAGAACAATTTGGTGAACTATAACCCGGTTCTGGGAAATGTTAAAGCGACCGAATTAGGAAAAATAGCTTCCCATTACTATATCAACTATCGTACAATGAACATGTACAACAATCATCTTAAGCCCTGGTTGACGGAGATTGAACTCTTGAGTATCTTTGCATCTTCTGGAGAGTTCAAGTTTATCCCCTTGCGCCTGGAAGAGAAGTTGGAAGTTTCTAAACTTTACGAAAAGGTACCAATTCCAATCAAGGAAAACTCGACTGATCCGCTTGCCAAAGTCAATGTTTTGCTTCAAGCATATATATCACGCTTGACACTTGAAGGGTTCGCCTTGATGGCAGATATGATCTACGTTACGCAGTCTGCCGGAAGACTATTGCGAGCCTTACACGAGATTTGCCTCAGAAAGAACTGGGCTTCAGTTTCCAAAACTACTCTTGATTTGTGCAAGATGGTAGAGAAGAGAATGTGGCTAACGAACTCCGCCTTACGGCAATTTGGCTCTTCTGTCTCCAAGGAAATCGTTAGAGCCACCGAAAGCTCTCATGTTCCCTTTGTCAACTACTTCACTTTATCTCCTGAAGCGTTGGCAGAGGCTGTCAATTTAAAAGGGAATAGTCGAAGAGTTCACGAGCTACTCAAGCAGTTCCCTAGATTGAACTTGAGCTACTATGCTCAACCACTCACACACAACTTGTTGAGAGTTCAAGTCGAGGTGGTACCCAATTGGGATTGGAATCCTTCTGTTCATGGGAACTTTCAGGATTTCTTATTATTTGTGGAGGATTGTGATGGAGACAAAATCCTCTATAGAGACAAAGTCTCTTTCGCAAGATCATCCGAGAACAAAGAGTTATTAGTGGAGTTCACTTTACCTTTTTTGGATCCTGTACAACCTAATTACTTTGTCAGCTTCATTAATGATAGGTGGTTACACTCTGAGTATAAAATCCCGTTGATGATTTCAGACTTGAAGATCCCCAAAAAGTCTCCTAATTTCACCAAACTTCAAGACCAACCAAATGTCTTAACGTCTGAGGTGAAAGTCCCTGACTTTATTGAAACGTTTGACTTCAAGTATTTCAACAAGTTCCAGTCTCAGGTGTTCCAGTCTCTCTACAACACAGATGATAACACCTTTATTGGAATGTCTAAGGGGTCAGGGAAGACTGTCTGTGCTGAGCTTGCCATATTGAGACACTGGAAGAACAATAAAGGAAGAATTCTCTATTTGCAGCCAAATGAGCAAGCAGTTTATAAACTCACAAAGAGATGGAAAAAGCTATACAGATCGATAGGAGGCGAAGGGAAGGAGGTCGAAAAACTCACAGGTGAGTTGGCTACCGATCTTGCTATACTTTCGTCGAATCATTTGATTTTGAGTACTCCAGAAGTGTTTGATTTCGTATCAAAGAGATGGAGACAAAGAAAGGCTGTTCAGGCCATTGAAATGGTTATTTGTGATGATGTACAGCTAATTGGTTCTGGCTCGTCCGGTGTGTCTTACGAAAATGTTGTTGCAAGGATGAAGTTCATTTCTTCTCAACTTGAAGTAAACATTCGTTTCGTAGCTTTATCAAGCACTTTGGCCAACGGAAGGGATTTTGGTGAATATCTTGAATGTCCCAGACAGTCTATCTACAACTTTGAGCCTTCTGAAAGATTCCACAAGATTCAGGAAATCGTCATCCAGGGCACGAATTTTGGTGATAACAGAACCATGCTTTTGAATAGCATTAAGCCATCATATACCTTTTTGAAGAACAATACTGGGCAAGGAAAATCCCTTTTGTTTGTGTCTTCAAGAAAAAACTGTGTTGAAGCCGCTTACAACATTGTTCAAAATGCTGAAAATGACAGTTGGAAGCTACTACGGTCAGATGTCGCTCTGATAGAATCGTACCTTAATAAAGTCAAGGACCATACATTGAAGGAGCTTTTAAAAAGAGGTGTTGGAATATTCTATCCGGATATGAACTCGGTTGATCAATTGGTGGTGGAAAGACTTTTTGAAAGCGAAGTGCTTACTGTGTTAGTGGTTGCAAAAGATTGTGCAAGCTTCTGTCCCCCAGCAAATCATGTAGTGGTCTTAGGAACTGAAGAGTACTATGGGAGAGAACACAGGTATGTGAACTTTCCCATTAACACCGTATTGGAAATGATTGGATGTTGTTCTGACGAAATGGGCCAGTCGAAAGTGATGATATTCACTAGAAATGCCACTATGAACCACTATAGCAAGTTTTTAAACGAAGGATTACCTTTGGAAAGTTACTACAATTCGATGATACACGATATTTTCATCACTGAAGTTAGTAACAGAACATTCAAAGAAAGACAAGACTGTGTTGATTGGTTGACATTCACCTATTTCTACCGAAGATTACAAATGAACCCCAGCTTCTACGATGTCAAAGATACTTCGCATATGGGAATATCAGAATTCTTATCGGATTTAGTGGAAGAAACCATCAAGGACCTCACTGACAACAACTTGATCGAGTTGGAAGAAGCCGAGGAAGTGGAAAACCAGGGTTCGGACGAAGAGCTCGAGGAGATTTTATCTCCATTGAATGGGGCCTTAATTGCCTCCCATCACAATGTTTCTTACCATACGATGGTGGAGTTGAACAAGTTGGACAATAAGACCAAGTTGAGAGGAATTTTGGAGATCGTTTGTTCGGCTGCTGAGTTCGAAGAATTACCTATGAGACTTGGAGACTCCACCAATCTTCAGAAGATATACAATCAGGTTCCGGTCAAGTCCAGTAATCCAGATTTCGAGTCTCCGTACTTCAAGACATTTATACTCCTTCAAGCACACTTCTCTCGTCTTCAACTCCCATTGGACTTGAGAGCCGATCTTGTTTTCATCTTGAAACAAGTCATGAAGGTCATTGGTGCTTGTGTCGACACGGTTTCAAGTGAAGGGTATTTGAATGCCATCCAAGTGGTTGACTTGTCCCAAATGGTGATTCAGGGAATTTGGAACCGTGACTCGCCATTGAAGCAGATTCCTCATATTAACGAAGGTATTTTGACCCGATGTAAGAAGTACAATGTTGAAACGGTTTATGATATAATGGCTCTTGAAGATGATGAACGAGATGATGTGCTCCAGCTTGAGGAGGCTGAATTGGAAGATGTGGCCGAATTTGTCAATAAATATCCCAATGTGGATATCAGCTATGAACTCGAAGAATCAGTTGTAGCAAACGAGCCAGTGATGGTGACAGTGAATCTCGAAAGAGATGAGGAAATGGAGGACTTGTCGGTGGTGTCGTCTGTGTTTGAATCTCATAAGCGAGAGGAATGGTGGATTGTGATTGGAGATGCTGCTTCCAAACAGCTTTATGGTATCAAAAAGACCTCAATTGCCAAAGAAAGTCAGACGGTGCAATTGGAGATGACGATACCGAGTAGTGGTAAACACAATCTCACGATTTGGTGCATGTGTGATTCGTACTTGGATGCCGATAAGGAGGTGAGTTTGGAGGTGGAGGTGCAGCCTGGGGAGTAGAGAAGTTTTGCAACAATCAAAAATTGAGAATAGAGGGTTCATGCTAAAATTATGGTGGTTAGGTGGGCAAGTACTACATCTGTGCCATCAGCCAAGCATTACATCTGTGACATTAACGAGCTCATTATGCCTCAACCTTGCATATCTATAGAAAAATATAAGCAATTTGTAACCAAGTTGAGCTCTGGATAAATATAGAGTCTGTTGTAATATCAATTCGACAGTCACTGTCAGGCACGAAGTGAGTATATAGTAGTCAACTAAACAAGATCGCATTCACGGACTTGTCAGAAAAGTTCAGAAGAAGCTATCTCATCATCGCCATAAAGGTGCGAGGAAAACTCCCACGCGAGCCGAAGATGTGCGACTTCAATCTCATTCTAAATCATTGAGTCATCGAACCATGAATGAAGATTCTAGCGTATTGACGCCCTATATCAAGAAGCTCATTGAGCACCCACCCACATTGACACCTGAAGATCTATCTAAAGTACTTCACTTGGTTTTTGAAGGGCAGGCGTCTGAAATTCAAATTGCTGCATTTTTGACGGCGTTGAGAGGAAAAGGCTTGGATCATGAATCCGAATATATAGCGGCTGCCACCAACACGGTGATGAAATTCTCACATCCAATTGCGGCAAAAGATGTTCCAGTTGACGGTTACGTCGACGTGGTGGGTACCGGAGGCGATGGTCAAAACACCTTCAATGTTTCTACTGCTTCTTCAATAGTAGCTGCTGGAATGGGCATACCTGTTTGCAAACACGGCGGGAAGGCTTCGACATCATCATCAGGGTCAGGTGACTTGCTCAAGAGCCTCGGGGTGGACCTTTTGAAGGCCAACAAACATACCGCCGTGAAAGTGTTGCTGGACTCCAAATACACCTTTCTCTTTGCACCAGCATTTCACGAGGTGATGGCCAAGGTGGCCCTGGTGAGGAAGAAGTTGGGTGTGCCCACGATTTTCAATATCTTGGGTCCGTTGATGAACCCAGCTCCCTTATCGTCTCGGATTTTGGGGGTTTATAAGAAACCTTTGGGAGAACAGTACGCTAAAAGCGTGTTACAGTTGACAGCCAATGATCCAGTCCACAAAAAGTCGATGGTTGTGTACGGACACATTGGCTTGGATGAAATCTCGCCGGTTGGCATCACCAGCTGCTGGATTGTGGAAAATGGCCAAATTACTTACAAAGAGATATCTCCTAAGGACTTTGATTTGCCGGAAGCTGCCTTGGACTTGGTGAAGTCCGGTACGCCTGAGGAGAATGCCGTTGTGTTGATGCACATCTTGAAGCAGGACTCACCTGAGTTCAAAGTGCATTCTGACAATAAGGATAACCACCCGGTTTTGAACTATATATTGATGAATAGTGCTGCTTTAGCCGTGGTCTACGGGTTGACCGATTCCTACGTCGAAGGGGTCAAACTAGCGAAGAATTCCATCACGTCGGGAACCGCTCTTGGTGCATTGGAATCGTTCAAAGACACATTGAACCAGTTGTAGTTAGAGTCCAGTGAACATTATAGATCCCAAATTTTCAGTGTGCGCACGACAGTATCGCTTCTCAATTATTTATGTTTGTGCGCGTCGTGATATAAACAAATACAAACCAACTCGATGTTTCTGGGATCAAAGCTCTTGGGCACTCCCCGAGGTGGAAACAGGAACGCCGGTACCAGAACCCAGTTGGAGTTTACCCCTATAGGTAGGACCAGCAATCGCGAGCACAAGCGGGTGTCTGTAGGCTCTTTTGAAGATGAAGATAAAGAGAACTATGGAATTCCACTAGGACCTAAAGAACTTAACCGTGGAAAGATCACTAACATGAAAGACTTAGACCTTACGCTTGACAACACTGACGAGTTCAGCATCGTCGGTAACTCACCGTTCAAGCCATTGAACAACACGCTTTTCCATAGACCCATGTCTGGTTCTGAGGTGGTGCACGAGCACGCAGAGCTTATCAACAACGGAATGACTTCTATTCAAGAACAGCAACAACAAATCCTGAGGCTCAACACCGAGAACTACAACTTGAAAATCGAGATCAAGGCATTAAGGCACTACCTTAATCAGATCCCTGAAGACCAAAGAAGTGTATTTGACCTTAACATCAAGCTTGAACAACAGCTAGCAAATGCTGCCAAGAAGATTGACAGCTTGTCAGGCGAAGTACGCCAGTTGCAGGCCACCAAATCCGAGGCCGCTCTCAACAGCAAGAAAGAAGAAGAACTTCTAGATCATATGGAGACCATGAGATCCAAGTACGAATCGTTGCTTGAGTCCAAAGACAATGAAATTGACGATTATAGGGTCAAGCATGAGTCGTTGGTCGAGTCGAACAAAGAGGAACTCGGTAGGTATAGGGATAAGTATGAGTCGGTGATCCAATCCAAGGAAGACGAGATAGAACACATTGAGGCCAAATTGCACCACTTGGAAACCACCAACAAGTCTGCCCAGTTGTCCAGTGCTGATAGTGAGAGATTGAAAAGAGATCTTGAGATGGTCAACGACGAAGCCGAGCACTTGCGCGAAGTCAACAGACAGTTGAAGCATGACTTAGAGGCTGCGTATGGCGACTCCGATGTTAAAGATCGTACTATAAGGTCGTTGAATGAGAGAGTCGACGATTTGCAACTCGAATTAGACCACTGGAAGTCTAAGTACGAGAAAATTGACTTTGAGTTAAGGCAGAATGTCGATTCCAGCCATGATAGTTTGGTGGGTGCCAAAGAAGAAGTAAGAAAGTTGAATGAGAAAATCGAAGAACTCCACTACGAGAATCAAAATGCAGTTTCTCAGCTTGAGAGAAGCCGTAAAGAAGTTCAAGATTTGCTTCACAATGGGAAGACCGACAACTCCAAGTTACTTGAAAAGCTCGACTATATGAATCAGGAATTGAAGCGTTACGAGAGAACTGAGTCAAGCTTGAGAGCACAAATCAATGCATTGGTCAGAGAAAAGACTGAAGGCACTAAAAACAGTTATGACATCTACGAAGCTCAAATAGAGGCCTTGACTGCCAGTGAGAGTAAATTATCGGAAGTCAATAAGAAGTTGAATGCTCAGATTGCTCAGTTGAGGGACGAAATATACCACGTTACCTCCAGTTCCAGTGGATTTGACTCTCGGTTAGCTTCTGTTCAAAGACAGAACAAGGAGTTGGGTGACAAATTACAGTTCTATGAACAAGAGTTCGAAACAGTGGAGGATGCCTACAAGAACACCGACAAGAGTCTTAAACAGCTTCAAAGGGAGTATGACCAATTGAATAGTGAGTATCAAATCATAAGAGAGGAGAACAATACATTGGTTGAACAGATTAAGGCTCAAGCCAAGTCCTCCAACTTCTCTGCCCTTTCAGAGTTAGAAAAGTTCAACTTGAAGAAGTTAGAGTCTGAACACCAAAATCTCGAGCAAGAAATAGAAACACTCAATACTGAATTAGCAAGACTCAAGAGAGAGTTGGACTACGAGAAACTGAATAACCACACGGAAGAATTACAGGTAGAGATCAAGAAGTTGAGAAGAGAGCTTGACTTCAGCACCGATAATGGACAAGTAGAACATCTCCAAACTGAAATCAGAAGATTGAGAAATGACCTTGAGTTTGAAAGAGATAGAAAACAACCTTCTACCTCTGAATACAGACCAATGACCCCAAATAATTCTGTCTTCCTCGAAAGTGAGTGTCATAAGTTGCATATGGAGAAGGACCTGTTGTCAAACAACCTCAGAGATGTAGAACATAAATACAGGAACTTACAAGCCTGTCTAGTGGATAAAGAGGACTTGTTGGACAGATTGGAAATCCAACTCAAGGAATTAAAAAGGGCTAATAAGAGATGCTTTACAACTGATGAGGATGTCAAAACAGAGTTGATGCAAGCTAAAGTTCTAAACGAGTCTAAAGTGAGACAGCTTGAACTTGAGAAAGAATCCTTACAGAAAGATTATGAGTTCCAGATTCAACACTACAAGATGAGAATCGAAGAGTTACTATCTAAACTGATAAAGGCACCTGGACCCTCTGCCGGAGAATCAGGCTCTGTTATATCTCTTTTGGAGAAACAGATTGATGAAGCTTATAAGGCCAAGAACGAACTCTCTCATAAAGTCACTGAGTTGGCCAAGAATCAAGAAGAACTCCAAAACAGGTTGGAAGTTACCCAAAAGGAAACATCCCATCTACTGAATATCAACAACACGTACGAGCAGAATGAGAAGTTGTACAGACTTCAGAAAGATCAATTGGAGTTGGAAAACAAGACTACCCAAGAAGAATTAAACAAAGTGACTTCACATTGTCACAAATTGGTTAGTAAACTCAATGAGTTACAGATGAAGTTCTCAGATGACAAGGATACGAAGTTGAACAACCAATCATTGCAAAGAAGAATCGACGAGTTGAACTCCCGGCTTAGTAAAACTCATATTTCTTCACCTAACCCCAGCCGTGTTAACAGCGGTAAGTCGGTATTTTATGAAGAGCAGCTCAAGTACTACAAAGCCAAACTTTATGATATCAACTTGAAGGCCAACGATCTTGAACTCATGTACAATTTTGTCATCAAGTCCGTTAAGAACTCCAGTGGACTTCTCAAAAACGACTTGTTCAAGCTCTCCAAGCTTGGAATATACCCAGACTATAAGACCATTCATCAGAAGAAGTTGAAATTCTCGGTTGTTGCAAAGTTTGTGTTGTCGATGGTGAGATTAAAAAAGAGACAAGAAAAGGCTGAAAGAAGAAGACAAGCCATTGCTGAAATTAAAAGCAGCGTTGATAAGAAGAAAAAGATCATGATGATTGAATGATCATCATGGTCGAATAATCAAGACCCTTTACCATTATGTATGATTAGACTTTTGTATATTAATATATTACGTTAACTTCATTGCATTTACACTATTCGTTTATCACATTTCATTCAGTGAAAGTACGTCTCAGGATCCTGGCGACCGGTGTCTGGTAGGTTCTATCATTCGAAGGTTGTCGTACTCTGGCCACCTTGGGAGTTTGCACGGGTCCGTTGGCGAAACTCACGTTACTATTGGAATTATTACGCTTTGGCATGGGGAAATTGGGAGGAATGAAGTCAGTATTCAAGTTGATGGAAATATCGCTCGTGTTATGGCCCATGATACTGTCGTTAATATCATGTGACAGAATCATGTCGAGGTTATCAGGAGCAGCAAATCCGTTGCTGAGGAACTGGGAAATGGGGAATTCATCAGTTTCAGACAGGGCCTTACTGTGGAGAGGTTTCAAGATGGTTTTGTCAGCCCGGTTGTCCAGCTCGTTCCCTTCTTTCAAAAACTTATCAAAGATGCCATTATCACTCCAGGAAACGTCCCTGAGAAGCCGTTTGTTCTTATAGTAGTTGGCACTGAAATTAGCAGGATTTAAGGGCATTCCTCCATCTTCTTCGTCTTCCAACAAAAACTGCGGAAACAACGATGAAGTGGCCTCAAATAAGCTATGGGTATCAATGTCATCAAAGGGAATGGGATCTTCGTCACTCCACTTCTCCATATACAACACCTGGTTGGGATTGGTGAAGTGTACAAAGGTGTAGTTTCCGTCTCCACCGTACATTTGTGTATTTACAATTGAGAATTCGCGATGATTGGAGTACACAATATTAAGCTATTTACAAAGTTTAGGCAGCTGCAATGGCCGTTTGGCAGAGATCTTCAAAAAGAGTGGGTTTCTGGTGTAAGGCCTGGGGTTCGACATTGGAGGTTTTAACCAACTTAAATGCCCCGGTTCCAATGCTCATGGTTTGCCCCAAAATAATACACTCACTCACACCTTCAACCTTGTCATTTTTCATGTAGAAAGCAGCGTCGAACAAATGGTCAGTGGTCTTTTCGAAAGATGCCAACTGTAACACCGAGTCTCTCATCTTACTCAACCCGAACCGGGTGATTCCCAATACTTCTCCCTTATAAGTCATTACATCTCCCAAAAGTTGGATGTGACGAGGGTCCACACTCATGCCGTGTTTACTCATGGTGTAGTCAATTTCACCTATGATAGAGGATCTGGCCGCTTCAATACCCAACACCTCAAACACTTCAAGAACATGGTTGGTGGTGGTCTTGGTGCCAACAACCCCATCGGTGGACATGACTTCTTTCAAACCGTATCCTTCAACCAACAACTCTTTCTTACTGTCGTCTCTGATATTGATGACGGCACGGGAAATGTTGGGCAAACCCTTGATACAGATTTCTGGCAACATTCTCTTCAAGTGTTGCATGCGGAAGAAGAGCACGTTGGAAGCGTCGCTGAGCTTATAGTCCACATTCATGGACTTGGCCAAACTTTCCACCTTACTATCATTCAAAGTGACAAGAATATTGATTCGGTCACTACCAGTGATAGACACATGCGCCGGCTGAATCTTGAGCTTGGGAGCATTGACAATGGCCTGGGCAATGGAGTCAATGTTCAATTCCAATTGCAACTTCTCGATGGTTTTCAAGTCGATCTTCACCGACAAGTACGCCATATTGTTTTTGTAGACGTCTTGGATATGGAACGCCACGTCTTTCAACAAAGTCTTTTCGATTCTTCCCTTGACAACACGGGCGGCGATTTCATCGTCATCATTGACGAGAACCGAGTTGATGATGGGGGTGGAAATCGCCTTGGAAGCGTTGATGATTTCCTTGATACGAGGAACTCCCAACGTCACATTCATACTAGCCACCCCAGCAAAATGAAACGTCTTCAAAGTCATCTGCGTACCAGGTTCACCAATGGACTGGGCACCAATGGCACCCACAGCGGTTCCAGGTTCGACTTTTGCTCTGGAGTATTTGTACAAGCACTGCTTTAAGAAAGTGTCAACGGATTTGGCAGAGATCTTCAAGATCTGGTCCACCGCATTCAAGCTGTCTTGGTTATCCTCCACAAACACTTCTCCATCGGTGGGAGGCGTGTAATTGGGTTTCAAGTGCTTCAGTTGTCTGGTTTTGGCCAAATGGGTGGCCTTTTTGTCGACAAAGCTTCTGATCGAATGGTAGAACTCTCTCTCGGCATCATTCTGGTCGATATACTCTTCACGGTTCAGGATGATTTGGTGGCCCAAGTTATCGTATCTGATCAAACGGTCTTCCAATGGCTGCAAAACCTTTTCCACCTCCTCCATAACCTGATAAGGGAGTAAACCCATTTCACGGTTGCTGAAGGTGATGTTGAAACTGTGATCCCATTGACGTACAAAGTTGACGGGTCTGGCGTCTCCTTCCATGTCGAAAGGATCCAACCCGTCACCACCATAGGTGAACTGTACAATTCCGTTGGAGGAGTTCCGAACCGTGTTGTCGTACTGTGAAGACAAATCTTCCAACGACTTCATTAATCTTCTCGACATGTACCCGGTTTCAGCGGTCTTGACAGCCGTGTCAACCAACCCTTCTCTACCGGAAATGGCATGGAACAAGAACTCAGGAGGAGTTAATCCACTGAAAAACGAGTTTCTCACAAACCCTTTGGACTGGGGAGTCTTGGAGTTTTTGGTGAAATGTGGTAACGATCTGTCTTGGAACCCGTCAGGAACACGATTACCAGAAATAATCTGTTGTCCTACAACAGCCACCATTTGGGAGACATTTAAGGTGGATCCCTTGGACCCACAGGTGGCCATGATCAAAGGAGCATTAAGAGAGTCCAACTCCTTGATACACACTTCCCCTACTTCTTCTCTCACCTTGGATAACAACCCTCCGATCTTGGCTTCCAACGTCTGTTCTTCATTACAACCCGGCTGGGTTTCCAACTTGCCTCTGTTGTACAAATCAATCAACTCGTCACACTTCAAGTACGCCTGCTCCACCATCAATTCCTTCTTATTTTTCAAGTCGGACCCAGGAGTCACGTCGTTGATACCAATGGAAAATCCTCTGTTTCCCAAGTACCTTGCACACAACTTGGACATTCTGTTCATCGCTTCTGCAGCTTCAGTAGGGCCGTAGTCTCTGAGAATAGTGTAAAAAACCGAGTGTTTCTTCCCGTCTCCAAGAGTGGATTTGTCCATGACACCAGACAAGATCTGAGAGCCTCTGATGATCACATACCCGTCGTTCGGAGACATTTCGTTGGCGAAATGCCTTTCTGGAGGGATATATGTTTTTGCTTTTGCATCCAAATTGATCACCACGTTGGAGGCTTTATTTGGTTTGATGAGCAACGAAAAAACTTGTTTTCCCGTCCACAACAGAACCGGTTTGATGATGGCAGGAGGAGGCAAATCAAACTGGAGATTGGCATCCGACATCATACACAAAAGCTGGTTGACCGAAGCTCTTTCAAAAAATGAGTCCTTATGAGTTATCAAGTACGAGCCGGTAATGAAATCCTGAGTGGCTGCAATAATAGGCTCACCGGATTTTGGCGTCAATAAATTGTTTTTCACGCCCATCAAGTTGATGGCCTCCGCCCGGGCTTCTTCAGTCTGAGGTACATGCAAGTTCATTTCGTCTCCATCGAAATCGGCGTTGTAGGGAGTACATACACATTCGTTCAACCGGAAGGTTCTCCAAGGTCTGATTTTGGCGTAGTGCGACAAAATCGATAGCCTATGTAAAGAGGGTTGTCGATTGAACAACACCACATCTCCGTCTTCAATGTGTCTCTCGACCACATCTCCGATATGCAAATTTTTGGCGATTTTAACTCGGTCACCAAACCGCAAGTTTCTCTTTGTGTTTTCATTCTGCTTCAACACATAGTTTGCACCCGGGTGCACATCTGGACCACTGAGAATCAACTTTTGCAACTTAATCCGATTATACCGGGTGCACTTCTCTGGGTACGTCAAGATCTTAGCCACCCGATCAGGTACAGCCACCTCGTCGATTTTCAAGTTGGGATCAGGTGAAATGACGGTTCTACCTGAAAAATCCACTCTTTTCCCCGAAAGATTTCCTCTAAATCTCCCCTGTTTCCCCTTTAACCGCTGGCAGAAGCCTCGTATGGGCTTGGTCGACTTGGACCCCGACCCAGCAGACGGCATCAACGCTGGGTTCGCTGCATCTGAGTTGATATACATTGCAACCAGCAATTGCAAGTAGTCCCACTGCTCCATCAAGTTATTGATGGAGATACCCTTATCGATACCTGCCTTGATCAACGATGACGTCCATACTATTTCCGTCAACTTAACCGTCAAGTCGTCTTCGTTGGACTGTGCATCCATCATCACCGACGGTCTGATACACACTGGAGGTGCTGGTAAGTATCTCCAGATATACGTTTCAGGTCGACCACCTCTGGACGGATCAAGACCAAACAACTCGCATTCGTCGGGGGTGATCTGCTTGAAGAGATGTAACACCTTTAACGGGTTCAAATCTTCGTACATTCTCTTTGTGAATTTTTCAAGCTCGGGGTTTCTGGTCAACACTTGCTCAATCTCCAGGTCCCACACCTCCTTCTCGGGGGTGGGTTTCTTGCCCACCCACCGGAAAGTATCGTGGACGATCTTCAAGGCGGCGGGCCCAGCACCGCTAGCAGCCTTTTTCACGACTCCGTTGACGTGGGTACATTTAAAGCATCGTCTCTGTTTCTTACACTGATCCACCACGCTTTTCAAGATCTTCATTCGCCGCAAATTGTCAATGTATGGGCGCCGCAAGTCGGCCAAGTACTTTCTTTTGGTCTGTTCGTCGAGTAAAATGTGCCCACAATTCTTACAGATGCACTGGAGGATCTGGATGATGGCCTTAAAATAACCCACGTGAAACACCGGCAACGCGAGGCGAATGTGGCCGAAATGTCCGTGGCACAGGGCGAGGTTACCGTGGCAAGTAGAGCACTCACTAGAATTGGCACTGATTCCCATTTTGGTGTCTAGGGCACCAAATTCCTTGACGGTTCTGCCCTTTTCCAAGTCATAGAGGTCTCTGGTTTTGACCTCAACCTCGGACTGCGCAATGATCTCCTTTGCCGAGAGCGCTCCGAACTCGATACCCTGGATCCTCTTGGGCGTGATATCCACTACCACTTCCTTCATGATGGGGTTGTGTTTTTGGTATGAATCAAGCTGATGTAGCATCTCATTAAAATTTTTTTTTCTGTATATAGACGACCCGCGCGCTGCCACTCCACTTCGCACTAGTGGCAACGAACTTACCAGCCCAACTATAACAAATATGTCCAGCAAGTCAATTGAAAACGGTGTTCCTACTGAGGACGAAAAGAAGGTGATAAAGTCGTTGGAAGAGGATGATGACGAGTTTGAAGATTTTCCAGCTGATACCAAGTGGACTGTTAAACAGGATCCTCAGATCAACCCAGACAGTTTGTGGGAAGAAGACTGGGAAGATGACGATAACGAGGACGACTTTTCGGCGCAGTTGAAGACGGAGTTGGAGAAGCACAGGAGTTGAAGAGAATCTATGGGGAGCTGGTGCTAGAGCCAGGGATGTCTGTGTATATTAGAATAAACATGTTACTGAATATTGTAGAGATTGAAATGAGAAGAGAGACAAAAAGAGAGACAGACAGAGACAGAGAGAGAGTCTATGTTTTCATATGCTCGGAGATGTATACTCAACTACTAATCATCATTATGCGTAGAAGTTCACCGACTTGGACTTTCTGGCTTGCACCTCACTAATCGCCTCTACGAAATCTTCGTGCCTGATCTTAGACTTGCCATTTCTCAACGCTATCATTCCCGCCTCCACCGTCACGGCCTTCAATTGTGCGCCGTTAAATTCATCAGTCGACCTGGCCAATTCTCTCCAGTTCACCGAGTCATTATCACAGGTCAATTTTCTGGCATGGATCTTCAACACCGATTCTCTGGCCTCTTCAGAAGGCAATGGAAATTCGATTTTCCTGTCCAATCTACCAGATCTTAACAAGGCCGGATCCAATGTGTCGACTCTGTTGGTAGCTGCCAACACCTTGACTCTATCGTCGGAGCCAAACCCATCCAACTGATTCAAAAGTTCCAACATGGTTCTCTGCACCTCCCGATCTCCCGATTTGTCCGAATCGAATCTCTTCGTACCAATGGCATCCAACTCGTCGATGAATATAATTGTAGGGGCCTTTTCCTTGGCTAAAGCAAACGCATCCCGAACCAACTTGGCCCCATCTCCAATGAACATTTGCACAAGCTGAGGAGCCGCAAGCTTTAAAAACGTCGCTCCCGACTGGGCGGCACAGGCCCTCGCCAACAACGTCTTCCCGGTACCTGGAGGTCCATACATCAAAGCACCTTTGGGAGGCTTTATTCCCAAGGTCTTGAACTTGTCGGCCTGCTTCATGGGTAATACCACCGCTTCTATCAACTCCTCGATCTGCTTATCCAACCCCCCGATGTCAGCGTAGTCTTCGGTGGGTTTTTCATCGACTTCCATGGCTTTTACTCTGGAATCATATTCCGAAGGCAACGTATCCAAGATCAAGTATGAGTCTTTATTGACCCCAATCAAGTCATTGGGCTTCAAGTTCTCGGGTGCAACCAACCCAATCAATGGTAGGAAGATGGTTTGCCTCGTGGAGGTCTTGATCACGGCTGATTTGCCGGACCTGGCAGCATCCAAGTCCACATTGGCCCCCTGTTCTTTGGCTTCCTGCTCGGCGTCCAAGTCGAGCAACTCCACCACATTGCCGACCAAATATGGTAATTGTTTGTTGTTATTGATCTTTTCTTGGTTATCTTTGATTCTTTCCACCATGACGGTTTTCTCATGGCTCAATCTTTGGGATTCACTCTTCATGACCTTTATGTCATTTTCCAATAACCGGGTACGATTTGTGATGTCGGACGTCGAGAGACTCAAGATCTCTTGGTACACATCATCCTGCTGGCTATCTAATTCTTCCAAGGTACTCATTGTCTGAAGTTGCCACTGGAGTGTAGATGTTTTTTTGGCAATTCGCGCGCGACAAACTAGGCTCTACCGTTACTACCACTAGAACCAGTATCGATTAGAAGTCATGAAGTTCGAGGAATTGCCGCTCACGGAGGCGGAAGTCATCAAGTTGAAACAATTATGTTTGGAAGGTATGAAGAAAGCAGAACCTGATTCTTTGTTTACGCAATACTAACGTTTTAGCTCGTTCGTTATCCTACTCACCATATTCGAAATTTAGGTATGCATTTCTAGCCCACTCCCATAATATACACGAGCCGTTCAAGGGGAAACGCTCCGTCTTTGTGCTGATACTAATCTTTGTGTTTAGAGTTGGATGTACGCTAGTGACATCTGAAGGAGAATTCATTTCTGGGGCCAATATCGAGAATGCCTCGTACGGTGGATCCATTTGTGCTGAAAGGTCGACAATATGTAAGGCAGTGGTACGTAAAAAGAGAAGCGTTGGATACGGACCATTTACTAACACAAATAGAATGAAAGAAAGTATAAATTCAAGGTGATTGCGATTTCTAGCGATAGTCAGGAGGCGATTTCACCGTGTGGGATCTGTCGGCAGTTCATACGAGAGTTTGGCAAGGAGATTCCGATATTGATGTTCGGCCAGGAAGGAAATACGCATGAATTGATGAATTTAGAGGAATTATTGCCTAAGAGTTTTGGACCTAGTTGGTTGGGAGTTCCTGAGGCCTAGGGCCAGCGGCCCTCACCTGTTTGCGACTCTTCGCGCCAAAAAAAAATTATCATCAATGGCTGTTTGTGCTTCACCCTTCTGTGGAAAGGACACAGAAAGCACGTTAAAGTGTCCTGTTTGCTTGAAACAGGATCTAGAAAATGTTTTCTGTGACCAGAAATGTTTCCGAGGCGCATGGGGTATCCATAAATATATCCACCAACAAGAAGATGGAGAAGTCTACAACCCATTTCCCAACTTTGACTTCAAAGGTGACCTCAGACCTCACTATCCCTTGACGCCGCGCAGAACCATCCCCAAGCATATCAAGCTTCCTGACCACGCCAAAGGTGGCCGTCCGCTAGGGGAGTTGGCGAATGATCGTAGAGGTAAAATCACCGTGTTGGAAGGAAAAGATCTTGAAAAAATCAGAAAAGTTGGTAAATTAGGTAGAGAAGTGTTGGACGCGGTGGCCAAGCACGTGAGAATCGGCATCACCACCGACGAGTTGGATGCCATTTTGCATAAGGAATGCACAAAGAGAAATTGCTACCCTTCACCTTTGAACTACTTTAATTTCCCCAAGAGTTTTTGTACCTCTGTCAATGAGATTATCTGTCACGGGATCCCCGACCAGACCAAATTGAAAGATGGAGATATTGTCAACTTAGATGTGTCGATCTACTACTTGGGGTTCCATGCCGATTTGAATGAGACGTATTACGTGGGGGATAAGGCCAAAGCAGACCCGGATACGGTACGGTTGGTGGAAACCACCAGAGAGTCGGTGGAGTTGGCTATTGCGGCCGTTAAGCCTGGAATGCCCTTCAGAGAGATTGGAAATATCATCGAAGCCTTTGCTACCAAAAACAATGTGTCGGTGGTGAGAACGTACTGTGGGCATGGAATCAACCTGTTGTTCCACTGTCAGCCAGACATTCCTCATTATGCTAAGAACAAGGCCATTGGAATTGCCAAGCCAGGGATGGTGTTTACAATTGAACCCATGTTGTGTTTGGGAACCTATAAGGACGTGACATGGCCCGATAACTGGACTTCTTCGACCCAAGACGGAAAGTATTCAGCCCAGTTTGAGCACATGTTGTTAGTGACTGAAGACGGATGTGAGGTGTTGTCGGCGAGACAGGCCGATTCACCAGGGGGACCCGTTCCACGTATTTGAGGAATGTATAGAAAAATAAATGGAGAAGGAGTAATGAAATGGAAGTCGGTGAGGCTAGGGATAGCGGGGGCGTAGTGTTGAAAGACCTGGTGTTGGGTCTATTGGAATTGGAGGATTTTTGTGGATGGAATTGGAGGATTTCTGTGGATGGAATTGGAGGATTTTTGTGGACGGAATTGGAGGATTTCTGTGGACGGGACTTGTAGTTTTGAAATGGGCGTATATCTGAACTGTCCTTTCTTTGAGTGCCCTTTCACTGGTGTCATTTCCCTAGTACTATTCCCTAGTACCCTTCCCTAGCCCTAGTACCCTTCCCTAGCCCTAGTACCCTTCCCTAGTACCGGCTCTCCTTGGCCCAGGTCTGCCTCTGGAATACAGCATCAGCAGAACCCCTGTTAACACTATCACCACAAGAAAACAATCTGGAGAACCTACCTGCTTGACTCACCTTTAGTATCACCACATTTCTTCCATTGAAAGTTCTGACCCATACTCCGACCTCCTTACCAATCAATAATAAATTATCAAACTGTAAGATTCCAAGCCCCCACTGCTAAAGCTTTTTGAATGTTGTATGGAACCGCCGGAACTATGGAGTCTAGTGGATATACAGATCACCCCCGACTCCCCAAGTGAAAACATTACCCCCATCCGTATGAGTTGTTTTTTAAATAAATCCTTTTAAACCTTATTATCAATTTCAGGATTAGAGGCAGACAGCTGAATTGTGTACCAAGTGGATGATATGCTAGACGTGCATATCCAGATTATAAGTCTGCATAGTCAGATTACTCTAGTGCCCATGAATTTCAACACTTCCATTGGTTATCCCTTCCAAGTCCGACGGCAACTATCAAGGATAAAACTTCCCAAATTAGAAGCCCAAGAAGAACCCGACGGCTTTTACGTAATACAGTTGTCCATAGTTATAACTGATTGTTGAAATAACCCTTTGACATTCAATCTGCACCTCTCCAAACAGTAAAAACTGGCCAAGTTAATTAAATAAACGTAGCCAGAAAATATAAAAATTCAAGTAAACGCCAAAAGGATTCGGAATGTGCAGTAATTACAGGAGAAAACAAAAACAACAAACCCCTTGTATCCTAATTGAGGTACAGGGATAGCTGATATTGCAGGAATATCGTAAGAAAAAAAAACAACCAAAAACTCGTGCACAGCACTTTCTTTCCCAAGCAAAGTTAAGAACTTTGGAAAAAGGAAACATTGTAACCAGCTATTGTGTGGGTGAAATCTGTATTGGATCACATCCAAGTCCGTAATACCGTAACTGTCATATGTCCGTAAGTGGAGAAACCATATAATAAAATGAGGCGTTAAAATAAACATTAAGACAACCGTAGCGTAGCCAGTTCAATTGTTTTGGCTAGCGAGAATTCATCTTGGCCAGCAGTTGCTAGTTCCATCTTTGTTGGTGGTTTAGACATGCGTATGCTAATGCAAAGAAAAAAATGCCAATCTGGATCTGCACGGCTTAGTTACGGGCCTGTCTCGATACCAGACAAGACAGGGGCGGTCTCCATAGATAATGCGAGCACGTTTGGTCAAATGGGTAAATTTAAGCAGATATACATTTTGGTATAGGTGTTCATATCTCCTTACCTTCCGGAGACCCCTAACATCCATCCAATAATCGTCCAACATATACCCAACAGCCCTCCAACATCTATCCAATAACCATCAAACACCCTCCCAGTTACCAAATCCACCACAAAAAAAAAACGCAATCTCCTCCTGTAACAAAGGACGTATAGGCGCTTCGGTACTTATTGGGCAACAGCTGACTGGGAGAGACAGGAAAAACTCCATTTAGATTAATTAATTTTATTTCTTGCAAAGAGTGTAGGCTGGGTGTTCCCACATAAGCTTCCTCGCAGTGTTTTGCACCAATTGGTGAGTAAGAAACCAAGCTCGTTTACGCAGCGAATACCCTTAAACACCGTGCTTCTCCCACTCGCTGGTATCAGATGTAAAAACATCCGTAATCCCAACCACAGCTGCCGCATACAGAAACCGCTCACCTGGGTTAGGAAAAATTGGGACGGGAAAATGTGGTACGCGCACACATTAGTATTATGTGCTTGAATCTTGATGCAGAGAACAAAGGCCGCTGGCTGCAAAGCGGCAACAATGCATAAGGGGTTATGAGCTTGCAGCCTGTGATGCCTGGTAGGAGTGAGAGAGTAGCATACCCACTACAACTCTGGGAGGTCTAGTCTATCATTTCAAGTCAGTGTACCCTAGGGATTGGTGGGGATCAATAAGTAACACACACAAAAAAAGGGATGGTTAGACTAAATAAATATTCGAATAACGCGATCCTCGATTAATTTATGTAAAAGGTACAATAAAAGAGCGCTGCAAGTCCCACAAATATCTCTGCAAGCATCCGGAGTAAACGAACCTGTAAACTAACGAGGAACAGGAAAAACCAAGCGGAAAACACCGGGCACAACCAGCATTGTTCTACAACAGTTAAATGATGAATAACCTCAGGGTGGGAAGGTGGTTGTGGGTATTACCGGTGTTAAGGGACTTAACGGGGTTATACACGGATTTCGGGCCCTTCCAACTGCCCTTCGGGCTCGACGATCCCCACTACAGCATGGAGCACTGGCATTGTTTCTATTGCAGATCAGTAATTAGCCAGGTAATTATACATCATGCATTGCGCAAGGCAACAAAAGAGAAAGCGTCCCGAAAACACAGGTGCACGCTTGAACCAAACTTTAAATTTTTGATTTTTTTCGAGTTCAAAAAAAAAAAATTCGGCCTTTAGCGTGGACCACAATTTTACCCGCACTCCGGAGGGAATTGGCCGGACTAGTTCAGATGCGCGGTGCATAGGATGCGCCGTGCATGAATAATGTGACCTGGGGTTTTATGATTTGATAACCGCGTAAATGCGAGGATCTAAGCTTCCAACAACTGTAAGACCATCAACAGCAACTCCGGTGATAGACGCAATGACCTGTCTCAGATCTCCCGCAATATGGCGGTGATAGCAATAGATAACCAGGCACTACCATCCTGCATCATCAAATGTGAGTAAATAGAAAAAAACTAAATGATTGCGATTTTGAGGCATTTCTTAGGAGGAGATGTATGCCATGGGCTCTGTCGAAGCCCGACGGCATACTGGTCGGGGTTTAGGGTGTTAAAAGAATAACCAGGTTCCTGGGTTGTTGCCCAAGGATCAACACCACTTCTAGAGTTGCGCCTATTGTACCTATGCGGCTGGACAGGCGCAAAAGAACCTCCTGCAAAAACAGGAAGTAATGGAAATATGAGAGGCAATCGAGATATTTGGAGGCTGACGTGGCTTCCAGGGCAAAATTTAGGTTAAGCCGGACCAGCAACAACGCTCCGATTAACTTCGCATACAACGGTATTCCATTTAGTAGGCTTAGCGGCCTGTAATTCGGGGGTTTAGAATTTGCAGCATAAGGGGGTAGGAGAACTGCTCACTTTTGAAGGTAACCAGGTAGACATAGTAACAGGCAAGAATCGGGAATAACTAATACAAGGTTCCTGAATGGGCTATTATGTTTGTGGCAGGTGAGTATAGGTCATATTACTGGGAAGATGGGAAGGGTGTCGCTGGCGCGACATAGACAGCCCTCTCCACGACATGGGGTATCACCACATTGTCTCAGTGCGTGTCGCACCACCGTGTCGCCACCGCGCGCCCTGAGAAATTTTCGCAAAACCAACGTCTTCCCCCATCACCAATGTCAATACAACTCCTTAATCCAAAGGCCGAATCGTTGAGACGTTCGCATGCATTGCAAGTCAACATCGCCGCCGCCACCGGACTCCAGGAAGTCTTAAGTTCCAACCTTGGTCCCAAAGGAACCTTGAAGTTACTTGTGGACGGATCTGGAAACTTGAAGCTCACCAAAGATGGAAAAGTGTTACTCAGCGAAATGCAGATTCAGCACCCCACGGCCGTGATGATCGCACGGGCCGCCACCGCCCAGGACGAGATCACCGGTGACGGTACCACCACCGTTGTGCTTTTGGTGGGAGAGCTTTTGAAACAAGCAGAGCGCTATATCAGTGAAGGTATTCATCCCCGAATTGTGGTTGATGGGTTGGAAGCTGCTAAAAAAGTCGCTCTTAACTACTTGGACACCTTCAAGGAGTCTCGCAGCGACTTTGATAGGGAATTTTTACTCCAGATTGCCCGTAGTTCACTTTCTACCAAGGTGACAGCCGATGTCGCCAGCGTATTGGCCCCAATTGTCACTGATGCCGTGTTGACGATCCAGGACAATGACACCCTAGATCTCCACATGATAGAGGTGATGACGATGCAACTTGGCGACGTGCGCGACACCGAGCTCGTGCGTGGGTTGGTATTGGATCACGGGGCCCGTCATCCCGACATGCCCAAACGGCTTGAAAACTGCCACATTTTGACTTTGAACGTGTCGCTTGAGTATGAAAAGACCGAGGTGAACCTGGGTTTTTTCTACTCCAACGTGGATCAGAGAGAGAAGCTTGTGGCGTCTGAGCGTCGGTTTGTCGACGATAAGTTGAAGAAGATTATTGACTTGAAGAATACTGTGTGTGAATTGGGCAGCAACCAGAACTTTGTTATCATCAACCAGAAGGGTATTGACCCGATGTCCCTCGACGTATTGGCCAAAAACGGCATTTTGGCGTTGAGAAGAGCAAAGAGAAGAAATATGGAGCGGTTACAGTTGGTGTGTGGCGGAGAGGCCCAGAATTCGGTCGACGACTTGTCTCCCGAGGTGTTGGGCTACAGTGGGCTTGTGTATGAAAACAGTATTGGTGAAGATAAGTTCACTTACATTACCGAGAATAAGGACCCAAAGAGTGTGACGGTATTGATCCGGGGGCTGAACAACTATATTATCCAGCAGACCAAGGATGCCGTCCGGGACGGGTTGAGATCCATTAAGAACGTGCTTCACGATAAACTGGTGGTTCCAGGTGCCGGGGCCTTCTACTTATCATGTTCTCAACACTTGAACGTTTATAAGGATATCAAGGGGAAGAACAAGATTGGAAGCAAGGTCTTCAGCGAATCGCTTTTGGTGATTCCAAAGTTGTTGAGTATTAACTCGGGACTTGATGCTTTGGAGACTTTAACCAACTGCTCCGACGAGATAGCTGAAGGTAGAAAGGTGGGAATCGACTTGAAAACCGGCGAACCCATGGACCCGGCCATTGAAGGGGTATGGGATAGTTACCGGGTGATCAGGAATGCTTTGAGTTCGGCGGTGGGAATTGCTCTGAACTTGTTATTGTGTGACGAGCTTCTAAAAGCAGGAAAACTGTCTTTGAAAGGTGGTCAGCCAGGTCCCGGAGCTGCCCCACAGGGGATGCCAGGAATGCCAGGTATGATGTAAGTGACGGAATACCGAAGAGGCAGTTTGTAAAATTTCATAGTTTTATTGCGATTATGTATATATGAAGCATCAACAATGTGACATTCTTGATTAATCCGTCTCAAACCATATAGTTTAATTTCTTATGGCGGTTTCATCAGCCTAGTTGAAAGCAATAAAGGAGTCTAACCGCCAGGTAAGATGATGCAAATAGCTGATCAATATGATATTTTAGAATTAATATGGAGAATAAAATAAAAATAAAAACGAAAAATCAAAGAAAATGAAAAAGTCCTGATAGCACAGGGTTGAGAGGAATCAATACTGCGGCCTGCTAAATTATATCTCACACTGAATGGCCTTATTGCTCGCCGTCCTGGACAAAAGGCTGTGGAGGATAAAATCTACCGCCGTGCTTGTTCCGAGAAAATGGAAAGTGCCTATCCCGGACATAGTGATACCGAAGCAAAAGTAGCCATGATTTCACTACGCTGCTAACGTACCACCCTTTGCTGGATAATCGTCATGTAGATCACTTTCGGGATTGAGAATAGTTGCGAAAAACCACTTGGATTCGAGAAATTAGCTAACGCATAGAACAGCCTGTACTGCCCCTGTGCTATCGGAAACAGGGCGAGAACGGCCACGCGCGCGCCCTTTTATGTTTAGGTTATCGGGGGTTTCTTTACCGTTAAGTTAAGCGAACCTGCAGGGACGGCATACAGCTCTTATTTTCAATAGTGAATTTTTAGGACAAGTTTCGATTAGATGACTCTTCGAAACAGGTAGAGAACTTTTTGAATGTAAATTCAAACAGTGCCATAGTTGCCCAATTTGAATTCATTTTTGGTGGTTATTTTTAGATGATTTGAAGAGATAGCTGGATGCTTCTTTTTTGATAAACCCGAATTTCAAACCAGTGCCTTTTCTTGACCAAAGCTTAAATGGGCTGGAGCAGGACCTTGAAATAAAATCCTTTAATCTGCAATATGATTAAGAGAAGTTAGATCATTTTTTTGACGACTCCCAAATCTGAATCCCGAGCTTAAACAAAAAAAAGAAAACAAAAAAAGAAAAGGAAAATTAAAATACTGATTACCAACCACATATGAGACAAAAAATTGTTCAGTTGTTTTATTTTTATTTTATTTTGTTTATTTTATTTTATTCCAATTTTATGTTGTAATTGGAAGCCGGATTTTATAAATATCAGTCAGAATCTCCTATGAACAACCCCCTCTCTTGCCATTGGGTTTTCCATTTGATTTAAGTACTGTTTCGCCAAGGAGTACTTGGTTCTTCGTACATTTGTTATTGCCAATAATTGGGACCACATCCGATTATTGGATAAACAACCACAATAGTAGAATATTGATAGCGATATTCAGGTACTTTTGGGATAAGATATTAATACTCATTGATTGGTCCATCCCTATAACAAGCTATTCCTATTCGTTCCATCAAGTTAAATTAGGTGGGGCTCGTCATTATTCCTACTAAAAAAAGATTTGTGGGTTTACAGGTTTTGTTGTACATTTATAAATCAACAAAATATCTTTGAGGAGGTTTTTTTCTGTACTTCCTCCTTCTTATCATAAAACCAACACACTCATCAACCTGTCTGTTGTGTTTACCTACAAGGAACCGACTAGGCTAAAAGTCCTTTTCCACAAAGCATTTCGGACTTTTTCCAACACCTTATAAACAACCAAAACCATCGTATTGGAAATTCCTTCAAACCAGGTGTGAACGTTCCCAACACCCAACACAGAGTTTCCACACATACACACTTTTGCATCACATTTCTGCCATCCCATTGTACTACTATCACCGGTTTCCCCAATGCCTACCGGCCAAAATAACATGAAATGGCAAAAACCCAATTCTCCATCTGAAGGAAGTCATAACATACCATCCTACTATGGAGAGACAGGTCCGTATGAAAGGTACCCCAACTCCGAACCCAAGAATGGGGATTCTGGTACTCATCCATCACAAACCCATCCACTCCCACAACCAAGACCTTCCACCACCGCCTATCAACTCCCACCTTATCAACTACCTCAACAACACCAACTCCCAGGAATAGCTCCACTAGGAATAGGCCAGATATATGAATACAGACTCCCAGTACAAGGCCAGGAAATGATGGTTCCAGCAGCACCTCCTACCATGGGTCCTAGCTATGGGTACTCTCATAAATATATGGGCCAGCCACCTCGACCTGAATCAAATCGAACTTCCAAACCACGGGATTCTCCACCAGATAACCTCCGCCCTCCAACCAGCTCAGCCCTGTCACCGGGACTGGCCAAGGCTGGCAGAAACCCCACCAAGCGATCCCGAATGGGTTGCATTACCTGTCGACAGCGGAAAAAACGCTGCTGTGAAACCAGACCAAAGTGCACCGAGTGCTCAAGGCTTCGATTGAACTGTGCATGGCCTACACCGGGAACTGAACATAAGAACAAGTCCAAAGAGCTTAAAGAGGAGGAGAATGTAATGCACCACGAGATATACGGAAAAATCAAGGTTCTCAGGGGTATAGTGGAGTACAAGAGTGATGAAGATCCGGCGAACATGCAGTAGCCTGGAGGCTTGCATGTTTGGACTCTCATGGCGAATGTCTCCAGTTGGTCCTCAAATGTCACTGCCCCCGCCCACTTGGACTGTCAGTCATCCAGACTTTCATGTTTTTCGATGCCGCATATTGTTGACCCTTCTGGATACCACGGGCTACCATCCTGCACTTTCTTGAATGTCACTACTGATGTTACTGATACTTGAACTCTTTATTTTAGCAATGCGGTGACATAACCGACAGGCCCCCTGATAGCCGACTTTACCCAACCTCCAATTTCCTATTGACCCTCAGGGCATCCACCGAGGCATATGCCAGCAATCCTAAGGCACACACAAACACCCTTCCAATCCACCTGTCTTCCATCTGTCTTCCATCTGTCTTGCATCCTCATTCCTTCCGAGCACTCTCACATCTAAGACGGGTACCAGGAAGTATACCACATACGAAATGACACCACTTCCAGACAGGGGAGAGCCCTATCAGTAGAGAGGCCCACCAATTGGGTGGTTTGTACCGGGGTGCTTCTAGTCCCCATCACCGGACGTCGTTAAGGGTGTATTGGTGGTTGAAGCTTGAGAGGTTGCCATGAACAGAATTGTCTCCAATTTTTGAGTAGGGGACTCAACTCTAAGAGGCTGGCACACTTCCACCAATGTTTCGTCTCAACTCCCACTGGCTGGGAATGATCTTCTCACATATAAGGATAAGATGGTACCGAAATCAACAAACATTTTTTGCGACTTGGATTTGCGGTCCTGCCAGCCAAAGGGTATTTTTATTGACTTCAAAGGTCTTGTATTTTAACATGACAGGTGGGACACGTCGTTATCGACTGTTATCGATGATCATTAACTGTCATAAGCTGTAATCAACTGTTATTAACTGTCATTGACTGCCATTGACTGCTATTGATTGTCATTGATTATCACTGATTACCATTGAGATTACCATTGATAGCCTGGTCCCCCACCATTTTTCTCATACAATCACACCCACTAAAACTTATTTTCCTCACACCATTCGTCATCATCCAGATCCACCGTCATCTGACCAATGTATCATAGCCTGTAATTTTTACTGCATTAGCATCTAATACTTTTAGACCAATATAGAATAACACTAGCTTCCTCTTTTGAAAGCCCTCTTCCTAAACGGGAAGTCGGTGCTCGCCCTACATTTTTGTGTTTGTGCGCGCCTTTGCCAACACTCAAAATTCACATTTACCAACACATAACTCTTCTTACCAATGTCATTGCAAGAGGACAATTGCTTGCGAGACAGACAAATCGGTACGTTTGCTCGAACACACACGACAGTGTTTCATACGCGGGTGATTTCTCCCGTCGATTCATTGAATATTCATCAAACCATTACTAACTCTCCCCAGCCACTTTGGAGCGGATGCTTCATCTTAATAAAGATGGCTCTGCCGACTTGACGTTGGCAGTGCCGTCATCCCAGGGCGATGACCTCGTGTGGAAGGCTCTCGTGCTCGACGCCAAGTCCCAGAGCATCATCTCGTCGGTGCTACGAGTAAACGACTTGTTGCGGTGTGGAATCACCATCCACTCACTTATATCCTCTCCTAGATCTCGGTTGGCAGACGTGCCCGTCATCTACTTTGTCGAACCCACGCCAGCAAATGTCTCGGCTATCCTCGATGATCTCGCCGCCGACCGCTACGACGATTTCTACATCAACTTTACGTCGCTGCTTCCAAGAGCGCTCCTTGAAGACTTTGCTAAACAGGTGCTGTTGGCTGGTAAAAGCACCAAGATCCGCCAAGTGTACGATCAGTACTTGGACTATGTGGTGACAGAACAGTCGTTGTTTTCGCTCGACTTTCCGAATACTTTCACTCGTTTCAACCACCCATCTACTAAAGAAGACGAAATCCACCACCTCGCTGAAGTGTTGAGTAGTGGGTTGCTCTCGGTGGTGTTGACGTTAGGTTCGGTGCCAGTGATACGGTGCCAGCGGAACGGGCCTGCAGAGCTCGTGGCCACGCAGTTGGACCTCAAACTTCGTGACCATCTTGCAAACTCCAAGAGTCTTTTGTCGTCCCAGTCCTCGATCCACCAACGGTCGGTGTTGGTGTTGTTGGACAGAAGCGTCGACCTTCTGTCAATGTTTAGCCATTCGTGGATATACCAGTGCATGATAAGTGATGTTTTCCGGTTGAAACGGAATACCGTCCGTGTGGACGGAAAAGACTATGATCTTGACCCCAAGGACTTTTTCTGGAATAAGAATGCCCAGTTACCGTTCCCGGACGTGGTAGAAAATGCCAACGTCGAGTTGGAGCTGTACAAGCACGATGCGCACGAGTTGACCGCCAGAACCGGTATCACTTCGTTGAACGACATTGATGATAACGACCACAACGACACTGGCAAGATTCAACAGGCCGTCAATGCTTTGCCCGAGTTGACTGCCCGTAAGGCTACCTTGGATATGCATATGGATGTGTTAGCGTCATTGTTGAAAGAATTAGAGGCTAAGAGCTTGGATCGGTTTTTTGAGCTTGAGCAGAGCTACAACAATCCCAAGGTTCAAGCCCAGTTTTTGGAGCTTTTGAACGAACCTTCCAAGAAGAATAATATTGCTGATAAGTTGAGGACATTCATTATTCTTTACTTGTTGGTGGACAATCTCTCCAGCTCGTTTGTGGATGAAGTCAAGGCCAAATTCAACCAACTCGACCCCAATCTTGACTTAAGTGGATTGAAGTATATCGAGAAATTCAAGCAAATCAGCAAATTGTCAAATATGGCATCGTTGGGAGAGATCGAAGCCCCGGGTGAGTTGAGTGGGGGACTGAACTCGGCGTTGTTCAATAACTTGTCGTCAAGACTCTATGGTCTCACCGAGGGCCGTCTTACAGAAGGATTGAGTTCTCTTACTTCGGGTCTCAAGAAACTTCTTCCCAACAAAAAGAACTTGGCCATCACCAGCATCGTTGAAGCATTCATGGACCCCACAAACGCTTCAGGAGCATCAGTGCAAATCACCGACGACTACCTCTATTTGGACCCCAAGTTACGTGGAGGACACTCCAAACCCCCCAAAAGACAGAGCTACAAGAACTCCATTGTGTTTGTGGTTGGTGGTGGGAACTATGTGGAGTATCAGAACCTCCAGGAATTGGCCGAGTCCCACCAGGGCATTAATGATATCATTTACGGAAGTTCCGATATCGTCACCGCCCAGGAGTTCTTGGACGAATGTACGGAATTGGGTCGACTCGAGTCTTAAACGGAGAATATACATATATAGATAGCTACTAGTTACGAGCCTCAATAAAGCCGGTGGCCTGTTCTAACACCTGGATGGATCTTCTTGAGTCCAAAAACAACACTTCACACTCTTCAACATCATCAAGAGTGATTTCTTGACGACCAGAAGTTTTGGCCAAAATCCCTGCGGGCAGCAACAATTGTACCGAGTACCGCAACGAAGTGTTAACCCCATGCTCGGCCAATCTGTCCAATGCAGGAGGTGTTACCACCAATCCTTCCAAGGTAGCTCTTTTGCCCAAAATGGCCCGAACTTCTTCCTGGGTATACGACAACGTCCGCACAATCAATAACCGGTCAATCAAGTCAGGAGGACATCCATGAGGCGCCTGGATGTCGTCGTCAGCCCCGCGAACCGTCGTCAAGCCTCTATTGGAAGCCAACACCACGAGAGGTGCAATGGAGCTCTCCAAGGCCTTGTTCAAGTAGGTGAAAATTTCCATATCCAACATGTTCACTTCATCCACAAACAACACCCCTGGAATCAACTCGGCCACACCCTGGTCGATATACTTCGACACCACCTTGTTAACCTCCGTACGCAACTTGTCGGTGATTTCAGTCTTTTTGGGCTTCAACAACTGTCCCATCATCAGAAGCACATCCTGGCCTCCCTGAGGACGAGCATTAGCCACGTCCAAGTCGTGCAATGTCACGTCCTGGACAATCTCCTTCTTTTTGTGCACTTCTCCCTTAGGCAACGGAACATACTCTTCTGCTTCAAGGTCATACTCGGTGGCATAGGCATCTGAACGACCAACCCGTTTGACGGTTCCGGTGTTGGCTTCAATATAGATGACATCACCAATCGTCACCCGTTCCTTCTGGATGCTCTCGTAGATGCTGGGGTCCAACCGCAAGTTTTTGGTTCCTTTGGCAGTTTTTAACCCAACAATCACATGGCTGATGGTCTTACCATACCCACCCAAAGGGTTTTCGGTTTCTTCCGGTGTCAATTCGATCACCTCTCCCTCATACACCTCTTTTGTTTCTTTGATTCTTAAGCCAATGGCTCTTCTGAAGTTTTCCATCAAAGCGGCGGTTTTTTTCACTTCAGCAGAGTAGAGTTCACTACCAACAATCGGGCAAAAGGGCACCTTGGGCCCAAGCTCCTGCGAGATGGCGAGGGCCAACGCCGTCTTCCCAGTGCCAGGGGGCCCGGCGAGGAGAATGGCTCTTCCACTCATTCGTTTGGATTTGATCAAGTCCACAATGATTCCGCAAGCTTCACGAGCATCGCTCTGGCCCACGAAGCCGCCCTCGATTCGCTTGGCCACACCCTTTTCATCGAGCCCAAGACCCTTGATATGGGTGTGGGCGGCGGTTCTGGCTTCACGGACCTGTCCGTCTTTTACGTCTGTGATTTGTACCATGGTGATGATGTATGTTTTTTCGTTGGAGCGAGTTTTTGGCTAGGGCGCGGAAGTCACGTGATCGGAAACGGGGCGTGCGAGACCTGGTATACAATTGCCACGTGATTGCCCATCCCATCCTATCCTGCCAATACTCGCGCCGGAGTTCCATATCTAAATCAATGGCTGCTAATAAATTTTGCTTGACAACCAATTCACGAATTCACGTATCAAACACAATTGCCATGCACAACAGCCGATAGAATTTTCTTAACATTGTTCTTTTTCAAGATTCTGTTGGTATCGACGTTGTGTGAGTGACATCAATGAACACACATGTACCTGGAACTAAAACACCGTTCTCCTATTTGCACAGGTGACAACAGGGCCTTTGGCCCCAAGGAATAACACCTCTATTAACTCCCAACGAGTAATGCATGTTTGACTCTTTGAAAGTATTCATTCCTCATTTCCGCCTTGAAATTCCAAAAAATGTGTCCTCAATTGTTCGATGCATACGGAGAATAACCCGGATCAACCGCTTAGATCTGCATTCGTCCACTCCTATGTGGTATGATGCCAGTGCACCATGTACTTTATTGCAATTACAGATTATGAGCCAACAGCAGGAAAAACAATTGAGCATAAATATAAAAGCGCATAAAAATAAATTATTATCAATTTCATGTAAATGGATTTTTATTTCCAAAAGTCTGGATTGGATGGGTAAAACCAGCCTCAGTTTCATTGGCATTGGTAACCCGAATACTTCTGTCACTAGCTGTATATTTTCTGGTGAGTTATTTTATAAAGTTAAAAAAGTGCGTCGTGCAATTAAGTGGCATGTTAAAAAAAAGGCTTTCAACGGCTAATTCTGCACGTCAACCTCGTTATCATCAATTTCAAATTCGTCATTAGGTTCTTTGGGTTCTTGAGCTTCCGACCACTGAGTAACATCGTCGATGTAACTGAGAATTGTGGACACCGAAGTGCTATCTTTAGAACAGTCCAAGGGTAAAAACTGCACCATGCCAAAATCATCCACTAAGTTTGCAATCAATTTGTTAAGTTTGGAAAATTTGGGGTTGAATGTTTCGTCTTCTTGAGCCAACAACAACGGATCCGGGTTCAAGAATTGTTTCAACTTCTTCTTGTTGAAGTCGTTTTTTACCAAATCGATCTTGGATAAGATATTGATGTGTGGGAGCTCCAAAAGTATCATGGCGGACATAGCACTCAACGCACCCGAGAAGAACTTGGAGTTGTCGATGATAAACGGTGCCTCAAGCAAGTATGTGGCACAAAGATTGAAATTCAATTGGTTCTTCAAGTGTCGAACTATTGTAGGCAACACCGGAACGTGAGTATACAACTCGATTTGCCCAGGACAGTCAAAAATCAAGTATTCATCATTATAATCACCAATCTGGTCATCCAACCAGTCCAAGTTCTCCAAGAGATACTCGAAGCAGTATACTAGCCCCCCATTGGGTCCAAGATCCATCTCTTCCATCACATCTTGTAGTGATATCAAGTCTCTAATATCAATGGTAAACTCGTATTCAGTAGGGTCTGCGGCCGGATCTAAGTTGACAATGTGAGCTCTCCGGCCGATGGTTTGCATGTGGTGGATGATCGAGTTGCAGAAGGTTGACTTACCGACACCGGCAGGTCCTAGTGCCAATACACCGACTCTAGACATTACTAACAATTTTTCGATGAGCAGCAGTGCGCGCAAAAAAGGCACGATAGGCTTCATCACGTGACACACACCTCGTTAATGCCGACACCAGCACTCGTCGTAGTCGTACTCCATTTGTACAATGACTTCCACATGACCGATATCAAAGTGTTTCATACATTGTTTCTTGATATACGAGGCGTTTTCACCACGGTATACCTGGATGTGAATATAGCCCGTCATACCTTCTGGCAGCGGCCAGAATCGTGGAGTCGTGAATGATTTAACCCCCTTGATGGAACTGACATCCTGAAGAATTCCCCGGATCTTCATCTCGTTGTCCTTGTTAAGCGAAAGGAGGAGTGCTGAGCTGGTAGACTTGATGAGAGGAATGGCGGAAAAGAAGATGAGCACGGCGATGATAATGGACGCGATGGGATCAAAGCCTTCCCAGTGGAACACCTTGGTAAGAATGGTGGACACTACCACACCTACAGAGCCGAGGGTGTCTGCAAGGATGTGAAGGAAGATTCCTCGCATGTTGTCGTTCATGGAGGAGGACTTTTCAGGGGAATCACAGGACTTTTCATGGGGATGGGGGTCCTCAGAATGGGAGTGTTCGTGGGAATGAGATCCATGGCCATCTTCATAGGAGTTGGAACTCTGTGTGTGACTATGACTATGCCCATGACTATGCCCATGACTATGGCTGTCACCGTGGCTGTGCCCGTGATTAAAGGCAAATATCCCCACCAAGTTCACCACCAACCCCAACACCGACACCACAATCAACTCAGTCGTCTCTTTCAATTCAATCGGATTGTATAGCCTGGCCACCGCCTCAAACACAATGCCACCCGAAATCCCAATCAATAACGTTCCATTTGTAAACCCTGCGAGAGTCTCAAATCGAGAGTACCCAAACGGAAACTTACTGTTCTGATCCACGGGACTCTTCGAAAGAATACCCGCTACCAACCCCAATGCTAACGACGAGCAATCCAATGCCATATGTAACGAGTCGGAGAACAACCCAAGTGATCCCGAACGGAATGAGTATACCAACTGAACCACCATGAATACCGAATTCAAAAGCAAAAAGTTGAAAATAGCCTTTGTGTCTGGGTGGTGGATGAGCTCCTTGACGAGTCCCCAAGCGCCCACCACCGTTTGACTCACCAGTGGGTACGGCCGAGCACCCACCCAGAGCGGTACCATCAATAGGTCGATGCCGGCGCGGAGCTGGTGGTAAACTGGGACTTCTAGAGCCGCGCCTGCTACCACCAACGCTGCACACACAGTGCCAGGAACAGGAACTGAGCCAGGGCCAAGGGCGCCGGAGGCTCCTCGAATAAAGACCACCAAAAACGTCGCCCCCACACCGCCAGCCCCTGCCACTGCCACCGCCACTGGAACCAGTAGAGCACCACTCGCTATCAACCCCATAGCCCCCACCACAAACGCTAGAGCTGATGCCTTAGTAGTAAACCTCACCCGATCTGCCACCACCGCTGCCACAACCGCCATCACGTACCCAGCAGCCACCGCCACCACACTTTTAAGTGTACCACCACCACCGACCCGGAATATCAAGTCCGCGACCACCACCATTGCTGCGTGGACGTCCATCTTCATGAACACGGCAAACGCTACCAAGCACACTCGCCCCACAGAAACATAGTGTACAGCCGCAACCATGGCCGCCACCACCGCCATAACTGACCCACCACCGGTCACCGACCCACGCCACCCACCACTATCGCTGGAACTAAGCAGCACATCAGGGGCAGCCGCAATGGCCAACCCAAGTGAACCTGCCACCGCGACCGACGCCAGGGCTACCCCCGCCAAACCTCCATTGACCTCGGCATCACGTAGGGCCATGGCACTCACGGAAAGGCCCAAGGCCCCCAAGGCCCCCAAACCACAATTCCGCCGCTCCTCGACCCCTAGTATCGTCCATGGACTATTGATATTGCTCATTAAGTCGATAAGGTTGGACTATACAAAGTCTAAACACATCCACCGCGAGCTGAGGCGCGCACGGCGGACGCTGGCGCACGACGAGGTGGCCAGGTCCTGGCAGCCACACACGACCCGCGCGCCAAATGACATCACAATCCTCCTACCACTAATCCAGTTCATATACACCAACCAACCTAATGACGGAGTTGTTCTTTATGCGCCACGGCAAGCGCATAGACCACGCGCTCCTCACGGACCCCACGGCCACCGCTATATACCCCGACTACCTTCCCTACGACCCGTCGCTCGCCACCAGCTCCATAGATCAGGTGGCCAGCGTCTGTGAAGACATCGCCAATACCACCACCGCATTCGATCCACCACCAAGCAGCAGCCCCAGCCCCGGCCCCACCCACAAAAAGAACATCTTCATCCATTTCTCGCCGTACCTCCGCTGCTGCCAGACGGCTGACCTCATCATCACTCACCTCAAGCCCAAGCTCGAATCTCGCTTTCCCAATTACAAACTCAGGTTCCAGCTCCTAGGCGACTTTGCCCTCAGCGAGTGGCTCCATGAGCGCATGAAGGATAAGCCTCCGTTCTACGACCTGAACGACGCCTATCAGATGTATACCCCCAACATCAAGCTCTTGAAAAACCGGTCGGCGTGCTCCAATTTCAGACCCACCAATACGTTGGGTCACTATAATGGCTACGACTTGAGCTACAAGGACTACCAGAACAACTGCCGCGAGTACTTCAAGAAGCTCTTGGCCACCTACGACAAGCCATCGTACTTGAACAATAAGGATATCATCATCGTCGTTAGTCACGGCTATTTCATTAATAACCTTCTACTGTACTTTGTGACCCACCCCATTTTCGACGAGATCCCCGAGTGCAAGCTCAACTACGCACGCAAGGAGTTGGTCGACCCCGATACCGGAGTCTTCAACTGGGTGTTGGTGAAGGATGCATTAGACATGTTCAACTTTGACGATATCGACAAGCTGTTGAACTTGGAAACAGACATTGTCTACTACAAAACCAACTTCATCAAGCGGGACGAGTTGAATCAGAAGAACAACAATCTCACCATCAAGCAGGAGGATAACCCACGGCCATCGTTCATTTTTCGTCAGACGTCCGAGAAGTACCAGAAGGAAAGCAAGGCTCACATGGGTATAAATAGCACCAAGGACAACTATAAGAATTCGGCCTTTCTCAACAACCCCATATGTCCGGCGGCCAAGGACTGGACTCCTCAAACGGCCCGTAAGTTTGAGATAAAACATGAGTTCAAGCTCAAAATGATCCAGGATGATGTTTTCAAGACACACTTTGATATCACCAAGCCGCCTCTGCACCCCATTTCGCCGGAGGTGTCGCCTAACTCCGAGCCCACCCATAATAACTCGGTGATCGACTTGAGCCGGATCGGTACTGGTGAACACTACCGTCCCATGAAGTTGCGGTACTCCACCACCGCCGAGATCCCCATTGAAACCCTCAACAAAAAGGTTAACTCACAGTTGAACTTGGCTAACCACCAACGGTCGTACTCGCTGTCCAACAACTCGTCCATCACCGACTTCCCTAAGTTCGGCACCTCCAAACGGACCCGGGATTCGTACTTTTCACTTTCGCAGAGCCCTAAACTTACGTCCACCATGAGCGACGAGCTGTTCGACCAAATGGACGCCGAGTCCATCGACAGTAACGACCTGCAAGACAGTAGGCCCAAGGTTCGACATCCACCCAACCCGCTTTTGGGAAGGTCCAAGTCCTTGAAGTATAAGGAAGAATTGGCCCTCAACGGAGGAAGGTCTATTTTAGCCTTGTACAAAAAGCAGCGAGAGCAGGAACAAAACCCCAACAATAGCAGTGATGACGAAGGTAATTTCACCTTATCTTTTCAGCATAAATATCCGTCATCCAAGTCTGCCAATGCCATCAAGCCCCATTCACATCCTTCACAAACCCATGCTTCCCCTCCACAGACGCAAACTCGATCTAGAAAAGGCTCCATCAAGTTTATTCCTTCTGTGTTGAACTACGGAACCAGCCCCATCGACCGAGAATCCAATTCCACCCCTCTTGGTATGTACCAGACTCCGCTGAAAAAATCGCAGTCGATGTTCTACAACTTGAATTCTGACGACAGTGACTCGAACATGGAGCTGCCGGTGTCGTCAGATGATGAAGAGGAAGCGACGGACCCGGTTATTTACAGGGGCAACAACGACCAAAAGAATATGTGGTTTGGCCAAAACGCTAAATAGGTCCGATGAAGCAACGAACTCATGTGTACATAGTATATAATATTACAGCAGCACTCACTCTTGCTCAAGTTTGAAACTTTTTGAACTCGTTCACCAACACGCTCTGCTCCTCTGCCGTCAAGGCAAATGCGTTCTTATAGAGCAGAATCGTTTCCCTTAGTGAAAACTCCTTGGTGGCTCGACCTTCTTCGATTTCTTTCAAGAGCAGCTCGAGTCTTTTTCGTAAAAACGGCTTGGACAATGAGATGTTGTTGGCGAAGCTGATACTGCTGAAGGCTTCAATGAGCCCCATTCCCAACTCGGTGGGTAATATGATATGGCTTTTGCCGGTCTTCTTCTTGGTGATATACAGACGTTGTTCTATTTTGTGGATGTGCTCGGCGATGGTGGCATCGGTTCCAATCCCATTGGCATCCATCAATGCAATTAGTTCGGTTTCGGTCATATGATTAGGAGGTGAGGTTTTACCTTCTTTAACTTCAGCGGACTTCAAATTGACCCGCTCTCCTGCTACAAAAGGCGGGAGTTGTTCGGTCGACAGCCAGGTCCGGTAGGTGTAAACATCCAAATAGTTCTTTTCGGTGACTTCAAGACCCGAGGCTCTAAACGTCTCGTTTCCCCATTGGAGCTCGGCCACCGTTTGAAACCCTTTGGCATCTGTAGAGCAACACGCTAGAAACCGTCGCACCACATATTCGTACACCTTGCGTTGTTTGTCGTTGGTGATGGTTTCAAGGTTCACGTACTTCACGGGATGGATGGGAGGATGGGATTTATCGTTGTTTCTACCTTTCCGTGGAATACCATATTTCCCATCCACAGTCATCAAACTGGTGGCATAATGCCCCCACCGTGAGTCTTGTGTGTGTGTTTGTATGATACTTCGGAGGTCCATCTCGGGGGGGAACATGTCGGTTTCGGTTCTTGGATACGAGATCCATCCGCTTTGATAGAGCTTTTCAGCCGCATCCAAGGCTTCTTTGGCACTCATCTTGAAGTAGGTGGCACAGTCTTTTTGAAGCAGCACTGTTGTCAAAGGGAACGGCTTGAAGTTGGAGGTGGGTTTTCTGGTGACACCTTTTATGGTTCCATGGGTTGATTTCATGCATTCCTCATAGAGCATCACCACAAACAACCGATCAAAAAAATGGGTTTTGGCCCACAGAAACAGCACCGTTTGGTTCAGTTTCTCGACACTAGTGGAAATGTACCAGAACTTTTCGGGCACAAAGTTCTTCACCCGTTTGTACCGGTCAACCACAAACCCTAATGTAGGGAACTGGCACGTCCCATACGACACAATCTCGTCCACAAGCTTGCTTCTTCTGAGAATATCGGTCAAGAGCCGTGTGAAACTGGCCCCAACCCGTAGGTCGACCTCCTGTCGGCAATGCACCGCTTCCACCGTCTTCATGTTCAAGTTCTGGGGATTTCGAGCAGCAGAGAGAATATGATTCTTCTCCAAATGGGAGAAGTGAGGCCTCCACACCGACGAGAGAGACAACCGGGTGTTACCCTTCTTGGCAGCCTCCAAGATCTCGTACCCAATGGCCTCGCCTTCACGATCACAATCGGTCCATATCATTAGGTAGTTAGCAGATCGGGCCTCGTTGGCAATGTTCTGGTGGATGGCGAGTTTAGACTTGTCGGGCTGAATTTTGACCGGGGCATCCAAGAGACGCCCTGGAGGGACTCTTCCCCACGCGTACTCGGCGGGAAAGTCCATGGATGTGATATGGCCGGTGACTGAGGTCATGGTGACATCGCACAAGCCATGGCCGGGGAAGGTGAATTTGAAGTCAAAGTTGGCATTGTACTTGGAACGAGAGTCCCGTCGCGTCAGGCGCCCTCCGCTGAGAACACTGGTGACCTCCTTGGCTATCGAAGGCTTCTCGGCCACACAGAGTACTTTCATCAAGTTGTTGGAGATAGTGATAGAGGTGAGTTGATGCGCGCAGCGCGTTTTGGTTTGAGAAGGCACTGAGAACCTCGAGAGACCTCAAACACCGATATACAGAATATAGACTTTCGTTATCCATCCTTGATACTCATACTTGTCGCCTCTTTGACCCTACTTCAAAACTTCTCCTTGTGGCCCAAAGCTCTCCTCGCCCACCTTTTCACCATCAATTTTGCAACCGCGCATCGCTTCCTCCCCACCACCCATGGAAAGCTACTCACCAACCATCAAAACTCTCCTCGAGTGGATCAACACCTACCCGACTAGCACAGAGAAATCATCCCGAGGATCATTTATTTCTTCCAAGATCTCCATCAAAGATTATGGTGATGAAGGTAGAGGTTTGGTGGCCACTAGCAAAGTGTTCAACAACGAAGAAATCATCAAAATCCCCCATTCTCTCCTTCTCAATGCCCACTCCGTCATTCGTCATATATCGGCTTACAACCTGGCCACCAAGTTGCCCGACCACTATTCCAACATCGAACTTTTGTACGATCCACAAAAAACAAATGATGACATATCGCTCATATACTCTGTAATCCAGTACGAGGAAATGCTTACAATGTCGTCATTCCAGCTCGTGTCGTTGTTTCTATGCCTAGAAGCAAAACGTCGAAGCTCATTCTGGCGCCCGTTTTTGGACCTGTTACCTACCATCGAGTCGTTTCAACTCACTCCCTTGGTGTGGGAAGTCATGAAGTTTAAAAACTACCAGAAGTACCTCGATCTTCTCCCGGATCAAACTGGTACCCACGCTGCCGAAGTATACTTCAGGTTCCAATCCGACTTTGATGCTGTGAAACTGTTTCTTCTGACAAAATTAAATACTCTTCACAAGACCGACGCATTGGCAGAGTACTTAGACGAACAACAGTACTTGGTGGCCTGGATGTGTATCAACTCTCGTTGCCTCTACATGGAACTCAGAGAAAGCAAAGACAGTAGCGACAACTTTACCATGGCCCCGTATGTCGATTTCATCAATCATACCGATACCGACCAGTGCAGCTTGAAAATTGATGGCAGAGGGTTTCATGTTTCTACCACCACCACGTACGAGCAAGGAAACCAAATGTACTTGAGCTATGGTCCACACTCCAACTCATTTCTCCTTTGTGAATATGGCTTCACGATTCCATCTAATCAGTGGAATGATTTGGATGTTTCCCCAGTGATCATCAAGCAGATGAACGAGAACCAAATCGAGTTCTTGAAAGCCAACGATTATTATGGCGACTATACCATCCGAAAAGGGTCGGGGGTTTCGTACAGAACGGAAATAGCTTTGGCGGTATTACAGGAACCGCAGCCCCAGAACTCGAGGAAACTCAACGCATATATCCAGGGTCTTTCAGAAGGGGAACATTATAGTGCAGGTAGCCGGTTACTTCTAGAGGCCATTTTAACGGGGCCGGTGAAAGACTATGAAAACAGCAAGCATTTACATTCGAACGGGAAACAAGATCAAATAGAGGAGAGAATACTTCGGTGCATTGGTCTGCTCTATGAGGATCTCAAGGACATAGTTGATGATGTTTTATAAAGAGTTTTTATTAAATGTCCTACAATGGGCTTCTATGAAACCCCTTACTCTAACTCTCCCACGTTATTGTTGGTTAATCACAAACTCAGACGCATTGTTTTCCAACGTCCTGTCAATAGAATATTTCGTTTTGATCATCGAAACCAACATGTTGTTTGTAGGTGTGCTGATTGAATGCTTTTTCCCCAATTTACTGATATAACCATTAATGTAGTCGATCTCCGTCGGCAGTAGATTCCGTACATCTTCTCTCATTGACGAGCTATTGCTGGCAGTATTCTCAATCACCTCGATCACAGCATCAAGAAGTCTCTTTGGATCAATAACCGTACTGGCTTCGGGCATGGCAATGAATAGCGGTTTATACTCGACCCGGATAGTTGCTACCAACTCCCATATAACTCTCATCATCATCTGAAATACCTTCTTGCCCTTAAGCAAGTCTCCATTCTTACAGTCCAAAATGGCAGTGAGTGGGTTCACACAAGCATTCACTGCCAACTTCTCAATCTCTTTCAACACAAATGTATCGTAGTCCGTATACGTGGCATTCAACGGTTTGTTTTGAAGTATGTTTTGGATCATCTGTGGGATATCTTCATTTTCAAAAGGAACGCCGTTGGGAATCCTTGAAATTGTCATTTTCCCCAAACCAACATGGTTTATGATATTAGGGGACGTCTTATAAGCCCCATGAGTGACCACCGCCTTGAATATCCGAGGAGATTCTCTCCGTCGCGACCAGAACCGGTCTATACACTTGTCTATTACCCCCATGCCATTATGTATGAAAAGCACATTGGAGGTGTTGCTCAACAAATGTGTGTATGGAGCCAATGCAGCAGGAGTTTGGTATGCTTTTGTCGATACAATCAAGTTCTCTATCTTAAGAGGAGGATTATAATCAAGCACCGTAGCTGCAGTACCACTTCGTATACGAGTTGTGGATGATATCATATTACCATCTTTATGGACCCGGTTAACTGTCAACTGTGAATTATATCTTTTAGCGGCCTCAAGGGTCCGACAAAGAATCATTATGTTAGACTCAGGATTAGCAATCTGTAGCTCATGTGCTACAAGGCCTCCGATAGACCCTGCCCCCAAAACATGGATTCCCAAAGCCGATGGTTTCATCAGTGATGAGTTTGTGATTTCGCGACTCGCAGTTTCTGTGGATGTAAAATAATGTTGATAGTGGGTTTGACTGGAGGTATAGCTACCGGGAAATCAACGGTTTCCAACCAATTGAAAGAAACATACAAGATTGATGTTGTAGATGCTGATCTAATTGCCAAGGAAGTGGTTTTACCGGGACAGGCTGCTTACAAGCAAATTGTAGCGAAGTTTGGGTCTGAGATCCCTGATCTCTTACTTGAAGACCAAAACTTGAATAGAGAAGCGTTGGGGAAACATGTGTTCGGCAACCATGAACATCTCAGGATATTGAATGCCATAGTGCACCCAGCAGTGAAGAGAGCAATTTTCTGGAGGCTTTTCAAGGCATATTTGACATTTTCCAGACTTGTTATACTTGATGTTCCTTTACTATTTGAATCTGGTTTGCACTTAATTTGTGGGAAAGTTATCACTGTGACGTGTAACAAAGATACACAGTTGGAAAGGTTATTATCTCGGAACCCAACGTTGACTTCGGAGGATGCACAAAAAAGAATTGGCAGCCAAATGACTAACGAAGAAAGGTGCTACAGGGCTGATATAGTGATAGACAACAACCAATCCTTGAAGGAATTAGAAAGAAAAATTGCGTCTGTGGTCAAGGAGGTGATGCCAAGCTGGTTTTTTAGTATTGTGGACTGGTTCCCACCTTTTGGGCTCTTATCTGCTTTGCTCACAATGACATCGCGATATGCGATTGACCGGTTTAAGGTTGGCCGCCCAAAGAGAGAGTAGTCTTACGAGTAATGTAATATAAATTAAATGGTTTCCTATTTATCAGTGTATCATGCCCGCCAATATTGAGCCAAACTGTGCAACCGGTCGATCACCACCGGCAAAAATGCATTCACACTATCGTTGATCAAATTTTGGAAATGAAGAATCGCCTCTTCCTCTGTCATCTCCAAGCAAAACTTTTCCTGGACCTTCTCCACGGCCCTAGTTGGGTCCATCTTGATATCTGGAATGTTGGCATCCAACATCAATTGGAACAAGTTCAAAATCAAGTTGGAGTTCTTTCTTAACGTAGTGTATGTCACGAAACAGTAGTTGTTGAAGACATTGAAGTTCTCATGACTCAATCCTCCCATTCCATCAATAACTTGGATCGGTAACTTCATTAACGGTGGGAACGGTTTGGGGTCCCGTCCTAATATGTACCCGAAATCTGCGTGCCAGAACTTCCCATTGGGAGACAATAAAAGGTTGTCTAGATGCCTATCACCAACCCCCAATAAATACGTTATAACACAGTAACCAGCACAGGATTTAACGTAGTTGTCCATCACCACCGATGATACACCAAGGTCGGAGGTTATGGCATGCCTGTCTTCGGCGGGAGGATGCTTGGGGTTTCCGAGCACACTGGTGGCTATTGGATCTGCTTGTTGAAGCTCCTTACTGTGGTATCGCAAAAAATTGAGGATACCATTGTTCATGTTGATGGAGTTAGGACCAGAACTTTCGGGGCCATAATTCTTGACAAGAATGCTATCTAATGTTTCATTCGCCACAAACTGGATCATACCCGCTATAGGACTGGTAGCTAGAATCCTATACGGTGTCAATTTCAAGTCCAAGTTCTCATTCTTCAACAACTGGTCCATCAAGTTGATAATCTGTATAACGAGTTGGTCCTGTCTCAAGTCGTCTCCGATCTTGAACATCAAGGTGTACTTTCCGTATTTCTTTCTGTCACCAAATATCTGGTTTCCAGAACCTGACAGGTCCTTGATGACAGTCTTGAAGGTTAATTTCAAAGGAGACAACGAGCTCTTAAACACAGATGATTCTTCTGGGTAACACCCACAAATGATTATAGAGGGGTCCAATGGCAAGGGGAATGAATGAGGAAACTTCAAGAACTCGTTAGACGAGTCTGCCAAATGGTCTCTTAAAAACTGGATTTTCTTTGCCGTTGCCTCATTCTTTTTGAAGGTGGTACGCAACAATTCCACCAACCCAGTTAACTTCTTAATGAACCACACCTGTCTCTTCAAGTAATTATAGTTGGGAAGTTTATTTTTGTGAGCAAAGCTTTTGAGCTCTTCAATATACTTGTTGAGAACGATCGAGTATATCTTGACAGAACCTTTCCCATTGGTATTCAACTGGTCTTCATTTTCTACCTTCACGTACCAGTAAAAGAAATTACCAAGAATATCATTTCCAACCGCCTTTTCAATAAGGAATGATGCCAATGGAGATTTTTCTAATAGCCTTAGCTCGGCCTCTTTGTTGGAAATCGTACTGTTCACATGCACGTCATCATCCATTCCATTGGAGTGCAGAACAACTTCCTCATCATTAATAATTGCATTCAACTCGGTGTCGGCAATAATAGTCTCGTACTTAAGGGCTTGAACAAGTTGCAACAAGTACAACAACAACTCATCCTGGCTTGCAAGTCTTAGCCTGTCGACGGCAAAGTTCCGTAGCTGTCTCACATATTTGAATATCTTCTCTGACTTTGTTTCCTTACTGTTTCCATCCTTTTTGGGAGTTGGCACCGTGACATTGGAGGCTAACGTAAAAGGGTTGAAGTAACTGCTCAACAAGTCTAAGGCATCGCCTATTTGGATCTTGTCAACAGACCAGTAGTAGGGAATCATCTCGTTAAACGTATGGTCCAATTCATAGTCATTATCCCAGTTGATGGACTTTAGAAACTTTGTCAAAAATTTCTGGTTGATTTTGGACACTTCAGGTTTGTTGTCAGAGTTGGAGTTGGTAGAGTTGTTTTTGGAGAAATAGTAACGGAATTTCCAGATCAAATTCTTTTCGATTTCCGACAACTCAATGTTGGAAGGCTTGTCAAGAATCTTCAATAGTTCGTCTCTTAATTGTGGAGTAGGCTTCAACTCTTTATCCAAAAGGCTGCTATTGTTCATGTTTCTTTCGAGCTTATGATACTTCGACTCTATAGGGTCCAAATTGTTCCAGTTAAGTACATATCCTTGATGATTTGCATTATTGGTCTGTTGTGATGCACTTACCAAAGACCCCAAGCTCATGAGGTGAAAATCAGGGTCAAATACTTTGGTGGGACCACTGATATCGATTTGGTTCACCACCGTATTGGTGATATTATTCTCATTCAAGTTGTTCTTATTAACCTTGAACTCCTCTATTATCGCCTTCGTGTCGGGTAGCTCGTATGAAGTTTCCGAATACACGATCGGCAAGTCGAACCGTGGTAGTTCAATGTATAAGTAGAACAAGTCGGAGCCTGTCCCTGTTTTCAATTCATCATTGCGGGCTTTCTCCACAAATGGCAAACTGAATTTGTCCAACCAGTCAACCTTTGCGAAGTCACCGTTCTCGTACTTGATGAGATTCAGTTCTCCGTCGTTCATGTCGTCAGCATCATGATAGTTGATTGTGACATCGTCATATTCAGTTCTAATAGGAATCTTTTGCATTCCTTTCCTTAACGTCGAGTCCGAATGGTTGAAACTCAGCAAGTACCCTACACCGTAAACCACCTGCTTACTGTCAGATATCTCATATAAGGTGAACTTCAAGTAGGAGTCTATTGATAGCTGGTTATAGTTTACCGGGAGCTTCAAGTATTTATTCCAAACCCGCTTGTTGTTGGTGAACGAATGATATGGCGAGTGGCATGGCAATGTAACAGGCTTGTGGGTGGACCCACTCATCACCTCAATCTTCACAAGCATGTCTGAGTTGAAATATATGTTGGAGAGCCTCTTAAACACCTGAGGATTGGAGTACTTATCGGATGGCTTTGCGAGCTTTTTTAGTACAATTGAGTTGTTGGTTGGTTGTAGATAACACAACTTGACTGTAAGCAGCGCCTTCAAGTCTTTGGAAAGCCCCAAAGCACTCACGTTTGTGGATGTTTGTGATTGCGTACTTTGGGTCATGTAGGCCAATATACTTTTAGTGAGTCGCGATAAGATGGAGTTTTTTTCTGCTTGTACTACTATGTTCGGCTACAACAGCTACAACAACAATAACAATAAGAATAACGGCAAAAGGCCGCCGTGCAAGTTCTACCCCAACTGTAGAAAGGGTAACAGCTGTCCTTTTTCACACGAAAGGGGTGATTCAGATGGTCTCCAGAATGTCTGGAACAGTGAAACTGTTGCGAGCTTCACTAGCCAAAATGCCATTAACCCCAAATCAAACCAGATCAAACAAGACATGAGAGACTTCAAGGATTTTGCTCTGAACCCTACGCTATCCAGTTACGGACTCGCGGCGCCAGCCGTGGTCAACCTTATAGAAGGCAGAGATATGAGTTATGAAGAGGTGAGATTAAAGTATATGGAAGCGGTGAGCACCAATAAGATGGCTGAATTCGAGAAAGAAATGGCCGCTCGAGACAAGGACATGCAATTTTGCATCAACCATATGAACAATAAGGAGCAACATGCCGTACGATACCTACAAACGTGCATGAGCCAAGTTCCTTCCAAGAAGTTTATTCCCAAGACGGTGGAAGAGAATATCAATGAATTCATGAACAGTTCAACCGGGTTTGGCGGTGGTTTTGGGACGCCATCAACGAGTGCGTTTGGGACAACCAATCCGTTTAGTTCGTCCTCTGGTGGGTTTGGTTCGTCTGGATTTGGTCAGAACAACACCGCATCTGCTTTTGGCCAGAGTAATACGAACTCTGCTTTTGGCAATACTACATCTGGCTTTGGCTCTACTCCTCCTGCTAATTCGGGGTTTGGAGGCTCGGGATTTGGCAAATCCGGATTTGGAAGCTCTGGTTTTGGCTCATCTGCCTCTAACACCAACTCCACAAGTACAGGTTTTGGAACTTCAGGGTTTAGGAGCTCTGGTTTTGGAAGCCTGGGAATACCCACAACTTCTGCTTCAACCCCAGCTGTTTCTTCTGCATTTGGAAACTCTGGATTTGGAAACCTGGTCACACCTAATAATCCCACCCCAATATCGGCAGGCGCCTCTGCATTTGGCAACTCTGGGTTTGGCTCTTCTGGGTTTGGTGCAAACTCAACATCTACCAATCAACCAAGTGGAGGATTTGGATCGTCTGGGTTTGGAACTAGATCTACCAGCAGCAGCCAACCGTCTAATGGATTTGGTTCGTCTGGGTTTGGTTCTTCTGGGTTTGGCTCCTCAGGATTTGGCTCCTCAGGATTTGGTGCTTCAAAGAACACCACTGGTGGCTTTGGAAGCAGTGGATTTGGTGCGGCAAACACCTCCCTGGGCTTTGGAGCTGCCAATGCCAATATCCCTTCTCTGGGATTCGGAGCTGCTAGTCTGGGATTCGGAGCTGCTAATCTGGGATTCGGTTCGTCCAATACGACTGCTCCGTCAGGCTTCGCTACTACCACCACAAACTCATCTTTAGGGTTTGGAAGTGCTTCTCAGACCGCATTTGGAGCTCCCGATACTACCACGTCACCATTTGCACTGGCCACAAATCCACCCACCAAAGGTATCTTGGGAATCTCATCGCAGAACGAGCCGAAGTCCCTTTTAGGTGCTATCACCGACAGTGACGTCGACGAACGATTTAAAGCTACCAAGTTCGAGCTTGGACGTATCCCCGAAACTGCACCTCCCATGGCTGCGGTTGTATAATAGTATGTAGATGCCCTTTTACGACCCATAATATATTTGCATTACAAAATTCTATTGTCATTTGTGAAATCTGCAAAAGACGAAATCCCTAATAAACCTGTCTGAAAAATCCCCAAAAACTATTCATCAACGAGTTTCCCCTTCAAATAGCTTATCACAACCCTTTGTATTCACCTCCAACTTTTTCAATACCAGTTGGTGCAAACTGTTATCAGGCTCAAAGTTGCAGCCAAAACGTTTGTGAACGCGACTCTCAAAAAACGTATTCTTGATGATCTGTGTGGAGTGTAAGAACCCTAATGTCAAACATGCCTACTCCAAGTATAAGGGTGATTACATCAAGTTAGACGTGTGTTCAGTATGCAACCATGTTGTTGACAAGTATGTGGAGTATGATAATGTCTTGCTCTTCATCGATCTTATGTTGCTCAAACCTCAGGCTTATAGACACTTGTGCTTCAACCTTACCGAAAACGAAATGACAGCCCCAAAAATCCCTACACGTACACCGAAAGGACACAAAGGCAAGAAAATGAGTCTAGAGAAACAGACGTGGAAGTTAGGCCAAATCACTCGGTTCTTGATTCTTGATATCTTATTCGAAGTGTACTTATTATGGGCTTACGAAGAAAAGAAACACCAACACACCCAAATTATGAACGTCATATTACTGCAGGAGTTGCATATGCAGTATTTACTCTTCACTGTCAAGGTTGTTTTGGACCATGTGTTTTTCAATGCCGCTCTCCAACTCATATTTTTCCAGTTTCTTGGTTGGAACAAAATGCACAATGGAAACATCCACCAAAACCAACAGAGACTTTACCATTCACTAGTTCTACTAACAGACATTCTTGTGGCCAATTCTATTAAACTACTCCCAATTCTCATGTTGATATGGCCGTATGATAAGACCCTTGAGTCTTCAAAAATCGTGCTTGCAATCTCCATTCTTAATGTGATTGAGTCCCTCAAGACCATTTCAAACGTGGGCTACGTCAAAATCGCTATCACCTTCGGCGTATGTATCGTATTCCAAAAGGTCATGACAAGCACGATTGTAGGCTTGATAGTAAGCCAGATGACCAATTTTGAGTTCTCTGAGCTTTTTTTTAATACTTTCCAGGAGCGTGCTAACGTGATTCAGTCATATACAAGGATGTTAAAATTACCCAATCATATGGAAATACGTTAATACAACCTGTCATTTGTCTATCCAATTAAAATTTATAGTACATAGTTCTAACAAAGGAAGTTTTGGGTTTCATATTAGTTGCAGTAGCAAGTCTGTTTCACTAGTAAAAGTTTCCAACAGAGGATTTGAGCTTTCTGACTGTCATTCCGTCTCCATTCACAAGCAATAGGTCGTTCTTATCAACAGCCACCAACGGACCATCCAAGCTTTCTATCAAGTACGGATAATCATAGGTTTGGTTAATTTCTCGTCTTTCGTCAAGAGTCTTGAAAGTTTCATTGGCATCATTTGTGACAGTTGTCTGCACTTCATTGGTATCCGTCAAGAACGATTCTTCGTCGTGATACAGACTATGAGCTACCAACTCGTTGTTGTTTATAGCTTTCAAAGCAATGAAATAGGACAACGGCACATAGTTCTTTTCAAAGTTCCATAAGCAACCCAAGACAAAAAGTGGTAAGGGAGCCAACGCAAGAACTGAATAAAAGGCTTTTTGCAATGATAAAGTGGCTGCCATCATGACATGTAAAATGAACACGCCCATCACCACCCTGTGAAATATCAAAGGCCAAACCTTACCGGTGGAATGAGGAGGATGAACACATGCATATAATAACTGATACTTGAATACAAAGTAGCCGATCAAGAAATAGGCCAACCCAGCTGTCAAGATCTTAGTAGACATGATGGAGTAGATTATCACTATGATAAAAACCAACATTGGTTGAGGGAGCTGCAAGCCGAAATTGAACACCGGTGGTTTGTATAGTTTGATATAATCTCTGGGAGTTTTACACCAGAGTAATGAGCCAAACATGAACTTGAGCAAGTTACCTAGAAGCAACAACTTATACGGGAAAATACCTATTCCTTGTAAGATGATCAAATCCACGTAGAAAAGCGATAAGTCTCTTAAGGACTGAGCCAACTGGTAGGCGATTTTGATGGTGTCAGTAAGGGAAGCCGTACCTACCAAGGTAAACACCAAAAACAAATTGACAAAGGTATAGAAAAAATTCTTCGATACAGACGAAATCTCTTCATCACTATGAGAAGTGTACCCTTGTTTTGAGGTCATGTAGATGTAGAAATATGGAACCACCATATTCAAAAGGGTGAAGATATATGGGGGTAACACCCCAGTCACTAAGGTTTCTGCGTACGGGTTGTTCTTTAAGAACTCACCCAACTTTGGAGATATCTCGGAGATGGTCTTGGTGTTCAAGAACCTGGCAAGGTAAGACACAGGAATCACCAAGATAATACTCAAGAGTCCAAGGAAAAAGGTCACCGTCCCAATTCGGGAGTTTCTCTCGCTTCTCGTCATACACAAGTTGTCCCATCTGATATCATGAGGGGCAGGTGCAAGGCTTGAGGTTAAGTGATTCACCTTAGGGTCCAACACCGACTGGGCAATGATCTGAGCTTCAGCAACCGATTTCATCGTCACAAATGCCGATGAAGTAGCTGGATACTCTCTTGTGCGAGCCTTCAAGATCTCTTTGTCGATGATATCCAACTTCTCGGTGTAGTAAGTGATGGAATCCACGGTGGGACTGAACACGTTCCACCACTTCTGTCTGAGTCTGGGTCTTCTGAAACTTTCGTCGTTAAGCAATGGTAAATGGCTGATCGAATCTTCGGTGACTTCATTGTCAAAATCATCAGTCAACTGTTGGACAATGCTTGAATGTCTTGCAAGAGCTGGAATTTCGGCCGGCTCTGGGATGGTATCTGAAAACGATGCCAGTTCGTCTTGCAAAACATCCTGGTACTGCCTGTTCAAGTTGATCAGATCACCTAGATTTGGGTGCAAATGGGCAGCGATCAAGTCATTTTGGTTCTTGAGGTTGTTGATTTCAAAATAATACACCCATTGGTTCTCTAAGTCCAGAAGAACCTTTTTTCGGAGCTTGAAAAGCTTATTCAAATCGGTCCATTCTCTCACGATGGTGATGGACTCAATTTCTCCCAATCCAAGACTCTCAATGTGTCTTTTCAAGTCCTCTTCATCTCGTAATTTCGGAGGAATTCCCGAGAGCTTGATGGTTCTGTCGGTAATGGAATTCTGCTGGCCAAGGTACTTCTGCCGCATATTGATGATTTTTTTGGTCTGCTTGAAAAGAAAGTACATGACGATTCCTGTCACCACGTACGTGAAACATACATAGAGCCACAAAAGGTACTCGTTGTTCTGGTACCGTTTCTTGGTATCGGGATTGTCAGGAGGATAGTCCTGATCGAGTCTTCCGGTGAACTTGTACCGTATGGGTGATATCACCACAAGTGCCAATATCACACAACTGGAGAGGATCTTGATACACATTTTGAAGAAGCCCAAGAATACCACGGCATCCAAACCGGCATGTTCAAGAACCTGCTCTTCATTAATCTTCAATACGATAGGTATCCATCCAAATAACGACTTTGTGGGTAATCTCGGCAAGTTCTGACGTGATGAGCTGTGTAAGTAGTTGTGATTAACCTGATTGAAGTTGGCGACGTAGATCTTGGGGTACTTAGATCTCAACAATGCAAATGTGAGAAACGCAGAAAGCCCCAAGATCACAGCAATGACCACTTGCACTTTAGCAGCTTTAGCCACACCTCGGTAGAGCTGTGGGTCATTGATAGGGTTTGTGGAGTTAGTGTCAAATATATCCATGATGGGGCAGTAAAGGCATTAATGACACAAATAGGCACAGACAGGGGATGAAAAGGCGATAGTTAAATGGTCAATTAAACTTATTTTGATGCCTCGATAAAGAATAGACGATGATTAAAAACGCGGTTGCGATTGCGATAAGCGGTACGTAAAGATCATCAATTCATTATATTCTACGGGTTGTATATACTTTTAGTCTTTTTTGTCTTTGGCCTGTAGAGATTGCAAGATCTGTTCGAGCTTGGAGCTTACCTCGACCTTGAACTTGTAGAACTCTTTTTTGAACTCATTGAGCTCATTGTTCTGTTGAAGCTGATTTTGTTGCAACACACTGATCATGTGATTGACCGGAGGCATTACCTCTTTGAACTCCAATGCCATGGGGTCAGGCATCTGATCCTGGACAGTTTGGGCTTGCGGGTTGGGCTGGGAATTGATGGTGGGGGTTTGAGCAGAGGAATTTGGGTGTGAATGGGTATTTTGGCCTGGAGACGTCTGAGGACCGGCCTGGTGATGAGACCCGGAGATTTCGTGGTGGTGCTGGGTTGGATGTTGTCGGTGAATGAGGAATTGGCTGAGCTGGTTGGGGGATGGGTGGGGTGAGTAGTTGAGAGACTCATTGTAGATTTCGTACGTTTGTCGGTACGGGGTGTCTTCCTTTGGGTCAGAGAGGCCGGTAGTTTTCCATCGGTGGTGCGAAGATAGAACATGCGGTGTGGGAAATGCGGCCGAGTGCCCGTGGTGGGGCAGAACCAGGGCCGCAGGCGTCGACAGCGCTGGCGTGGATCCATTTTGGTGAGCCTCACGAGCAGACAATTGCGAATACTGGAGAGGTGTTTGATTTTGGGTCTGTAGCTGATACTGGCCGATTTGGTTCAGACCCATCTGACCATGGGCCTGACCGAGCTGGCCGAGCTGCGCATTCAATTGGCCCATCATCTGGAGATTGAGCTGATTGTTTTGTGCACTGCCCGAACCAAGGCCAGCAGTCCCCTTCACCAGCAGACTCTTGCTGGATATCGAGGACTGGGGAGAGATCTCGGATGCCCCTCCGCCCACGCCCACGCCCACTCCAATCAACGACGGGGTGTCCGAGGCCGTGGCCAGAGGTATATTTGTGGTTTGAGCATCCTGATCAACAGAGCCACTGGTGCTTGAATCACTACGTACGTAGTCCAAATCTTTGACCAAAAGCAAGCCGTTCTTCTTCTCCTTCTCAATCACCTTGCCTCTTTTAAGGCTGAAAAACTCGTTCAAATATACCAATAACCTCTCATTCTCATTCAATCGGTCCTTGGTTATCACTTGACTGTTGATCCGCAAATTGATGTCTTTTCGTAGCGCCTTGAACCGATTGTTCAATGTACGACTCTGGAGAATGCTCGTGTTGAGAACCCCGTTGAATTCGGCGAGAATATCACTCCAGCCTTTACAGGTCGACCCCCGTTGGTAAATTTCCTGGCGATGTTTGTATATCAATTGTAGTAACGTGGTATCCACGTCATACGTGAAGGTGAATTTGGCTTTTGTGCCCATACCGCGTAGTTGTGGGAGGCAGTAGTGGAATTGGAGCACGGAAAACGGGAGATGAAAAGTGCAGAGCGCTATCGAGTGTATTTATCTCAACCGTTTGTACGCGCGCCTGGGGAAATCCTTCATCTCACTCCATTGTTTACTTCCATGGATGAAAAGAGTTATAACTATATCAAGAGCTTCATTGATGCCCAGATACGTGAGATCAACCGTCCGGTGGAGCTCAGCCGCCAGGTCAAGGCGGTGTTGAGTGATGAAAACATCAATATCAAGCAGTTTCAAATCACCTTGATGCGCTTGAATCTCTTGATCCGCAGACACAATTCTAACATGTTCCCACCCCGAATCATAAACCAGATTATTAACCAGATTATCAAGAGCGAGAACTACAAGATCGAGCTTGTGAACGAGCGCTTGAGCCGGATCTCTAAGATCATCAAGCCATTGATTCTAACCAATCTCAACCCCCTGAGCAGCAGTCTCCAGAGCGTTGGGGAGGTGAACGAGTTGATCAGTGAGTTGCCCGAGGCCAAGTACTTGTTTGTGACACATTCGGTGGGCACCCACAATGACGACCCTGAAAGCCAACCCCAAGTGGAAGATGAAGATGAAGATGAAGATGATGTCCAGTATGGAGATGGATTGGTTGAAGACTTTGAAGAGACCGTCAAAACCCCGGCTAAGAACGAGAAGTTGAAGTTCCAGCAGACGTTGTACCGCCAGCTTGATCAGAAAATGGGACTTGATAATGAGTTGCTCGAACAGTACGGAGTGGTGAGGAGCCGCTTACTAGAGACAAATGAGCAGCTACAGTACAAGCAGTCTAAGATGAAGTATCTTGAGTTGTTGCGGAGGAAGTTGGCGGATGCGATGGGAATGACCATTGAAGACGACCGGTTGGTGGTTCTGCTGGTGGACAATCTGATGCGGAGCGAGATGAGCAGGTTTAAGTTACTAGTGGATTCGATAGCGTTCAAGGTGGACGGAGCCAACAGATCCCAAGTGGTGGAGATGCTCCGAGAGGTATGAGGGGTTGGGGCATGGAACAATTATCACATATACATCCAACTGACAGTCTATACCAGCTGACATTTCACATTTACATCACATCCTGACATTTCACATTTACATCACATCCTGACATTTTAATGATACACGACTTTAGCATAAACACCTACACAATTCACATCCACTACGAGTAAATAACTGGCCGATTTATATTAAAGATCTATATTACAGCATCTAATCGAATAAACCGAATCCCATGTCATCATCAGATTCTTCCTTTTCTTCTTCTTCAGCAGCAGCTTCTTCTTCAGCAGCAGCAGCACCACCAGCAGCGGCACCAGCACCTGAAGAAGCAGCGGCACCTCCAGTTGGGACGGAAGCCAACTTGGTGTTACCTTCAGCAATCAACTCTTGGATGTCCTTACCTTCCAATTCCTTCAACAAAGCAGAAATTCTGGCTTCATCAACATCAGCGTTCACAGCAGACAAGAGGGAGGAGACGTCGGAGGCAGATGGAGCGGTGTTTCCACCTTGAACCAATAACAAGTAAGCAGCTAAGTATTTCATAGTTCTAATAGAATAATCACTTTTAAGCAACGGTTGCAGACTATCCTTTGAAGATTTAATGTAAGGTTTGAAAAATTTTTCACTATGTGTTTGGGTAGCGAGCAGAAAGCTGGCGCGCACACGCCAGCTCGCGGGGCCTACTAGTGGGCATGATGTCGCCATCGCGAAGCATGTCGCAGAAAGATGTCGTGCCTTCTGCCCTCGCACTAGAAAACAGTCACATCCAGCCCTACTGTATTTTGTGTGGGAGTGCGCATTTTGCCCTGGGGCCTACCATTTGAGGGCTTTGTGTAACGTAAAATTTTTCAGTGAGACCTTGAGAACCATAGCGAAACATTAGTTTTCAGTTTTTTATTTCACTAATACAAACAAACTATTATTGAATATGTCCGACGCAAGTATGTTTTGATACCTTTATGACCCAAGGAAGTTCATCACACGAGAACACCCATCTATCAAGCCCCACTTCCAAGGATTCGACTCCTTTCATCTAGTTGTCCAACCTCTCGAATATGGACATCCGTAATCCTATGGAAAAATTTTAATGAAGTTGATCTAATCAAAGCCCAAATATATACCATGGTCAGTTCCAGACCCAGAATAACAGATGCTTCTCGTTCCTTGACTTTTACATAAATCCGTTACTAACATTTTTTAGCTGACAGAAAGAAGAGAGTTTTCAAAACCTTCTCCTACAAGGGTGTTGACTTGAAGGAATTGTTGGAAATGCCAACTGAAGAATTTACCCAATTGTGCTCTGCCAGAGTTAGAAGAAGATTCTCCAGAGGTTTGGGATCCAAGCCAATGGGTTTGATCACCAAATTGAGAGCTGCTAAGTTGGCTGCTGTGCCAAACGAAAAGCCACCAGTTGTTAAGACTCACTTGAGAAATATGATCATTGTTCCAGAAATGATTGGATCTGTTGTTGGTGTTTACAACGGTAAGGTTTTCAACAATGTTGAAATTAAGCCAGAAATGGTTGGTAAATACTTGGGTGAATTCTCCATCACCTATACTCCAGTTAGACATGGTAAGTCTGGTAACGCTTCCTCCAGATTCATTCCAATCAGATAGGTTTGTAAATTATTAATTTATCTCATCACAATATAAGAGTTAATTCTGAAGATATGTAAACTGATAGAGAGCTGATTCTTTAGACTTTGATAGAGACAAGACATTCGATAGAGATGTTCTCAATTTTTCACTTTCGCATCCACAGTCCATCGACCAATGGAAGACGTAAACCCGGTTAAGGAGCTTTGCTTCGGCGCCATATCCGGAGTGATAGGTAGGATTATAGAGTACCCGTTTGATACCGTCAAAGTTCGGCTTCAGAGCACCCAGCCGTCGCTTTCAACCGTTCAAATCATCAAATCTACATACACAAATGAGGGCATAATCCGTGGGTTTTATCAGGGGGTAAAAGCACCATTAGTCGGCTCGTGTTTCGAGAATGCCATTCTCTTTGCTACATATAACACATCACTAGAGTATCTACATCGACAGTTTGGTCAACCAGGCAGTGAGCCCCAGTTGCAGTACAAATGTGTTAGTGGGGGCATCGCAGGATTTGTGGCATCGTTTTTACTTACCCCAGTGGAGTTGGTAAAGTGCCAGTTGCAAGTCAAAAACCTCGTCCGGGACAACAGAACACGACATTTGTACTCGACGGTGATAGGGGACGTGGTGAAAAAAGATGGAGTGTTGGGACTCTGGAAAGGTCTCGGGTCCACCCTTTTGAGAGAAATTAATGGAACTGCCATCTGGTTTGGCACCTACGAGGTTGTAAGCGAGTACTTGAATAAGAAGAATCCCGGTTCATCCCTCAACCCGTTGACCAGCGGCGCAATTGCAGGTATTACCTTCAACTTTGCCATATTCCCCATAGACACCATCAAATCCAATATCCAGACAAATGCCGTCCTCAGCTCCACCGATACAACGTATTGGAAAACGATGAAGAAGGTGGGTATACGGAACCTATACAATGGGCTTGGGATCACGTTAATCAGAAGTATCCCAGCTAATGCCATGATCTTTTACAGTTACGAACTTTTGAAGAACAACTTTTAATAGACTAAAACAACTTAATAGACGTTTGCATCGTACGGGTCCTATGGCGATAACTCGGGAATTTCTCACGGTAGGGTATAAGAGGAAAGGGTTACTTTTATGGTATCTTCAAATTGTTCAGACTTGAGATGAGGCGACCCATACACCCATCGAAGCTCTCTATACATCGACTGAATCTCTGACCTCTACATCCACTAAAGTTCTGACCCATACACCCAAAAGTAAGGTCACCTGTTTCCCTGTAGAAGCATAACCTTCTCCTTAGTTGCAATTCCTCTTCCTCCCATTCACAGAACAGTGAGCCAGATGAGGTAATAGCGGCGGCGTAGTCGCTTGGTGCGCCACGCCGCTCTCGCGAAGATGCAAAAGTCGTGTACCTGGCGTTGAAGCGGGCGACGGAGCAACTTGTGCACAACATATGCGGAGACTTGCCTAAATGAGAACAGTTTTGGAACTCAGCTTATATAAATACAGCAGGCAAATCCCCTAACACCAAGTACATACAGTAAATACAACACTTAAAAACGTAAGAAATATGAAAGTTTTTGTTACAGGAGGTTCCGGGTTTATTGGAACAAAAGTTGTTGAGCAATTGATTTCTAAAGGCCACAGCGTCGTGGGATTAGCCAGATCAGACACTTCAGCAGAAAAGTTGGAAACTGCTGGTGCCAAAGTTGTCAGAGGCGAGTTGACAGATATCGATGTGTTGGTGGATGCTGCCAAATCTGCAGATGGAACCATGCACTTGGGATTCATCCATGATTTTGCCAATATTTCCAAAAGCATGGTTCTTGACAGGCAAATTGTCACATCCATCTGCGAAGCCTATAAAGGCACAGACAAATTTTTCATCAACACTAGTGGAACCTTGTTTCTTCATGGACCAGGTCTTAATGACGAAGATACTCCCATCCCAGAAGTTCCGTTGTTACCAGATATGGTTGTAAGAACCGAAACAGAAAGCCAGTTGTTGTCTTATGCGGATAAAGGTTTCAGAGTTATTTCCATAAGGTGTCCTCCAACTGTGCACGGTGAAGGTGACGGTGGGTTTATTCCAATTATTTACGGAATGTTCAAGAACCAAGGTGCTTCGTTTTACCCTGACAGTGGTGAGAATGTTTGGCCTGCTGTTCACAGAGCGGATGCTGCGAAATTGTACGTGTTGGCAGCGGAAAAGGCACCAACTGGTAGCATATTGCACGCAGTGGCCGAACAGGGGATTCCTATCAAGTCAATTGCGGAAGCCATGGCTAAAAAAAGTGGGTTTGAGGCCAAATCAGTCTCGAAGGATGAACTTAAGGAGAAGCTTGGTTTCTTTTTTGGTTTTGTATTCGCCTCAAACAACTATGTATCGAGTGAAAAGACCAAAAAGATTACTGGATGGGCTCCAACTGAAGCTACATTACTTGAAGACATTACTAACAACTACTAATATTTCCGAAATATGTCTATATATATATTGATCGCTATGAACATATTCCCTGTAAAACTAGGTCAAAAAAGTGCGAGAGATTTTTGCAGCCAAAGAAATTGAACAATAGCAAATAATCTACAATGTAGAGTCCAAATTAAACATAAACATATTAGGTGGTATTGGTTGCCATGTATGAGACAAAACTACCCTAATTAATCTCTGGTTCGGCGGTGACATGTAACAAGTAATATTACATAAGCAGATGGTCTTCCATAGCTTCACTGGTAGATTATCACTGACGCAAAACCCATCCTTTCCAGCCATCATCAGTTGTCAATAGTGAAGGCGATAGAATAGCGATTGAATCAGTCACGAGAATGTTTGAATTAACCAGCACGTATAAATCACTGACTGAACGCCCGCCGGAGTTAACCGTAGTTAACCGGCGCAATGGTTTGTCTTGGAAAAACTAAACAAAATTGTTCAAATGGTTACCGAAATTTATAAGAGTACTCATGACCAGGCTCTATACCCAGTAAGATCCGTAGAAGCGTCCGAAAATCATTAGTTCTGTTAGTAATACCCATTAAAAAGATAGCATAACTGCCGCGGTGGAGAAGAACGGCGGAGAAAGACTATTAGTGTATGCAGGGACTTTTGAAACTAGTATAAAAGAACCGGAAATACTCCCAATTATCCTTACTATTCAAGTTACAAACAAATAAATGAAGATATTTGTTACTGGAGGTTCAGGCTTCATTGGAAGTAAAGTAGTGGAAATTTTAATTTCTAAGGGTCATTCCGTGATTGGTTTAGCTAGATCAGACGCATCAGCTGAGAAATTGGAGGCTGCTGGAGCTGAAGTGGTGAGAGGCGAATTAACTGAAATTGACTTGTTGATAAAAACTGCCGCTGAGGCAGATGGAACTATCCACTTAGGATTTCTCCATGACTTTACCAGGTTTGCTTACTGTATGGAAATGGATCAAAAGATTGTAACCGCCATATGCGAATCTTACAAAGGCACCAACAAGTTTTTCATCAACTCCACTGGTACCTTGGGCTTACAGGGCCCCGATCTCACGGATGAAGACTCACCAGTTCCACCTCCATTACTTCCCGGTTTCTCAATAAGAGGTGAAACCGAAAAAAAATTGTTGGCCTATGCTAAGGAAGGAGTCAGAGTGGTGTCGATAAGACTTTCACCAACTGTTCACGATGTAGACTGCAAAGGGTTGATTCCAAGCTTCTACGGAATGTTCAAAAAAGCGGGAGCTGCGTACTACCCAGACGCTGGTGACAATGTGTGGCCATTTGTTCACAGAGATGATGCTGCCGAGTTATACACATTGGCTGTTGACAAGGCTGCAGCTGGTACTGTGTTGCACGCAATTGCAGAACCAGGAGTCTCAACTAAAGAAATCGCAGAAGCAATGGCCAAGAAAGGTGGGCTTGAGGCCAAATCTATTCCAAAGGCCCAGCTTTTTGAGATACTTGGTCCATTGTTCGGTGCTCTTTATTCTGCGAACAATCATGTTTCTAGTGAAAAGACAAAGAAACTCACTGGCTGGGTCCCAACTGGGGCTACGTTCCTCGAGGACTTTGCTGCCAGCACCACTTACTAGCTTATATTGTAGATTGAGCCTTAACCAATATATGACTTTTGAATATGCGAATCTGGAAACCATAACCACAAGCTCGACTTCTATCACCTCAGTACACCACACAAATGATCTCAGACATCTTCTCAAAGCCAAAGAGTCGCATCATGTCAACTGCAAGGATCTTTTCTGTTTCAGTCAAACTGTTGAAAGACAACAGATACCTCCTGGTCATTTGTGTTATATCAATAAACGAAAACACCCGCTCGCTGGTCCTGGCTGGATTTTGAAGGATCTGTTGTAGCTGAACCAAGGGCATTAACCCTGGAACCACGTAGGGAAATCTACTTTTGGTCATATCCACAATCGAGGAAAGCGACCTGGCTATTTCGTCGGCGTCTTCAAAGGTTTTATGGGAGTAAAGCTCGTCAATAACATTCTTTCGGAGATCTACTTGATGTTGATTTAAATAAGCGTCTCTGCCCACAACATTATCAAACAAAAGTGGCCGTTCTTCCACCTTCTCACTTCCAGCATACCTCACCATTAACTTCCCATCTTTGATCTCATCCTCCACATCCTCCAAGTACTGATATACTTCCCGGGCCAAGTCCAAAATTGTATCGCTGAATTCTTTTTTGTACGCCATTTTTGGACAATCAGCAATATAGTACCCCATATAGTAGTACAGCATTCCAATTTGGTCGATAAGCGTTATGTCCCGGATGGAAGACAAAATGCCTAGTGACAAGTGGGCATAGTCAGGATCCCATATGAAGTACACGGAGGATAGAGCTCCCGGTAAGAAGTCCACCACCGACACAGCAATAAGCTTGTTGTCCAAATAGTAGCATTCATGAGTGGGGCCCAATCGAGGTTTCACATCTTTGAATGCACCCAGCCGCTGCCAATTGTTCAACCTTTGCCATTCGTCCCGGGTTCCTTCCTTCTCATGATTGGGGAAACAACTTTCACACAAAAACCTCCTAAAACCCTCTTCCGACACGTCGTCCGGGTCATCATGGTGTATCTTCACCTGATATTTCTTATACAATTCATACTTCTCTCGCGAGAACTCCGACGGTTCAAACTTCGTATGGAACCGTGTAGACGCAACTTCTGCCGCCACGAGATCTTTGGTATCAACTTGGTGGCCGTCAGTGTTGATGCTTTTGACTACATCCGCGTCGACATCACAGATCTCCCGTATGAACCGTCTGATCACTTTCCTGAACTTCTTTGTTATTTTGAACCCATCTTTGCCCTGCCGAATCGTGTAGTACCGACAACAATTTCGGAGGTTATCTTGTTTGTAGACAAGGGTACCAGATCTTCTCCAGCCCTGGTCTATCAATCGCATGTACTGGCTGCTATTCATACTTCCAACAGCCATGTGGATGCCCACAGATTGCGAGGGACCTCCAAGCATCTTCATATACTCATTGGCATAGTAATCTTGCTTTTGGCCGTTACAGTAGCCACACTCTTCCCGCTTGGTGTATTGTGGAGCATAAAGTATCAACGGCTCTGGCATTAAATGTATTTGTGCCTGCGAAGGTGTAGCGCGCTTTTAAAAGCTAGTTTAGTGAACACTAAGTACCAGTTATTGATATGGGCCAGAAGCTATCTCTGCCCCCGTACGAACGGGAATACAAACATACACACATAATAATAGTAGGTGAAACCAGTGATACCCGATATAGCTTTTTTTAAAATATCAACAGATACTCTCATACCATGAATAGCGAAAGCAATCAATTTGCAGCCATTTAGTGATGTGTTGCAAGCCCCAAGGATATTTCTAGCTGGGAGGAGGATAATCACCTGGAACAAAAGGCACGTATATAATAGTTGGCGGTATCCCATATATTTGCTGATTCAGAGAACTTCTGAAGTCGAGTGGCTGTACCAGCAGAACCAGGTACATATTCCTTTGTACTGAAGGGGATACTGGTGGGGACTTGATGTAGAGTTTTGAACCTAAGGCGTTTTGTTGCTTATAAAGGAGAATTTGTTGGCGAAGCTCAGCATTTTCTTCTGAGATTCTCAGGATGCAGCCTTTCATTTGCATGTACTGTTCTCCGATTTCTCTTGGCACCAAAAACTGTTTAGGTGTAGCAGAATTCAAAGGGGTAACTTCTATGATATTCATAGTATCATAATTGACATTCGAATTCTCACTAGGAATTTCTGGAAAAACTCTGGCAAGTCTTTTAGTTGGTTTCATGGTGGGATTCTCAAGAGAAGTAAAAGCTCTAGCAGACTTTTTAGTTGGTTTCATGATGGGAAAGAGAAGCATTGGAATATACTGGCTTATATACCTTGGGGGAGTATCCTGTGGATGTTTCAGATACGCACCAATATTGTTTCACATTTGTTTGAAGTGTGAGTGTGACGGTTTCAGAAATGTTAAGATGGCTGCGAATTTAACTGAAAGCTCTGAAGTTTACGAGATTAAATGGCGAAGCAAGTGTCATATTATTTGATATACTAAATTGCCGATATATTCTTCCCATTGTAATCGAAGAACGGAAAATTTTTCTCAACAAGAGCCAAAGTGCTACCAGAAGACTCGTCTAAGCTGATAAACATTGAAGCAGGGATGTTAGCAATGATTTCATCCCGAGTATCAGTCACATGGGTGTCAACAACACCTGGGTGCAACAAAATTGTAACCGAGTTCTTGACTAATTCATCGTCAGAGCTGGCGTTGTTGGAAGCGATTTGGTATCCCAAATGGTTGAGGCCGGCTTTGGAAGTCCCATAAGCTTGAGATGCCATTGGGTAACCCACTTGGCCAAGTAAACTGGTGGTGAACACAAGCTTCTTGGTCCCCTTTCCCTTGAAAATGTAGGGATAAGCCGCTTTGCAACTTTTCGCAGCACCTTCAACGTTGACATTAAGGATTTGGGCATAAGCATCGACATCATAATCCTGAGGAAGACAGAAAAAGCTAGGGCCCGAAATACCGGCATTATGAATAAAAACATCTACGCCAGCGGGAGCCCACTTCTCAATTGGTTTGAATGTTGCCTCAAACTTGGAATAAGGGTCTTTCAAATAGATAAAAATAGTCTTGACATTCCGTCCGAGAGCTTGCAATTTTGCAGCCGCTTTTTCGTTTCTTGCAGACGCGGTAACGACATTTGACTTGTTTGAAGCCAAATGTTGGCGGAAGTGTAACCAATTCCTCTGGAGGCTCCGATGATTAAGTAAGTAGTAGAAATTGTTAGACTGGATTGTTTGGATTGGATAGAGTGTTCTCTAGAGATGTTCGAAGGTCTTGGTTGCCTCTTATACCTGGCTATTGAACAGTATTCTTTTGTCAATACGGAATTGGCAACAGTACGCTACGGAATTGGTTATGTTTACGGCATGCCTGATTCGGAAATACCTGGTACCATGTCGCTTACTTTTATAGAGATCGCTGGAAGCAAGACGTCAGCATGCGCATTGCCATAAATCCCGTTTTCTAACTATGTGCGCCAATTTGTCAGGCCTCCAATAATTTTCTGCAACAAAAACCCACAATCTCAATTAGTTGTTTGCTCTTATTAAGCTGGAACGCATTTCCCGAGTACACAAGAAAAACGAACTAGCGGTATAGCATCCGCTTGAAAAATACAACTCTTGCTCCCTCAACTCTTTTACTCGGGCAGGTGCTAGGTTTATCTCTCTAGTTTATATATATATATATAATCACTCATCTAATGTAAATTTGCAGCCACAATCATCTATATCCCCACCAACTCACTGCCAAACTCCAAATCGTTCACGTTCACCAAGTCACATCCCATCTGAATCAACGCCATATTGTGCTTGTACACCAATGACTTGGGCCAGTCCACACCTCCCCAGATCCGAGTCTTCATGCCATACTTGTGAGCAATGTTAATGAACCTGGCAAGACTCACCAGCTCTTCGTGCGAAAAAGGTCTTGTTTGGAACTCTTCATTTCCCAAGAGCTGTGTCATGGACGCAGATGCCACTTTGGAAAACTTCGAAACCTCCACCATCTGAGAATTGCTCATTGATTTGAAGTCTTTCAAAGGAGCATCCAAAAATGTGTACACCTTTGGTTGGGCCTTGACAAGCGCCGAAGGAAGGTTTCCCGTAAGTATCACTGTCAACGGCCTCTCCACAAACGTATCCAGCTGGGAATCGTAGTAACTCAAATAGTCCTGGTCAATAAACCTCTGGAGCTGCGGTTGCAAATATTCAAAAGTGTCGTTGGCGTCCAATTTTATATCCATCCAGAGATACAACAGGGTCTCGGGCGAGTTGAAGAACACGCCGTGTTTCACATCGGGGTCAATATTGGAGATCTGGGGGTTTGTGGATTGAAGAAATTCAAAAAGTGGGTCCAAATACAAAGAGTTAAGGGTGAGGTTGTTTCTGAGAAACACCTGGTTGTGGCCCACGTACGCTTCATCATGGTAGAAGGTTGTGGTTGCGATGGCGGTGGTTACCTGATAGTTTTGTTTGAATTTCCAGATGTCGCTTTCGATGCTGCGACACCCATGGGCTAAGGCATCAAAGAGTGGCTGTTGCCTCCAGTAGTCGTTATGGCTGTGAAGCGGCTTAATATCAACGTCACGTGTCAAAGACTCGACCGTGTGCACGTGAGCAGCTGGTGCTTGGGAAAACGACAGCGAGATTGTCGCCATAAATGGCTTGAATGCGTTGATCATAATATGTCAAGAACAGTTTTCGCGAAATGCAAATTCGCTAAAGCGATTGCAAAAGTACATCAAGATATCTTTTACTCTACTTACATGTCTAAATACCAGAATCTACACCTCTTCCCGGTCAATTCTTGGTCTTTTTCATACGTAACAACCGCAAGATCTCCACCAACTTGATGGAGCCCGTCAACAACTCTTCCTTGAAGTAAAACAAGAATGCAGCCGTCGAAATCGACTGGAGTAACTTCACACTCAAACCTCCGTACAAACCTTCAACTCCTTCTTCGCGCAAAATCTTCTTAATTTCTTGCACCATCGACAACTTGACATCTTCCACCGGCTTGGCCTGTTCTCCGCCCACCTGCTTCTTCTTTATGTGCATCCTAGCTTTCAACGTGATGTACGGATACGTCAAAGACGTAGCAATCAACTTCCCGAATGCCCCAATAAAGAAGGCCTTACCAGACGTGAATGAGTTCTTACCATTCCTCGAAACAACCAAGTTCTTGACCTGCTCAAATATAGTATACTGAATAATTGGGTTCACCACCAACACCAACGCCGGGAAAACGCCGGCAAACAATGTCCCAACCCCATCAGTCTCTATGATGCTCAACAAAGTCCCGAACGTGGACGTGGACCGGTTCTTGCCATCTTTGTCAGTTTCCTTTTTAGCAGTCATAGTTCTGGTGTTAGCCACCCAAAACGGGTTGGAGGCCACACAGGTGATGGCTCCTGCAATTGCCCCCGTCACAATTGACTGCAACGTCGATAACCCTTTGCCTTTCCGCGTGGTCAACGCATTGGCTCTTAAAAACACATTACTTGTTAACTCATAGAAATAGTAGTAGATGAAGTTGGTCAATGTGATTCCATAAAGCGCCGATTCCAAACCCGCATACAACCCAAGCACACCCTTTTCGGCGATAATCTGACGGCCGGCTTCAATAGCTGAAGGCTTGACGGTGATGGTATGTGGGTCATTTTCTTCATGTTTTTGCTTTGATTTCTTGCTGGTTTGGGCGAGAGTGGAAAGGGTAACGAGGGGGTAGGTGACAACCATGGACAACGCACCCCCACCGGCTCCTGCAATGGCGTGGGCCAATTCTTCTACGTCCGACATGTTTGGTGATGTGTGAGTTTTGTGGGGACAAATTGAATATATAAATAGTGAAGATTAAACCACGGATCGCACTTTCACATGTTTTGTGGAGGTGGGAAGACGACGACCTGAGCGACACGCGGAAGCCCTTGCGGACGGGCTTGGGAATTGCCTGCCTAATGCGGCAGTCGGTTCATCGCGCCATATTTTAATTGTTTCTCACCTGTTTGGCTGCTTGGTTCTACTAATGATATTTAACGAAACTAGAAACGGATTGGCCAAGAAGTTCGGAATAGTTTCGGTCGGGGCTATCTGCTTAGCTTACTTTGGAAAGGCGCGTGCTAGCAGTTACAAACAGGGTCGGCACACCAACCAGAGTGATGCGTTGGTGGACAGTCAGACTAAAGAGTTTTCCACTGACTACTACTATCCAGGCAAGAATGAAGAGAATGGCGAGTATAAGCGTCGTAGCGAGTATGTGGGGGCTGGAAGCAGTTACAACTCGCGGAGGCCGGGCGATCGGTTGACGATGTTTAAGATTTTTGACAGAGATTGAGATTTGTTGAATGTAAATAGTAATACACATGATGAATGAGATGTCTGATTGGACGCGGGTCCTTGAGCTTTCTTTACGTAGCCGATGTTTCTGAGTGGGCGTTCGGGGTTTCAAGTAGGTGTACTGGGTGATTGAGTGTTCATGTTCCCAACGGAATTACTGCCCCAGAAGCTCGGCATATGCCATTTCATACACCATGTTGCTACGGAGATAGTTGTCTAAACACCACCCACACAAGAAGTTTTCGCTGAGCTCCTGGAGAATCATCACTATATTACCTTTGACTTGGTTGTCCCCATTGAACAAGTTTAGGAGAAGAAACTCGATACCCTTGTTCTTGTCGAAGATGGTTATATTCCCTCCGTGAAGACTGCTTTTTTGTAGCGAGGAAGAGCTGCTGGGAGGCACCAAGAACGTCACCAAAAGAAATATCTCGAGTGATTTGCCAGAAATCAAATACTTCAACATATTGAACCAGATTGTCCGCTCTTCTTGTACATTGGACAACCCGCTTAGTTTTTGAAGGTGATACTGAAGGTCTATCATGAGATTTAACTCGTTCAGGAGGTTTTGTAGTCCGAGGTTATAAGAAAACCTATTTGAATATAAAAGTGAGTTAAACCTCCGCACAATCGACTGGTAACAGCTCACTTCAATAAGCTTAGAAGTATCATTGTTCCAATAGTACCCAATTCCCTGAAGAAGTAATATCTTCTGGTCCTTTTTGGCAACCAGAAGACCTATGTCCGTGTCATGGAAGTTCTTGGAGCTTATGAGAATTCGGATAATCTCGTTGATATGTCTTCTGAATATGAGTTGGATAGTGGTCAAGTCATCATTGTAGTTGAACAAGCTCAACTGCAAGTTGGACAAGAACTTAGCGTCTTCGCCAATAATCGAGTTTTGGAAATGTTGGCGGTTTAGTCCTTCATCCAAGTTTTTGGAGAGCAAGATCTCGTTAGAGTCCAAGTCATACAACACATCCCACAACGATTCGTTATTCTTGAAGAACGGGTTGATGGTTCCGGCCAAAAACGAGTCACACTGCTCCATTATATCAATTTTCGACACGTCCACAATGGGGAAAATGTTATAATTACTCAAAAGACCTGTCAAGATCCCTCCACCGGTGACGATTTTTAGAATAGTCAACATAAAGTCGATAATGTAACCCGAGGACTTGTCGTAGCTCAACAAGATGACCTTTTTCCCGGTCAAGATGGCATTAATCATTAATATTATAGATGGGGTCAGAAGCCCATAGATGGTAAGCTCATAATTCAAGTATTCGGTAGATAATTTGGACCCCAATAGCTGGATCAAGTTGGCCTTGAAGTTTATGTCGGTGGGGTTGAGGTAGTCATCCAAGTTATCTGGTAAGTCTATCATGGGGATCTTGATGGGGATATTCATATTATTAAAAGTCACCACGGAATTATAACTAAGGTCTTTGCGGATGAAAAGGTCCGGGTTGGTAAAGTCCTCAGTGTCGAACAACTTGCGGCGGAAAGACTCGTCGTAGTATATTTTGTCGTTGATAGGCAAGTCCAAAATAGAAGTTATTAGCAACTTCTTGATGATGGAAATATCCTTGTCGTCCTCATGCACCTGGAAGCTTTTGGCGTTTATGGCGTTGTAGAGGTTCTGAAGCACCCCCATGTCGCTGCTTCCAAAGTAGCTGTCCAACGCAATCATCAATAACGGTTTGAAGTTCTTGAAGTATCGCAACTTGGTGATGATGGCAAGAGCTTTGATCACAGACCCTCTTTTCACCAGCTCGTCCTTGACATTCATCACGAGGGTGTAGAGGAAGTATGGGTCGGGTTCACATTTGGCGTCGGACAAGTATTGGAACTCTCCTGTGGATGAATTGCGATAAAGAAGAAACAACGTGTAGTCTTCTGAGCGTTTGTGGATTTGGTCAGGAATCATCAATTCGGGAAGAAACACCAAATTGGCGAGCCCCGGGAGTGACACGGGGATCTGATGAAGTAGTGACGGGCCTTTGTCGACGTGAAACTCGGCCGTGACTATGAATTCGATGTTTTTCATCTTGGGTCTTGGAAAGGTACAAATAGCGGTTTTAGGTTAGTCGAGCGCGCTCGTCGAGGGACACGACATTGTACCGAGGCCAGGCAAATGTCGCGGCTTCCGCTAAACTGATACAATATTGACATTAATACTACAAACTTACAAACAGCTTAGTTTTTTTCAAAGTAATCCTCCATTTCTTGGTCCAATTGTTCAAGAGTCTTCTTTTCCTTCTTGGGTGCCTTTTTCTTGGGGGCGGCCTTTTTCTTGGGAGCAGGTTGAGCGGGTTGGTTCTTTTTGGCCTTAGCAGCTTGGAGTTTGGCCTTAGCAGCTTGCACCTTGGCACTACCCACTGGCTTGATTCTGGAGGCCAAGTTGGCAGGCCTTTCACCGATTCTCAGGGCCAATGGTCTCTTGGAGGGGTCGATAATCAACTCCAACTTCAACTTGGAAGAGCCTCCATCGATGGGAGCGCCATTATATTTTTCAACCGCCTTGGCAGCTGAGGTGCTACTCTTGAAGATAATGGTTGCAATACCCTTGAATTGGCCCCTTTCATTGTAGGACAACGCAATGTTTTGCACACCACCGACTTGAGCTTGAAAGAAATCCTAAAAGAGGTTGGTTAGTTTGGGAACGGAAAAAAATTGGTGAGTAGGGAAGAGCTGGGATCATGGGAAAAGGGAACAAGGAAGCTCATGGAAAGTTGAAAGGGATTAATACGATGGAATATAACTTGCAACCGTAGAGGGAGAAGAAACTCAGCTGTTCAGACACCAAACATCGGTAATGAACTCCCCACAGAGTAACTGAATACCTGCGGTGGTGAACAACCTCATTAGACATCCACCACAGTGTAACCGAATACCTGCGGTGAGAACACGGAACCTCATTATGGCTTTAATGGGAGTGTCTATTTGTCTCTGATGTTTGGGACTTGGGTCTTTTCGTTTACGGATGTGAATCAGGAGAAGGCACCCTAAAAAGTTACACGTTTCTCCCGAATCTCGTCCTTGCTAAACAGTCTGGGAGCAAGCCGTGGCAATGGCCATACGTATCGTACGTTGTCAGCTTTTTTACTCCTTAACAGCGTGAGCGCGAGTTGGTATGAATGAAGATTTTTCAAACTCGCCATTCTCACTCCAGAAGCTGGATATGAGTCGAGGTGCACATGACCAGGTCACTTGGTCTGCCCTTACTCAATCCCAGGGTGAGTGTAGTGGAAAAACCAAGACGAGACTTGTTCATTCCGTTATACCAGGGGCCTGGAGCCACACTTTGAGCCGATATCTCAGCATAATCCATTATTCAAGCTTTCAAGCTTTGGATGAGCACGTGTGTGCAGTGACGGAACGATGCCATAAACATGACACATGTCATAAGCCATACGTAGCCATGAATAGCCATGCATTAAGACAGCGACAGCATAACACATAACACATGAATAGCCATTAGCCATGACCCCAGCGCAGACGCCACTTGAACCAGCCGGTGATACATCACCACTTCTTAGTGATAAATCACTAAGCTGGATACACAAACACGTCTTGCCAGACCATTACTCTTCACACCAGTGCCAGCACTGGCGGGAAACACTCGTAGTGTTAAATACATACTTTGATAGCATTGATAGGAAGATCTCTTGGTAAGCCGTGCACAACCACCTTGGTGGCGTACGTGGTATCCAAGATCTTCTGTTTTTTCAACTGCACTGCCTTGGCCAAAACCTTAGCAGCAGGCTTGACAGGCTTTTTGGACACCAAGTTTTTGGACTTGGGAGCCGTTTTGGTTTTGGAAGCGAACTTCTTTGGTTTGGAGGAGATGATATCGTCTAACGATTTATCTAAAGAAGCCATAATGAGATTAGTGTGATGAGGAACAGGAAAAACTCGTCCAGTTTTCAAGGCGTGCGAGGAGGGTTGGGGAGCGGGACACGACGGTCCTGGGGCACCGCACATAAATGTCGTGCATTTCGCGGTACTCCCTGAGGGGCCACAAAGACACCTGTGGAGGGGAGCTGGCTGGGGCCACAGTTAACACCGGCAACAATTCCAATACCTGGCAATTTAGTTCACTTACCTGCGAAGATCCCGGACATCTGCTCCCCTATTTGGAAATTATTGACAGATCGGCCCCTTCAAATATTATGAAACGCAAAAAGCTTAAACGGTATAAACTCTTAGTTTCCCGGCGACTTTATGACCCCCAGTACATAGATCCCGGAGTTGAAAGCGCATAAACGCATTCCATTTGTTTCTGTGTTACATCGTGATAAGCACCTCACAGATAAAAATTCAATGTTGCAAGCCTCATATCTGTCCCGCTTTTTCGTGTGAAAATTGCAACCATAAGCGAGAACAGATAAGACATTCGTCACCATAGGACACTAGCACAATTAATTTTCGTTTATTCTACACCCATACTGGTAATTATACTCTAGCTAATAATACATACACAAAGAAATGAACATCCAATCTTCTTAGTCCGATCCCAACACAGTTCCACTGCATTGTTGCTTGACTATATGGTTCTCCAACCACTCTATATTATTGGAAAAATAGGAGAAGCACCCGGCACAACGACCCCCCACCAAGCTCCGCTCACAGCTCTTGGTGCCCGGGGGATAGATGAAATGCAATGCCTTCAAGTGGGTTTTGAACGTATCTCTTCGGGAAAACCCACCTGTGGGATGACATTTTGTACCTTTGCCAGAGCCATCGGTGGCCTGGTGATCCTCGTTGTAGAAGGGGCACCGGAAGGCCTTCAAAGACTGGTGCTTTTTCAAGTGTCGCGTCAAGTAACCTTTTACCTTAAACCGGGCGTCGCAGAAACTGCATTCGAATTTATACACTTCTTCCTCCGAGTCCTCGGCTGCCCCTGGAGCCTCGTCGGCCAATATGAGCTCATCCTCCTCTACCTTAATTTTGGGTTTTTTGAGGGTGGCACTTTTGGCAGGTATGTTCTTTCTCTTTTTTTGGTCGGGTGCGGCCATGGTGGTCGATACACCAGAAGTAGCAGGAGTAGAAATCAGAGCCATAAAATCCAACCTGTCACTGGCATCGGTGATCTCGCTGTGGAGATCAAAGTCCACCGACGCGATCGAAGGGTTGTGGTAGCTCACTACCGAGAAGTCTTTCTTTTTAAAAAGCTCGTCATCCAAAGGACTGATATAACTTTCAGTGGAACTAGAGTAGTAATCCAAGTTTGCCGAGTGGGGCTTGAAGTCGTTGAAGTAGTAACCATCACTACCTCCTACCATGTTGAGGTGGAAGTGGCTGTCACTAAGCTCATTGGCAGATTGCTGACTGATATAAACCGGTTGGGTGCCATACGCCTGCTGAGGCTGTTCTGGGAGGCACAGGCCGTACCGCAACTCGAGCTCCTCCTTCTTGATGTGAGAGGTATGGTAGTGGGAGGGCTGGGCCGACAGTGCCAGAGGCTGAGGGTTGGAAGTCTCGTATACTCGGTATTCACCGGAATAAAAGGTCGGGTTCTCCAAGAGATCGTAGATTTGGTCCTTGTCATTCTGGTATATTTCCAAGTCGTCAACGGCGCACGCCACCGGGAGTGACACAAGTGCCTGGCGGGTCTTGTTGCTGAGGTCTTGAATATTCTTTCTGGCGATGGGAGGAAACAACAGGTCGAGTTTAAACACATACTGGAACACCGAGAGGCGCAATTTCAAGAGATTTTTTTGGATGAAGCCTCCAACAACCGGTGAGGGCATCCTGGAGGCAGCCAGGGGGAAAGGCATGTTCAAAAGTCCTAACATTTTAAGCCTTAGGCAGTAGATTAAGTTGTGAGCAACTTTCGGGTGTTTTGAAAATGGTCGAAAAACTTAGTGCGGGTGGGCAGGATATATATGAGCATTGGCAAAAGAAACTTTTTTATCAAACCAAAATGCGCTATAGTGGGAAAAAATGTCATACGGCACCAAAAATCCCAGGTTTGTTTTTTGTACTGTGAAGGAGAACTAAGCCCTCAAAATCTTATTTGGAGTTTTAGATTGGCTACGGGATTGATAAGAGATAAGACAATGTCACCGGACTTTTTGGAGGGTTGGACCTGGAGGTGATAGGGTCTTAATGGGGGGTATGGTTTCTGGGTGTGATGAGGTACCAAAAATAGGATGACAGGGCGATCGGAGCGTGCACTGCATGTAGTGTCAGTGGCCCGCTTTAGCTTAATGGATCCACAGTCAGTGGGAGAACAAGGATCTTCGCGTGATTTCCTCGCTTGGGGGACTGCGGGCAGGACGGGAGAGGAATGGGGTGGCGGCCCATGTCGCGAGAGGCTAATAGAGGGGGGATGAGAGGGCTGGGTGACTGTATGTATGCCTGGTTGCATGTCTGTCTATGGGGAAGGAAAAAGTTGATAGGGTTGGGTAGGTGAGACATTCATCGCTATATGATCGTGGAAAACTCAACGGGCTATTTTGAGTTCGTCGCTGTAGTTCCTGAAACGGAGTATTTACGGGGCGGTGCGACATTTCTCCCGGGTTTATGATTACATCAGCCCTGGCCGCGCACGCCTCCCTTTTACGGTTTATTGCGCCAATATATGCCCAGTGCACGTCTCGAAGTCCTCGATGGTTTTGCTGGCGTCGCGCGGTGTGTGCACGACATACCCTCACTTACAACTCATCTCTCTCACTCAACACACAAACATCAATGGCTGCAAAGAAGAAGAAACCGGAAAAAGAAGACAAAGAACCGGCTAAGAAGGGCAAAGCCAAGACGTCCGAAGAAGAAGAAGCGGAGGAGGCAAGGCTCGCTAAGGCCAAAAAGGGAGCAAAAAAACCAGATCAAAAACCTACATCAGAACCTGAAAACAAGCCTACAAGAGGCATTGTTGTTGGTGACAACTTTGGCTGGACCGGAAAGCTTCCTTTAACGCTTCTCTACGAGCACTGTCAACGGCAGAAGTGGCCCAAGCCCATCATCAACTGTTCCCTGTCATCGTATGGCTATTCCACGCATATAACCCTTTTGTGGGAAAACCCCAAAACCAAAGAAATGATCCGTTTGAACTACAACCCCAAACTCACAAAGGCCACTGCTAACGAATCCAAGCACTTGACGGCAACTTATGTTCTTTACCGCTTGAACTACCTCAAAAACTTGAAAATCATGTTGCCAGTAGTGTTTCGAGACTATTGGGACCAATTGGCCAAAGACCGGTTGGAGATATTGGAAGCCGATAAGAACAAACACGAGCTTTTGTATGGTGACCAACCATTCCAGGCTTACTTGGTAGAGCAAGAACGTCGGGAAAAACAAAGACAGAAGAATGAGAAGTTGAAGCAGCTCAACCAGAACACAAAAAAAGATTCAATAGCTCTTAACAAAAACGACCTCCAGGAGTTATCTCGACTCTCGCGTGATATCTCCGACGTTAAGCACCCCCATTTCTCCCGCAAGATCTGGGATAACTCGGCGATTTTTGATTTGGACTCAGACTTGCGAGTCAAGATCGAGAACTTGATCAAGTACTTCATCCACTGGAATACTCGCAAGAACTCAGACTCCCATGATGACAAGTTGACCAAGTTCCTCGTCAAGTTGGGGTTTCGAGAACCGCATATCCGTGAAGCTTTGTCGTACACAAACACTTTTAACTCCACATTGGAGTGGCTTCTTTTCTACTTACCAGAAGACGACCTACCTGGATTCTTCAACAAACTGAACTACCATTCCACCAACCAGGTGAAGATATCCAAGGACTTGAAGTATGAAAACTCGGTGGCCTCGTTGCGCAGCTCTGGGTTCAACATCGATGATATCAAGTTGCACTTAAAGCTCAGTAAGAACCACGAGCAAAACACTCTTATTAGTTTATGCCAGTCATTGATCCCACTGGAGCTCTACTACGACGACGCTGTGGACTTGGGTATGACTCCGGTAGAGGTGTGGGAAAATGAAATGGCATCGTTGAAGCTGATGGACTTGAAACTTGACTACACTTCCCACGAAGCCACCATCCACTCCAAATTGACGTTGAAATTGTGCCGTTCTCATAACTATCCCAACGACCTCATTGGAATTCGGATCACAAATGAGCTCCCTAACTACGTCAAGATGTCTGCCTTAAGAAAGATCATTCATTTCTTGTATGAAAACAAGTACGTGGGGAGTGAGTATGTCTTTACATTAGTTGACTTTGTATCCGAGAACTATGACAACATTATCAATGACCCTGGCCCTTTGATAGCCGGAGACTTCAAGCCCAGGCAGCTTGTGTCACTGTCGAATGTTTCTGTGTCCAAGTATTTCAAGAACTTCAAAGTCAATCAAGAAAAAGTCAAAAGTAGCTACCAATCGCGTACAACCAACCCCAAGTTCAAAGATTTGATCAAAGATCGATCTAAACTCCCTGCCTGGGCCAAACAAGCAGATATCTTGAGTTTGGTGGATGCTAACCAGATTGTGTTGATCACAGGAGAGACTGGGTCGGGAAAATCTACCCAGATCGTGCAATTCATATTGGATAAACTCAATAGCAAGCATGACTATTCCGCTAAGATCATGGTGACTCAACCCAGAAGAATATCAACTTTGGGATTGGCCGATAGAATCAGTGCTGAAAGAATGGACACCGTAGGACATGAAATTGGGTACATCATCAGAGGTGAGCTGAAGGTATGCGATGCCACCAGAATCACGTTTGTGACTACCGGAGTGTTGCTTCGGTTGATGCAAACATCATCTAAGTTCTTGAACTCTTTGCAGTATATCGTCATTGACGAAGTTCATGAAAGGTCGGTGGATTCAGACTTCTTGTTGATTTTGCTCAAAAATAGCTTGAAAAAGTTTCCAAACTTGAAGATCATCCTCATGTCTGCAACTATAGATAAGCAAGTGTTCAGCAGGTTTTTCAACATTGAACTACCACACTTGCACATCGAAGGAAGAACTTTCCCTATTAAAGATTATTACTTGGAGTATGTGCTTGACGAAATCGACTATGAGATGGAAGTCAACGACCAGCTCATCCGCCCTCAAGCAGATGCCCATTTCTTTAAATCTGGGAACTTAAACTATGACTTGATTGTGAAGTTGGTACATCATCTCAGAAACACCAACGGCTCCATCTTGATTTTCATGCTGGGAATCTACGAGATCAACCAATTGAGGTCCAAGGTTCTTTCCTATTTTGACGAACGAGGTGAAAAGGTGGTTGTACTTCCATTACACTCTGCTTTGAGCTCCAAGGACCAGACTAAGGTGTTCAACACTTTCAGGGAATTGAAGGTGATTATTGCCACCAATATTGCCGAAACTTCTATCACTATTCCAGACTGTACGGTGGTTATTGATACAGGAAGAGTCAAAACCATTCAGTACGACTCAACCACAAAAACTACCAAGTTGGTAGAAAACTGGTGTTCTCAGGCCGAATCTATGCAGAGACGTGGTAGAAGTGGAAGAATCCAAAAGGGTAATTGCTACCATCTTTACACACAAGAAACATATGATTTGATGATTAAGCAGCCTATTCCGGAAATAAAAAGAACGAATTTGGACAACTTGTTCTTGATCATCAAGTCGATGGGTATAGACGATGTGAAGAACTTCTTAACCAGAGGAATCGATGCCCCAAGTGAACTCACCATCGACAACTCTGAAATCACCTTGAAAAGAATCGGAGCATTGAATGAACTGTCTGAATTGACTAATTTGGGTAAGTATCTTTCACTCATTCCAACGGACTTGTCGAACGCCAAGTTGATAATATTTGGTTGTATTTTTGGATGTCTCAATAGCACATTGATTTTGGCAGCTATTAAGACAATTGGTTCACCTTTCCAAAAAAGTTACGACTTCCGAGACAAGGTGAAGATCATTTTGGCGAAGTATTCCCAAGGAAATGGTGACTTCATTGGCTACTTGAATATCATGAAAGCATACACTAGCCTGACTTCCAAAACCAAGTTTATCAACGAGCACTGTTTAAGTTACTTGGCTGTAAAAGATATCATGGTTACTACGAACCAGTACGAGAATATTTTGAAGGACTTGAACTTTTACAAGGATTCTAAGGGGAAAGATATCAACAGAAACGATTCCAACGTAAAGATACTAAAGGCATTGATCACTGCTGCCTACTATCCCAACATCTCAAAAATATTCTACCCAGACACAAAGTATTTTGCTAGTTCTGCCGGGGCCATTGAAGTCAATCCCGACGAGAAGTTGATACGTTACTTTGTTGAGCACAAAGACCATCAATTACTTGCAATAAGAGAAAAGCAACGTGCTACAAAAATGAAACAAAAAGAGCGCCAAGAAAGGTGGGACAAGCGGGACAAAGGTGAAACTGACTCTAGTGATAGCAATGACAACCTTCTGAGTTATAACGAAGATCACGCTCCTAAGAGAGTGTTCATTCATCCGTCTTCGACCTTTTTCGACAAAAAGTCTCAGGTACCTCAAGAAGAGCCTGGTGAAGTCGATATTAACACTCCACAAGTGACCCAACTTCTTCAAAAACCGCCTTTCGTTGTTTATGGAAGCTCCTACGAGACTTCAAAGCATTTCATCAATGAAATCACTCCCACAAACGTCATTTCAGTGCTTCTTTTTGGAGGTGATATTAACTACAACTTGAACCTTTCCAACGGAGCCATGTCTCCAGGGATCATTATAGACAACTGGATAACTATTCGGACCTGGTGCAAAAACGCCGTCTTAGTGAAGAACCTACGTGAACTTTTAGACAACATTATTGACTTCAAACTTGCCAGACTGTCTCAAGACGAAGATAACGCGGATTATGCCCAGATCTTATCAGTGATCGAAATGATGATTTCGCAGCAATAGGCCGCGCAAAAATTTCATAGCATTAGTAATTGATAGATGATAGACAACCATGCCTAAACCCCATGAACGAGAGCCTCTCCTTGGACAAGAACCCGAAGGCCCAGGTGTCTTTGAACCGACAATTAAGGATATTGAGTCTGACCCATCAGCTCTTCAGCTTCCGCAAATAGTTAGAGAATCAGTTCCTCTTAACGACGATCCAAGCATTCCAGTGTTTACTTTCAGATACTTCCTTTTGGCCACCATTTTGGTGGTTCCTGGGGCATTTGTTGGTACATTGAACTCCTTTAGAACCACATCAGCTGCTTATTCCATATTTTTCGTACAGTTTGCATCACATTATTTGGGAAAACAACTTGCAGCTAGTCTTCCCTCCAAAACCATAGACGTTGGACTTTTCAAATTCAACACCAACCCTGGACCTTGGTCCATTAAGGAAACAGCTTTGATAACTGTGACTGCCAATAGTGGAGCCACGGGAAATTTGGCCACCAATGCGTTGGCATTGGCAGAATTACACTTCAAAGACACAGTTTCTGCTGCTGTGGCAATCCCTTTTATGTTCGCTATAGTATTTATTGGATACGCTTACGCTGCCATCTGTAAGGATTTGCTCTTATACGACCCAGAATACATCTGGCCACAAGCATTGATGCAATCCACAGTACTCCAGACCCAGAATAATACCCATACGAGTTTGGGTCAGAAGCAGGTAAAACTACTTGGAGCTGCACTTCTTTTCATGACTGTCTGGCAACTTCTCCCCGAGTTTGCCTTTCCTATGGTTTCTTCGGTAGCAGTTATATGCTACATGGCCCCTAAAAGTAAGACGCTCAATTTTGTTGGTAGTGGCCTTGGTGGTATAGGATTTCTCAATTTTACTTTCGACTGGTCCAACATAACCTCCACAATCATGTTGTACCCGTACTGGATTCAGGTGATTCAGTTTGTGGCTTTTGTGATATGTTGTTGGATCTTGATCCCTATCGTTCAGTTTACCGAAGCAGTCCCCAGTTTTGGCCTAATGTCCAACTCTGTGTTCACTGAAAACGGAGAAAAGTATCCCACGTCCCAATTACTCACACCCGAGTTGAAGTTCAATTCCACTGCTTACGAAACATTGGGTCCTGCCAGACTAGGTCCACAAAGAGTTTGGAATATTTTCTTTGACTATGCTGCTTACATCAGTGGAATCACGTGGGTGGTCCTATTCGGCTATGAAAACCTTAGTTCTTCCTTCAAGAAACTCAAGTTTAAAGTCACATATAAGGACAGATTGAACGAGCTTGCAAGAAACTATGATACAATTCCTCGTTCTTGGTACGTGATCATGTTCTTTATTTCCTTCGGGACCCTTATGATAATCTTTGGTTTCGGCCAAATGTTTATGCCTTGGTGGTGTTGTATAATTGGGTTAGGACTTGGTTCAATCATCGTAACACCTCTAGCCTGGTTGTACGCATTGTCGAATTTCCAGCTTCCGATCGGAACTTTTAACGAGTTATTCTATGGATACTTGGTACAGTCCCGGGAAGTGCACCCGGCCAGTGGGTCTGTATTTGGATCCATAGCTGGGGATGCTTGGTACCGGGCCCAGTATCACCTAGAGTGTTTGAAACTCGGCTTCTATATTCATTTACCACCCAGACTGGTTTTTCTAGCCCAAATCTATGGCGAGTTGGTGGGCATTCCTGTCAATTACCTTGCTTTGAGATGGGTCTTGAGTTCCAAAAGAGACTATTTGTTGGGAAACCTTATTGATCCACTCCACCAATGGACTGGACAAGACATCGAATCCACTCACACAAATGCTATCCAGTACGTTGTTTTGGGACCTTCTCGGCTTTTCGAGAACTACCACTATTTACCCTTGGGGTTCGTCCTTGGTGCTGTGGCCCCGTACGTATTGTTCAAGTTGCATAGGAAGTATCCCCGATTTGGCTTTAACTTCTGGAACACTACCGTGTTCTTCTCCAGTATGAGCAAGTTTTATGGGAACATTTCCACTGGAGGACTCTCGAAAATGATAGGTGGTACGGTTACCATGTTCTATGTTTTCAGGTATCATCATAAAGTCTGGAAAAATTTCAACTACGTGATGGCTGCAGGACTTGATACCGGGTATAACCTTTCAGTATTGATAATTTTCGTGATTACTTCGTTCACAGTGATCAGGATGCCCCACTGGTTTGGTAATAATGAGGACAGTGTTGAGAGGTGTTTTGCTTTAGAAAAGTGAGCTACTATATAATGTTCATATTTTTGTGGGGTTCGCGGCTGCGAAAACCTAAATCCACAAACACATATTATACATCACTTCTCATGGAAAACGGCACTTTGGATTTAAGTGGGCCTCTTCGTCAAGTGACTTCTGACATTACAGGTCTAGAAAAAGGCTCTAAACTTGTTACCATTCAGTGTAGAAGTCGCGTGCCAGTAGGGGGTACCAATTCTGTCCCTTTGTCTGAAGGATCAGATTTGAGCCATAATACCGTTCAACTGATAATTGGACCCATCAATGACTTCAACAACACCAATAATAGGTCTCGGATTACAAATAAACAAAGAAACTCAGTTTCAAGAAAACGGCATCCATATCCAGAGCCCTTGAGACCTGAAAGCCTGCTCCTGGAGGAAAATTTGGACCAGTTAGTTCGGTGTATTGCTGGTCCCCAGCTACAAGGTTGTTCTGTCACACTTGATATGGACGTGAAAAATCTGATTTTGGACTTGGTCGACAACTTTGTGCTGTCGGTCACCCAGTTTGGGTGTAGGTTGGCCAAACATAGGAATAGTGACAAAATCGAAGAGAGAGATATCCGGTTGCACTTGAAGGAAGATTTGGGGATTGTGCTTCCTGTTGATATTGGCCATACTACGGTTCACAAAAAGAGAAAAAGAACCAGAAATACTAAATAAGATATGTTATATTAATGGCATTATTCGTTACTTGCGTACAATTGGGGGGTTATCTTCAAGAGAATGCCCTCCAGAACCCAGAACTCTAATATCTTGTTGGTAAAGTACTCTGACATGTTGAGGGTTTCAGATATACTTGCAACCGAAACGGGTTCGTTGTTATCATGGAACATAAGTATGACAGAAGCCTTGTCAAGGGGAACGTTATAGCTCTTACCTTCCAAGCTCAACTTCACGGTTCCAAAATTGGGAATAATCTTCAAAAACCGGTTGAAATTCTCTCGCTTATACATTTCATTATAGGCTTGAAACGTCAACAATAGACTCGGATGAAGTGTGAAGCTTGGAGTCTCTATAATATCACTCCAGTAGAGATGCGACAATATCAAGCAGTTTAGATTTGTCGAATCGACCATACCTCTATTTGATCTGGAATTAATGAAATCCTTCACCATGATGTCCAAGTTGAAGAACTCGTTTTTACCAAATCTCAACTTCAATAAGTTGATCATTTTCAAGATCACTGACAAGTCCTCTTCGCTGTTGATCATTTTGTTTCCGAATAACTTGGTGAATTCGACGATGAAGATTTCCTTTGAGTCGAATATAGAAATCAAAGATTGGATTATATCGTTGATTTTGAATTTCTTGAAATCAGGCAAAGCATCAATTGGATCGGGTACCCAGTTTAAGTCATTTAGCTCGTCAAAATTCTTGAAAAGTTTGAAGCTTTTCTCGGTATTTTGCAATTCTCTTGAAAGCTCTACCAATTCAGGCTCTTTATTTAATAATCCCAACACCAACTTGTTGATTATATCATCTCTTGTCTTCAAGTACTTTCTCACCGGTCTAATGACCTTATCAAGTAACACTCCTTTAGGGTCAAGTATTAAAAAGGATTTGATGATCTTGATGTAAGTTTTGATCAAATTAATTGTATTTATACCAGCATTCAAAAGATTCTTGTTGACATTGTCAGAGAAGTTCTCCACTAACTTATTACGTTGGTAGAACTCAATATTAGGGTCGAAGTTGTCTGAGTTTTGAAAGTTCAAACACCTGTTAAGCTCTACCAATGATATTTCACTTTTCGGATAATCGATAATGATGGAGTATATTTCATTGATTCGAAGACTTATAAGCTCATTGTAGCCAATTTTAATCAAGTCGTTCATGTCGATGCTCAAATGTAGGCTTTTCAACACAAAATCAATGTTTGAATAAATCTGATGCTCAATGAAGTTGTTCAAGGTGTGAAGTATGGGAACACTCCATGCCAACTTGAAGTTTTCATTGATGTAGAACTTTATCTTCTTAATCAAAATGTTGATGAGAATCTGGTTCAACTCATTCTTCATTTCAATTGCTTCAAAAAATTGAAGCATCAAGATGATGTTGAAATCGTGAAAGCTATTCAACCTAAGGAAATTCTCGTCAAAGTAGGTGTATATCTTAGCAAGAAAAACCTCTTCCCCAATCAACAATTTGAAGTTCTTGTTGATGTTCTTCTTGTATAAATTCAAACATGATGTACTCAAGTTTAAGTTCAAACTTATCAACAAGTTATCGTAGAACCGCTTTGTGTTTATCACTCTCAGGATCACAGTGGCAAGATCAGCTCCTTGAAGTTCATCAGGGCAAATATTCATGCCATCCATATGAAACCCTTCCAACTGGAAATTCTCGTTGATCGAGTTGTTCAAAAGCTTTGTAAATTGAAACTGGCTCGATTCATCCTTCAAAACTGATTTTACCGCTGATTTGACTCTTAACGTAGGTTCTGCTATTGGCTGTGGAAAAAGCTTGATCCAGTTGATAATAATGGAGATGTCGTTCTCCAACTCCCCGGCGTTGATGTCTGAAAGGTTGGGAGTCGGAATTATTGACGATATAAGCTCTGACGATAGCATTGTTTGTTTACAATATGGGTGTAGGTGAACTTGTAATCAACTGAGAGCCACAAAATTGTACAATAAGTTTTTTTTACTACTCGTAATTATGTTTTGTGTATCAAGAATGGGCCACAGCTTCGAAAGGGTTCTTGCTAGTCACTCACCAGTTGTAAGTGTCAACCTATATCAACTTTCAAATTCGCGCAGATCAAAATTTGGTTAGTACTGATCAGTCCCAGAGAGCGAACAACACTACAATTAGAGGAATCATATCCACTTGACTCAATTTCCATAAGAACATAGCATTTTAGTAGTTTGAATTGATAACCTTACAACAACGGATTGCACCATGAGCGCCAAAGCGGTGAACGACTTTATGGAGGTGACAGGAACATCAAGGACTACAGCAAATAAATACTTGAAAAAGCATGCCTACAACCTCAATTTTGCTGTGGAAGAGTATCTTGGCAAGCAGTATAACACAAACTTGTACAAGTTGTTTGAAAAGTATCAAGAAACTCCGGACAAGATTGGTATCGATGGTACTTTGTGTTACCTCGAGGACTTGGGCATCGAGCCAGAGGATGTTAGATCATTGGTATTGAGTCACTTTCTAGAAAGCGAAAGCATGGGAGCCTTTTCCAAAGAGAACTTTCTTCAAAAGTGGACTGAAAAGAATATTTCAACTATACTGCAAATGAAGACATATTTAAATGAGTTAACCAAAAATATGGCTACACCTTCAGAATTTGATGAGCTATATGGATTCACCTTCAATTTTCTACTCGAGACTCCAACGCAAAGATCTTTGAGTCCAGACCTTCTCATCGACTATTGGAAGTTGTTGTTCGACTTGGTTCCTTTAGATGAAGACGTTTTGCACAGAATTGACCAGTGGTATGACTTTATTTTGAAGCAGGAAAAACCTTCCAACAAAGACGCATACTTAATGTTCTGGGAGTTTGTGAAAGAAGTTGTGAAACCGGATCCTGGCTCTTTGAGTGGTTACGATGAGATGGCATCCTGGCCAGTGGTAATTGATGAGTTCATAGAGTACCTACAAGAAAACAACTTGCTTGAGTCCACTGAGAGTTAAGCACCCATCTGCATGAATATCTAGAAATATAAAAAATGGTACACAGTAGTGTGAATTACTGGTTTGAGAAGTTAAACCTTGAACAAGCTTGTACGATATTAAAAAGCTAAACTAACAAAAGTGTGTACTGGGATCAGTTTGAGGTTGTAGGGAATTTCACAAAAGGCCCTGAAAATCACAAAAAGACGGGGTCCAATAAGACATTAAGACCGGTTCAATTCATACTGTTTTGTCCGAACTACCAGCCCCGGTACCGGCAAAAGATTCCTACACGGATTTAAAAACTATCGCCTGTGTGCATATTACTGCAAAGTAGCGCATTCCCCGATTGCGCGAATTGTTGCAAACTGTGGATTCTGTGGTTGATACTTCTATACAAAACAACCTTTTGAGATGGATTACTAATTCCAAACTATTGCTAATCGGACCTCGCAATTGCCAGATCGCCAGCCACAGACATTTAATATATATATAGTGTTGTTATCTCATGCATCTCAGATCAAATCAATTTACCAACAATGGCACCCGTTCAGATCAAACAAGAAGATATTACTAGTGACTTAGACAAAACCATCAACCAACTCCTCGAAACCCAAATTTTTGGTCATGGTGGTCGTAAACCCGGTACCAATGCCGGTAAGTCTATCGACTGGTCCCATAAGCTTCCAGAAGGTGCTCGCAAGAGATTTGAAAAGTACAATATCGATTTGTCCGGAGGTTATCCAGTTACCCCCAAAAAGGAAATCATCCCCAGATTTGTTGATGAGGTGTTTGCTCTTAGAGGACAAGACTATCCTTATGTTGAAAGAGGTAAGAATGCAGACCCAGAAAAGAAGGCCTTATTTGGAGCAGCTAAGGAAGTCAGACATTTAACCAAGCACATTGGAACTGAAATCGTCGGGTTGCAATTGAGCGACTTGACCGACCAGCAAAGAGATGAATTGGCTCTCTTGATTGGTGAAAGAGTTGTTGTATTTTTCAGAAACCAGGATTTATCCCCCCAGAAGCAATTGGAATTGGGTAAATACTATGGTCAAGTTGAAATCCATCCTCAGGTTCCTCGTGTTCCAAACGATAAAAATGGAGACGATTTGAATGGAATTAGTACCATTTGGCAGGACTACTTGATTGCTAACTTTGGATTACCTTTGACGTTCAAGAAGGCTGCGTTCAATGGAAACAGTGTCTGGCACACCGATTTGGTCCATGAATATCAACCGGCTGGTATAACCCACTTGCATCTTGACTCGATTCCTGATGTCGGAGGTGATACCTTATGGGCTTCTGGTTATGCTGCATACGATAAATTGTCACCAGCGTTCCAAAAGTTTTTGGATGGAAAGAAGGCTATTTTCCGTTCTGCCCACAAGTACTTAGACAGAGAAAACCCATTGGCAGGTCCTCAGTTTGTTGAAAGAGAACATTTACTCGTGAGAACTCATCCTGCCACCGGTTGGAAATCCTTGTATGTCAACAGAGGATTAACTGTTAGAATTGTGGACTTGGAACCAGAAGAGTCCAAACTTATCTTGGAGTACCTCTACGGAGTGTATGAAAAGAACCACGATATCCAGGTGAGATTCAACTGGAAATCTGACTCTGGGTTGGGAACTTCTGCCTTATGGGACAACAGAATTAGTCAACACAATGCTGTTTGGGACCATGAAGGTGAAGAAGCTAGACACGGTACTCGGGTCACCTCTTTGGCTGAAAAACCTTTCTTTGATGAGAATTCAAAGTCTCAAAGAGAAGCCTTGGGCCTTCCTTTGAACTAAGTAGAATTTAGGACAATAAATTAGTACTTCAGAGGATTGGATAAGTAGCATACAAGTTAAGATGATAAAGTATCTTTCCTTAAGATTGAATGCGTGGTGTAGAGTCGTCCTTTAAAACTATCATTTGATTGATCTATATGCCTCCTGCTATCTGATCAACTGGACCCCTCCTTTGCTGGTATTACGGTTGAATATGAAGAACGGAGAATACCGTAGCTATAACTGTGGTTGTACCAAGAGCGTTGGCTGTTCACTGTGTTAATGATTAGTAACAATTTCGGTAAACCCTTTGCAAGGCCGGCGGGGCTTATTGTGGGCAAAGTTCGTTGTACCTGATTCGACAGCCACAGATAGAACCGGTAAAAAATATCTATAACTCCTGCCAATGATTTGCAATTAAGCGTTTTGTCAACGCTTACAATCACCTCGCATTTAGTGGCTATAGGTGGGTTATGGGCTCTTGTGCAAATTGTCTCAACAACAGGGTTGCTTTGTGATCCACATAAGAAATTCTCAATATCTTCCCTAAATTTCGCAGCCACATTTTCTTCACCACACTTGAAGGTTTGAAAAAGATCTAATATATATAAGACGATAATCTTTTTCAATGTAGATCAAGTGAAAAATGACATTCTGGGAAAGTTTTAAAAAGACCTTACTGGGACCCGAACACGTTGATCCACGGGACTTTTCTCTGACTCATAGTCAAAGTAAAGATAACAGTTCAGATGAGGCCAACTCTTTAACAAAAGGTAACCATACGGTAACTGTGCAAGAGGTTAATCGTCCGTATATTGACTTGACCATAGAAGAAACTGAAGAAAGTATCAGGCGCAAGAAGACCATTGGGTACAAGATCTTGAAGTTTGTTTGGGATGGAACTGACAAACATCCTAAGGAGAGAAAGTACCTTGCAAAACTTGATTTCTTTTTGGTCAGTTCATCTATGTTGGGATACTTCATCAAGAATTTAAATCAAAACAATGTGACTACTGCTTATGTTAATGGAATGAGTGAATATTATAAGATGGATAATAACCAGTACAATTATATGGTGACTTTGTGGACAGTTGGATACATTATCGGACAGATTCCTTCCAACTTGATTCTTCATAGGATTTCAGCCAGATACTATTTGGGAATGTTGGAAATAATGTGGGCCGTTTTGACGTTATTGATGATTACGTGTAAGAGCTTGAATTCGTTGTACGCTGTTCGGTTCTTTTTAGGGTTCCTTGAGTCTGGTTACTTTCCTGGTTTAGAATATCTTTTGGGTTCCAATTACTCTGCTAGCGAAATGTCCTCGCGCGCAGCGCTTTTTGCAATCTCCAGTGGTATTGCAAGTTTGGTTTCGGGACCAATTCAATTGGGAGTTCTTAAGCACTTCAAGAACACTAGTCTCCCTGCATTTCAATGGGTTTTTGTGATCGATGCTATTATTTCTTTTCCAATTGGATTTTACACTATGTTCGCAGACCCAAATACACCTTCTACAACCGATGTGTGGTACTTTACAGACCAAGACAAGTTGGTTGGTTTGGAAAGAAGGAGACGGATTGGTGCTCAGTTGAACACAAGAGAAAGATACTCTTGGGCCAAAATCAAGGGTTTTTTTAATTCCTGGCACATCTATGTGTTTCCTCTCTTGTTCTTGTGCTACAACAATTCTTGTGATTCGACATCGCAACCAACGTACCAAACGTACTTGAAGAAATGGTTAAAATTGGGACCAGAAGAGTATAACACCTATCCTTCGTACCGTTCTGCTGCTGGGATTGTGGTCACTGTATTCTTCGCTCTAGTACACAATTATATTGGTGGAAAAAAGAACCATCTCTTTGTGGGGGCTTTCTTTGTGTTTGTGATGTTTGGTTGTATTGTGTTGAGTATTTGGTACGTACCGAACGGTTTACGGCACGCCTGTTACTATTTGATAGGAGTGCCTACTTCTTGGGGTCAGCCTTTCATTTTCACTTGGGTTAACAGGTTGTTGGTTGAAGACGATATGAAGAGAAACTTCTTGGTGGTGACCACCAATGTCTTGGCCTACGTGACGGGAGCGTGGGTTCCTATTTTCGTCTGGAATACCAATGACCAACCTATTTACCATATTGGATTTACTTACACCTCGTGCTTATCGGCTTTAGGGTTGATTCTCACTGTAGTCGCGTGGTACTTGAGTTCCCGAGATGAAAAGAGACGTGAGGAAAGGAGACTGGATGAATCCAGTGACATTGAACAGGTTTCGACCGCTTAGTGTAGATTTTTTAAAATATTGAAATTATAGAGTAATATCGATATATGTGAGTATTAAAAAGGGTTAGTGATGGACTAAACGCGAGCGAGCTATCTAATTTTCGTGACCGTCTAATTGCTTATCTACGTAGGTCTAGAGGTGTTTTTGTTGCACAGATAAGCCTATGCCTGAGATAAAAATATGCCTGAGATAAGCATGTGCCTAAGATTTTCAAATGTAACGTTGCCGACTAAGGTGTAACGGCATTCATTTGCTTCCCTTTGCCGGGTGTCGCATTTTTTGATAGTTGTAGAACCTTAATTTTACACAGCTCAATTCCTTACTAAATCCTATCTATCATCGCTATTTTTATGTCCCCCATAACACGTATTTTGCTTCAAAAGAAATATTTTGATCGACTTCTGGGAGGGGTTCCAAGGGGTACAACTAGTTTCCAATTGCTGGTGAAGAAGAGTCTATACTTATCTACGAATTTATTACTAGTGTTTGCTTTTGTCCAATCATGCGCTATGGTGCACAAAACATAACATGTCAGAGCCTTTTGTGCCCTTGCAAGTGGAAATGCACTCTTGGCTTGCAGTAACCACCACCGGCCAACATTACCTGAGTTTCCACGAAACGGGCCACGCAGTGCGACATCAATAGCCAAAGCGCCAATCCGCTTGAAGAGGGTTGCTGATAAGAGTGATTGTATGCAGGCTCTCGTTATCTAGGGCCCCGCTCCTGTCAAAAATCCACCTGCTAGAAGCTGGGCATGAAGAACCTATTATCTATGTGCCTAAGCCGTTTGTATTCCAAAGCTGAAGTGATGAACCTTAGAACATTGATGAGGCTCAGCAAAGTATTTAACAGGAGCGTGTGCGTCATAAGATGCTTGCAGTTACCCCTGCGGGCATTTCCTGCGAATGGCAAGAAAAGCCTATCAAGGCGCATTTTTGTTATCTCGCTTGTTTTAGTAGTTTCAAGTAACTGATCAGATTTCGGTATGGTTATATTCACCATTAATTTCCATAATGCAGAATCTTTTTCAGTTTAATTTACATCTACCATGAGTCATTTAGCCACTGTTACAAGTCATGGATTGACATCTCTCAGGTCTCGGACTGAAAATCATATAAATCAGGTTCTTTCAAACCGCTCGGAAGTCAGGCATGTGGATGCGAAAGAAGCGGCTGACGATGAAGATCTTTTGGCACAGATTGGATACAGACAAGAATTAAGCAGACGGTTTAGTACCTTTCAGGTGTTTGGAATTGCCTTTTCCATTATGGGATTACTTCCCTCGATCGTGTCCATCTTGACCTCGGGACTTGAAGGTGGCCCAGCATCATTAGTTTGGGGCTGGCTTGTATCCGGATTCCTTATTCTTTGCATAGGGTTGTCGATGTCGGTAATGTCGCTGGCGATTCCCACATCGGGAGGATTGTTCTACTGGACCAACTACTACTGTCCGGATTCATTTCGAGTGCCATTGAGTTTTGTAATTGGATGTTCCAATTCGTTGGCTTTGTGTGCTGGGTTCTGCTCAATTAACTACGGGTTTGCTTTTGAGGTGTTGGCCGCTGTTTACATCAACAAGGACGGGGACTTCACCATAACGAACGGAAAGTTGTACGGAGTTTTTGCCGGGTGTGTGATTTCCCACGTTATTTTATGTTGCTTGACCACCACCCATACCGCCAAATTACAGTCTTTTTCCATCTACACCAACTGTTTTCTTATTGTTTTGTTCTTCATCGCCGTGCCCATTGGTGCTTCCAAAAATATTGGATTCAATGACGCTGGCTTCATCTTTGGCAAAATCGAAAATCACAGAACTTGGAATACTGGTTGGTCGTTTATGTTGAGTTGGATGCCGGCAGTGTGGACAATTGGAGCTTTTGACTCGTGTTTGCACATGAGTGAAGAAGCTTCTAATGCCACTAGATCCATCCCTGTTGGAATCAACGGTTCGATCACGGTGTGCTGGTTGGTTGGCTTTTGCATCTGTTGTGTTTTTGCAGCCTGTATTAAAGATGGTGATACTGCCAGAGTCTTAAGTACTCCAACCGGCTCTGTTGGTGCTCAGATCATCCTCGATGCATTGGGAAAGGAATGGGCGGTTGCGTTCATGTCCTTGATAGCGTTTGCTCAGTATCTTATGGGAGCTTCTACGTTAATTGCAGCCTCAAGACAGATTTGGGCTTTTGCTAGGGACGATGGTTTACCATTTGTACACAAGCTTGTCAAGAAAGTTGACCCTAAGATCAAGGTTCCTGTGAATGCCACTATATTTGGAGGATGTTTATCGTTGATTTTGGGCTTGCTAATTTTAATCAACTCGACTGCCGCAAACGCGTTGTTCTCCTTATACATTGCAGGTAACTATTTGGCTTGGGGAACTCCAATCCTCTTGGTGTTATTGCCATTTGGAGCCGCTAAGTTTGAACCCGGTCCATTTTATTTTGGTAAGGTTATCACCACTCTGATCCACGTTATTACTGTTGTATGGATTGCATTTATCATTGTTTTGAGTATGTTCCCAGACAATAAGGAGGTGGATAAAGAAACCATGAACTACACTATTGCCATCAATGGTGGAGTATGGTCGCTTACCACCGTGTACTATTTTGTTTATGGGTACAAATACTACACGGGACCCAAGTCTAACTTGGAGGTGGTAGATGCTGCTTCAGGGTCTGATACTGATGTACAAAATATTGATGAAATGATAGGAGAGAAAGCTTAAATTTATAGAGAAACATCAGCAGTAGGTTATATATGCAGTGAATACTTTTGTATATTTGAAAACCCCCAGGGTTATCAGCTAGTACTTTGTGATATTTAATACACATGGCGATGTAGAGCCCAGGTTACCCGTTGCTTCGTCAAACACCCTTTGTTGATCTCTACCATTCACACAAAACACCGCTCTCGCACCATCTCTATCTGCGCTATCAATTAAGTTAGCTCGCACCTAAATTTTAGTGTTGCAAAACTTTTCCGTTTCTGGCGATGCCGCTCGCTGTACAGCCGACAAGTTTAAAACCTTTGCAGACCACAAACTTAGCTAACGTTTTCCTCCAACCCGGCTAGTACTCACACATAGAGCCACTGTCATTCTAGAACCCCGGTCCATGCCCCTTCCATCTCTTGGCGGTTTCTACGATTAATTCGGCGTTTTCTGCTATCTCGGGGTTCGCGCACCACAATTGCGTCTCACTGCATCTCCTGCCATAACATTGTGTTCCGGAATAATTGTACCCTCGCTAAAGCCAACAGGAAGGCTCGGAGCCCGTGGCTTGGGAGTAAAAAATTGCCAAAGCAGTAAGCCGCTGGGATGTCAGTAGGGCGTTTTGAAAATATTCCAAAAGTGGCCATCGCATCGAAATCACTCTAGATTGTTATCTTTGCTTCCCGCCTCAGCCAATAATATTGGCTGATCCCTTTCCCCCGTCACTAAAAATTAAGGTGGAACCACTGAACAGTGGCTGATACGGTAACGGCACTTCCCGTTAACTCTCCCCGGCGGTGAACCTGACTTATAGTTTTTGTCGCGGGGAGATAAGAAGTGGCTGATAAGTGGTGGCTATAAAACCTGCAGAACCTCCATGAAATACAATTCATTCAAAAATGAATAAGTTGAAAAGCACCACCAGTTACGGCTTGGAAGCCATTGCTTCACGTACTGAGGATCATATCCACAAAATCCTCTCTAATAAATCTGAGATAAGAGACGTTGATGCCAAAGAGGCTGCAAATGATGAGGACTTATTAGCCCAAATCGGGTATAAGCAAGAATTGAACAGATCTTATTCCACCTTGCAGGTTTTTGGAATAGCTTACTCGATCATGGGATTGCTTCCCTCTATCGTGTCGACTCTTGCAATTGGTTTGGAAGGTGGCCCAGCCTCATTGGTTTGGGGGTGGTTTGTCGCAGGGTTGTTTATTTTGAGCATCGGAATTTCGATGTCGATTTTGTCATCTGCAATTCCCACGTCTGGAGGGTTGTTTTACTGGACCAACTATTACTGTCCCGACTCTCTTAGAGTGCCATTAAGTTTTGTGATCGGATGCCTGAACTCGTTGGCTTTGTGTGGAGGACTTTGTTCCATAAACTACGGGTTTGCGTTCGAGGTGTTGGCAGCCGTATATATTAATAAGGATGGGGATTTTAACATCACTAATGGTAAGCTTTACGGGGTTTTTGCTGCATGTACAGTATCACATGTAATCATCTGCTGTTTGACCACCGGCCATTCCGCCAAAATGCAGCTTTTCTCCATCATCATAAACACTTTTGTCATTGTGCTCTTTTTCATCGCGGTGCCCATTGGAGCTGCTGGACACGGTTTCAACGATGCAGCATATATCTTTGGCAGAATAGAAAATGCCAGGACATGGAGCAAAGGCTGGTCTTTTATGTTAAGTTGGATGCCGGCAGTGTGGACAATTGGAGCTTTTGACTCGTGTTTGCACATGAGTGAAGAAGCTTCCAATGCTTCAAAATCCATTCCAGTTGGTATAAACGGTTCAATTACCGTGTGCTGGCTTGTAGGGTGGTGCATTTGTATTGTGTTTGCTGCTTGTATCAAAGATGGAGATGTGGAGGCCGTGTTGGGCTCAGCATCTGGGTCTGCCGGTGCACAAATCATCTATGATGCGTTGGGAAAGGAATGGGCCGTTGCCTTCATGTCGTTGATTGCGTTTGCTCAGTACCTTATGGGCTCTTCCATTCTTATTGCTGCCTCCAGACAAATTTGGGCATTTGCGAGAGATGACGGGTTACCGCTCGTGCACAGACTTGTTAAGAAGGTGAATCCAACCGTCAAAGTGCCAGTTAATGCGACTATTTTCGGTGGATGTTTGTCGTTGATTTTGGGGTTGTTGATTTTAATCAACGCCACCGCAGCCAATGCCTTGTTCTCCTTGGCTGTCACTGGTAATTATCTTGCTTGGGGTATGCCTGTGCTTTTGGTGCTCTTGCCATATGGTGCAAACAAGTTCCACCCAGGTCCTTTCTACTTCGGTACGACTGCCACAACAGTCATTCACATTACCACCGTCGTGTGGATTGTGTACATTATTGTGATGTCAATGTTCCCAGACAGTAAGGTTGTTGATAAGGGTGATATGAACTATACTGTTGCTATCAATGGAGGTATCTGGTTGTTGTCCATAATATACTACTTTGTGTACGGATACAGAGAGTACTCCGGTCCTAAGTCTAACTTGAATGAAACCCCTACCGAGGGGATTGACTTTTCAGGCACTGACAGTGACGTCCATAATGCTGATGTGGTGGTTGAAGATAAAGTGTAGAATATTTTGTATTCAGTAATATAAAAATGTTGAACTAGTTTGCAGCCATTCACCCCTGCGCACTTTAACGATTAATTAATCTCGCATTTCTAAAATTAGGTGACACTACCAAACCAGAAATCATATTATCCATGCCAGACATAGAGGATGAAGACAGGGGTAGACCTGGGAACACAAACCAGCAGACAACGGTATCTCCGGATACCATTTCCATTCCCATCAATTCCCAGTTCATTGCAAGCAGCACTCCCAATGATCACAGCAATATCCAAAGTCCAATTTTAAGTTTTACTCTGAACGACACGGAAGCACGTCCTTTGCTTAGCACTCACTTTGTATCGAATTATAATAGTGACGATAACAGTGTAAGTAGCTACAGTGGTGACTCAGTCAACAAATATAGCGAACTGGTGACAGATAAAATTGTCAAGTTTTCAAAGAGACGATTCTGGTGGTTCTGCGGATTGGGAATAATAGCAGTATTGATCCTTCAGTTATCTTTTTTGCCTAGAACATCACTCAGCAGAGACTATAGGCGATTACATGGGTTGCATTTGACGAAGGCCGATGTTAAGAGAAATTATTTGTTATACTCTGGTGAAAAGACGTTTGAGCAGTATAGCAACCAGCAGGTGATAAACTGGATGTTGCTGAATTTTACCGCCATCAACTCAGAAAGTCCCGTCAACTTGTTGAGTAATGATAACATGAAATTGACCCGGTTCGTGGAAGACAAATTCAACGAATATGGGTTCACGACGACGTTAATGAGATATGACACTGGTTTGAACAAACCTTCCAATTCGTTTGTCAAGTTGTTTGACACTAAAGGTGATTTGGTCTACGATGCCAATATGCTAGATTTGAAGTACAAAACTCCTAGCTACTATGGGTTTGGACTAAATGGCACTTTTAAAGGTAATTTTATTTTCGTCAATCAAGGCACCGAAAACGATTACCTGGCACTCTCTGCTAATGGATTTAGCTCAGAGGGTAAGATTGTTATTATCAAGTCTCCAATATCTTGTACGTTAAGTGTGGCGGAAAAGATTGATATTGCTCAATCCCATGGTGTAAAAGGGTTGATTCACTTTGTGGAATACAGTAAAGATACTAAACAGAACTACAAAATTGACAAGAATTTAAATTCTTTGATTACGAGAGATACAGCCGTTCTAGAAGGCATCGGTTCTTCTGGTTTCAAAACACCTAAGATCCCGGTATTGCCTATGAGCTTAACGGCGCTTCAACCAATATTAAATACTTTGAATAGTGAAGGGAAGTCATTCAAGGATTGGACTTATTTCCCTGAAACTAAAGGATTCGAATTGGAGGTAGGTAGTTCTTTTGAAGATAGCAAGGAAAGGAAAGCCACCAACATTATTGGGACTTTGGAAGGTATAATCAAGGATGGAGTTATTGTAATTGGTGCTTCTAGAGATTCATTTGATTCTGTAAACCCATTGAGCAATCAGGTGGTTTTATTAGAAATAATGAGACACTTCCACAAGTTGGTCAAATTGGGTTGGAAACCCTTAAGAACCATTCAGTTCGTATCTTTTGACGGATCACGAAATGGTTTAATAGGGTCTAATTCTCTTCTTGACGATAAGACCACCAAATTGCCCATTTTGTCATATATCAACATTGAAGAAGACGCTGTTCGTGGCAGTGACTTTATGGTGGACTCCAATCCATTGTTAGACCATGTTATAAAGAAGGTGAGCAAGCTCATACCCTTTCCGAAGAGTTCAGGTCCCTTCAAACGGTTACCAAAACTCGAAACATTTGATGATGACGATTATGACGGCGATGATGATGACAATGACGACGACGATGATGATGATGATGATGACGACGATCACCTTAGCTCATTATACAAATACTGGAGAGTACAAAGTAACAACACAATCAACAACGATTTGGGAAACTCGATCTGGAGAACAGATGCCTTCCCTTTCCAGTATCATTCCGCTATACCCGTTGTAAATGTGAAGTTTGAGAATAACCCCAAAAGAGATTCGGCGATTTATGTTCCTAACTCTAACCACTACTCGTATAAGTGGCTTGTTTCTCGAAACATTGATGAAGAGTTCACTTTGCACACTCTGTTGATCCAGTTTTTGGGAATGCTTCTTATCAGTTTAAGTGAACATGAAGTGATTGATTTCAAAACTCAGGACTACTTCGAATACATTCAACAAAAAATACAGCAATTTAAAGATAAAAACAAAGACACCTTGGCCAAATGGGCCTCGAAAGATATCACAAAATACTTGGATACTTCCTTTTTCAACTTTGTTGGAGATGTGGATGACATCGTCACCTTCAAGAATTTGTGTGACAAGTTCACCCAAATATCTGACGGTTTGACACAACAGTCTTCCATCTACGACCAGTACAATTATGAGGTGGAAACAGGCTTGATTCAAGATTACCCTTGGTATCAGTCATATAAAAAGCTCAAGCTTTGGGCACAGTTCAAAGTATCAAACTACAAACTTCTTCATATCGACAAGGATTTGAGCAGAAAGGGAGATACTACAAAAACGAAAACGTCCTCCTGGTTCAACCATTTGATATACAACAGGCCCAAAGGTGGAGCGTCTTCCTCCATCTTTGCTGATGCCCAGGATGCTATTAATACCCAGAGCCTTGAAAAGGCTTCTCGAATCATATTTGAAATGTACGAGAAGCTCAAAGGTTTAGATAAGAAAATGTCTTAAAATTTGCAACCAATATACGCGCTTTTTTATTTTGTTGCAAGTTATCAGTAACACATCGCATATGTCCATATTACAACAAGAAGATATCCAAACGGTCTGGTACTTGAGCACATTGAGTGGTAGTAGCAAGCGTATCTACAAGCGAGTCAGCAAGCTGACAGTGTTGACGTTGTCGATTCCGCAAACTTGTCATCTTATTGGCGGATCTGACTCTGAGCTTACAAGTTTACGAGTACGTTCGAACCTCTTATATGGGGTATCCTTGGTGTACAAAATGAAGACAAACTACTTGCTAGATGATTTGCGTTCTCTTGGAGGCTATTTGGAGAGACAAAATACAATTCAACAGATGAAAGATGCTTCTAGCACACCTATATCTAAACTCAGACCTGCAGTTTTATTGCCCGACAACCCAAAGTTCATTCTCCTGGACTTCATTGGAGATTTTGATGAAGAAGTTGAATTTGGAAGGAATTTGCTTCCTATTAATGCGGACGTGTGGGAATTCACTGGATTTCTGATGCCTTTTGAAGATGAAACTAGAGATAATATTACCTTCGACTTGGATTTTGGAGATCAGTCTAAGGAGGAATCCAACACCACCATATATTTAGATCCCTTTGATATAGATCCAAGTGTTATAGAAACATCTACTCCCGGGCCCCGCACACCCATCTCCACTCCCGAGACAGTACCAGCTGAAGGGCCAAAGAAGAGGAGATTTGCACTTATTGAAGATTCAGAAATGGTTTTAGGTGACGAAGATTACATTGAGTTTATCAAAAACTACGAACCTTTGATGAAAATTGGTATGTTAAAGTTCAGACGGCCCAAAGTGTCTCATTTTGAGCAACAATTTCATGGAGCTGAAGATCTCCTATTTCCAACAACCCCGCAGACTCCTGAAGTTGCTAGACATGTTCATGATACCACAAATGCTGGCATTTCTGGTTTAGTGTCTGGGTACAATACTGATAACGAATTCACATACGAAGACACTGACGTCTTTGATCTTTCGTTTCCCGAAATCAACATCAGTGAGGTTCGTTCCAGCTCCCAAGGAAACATCGTCGTACCCTCGCTCGAAGATATAAGCCATTCAAGAGAACTAAGTAATGAGACACGACGGTTCTATAATCATCTTCTTAATGTCGATAGAGACTCCTTGGGTGTCTCTCCTTATGAGGGAAAGAGAATCTCATTTTCCAGCGTGTGTCCTACGAGGTGCCCTAAATCTTTGGTTGCGAAAAGTCTATTCAGTATTCTCGAATTGGCTACCAATCTGGTTATTGGTATTGAATGCCCTAGTAGTCTAAACCTTTCCGCTACCAACATAATCACAGTGGTGATTGAGCAGGTGATGTGACTTGTGTTTGAGTTGACTACATAGCATTCAGGTGAGGTTAATAATATTACAATTCCCTAATACAAATCGATACTATACTACTATACTACTTTTGAAACAGTTATCCTTAAATGGCAGTGCCGTTTTCGTCATGCTTGGCAAATTCTTCTTCAGCTTCGTCAAGTTGATCTTGTTCTGGTTCATCGTATTCAGACTGGTGTAAGGACAACGTTGGCTTGACAGCAGCAGCATCCAAAGTCCAAGAAGCCAAGGCATTTTCTGCATCAATGATGATTTGTTTGGAAGCTTCATAACCGTCATAAGCAGCTCTGGTTTCACCAGGGGTGACGGCAGAATCGTCCAACAATTCCAATAAGGCCTTACCGTATCCAGCAATCAAAGCGTACTTTTCAGCTAATTCTCTAGTAGCATCGAATTGGTAGTTGTAAGCAGCCTTCAATTGTTCTCTGGTGATGTTAGACAATTGAGCTTCGGCCACCAAAGACTCGGCTTCGGCTCTGACCAATTCTTGTTCCAAAACTGGAATCTTTGGGCTCTGAGGGTCCTTGTATTTCAAATGAGCAATTTCATCGGTGATTTTTTGTTTTCTGTCTCTAGAAGGTTGCACCGATGATTCAATGTTTCTGATGGTCTTCAAGGTGAGTCTGTATTGATCATACTTGTCGATGTATTGGTCCTCCAATTCACCAATCTCGTAGATTAAAACTCCCAACTTGTCAGTCACGTCAGAAACATCATCGTCATTTTCTTCACCCCAAGCACTCAATTGCTTGGCCACGTCTCTTCTTTCTCTGGCGGTCAATTCCAAGGCTCTCATGACGTTCTTTTCCATTTTAATGTATTGACTCAATTTTCTAGATAATTCAGGTCCAGTGTTTCCAGCCACTGTTTTTCTGAAGTGGGAAGCAATACCTCCCTTACCGAAGAACAGAGACTTGGTAGACGAAGTTGGAGGTGGGGGGCTTTGCAATTGAGAAGCGGTGGGTGCCTTTTGGGATCTTAAGGAATAAGTTCTATGCATTTTGGTAGAAAATGTATTGAGGTGGTGATAAAAGTTTTCGGAAATTTCATCCCTCTTTATAATTTGGCGTCTGGCCGTCCACTTGCTGCCTGTCGCCCAATTAGGAAATGGGTTTCTGGAAGTCGCACACAAAATGCGTGACGGTATATCGCCGTCGAGGGGCGGTGGTCGGCACCACGGGTCTCGCGCCAGCCGTACCACGAGCAAAAGACTTCTATAGAAACGGCGTTTAACCCACATCAACTCCAATTCTCTAGTGCCTAAACCTTTGGCTGCCGAGTCCGACGATGGCTATATAACCTCCAATTATTGCCTCCCACTAATGTCTTGAATGAACCTTTTGAATTCTAATTTTAATTCATTAATTAAACCATCGCAATGACGTAAGAGTCGTGTTCTGTACCATTGTCATCAAATACCTAATACTCCAGTACCAGGCATCACTGCCAAGGGGTGCTGACAACTGTGTTCATCAGATGGCAACTTACCAACCACCAATCACAAAGCCTTTTTGTTCATATTTGGGGTATCATGCTTCTGTTGCTGACAACTGCAGAGCAATTAATGATAGCGAAAACGAGACTTCACGGTGTGTGTAGAGAACAATTAACTGGTTATATTTACGTTGAAAACACGAGTTGGGAGTAGGTTTTACTTTGTACACAACTGCTGAAAACACTATACACGGGAGCTATACTTTAATTCTCTTCGACAGGTTTGCCTCCTCTTCAATGGGTCTCTTGGGATACAAGTTCAACCCGTTAAGGATTCTATAGTAGTCTTCTTCCAACGTTTGGTACGCGGTTTGGAGCTTGTCTAACCGCACAGGCTTCTCCAATGAGAGCAACGCCTCTTTGTTTTTATTGTACAATCTCTGCTTGATGAAGAGTCGGATATTTTTGTAGCTCAAGTTTTTGAATGTCTTGAAGTTGCTAAGCAAGATCATCTCCACCAACCGGTTGAACTGACGCTTCTCCAACTTCTGTTCCACTCGAAAGGTCTCGAGCCAGGCCTCAGACTTAACCTTGGTGAGGTTAATGTCTTTCAAGTTAATGACCAGCTTTAGCCTGTTCAAATCACTCTTGTCTCTCATATCATCGAAGTGTTCATTGGGGTCCTCCACCACAATTTCCACTATCTGGTCGTCTTTTAACCATAAATCGTACAAGGCAGAATACGTTTTGCTGCCGATGGACTGCCCCTGGAAGTTGGGTAGAATCACAAACTGACTGATTTTCTTTCTCAGCTGCTTGATACCTGCGTCGAAATTGGAGGCTCCAGGATACTTCCAGTAGTTGTAGGCTGTGACGAACCCAACAATTGAAGGCTCATCTTCAGGGTCATTTGGAGTATCATAAATCACATATAAGTCCCATAATTCGTCCTTGTGGTCGATGAAAGAACCTGCTTCAATATACAACAATACTAAGATCTGGAGTCTTTTGTGCAATTCAACGGCTGCTGCTTGCTTCATGTCGATTTTATAGATGGCAAAGCTCTCGAATCCACCAACTATTGTGCCTGGAATAGAATATGTTTCCTTCTCGTTCTTAATAGCATCCACCCATTTGATTTCATCCTTAAATACCGTCAGCTCAGGAAGAAACTTCATGATTGTGTCCTTGGGCTCTTCCACCTCGTCGTTCAACTTGGTATCATATTTGACGTTCAAGAATGGATAGAAGGTGTAGTGGTCGAAGCACAAGAAGATGACCAAGTTCTTGAATCCGAAAATACTCTCACTATCACCGAAAACTGGGTACGTGAAGGCGGGCTTGAAGTTAATAGCTGTGCCATTGGGCTCTGCTACAAACAATTTTAGTGCTTCATTCGACGATACCGTCCATAGTTCGGGCTTCAACGCCTCTGTCAAGTCAGTCATACTACAATTTGAACGCGTAATTTTATTTCCAGGAATATAGTGCGAATTTGTTGATCGTATAAAAACCACTTTAGAGTGGAAATTAGCTGACAATATAACTATTTTTCTGGTATTTTCTGCAAATACACGTATGTGTACCATTCTATCATAGTAGTGATGTGAACGCAGTTGAAAGGACCACTCCAGATATATTAATATTTTAGAACCCCGTAACTTTCAAAGCTGTAATAGTGTATTGTATATCCTATTAAGCTTCAGAGTTGTAAAAGTTTTCAACAATAGCGTTTATTGAGAGGTTTGTACATATTTTTAAAATAGTTTTGTGGTTTTCCGTGTTTTGTTTTGTTTGTGGGTTTTCTGGTGTCTAATGGTTGCAAAATGTATCGTGCACTCGAACCTCAGCCCGAATTGATGGTAAAGTGGTAAGCCTTGTTATCTTCCAACTCTTCTCCAGGCTCTCTCCCAATGTAGAACCGGTACTCCTTCAATTCTGTAGGAGCTTTGTGATCCATGAGAGCAACTTCCCTGGTATAAGAATTGAGATAGAGCAAATTATTGAAGTCAGGAAGATCATTTCTTTGTCTTCTTCCAACACCTCTATAATTTCCAGGCATTCTTAAGGGTGGCTTATTTCTCACAAAGTCATCTGAAGATGATAAATTCACGCTTTGACCCAGGATTAATAGAGTGGGTCCATCCACGGGGCTTATTTCTCTCAACCGGTCGAAGTAACGAGGATCGCTTTCAGCAGTGGAGTTTCCAGCAATAGAATCCTCAAGTAGTTGGTCTTCTGGGAAACTAGGCGAGCCTGTAGTGGAGTTGTCCACCACTGAAGGTGAGTAAGGAGTTTGCAGTCTGTCATCTTGGCTGGACTCTTCTTCGTAACTGTCATAATCACCAATGTCAAAACGACTCTCCTCTACTACGGGAGGGAGGATACTCAACAGAGCAGAAAGAATAGGCTGGATGGCTACTAATTCCTGCAATTCTTCTTCTTCTTCTTCTTCTTCTTCTTCTTCTTCTTCTCCTTCGTCTTCTTCTAAGATGCTTGCACTGCTGTTATAGTCAGTTCCAGAACTCTCATCGTCAGCTTCATTAGTTTCAAAGACAGAGTCTTCACTAAAGTCGGTACCATCTGAACACAGTACATCGGTTGACCCCAAAGGCGGAATGTAACCCAATAAATGAGTGTTAGATCTGGCATATCCGACGTCAGTAGCTCCATTACTTAATTCATTGTCAGAAGAACGAAGGTCTAATTCAAAGTCGTACCTGATGTTGGAACGACCGTCAAGTTCATAGTAACCTGCAGGGATAACAACTGGATTCCTTAAGGTTTCAGAATCTAAGGGTTCGGTTTCCAATGCTTCTGATAGAAATGCAGGCACGTCAAAGATGGAAGGACTTAAGCACAAAATCCAGTCATTGGAGGCATCTTTTTGAGTATCAACCTTGTTTCCCAAGGGAGAAGGATTGAGAGCCAAGCAATCAGAACCACTTTTGGCCTCTGAAGTTTGTCTAATATCAAGGTATTGATCTCCCAACTCCCAACCAGCTTCAGGGCTTAAAGGACTAATCTCCATCAATGAGTAGCATTGACTCAAAGCTTCTTCTTTATCTAAGCTATAGTCGGAAGATTCTGATATGGAGGGACTGAGGTTTTTGATAGATACGATGTCGTCTTGAAAGGCATCCAGCTGTGATAAATCTGATGATGCCAAAGGTGGACTAATGGTTTCCATACTAACTGAATTGTCCCATTGAGCTTCCAAGAACAACAGGAAAGAGCTCCCAATAAGACCTTCAGTAGCCAGAAGTCTACCATTGTATTGAAACCTTGGGAAAAACTCCAAGGCTTCCAGTTCAAACGAACAACCTAAGGGCCCTTTGTGGCCCTCAAATTTAAGTCTAGTTGAAACACCACCAGTAACATCCACTGAAGCATAATTTCTGGATAAAAGTGTCAACTCAGAATCTTCAAACCGATCTAATACACCTTTTGAAATGGAGTCCATATCACGCTTGGAAAATCCCCGGTCTGGAAAATAGACCGAGTCTGGCCTTGCTAAAGTGTCAAACTTGGGTAACACTGCCAATTCAGGTGAAGAACTCAATACCCGCTTTGACAGAGAAAGATTCACAATCTTTGACAAACAAGCCTTTCCAAGCTTTGCTAACCCCATATCAAGGCTTGCTAGGTAATTCATTTTTGGTAAAGAAACCAACTTCCCTAACTGGTCCAAGATAGGAGATTGTATTGAAGGCAACTTTTTGGGTTTACTCACCAACTCAACGTTTGGTAAAGAACTCAAATTTGGCAAAGAAGCTGGTGTCTGCTTCGACAGAGAACAGACTTTATCAAGCTTCTCCAAGTCCATTTCAGGTTCTGACAACTTTTCTAAAGGTTTCAAATCAATCTTTGCCAGTGAAACCAGGTCGAGCTTTGGTAATGATACCTTTTCAAGCTTCATTAAATCATCATTTGCTAAAGCAATCGACTTTGACAAAGAGTCAAGTTCTGGAAAATACATCTTTCCAAGCTTCTCCGATCTCATTTCAAGTTCTGATAATGATACCATGTTTGGCAAGGAAGGCAATTTCTCTAGAGGTTTCAAAGCATGATCTTGCAATGAGGCCAGGTCAAGTACGGGTAAGTATGCCCTTTCGGGCTTTCTCAATACTAATTCAACCTTTGGTAAAGTAGTCAACTTTGGCAAAGGTTTCAATTTCTCCAAAGGCTTTAAATCAAGTTTTGACAGTGAAATCAACTCAAGTGCTGGAAAGTAAGCCTTTTCGGGCTTTTTCAACATCAACTCAACTCTTGGTAAAGACACCAAGTTTGACAAAGAGTCTAATGCATGCTTTGGCAGAGAAAGGTCTTTTACCTTTGTTAAATAAGCTTTTTCGGCCTCTGATAAAGCTAGCTCAACCTTTGGTAAACTACTCAAATTTGGCACAGGCACCAATCTTTCTAAAGATTTCAAAACCTTTTTTGGGAATGAGATCACATCATGTTCTGGAAAATACACGTTTCCAATCTTTTTCATTCCCACACCGAATTCTGATAAGAAATCCGTGTTTGACAAAGAGGCCAATGCCTCCTTTGACATAGAAATATCTACCTTTGGCAAATAAGCCTTTTCCGGCTTTCTCAACACCAACTCTACCTTTGGTAAAGTCTTCATCTTGGGAAAAGAGACTAATTCTTGCGTTGGCACCACAACCCTGTCTGACAGAGGCAAATGAGCTTCTACAGGCTTTTCTGGAACTGCCTCAAACTTTGGCAAGGAGCATTCCACTTCTTCGAAAATGGTGTACAATTCATACCCAGTGTCATCAAAGTCAGCAGCAGGAGACTTTTGCTTGAATAAGTTGTGGAAATCAAACCCATTGAAGTCAGCAGTTAGTGAGTATTTTTTTTCATATTTATGACTTTTGTAGGTGTTTTGGATATTTGGTTGTTTTTGGGTTTTTGGGTTTTCAAAAATGGAGTAGAAGTTATAAAAGTTATAGTCAGTAGAGTATTGTTCTCTACCCTTGCCAAAGATGTTGTAGAAGTCATAATAGTTTTCTTCTGGATTGTTGTTTTTGTTGTTTTTGTTGGAGTTTTGGATTTTTTGTTGTCTTTTGGTTTTGTGGTTTTCAAAAATGGACTTGAAATCATGAGCACTGTTGTCAGTGGAGCACTGTTCTTTACCTTTGACAAAGAGGGTAAAGAATTCATAGAGATCCACGTCCGAAGTAAGGCTAATCAGGTCACCAGATTTAACTAAGCTTTGAATGTCACCAAAGCATCTTCCATTCTTTCCAAATATGGCTGCAAAATTAAAGTAGTCAACTTGATTAGCCAAAGTTCCATCATACTTCGCCAAGGCAGAAGTACCGTCAAAGATGGCATAGTAGTGGTACAGCTGAAAGTCTGCTGTAGCACCAATACATCCACGAGAATGCTGGTTGGCACTCCTAATGGTCTTTCCTGATACAGTGGCTAAATCATCAAGAATGGTGAAGATGTTGTATAGCTTGAACTCAGAAGCAAGGTGGGGGCTAGTAATGAACTTCTGGGGTGCAGTTTTGCCGTTTCTAAAGGCGGAAATCGGTTTACTGAAGCCGGCCATTGTAGCCACTAGTAGAATCAAAAAATTCTAAGTTCTCAGAAACAGGGGGAAATCTGCCCCTTTTATAGACGTAATTTTCTTATAGCCCACACATGCAATTTGCAGCCAAAAGACGCACTCTCGTAAATTATGCAGGGGCAAATTTACAAAGACAAATTTTTTTTGAATATATACCGGACAGATCTTTTAAATATAGAAAAAGAGGTCCGCCCTGCGCTCTGTTCTTTCCTATTTTTGCAACATACAGTACCATAATCAATATAGTCTGCAGATTAACTGCAAGTGGTCATTCATTTATCCTACTTTTTATTTAATACCCTGAATTTTCTAGCTTTTACAGCTTTTTTCCAACTTCTCCAAGTAGGGAATGTTGTCAAAGACTCAACATCTAGTGTATCTTGCATATCAAATCCAGAAATCTTAGATCTAGAAAGCTTATATATACCTTTCTTGAATGGTGTTTCGTTTTTAACAACTAACACCAAAATAGGGTCTAATGGTTTTTGCAACCACAAATAGCTCGCAACATTTTTAGAATCTGAGAACAAATTACTATATTCACTTACATTATATTTACTTACATTATGTTATTCACTCAATTACAACAACCAAATCACCAGCCTCAACCATGTCACCGTTCTTATGGAAGATCTTGACAACCTTACCATCCTTTGTAGCACTCACTACCATTTCGGTTTTCATGGCTTCAACCACAATCAAACCATCACCAGTCTTAACTTGTTGACCAACTTCAGCCAATGGTTTCCAGAATCTACCACTATATTCTGAGTAAACCTTCTCGGCATTCTCACCAAAGTTTTCTTCGGCAGTTCCGGTGGGTTGGCTGCTGGTTGCCAAGTCGGCATTAGAAACCTGGATCAACCTGTTGAATTCCTCCAACTTATCACCCCCTTGGTTCTTTAAAAACTCATCAATGGAATCAGTGTGTTCTTGAACCCATTCCAAGTATTGGGAATGGTCAAATACGCTTTCAACAATGTCGACCTTGAATTTACCAGCATTCATTTCTTCACTGAACTTGTCGATTTCAGCTTCGCTAACAGGGTAGAATTCAACTTGATCAAATGCAGATAATAACCATGGTTTATCAGTGGAGTGGGTTCCCAATGTCAACTTATCCCAGATAGGAATGGTTCTACCAACCAATTGGTATCCTCCAGGAGATTCCATAGTATAGATACACATGTAATTACCGCCAATACCAACAGTACCGTTTGGAGTAAAGGTCCTGGAAGGGTTATACTTTGTTCCTAACAACCGGTGTCTTGGATCTAAAGGAACAGCACATGGAGCACCCAAAAACACATCTCCCAATCCCAACACCAAGAATCTAGCAGAATACAACATGTCTTTGACATCCTTCCTGTCAATTCCATTAATAGAAGCAATGAAGTCCACATTGTTTGGTAACCATGGAGCATCGCTTCTAATTGTTTCACTGTATCTCTTAACAGCATCCATAGTCTTTTGATCTTCAAATGCCATTGGTAATTTGACGATTCTGGAGCTGACCTTCCACTTGTTGATGAAGATAATCTCCTTTTCAATGGAAACCAAAAGCTTCAACAAGTTCTCCTGGGTAATACCATCGAACTCGATCAACACCGATCTGACACCTTGGGACATTTCGACGATTCCGGGGGTCTTTCTTTCTTGAATAATTTCCATTAACTTGTAAATTCTGTAACTCAAGTTCAAGTCCAACACATTGTCACCATACTCAACCAAGATGTATCTGTCACCAGCTTGTCTGTATACCACCTTTGGAGCATTGGAAGAAGCCTTGAAAGTGTACAACACCGGGTCTTCAGGGCCATTCAACTTCTTTGGGAGAATAGCCTTATCTGGTAATTCACCCTTCAACTCTTCAATAATGGAGTCCTGGGAGTGTTTCAAAGACTTTGCATCTTCCCAACTCAAAGGAACAAACTGGATCATATCACCGGGCTTCACTTGACCAATCTTCCACATTTCCGCTTCAGCAACAACAGCTTGACACACGAAACCACCCAAAGAAGGACCATCACAAGTCAAAATAACTGGTTCATCACCTGTGAAGTTAATGGCACCCAAAGAGTAAACGTAATCGTGGGCATTTGAGGGGTGTAAACCGGCTTCTCCTCCATCAGGTCTGGCCCATTTAGGTTTAGGACCGATTAATCTCACCCCGAATCGGTTGGAGTTGTAATGAACCTTCCATTCTGACAGTAAGAATTCTATTACAGACTCTTTCTGGAAGAAATCCGGAGATCCGTGAGGTCCACAAGTGATACCAACTTTCCATGCTTTCTTGCTATTGAAATCATAACTTGGAATCAAGCTTGAAGGAATGGAAGTTGGTTTTGAAATTGGTGATGGCAAGGTACAGCTAGGCAATTCAGGCTGGCCCAAGAACAACACATCTCCCAACTTCAACACTCTACCATTGTAACCACCTAAGTTACCCAAAGCAAAAGTGGATCTCGAACCCATGTATTCAGTCACATCAATACCACCTCTGATAGTCAAGTAAGCTCTGCATCCACTGGAAAGCTTACCGATACTCAACTTATCGCCAGCCTTGATGGTGATTGGTTCCCATTGCTTGGAAGCCACTCCATTGACATCCACATCAACTTCTCCACCAGTAACCGCAACAATGGTATCGTGGTGGAACAAAATCTTAGGACCATTCAAAGTGATTTCAATACCAGGAGCCTTTTTATGGTTTCCGACAATCCTGTTACCAAGACGGAAAGCATAGTCATCCATACATCCAGAAGGTGGAACACCAATATGCCAGTATCCCTTTCTACCTGGGTAGTCTTGAACAGTAGTGTAAGCACCTGGTTGCAAAACCTCAAAAGCAGTGGGCTGGTATTTGTAGGTGTCCAAAATCTTGGTGTGCATTTGACAGTTTTCAAACATTTTGGAGTTGGCAATGGATCTCAAGTAGTCAACGTTGGTGATACAGCCATATACAACAGTTTCGTTCAAAGCCTTTCTCAACTTGAGCAAGGCTTCGTTTCTATCCTTACCGTGAACAATTATCTTAGCTAAAGTTGGATCGTATTCAGCAGAAACAACTGTACCCTTTTCGACCCAACCATCGATTCTGGCCCATTCAGGGAACTTAACTTCAGTAAGTTGACCTGGAGATGGCATGAAATCCTTAACAGGATTTTCGGCATATAATCTTGCTTCCATAGAAGCACCTGTGACGGTGATCTCTTGCTCATCCAAAGGAGGAGCCATGTCAGCGGCAATCAACAACATCCATTCGACCAAGTCAAATCCAGTGACCATTTCGGTGATTGGATGTTCCACTTGTAATCTAGCATTGACTTCCAAAAAGTAGAATTCGTCTCTCTTTTCGTCGTAAATGAACTCAACCGTACCAGCGCACTTATACTTCAACACAGATGCCAAAGACTCACCAGCCTTTCTCATCTTTTGTCTAGTAGCTTCTGGCAAATTAGGAGCGGGGGTTTCTTCAATAACCTTCTGGTTTCTTCTCTGCAAAGAACAGTCTCTTTCACCAAGAGCAATGGCTTTTCCATAACCGTCACCCAAAATCTGGATTTCGACGTGTCTGGCGTTTTCGACGAATCTTTCCAAGAATACACCATCATCACCAAAGTAGGATTTACCTTGATGCTGGACGGTTTCAAAGATTCTCTCGATTTCATCTTCAGAATCACACTTCTGCAAACCAATACCACCTCCACCAGCAGTCAGCTTTACCATAACAGGATATTCCAACTTGTTGGCCACTTCACGAGCTTCCTTGGCATCCTTGATCAAGTTCGAACCAGGAACCAAAGGAACATTGGCAGTTTGGGCGATTTCTCTAGCACTATGCTTCAACCCCAACTTTCTGATGGCATCTCCAGATGGTCCAACAAACACAATGCCTTCTTTTCCACATCTATCGGAAAAATCAGCATTTTCAGACAAGAATCCGTAACCAGGAATAATGGCTTCGGCCCCGGAATCTTTGGCAGCCTTAATGATTTTGTCGATGGAAATGTAGGTTTCAGCAGCAGACCTGCCATGTAAGGGAATACCCACATCGGCTTCCAATACATGTTTGGCGTACTTGTCCAAATCCGAGTATACAGCAATGGACTTGACACCCAATTTTTTCAAGGTCTTGATAATTCTATACGCAATTTCACCTCTGTTTGCAACCAAAACCGAGTTGAAAGGTTTCTTAGCCTGGGACTTGGTGTAATGAATGTATTTGGCCCAACCACCATACTTGGTGATTTCAATGGTTCCGGGAGCCTTGTAGCCGGATTCTTCACAAATGAAAGACTTGACATAAGAGCCATCTTCCAATTCAACAGAACCAATTCCCAAAGGCTGAGGCACCAAGCGGATGAAATCACCAAAGGTTTCGACAGGAATCGAATACACTTCGATGGTGATTTGAGCACCATCTACTTCTTCCGGGTTGACTCTCCTCAAACCAGGTTTCATCACTGGCCCTGTCTTTGGCAAACAGTACAACTTGTAGTTCTTCGAGGTTTTGGTCTGTTTAACAAAAGCCGCATTCACTTTTTGCAACTGCCAGTGTAATTCAAAGCCCTTCAAATGTGCACCCACCACAGCCAACTCAATGGAAGTTTGAGGGTTTGGCTTTGGAAGCGAGGCGTTCAACTCATCAGCAGCACCAATCAACACATCGGTCAAGCAACCCGCGAATCTGTTCTTGGAGTTGGCTTTCAAGAATTGGTTGGCCAAGTCCAATAAAGCGAAATCGTTGAACTTCTTGGATAACAAAGTGATTCCAAAAGGTAAACCATCAGATCTGAATCCAGCAGGAATCGACAAGGCTGACAAGTCGGCCAAGTTGACAAAGTTGGTGTAAGTTCCTTGGTAAGAGTTGATTTTCACAGGCTCTTTCTGGATCTGCTCGATGCTGGGGTTTAATGGGCAAGTGGGGACAATGATCACATCGTTCTGGTTCATGATTTTGTTGATCTGTTGCAATAATGCCTGTCTCTTATACTCGGATTTGAAGCAGTTTGCAGCGGTATATTTTTCACCACCCTTTATGATCTGAGTGACAGTCGGGTCCAAATCCTTCTCAGGAGGATTGGTCTGGAAAAACTCTTCGGTAGCCACAAACCGTTCTGTGACCCAAGGACCTTCGTACAACAACCTGGCCAAGGCCAAGAAGGGGTCGATATTGACCGACTTCAATTCGAAGTTCAACTTTTCAAACACCGAAACCGCCTTGTTATAGACCTTGGGGTTCTCTTCTTCTCCGTACCACAACAAGTTGTTGGGAATACCAATTGTGGGCTTGTAAAACGCCCTCAATGGGTTAGTGGGTAAGCTTCTGGAGTACTCATCATTATCTCCGTCAAACTTGGCCATGATGTCCAAACACAACTGGGCATCTTGTAAATTCAATGCAAATATAGAAACACAGTCCAAACTCTTGCAGGCCGGTACAACACCTTTGCAAGAAAAAATTCCCTTGGTGGGCTTCAAGCCAATCAAGTTATTCAATGCAGCAGGAACTCTACCAGAGCCGGCGGTGTCGGTACCCAATGCAATTGGTACGATTCCTCGGGCCACCACCGACGCACTTCCTGCCGATGAGCCTCCACTCACATACTTAGCATTGAAGGTATTGGGAGTAACACCATAAGGAGACCTGGTTCCAACCAACCCGGTAGCAAACTGGTCCAAGTTGGTCTTCCCGATTATAATGGCACCCTGATCTCTCAAGAGTTTGACGGTGGTTGCATCTTCTTGTGGATCATAAGCAAAGCTGGGGCATGCAGCAGTGGTTTCAAGATATTTCACATCGATATTGTCTTTGATAGCAACTGGTACCCCGTAAAGTGGAAGTTGGGTTTTGTGAAAATTGCTCTGTAAGAAATCCCACTGGTGTTGTAAGTTTGCAGGGGAAACCAATGAAATCCATGCTGGATCATCGGACGACTGAGATGTTAATACTTGGGATAACAAGGCAAACGATTGTTCGGGAGTCGAGTCACTGTGGAATTTGACCCAGTCTTGGATAGACCAACCGATGTACGACATTTGTAAGTTTGAGTTATGGGAAGGGGGTTTTTTTGGGGTGGGATTTTGTACGTTTATAACTATTGATAGCAGGGAATCTCCGAATGCATCTGTTATCGGTCAGTCGTGTGCGCGCGGAATCGAAACCGGCAACCGGTACCATGGGGCAGGGCTTTGCTGGTGCCGCTGGCGCAAGACCCCCGGCGAGTGAGCGGGCGCCGGGCGGCCCTGGACCTGTTGTGGCGGTAAAAAAACCACGTGTGTCCACCGATTTCTGATTACGGTCCGCGAAAGGGCCTATGGTCCGGGCCGTCGCCTCAGCTGCCAAAGGTGATGCTGCTAGTTACATCACCATAATGGCAGTTTGCAGGTTTGCAGCCACCTAAAGAACAAACGGATTTACAAGAGGTCAACACCAGTATCTATCGCTTGAAAAACGCACGTGTAGAGGGTCTCAATTAAGAATTTACCTATTTCTCTAGAGCTTATCTGGGGTCGGTTCGAGCCAATCTGGGCCATTCAGATCGGGAGAATCAATCTGCCGTGAACAAAATTGGTCGTGCCCCCAACCGGTGACATCAGGGCCCATCCGCATACCGGACCGTTCATTGGACACAGATACTGAGATATCCCGATGGTGCGGGGGTACAGTCTCACCCCTTGGATATCGGGATCATTCTCCAGGGAGCAATTTTGCGTCTGTCTTATCGGGGACACGGCGCTGACCCATACACCCATCACCAAAGCCAATAAGCAGGCACTCAATCGTAATAGCACTTAACACCCACAGTAATCAACTGGCACTAAACCTCAATCCTAACTCTACAATCTTCAATCACAATATTCATAATCTATCACAAAACACTAAATAATCACTTCTTCTCTTCCAGCTCATCATTACTGATGTACTCGTCGATGTTTCTGGCCTCAACCACCTCGGTGCTCAACTGGCTATCCAAATGAGCCCGGACTTGAGATCTCACGGAGTGTAACTTCTCCATGTTGGCATTTTGCCACTCTTTGACCTTGTAACCCCGACCTGTCAAATCCCAGAAAATACACCTGAAAGTATTGGCAATAGATCCTCTACTCTCATACACTGGACCGATAATAGTCACTCCAGCAGTGAAAAAGATCCACATAAATCCAACCACAATCCATCCGGTAAAGAACTTCTTACTGAAAATGTAAGAACTTCCGTACATAGGCATTGGCCAAATCACCACCATAGAAATGGTTAAAAAGGCACAAAGAGCAACCACAATCTTGAACGACTTAGCCAACATGGCACTTTCTTCTGCATACTTGTCCTTGTTGACCATAGCGATTTCACTTGCAACCCGAGACACCTGGGAAGTAATTGGTTCCATCTTGGATACGGAGCCAGCATCCTTTTCCAAATCCTGCGATACTGGAACCATACCAGTTTCGGCCTCGATCAACTCTTCTTCTTCGCTAACCCTGGTGATGCTCTTTAACACGTCCCAGTCAAAGTTCTGAGGCTTGAACGCCCACGTAAGAATTGGAATGGTGATGGCAGGGGTCAATAATGCAACCACATTACCGGTCAACATGGCATCATCTTCAAAAGTGGTGTCAACAGTAATAGAACCAAATAAACCCTTGGTGGTGGCCAACCAGGCCATGATGGCCAAACCGGTGGCAATAGGAGGGGTCCAGATAGCAGCAGCAGCATTCTGTTTGGTGCTCAAAAGAGTCAATGCCAGAGGCAATACGGCTCCACCAATAATCACTCCCATCAACTCGTACAAGTATCCCATTGATACACCAGCATAGTATAATCCAATAGCGAACCCGGCCATAACATAGGCAAAGATTGACACCGAGATGTGGGACACCATCATCAACCGTTTACCACTGGCATTGGGGTTAAAGTAGGTTCTGTAGAAATCAAAAGTCACAATCGAAGACACAGCAATCAATTCCGACGACATGGCCGATGTCACGGCTGTGAACGATAAGAACAAGGCGGCAACTGCCCCTCCCTTACCCAACAAGGCCACGGCGGCGTTGGGTAACACCAAACCAGCGTTGATTTCGTAGGTACTCAAAGAACGGGGGTAAGTGGGCCAGGCAGGGGAGTTTTCTAAAGCCAAGGCAGCCATTCCCATAGTGGTGGCAAGGAAGAATGGAATGGCAAACCAGGCCAATCCACCCATCACGTATCCAGGCATGGCAGCTGCTGGGTTGGCAGCAAATGCCTTGTTAAAGTATCCATTGTCCAAAAACACAGTACCAAAGTTACCCACAATGTTCACCACAAAAAAAATACCCCCGGACCGGGAGTGCATAGTCAAGTAACTACCATCGGCATTTCCTTCCCGGGGCTTGTCGATTCCCACCTGGGTCACCAACTCCCATACTTTTCCAGGAGATCCAAGCTCACTGTCGGTGGACCACACGACAAATCCAAAGATCATGGCAAGGATCACCACGGCAGCTCCATGGACATAATCGGTGATAAAGGTGGCCTTTAATCCTCCGAACAACGTATAGATCACAACTCCCAATGGAATCAACAAACACGCAGCTGATACATCCATTCCTGTCAAGTCGCTTACCACACCAGAACCACCAGCCAACAACATGGCAGTAACCAAAATATTGGTAATAATACCCCAAGTACAGTAAACCAAATGGGTGGTCTTACCGTACCGGGCCTTGACTATTTCAAGATAAGTGTGGGCTCCCGGAGCTCTTTCTTTAGCTTTAATGGCCAAACAACTGAATAAAATAATCTGGCAAGTAGCACCAGAAGCATAGTAGAAAGCACCTGAAATACCATTTTTATAGGTCTGGGTGGTGGAGGTCAAAAGCGTAGCACTCCAGGTCCACGAACTCACCACACAAGCACTGATCAAGAACTTCTTAACGGATCTACCGGCGGTAGAAAACTCTTCAGCAGTCATAACTTCACGGTTGTATCTCTTCAACACGTAGGTGATCAACATCATCCCAGCAGCGAAAAAAAGCCCGAGTCCAAGAACCACACCATACCCGGCACCTTGGCCCAATGGCACGTATAATTCTGAAGTCGACATTGGTCAATGGGAATAATTAATGATTCAAGTTGCAGATGGATGCCATTATATAGCCAACCCCATCGCACAAGCCTTATCAGATTGCGTGCGCAAACCCGGTCCTGATAGCGCTCGCTACACAGGACGCGCGTGCAGTTTGCAGGCCCGGGAAAAGGGCCGGCTGCGATCCAGCCAAAACTTACCAGGCCTTTAGATTTGTGCCTTGAGAGCAAACACCATCTTATCAACGGTTTTGACGATCGCAGGAAAACGGATACCTGGACGCCGCTTACACGCATCATCTATGCTACCTTGATATCTATCAATCGACAATTGGTACCTTCAATTGACTGCTGACACCTTGGTCTAGTCGTGAGGGTGGCCAATAGTTCCAGGTGAAACTGGTGCACCTATCTTACTAGGAACCTCGCTTAATCCCAATCGGGAAATAGTCTCAGTCATTTAGACCAGCCGGTTAACAGTGAGACCACGCACAAACCCTGGTGGCTGGCTAACAGAACGTCACCTGCAACTGATTATTCGATATTCCTGTCTACATCTACAAATGGCGCTTGCTTCGATAAGCCCAAAAGAAATTCGGTGCGGCCTTTCACCTTCTGCAGGGGCGCACCCCCGCCGAAGGCCCGGACGCATTTTTGACTACAAGATAACCTCTCTGGAGATCTTCCCGTTTAGGAAATCATTCTGAATGCTAGTAATGCACAATAGAACGGGCCGTTTTAATGATTGTCCGACTAATATGGCCCGCCTGGTGCTGGAGAATCTTCCTTGCCGCTGGTATGGCATGGGCTTCTGGTATATATTGAATCATTTCTATGGTATCTATTGTACTATCCTCGGCCCTCCATTATGCGAATCTTATCTGGAATTAGCGAAAACTCTGAGATGATCGAATTTCATAGTGCGATCGAGATGCTTACGTCAATTTCAACCCTTTTAACTCCTTCATTGCCGGACTGTCATACTCAACGTCTTGAAATTCAATTGGTTCTAGCGATCCCCAATTCGAAGCTTCTAGTTGAGCCTGTTCCTTAATCAATTGACTCTCAACCTCTTGCTTCAACTGCTCATCGTGTTCACGTTCTTGATCAAAGTCGTAGTTGGTGATCTTATTGATGAAATAGAAGGTGCCCAGAATCGTCTTGTCTATCAAAATGAGCCCATCCTCCACCAACTTCTTAAGTTCTTCAATGGTGATATCGTTGGACCAGGTAAAATGTTCACTGATCTCACTAACAGTGCTTCCCTTGAAGTACTTGTAGCCAGTTTTGAAATAATCGTCCTGGTCGAAACTTTGATCGAAAGACTGTAAAATGCTCTGTTTCAACTTATTGAACTTGAATTGAACCTCCTGGTTCTTCAAGTGATTCACGATTATAGCTGAGTAGTCATCGTTGAACTTGGGACGAACAATCTTCAAGCCCGTATCGTACTCCCGAAGCACAACCGGTAAGCTGAGCTTCTCAAAACATTCAACTGACGTGCCGAAATCTTCAGATGTCACAAGTTCCATTCCGAATCCTTGAGTTAAGATCAAATATCGGTTGTAGTCAGCAAATAAATCTGGTAACGTGATCATTGCTGAACTCTTGACCAACTTATAGTTGGTCAAGTACTCGCTGAGATGCCTGGCAAGCTCTTCGTGATATATCTTCGATGTTTTACTAACGGTAAGAGCACTGAGTTTGACGTTGTATTGGACTCGAGGCTTGATAAACAGGTTGAAAGATGACGAGAGCTTGAGCAAATCCTGGGCCTTATACATCAACTGCTCAAGATCCTCCAATGAACTGCTTAGGGTCATCTCATTCTGCTTACGGGTCTGTTCACTGATCAATTGAAGCCTGTAAATTCCACTTTCTTTGATTCTTACCAGCTCTTCCACATTATTGAGTTTGACAGCTCCCTGGTTCACTCCACCTCGACTCTGAAGCTCTTCCCATCTTCTTTTTTCCAAGATTTCGTTCAACATAGTATAAAACTGTTGCTCATTGCCGGTTCTGAAACTGAGTTTCACATATTTGGCATCTCCTGAGTACAGTTCTTCTCCTTCAAGGACGATATCGAGCCTATTAAAACTTCCCTGCTCATCATTGATGTCAGGAGCAGAGCTTGAATGTAATTTGGCCCTAAGGTCTTCTGGTATACTCGACTTCAACTCACTTCCGCACATCTCGCAGTACCGTAGGGATGGGTGATTAATAAATGTACACTTGGTACATTGGTCATCTCTGCGTTCTTCCAACCCGTTTGAAGTCTCCTCTTCCCTGTTCTGGAGGCTCTCAATATACTTTGTTTGTGGAGGAATCCCACATGATACACATCTGGGTAGATTGTTCAAATTGTAGTTAGAGTCGAGATGATTGTTAAATGAACATATCTTACACACCCAGTCCAACAGCTTGAACAAGCTCACAGACTTGGACCCGCCTTTGGAATCTTCTTCCACGTTCACATATAGTTTGACTTTTGGAGATGACCGTAGAAACCCATCAATGGTTGCAGCCAAATATATCCTATCGATGTCAACAGCCATTGACTTTTTGATATCCTTGTTGTCAATGTAAATCACTCTTTTGTTGGTTAAATATACCCGACCACTCTGACGATTGACGATCTTCACCCGGCCCTGGTAGAGTCCAACATTGTCTCTGATATAAACGATTTCCTCATCATCTTTAAGAACCGGTCGGTTACTTCGATTGATGTTCACAGGCTGCCACACGTTGATAGCAGCCGATGGAACCGTCGATGTCATTTGATCCAATTCCTACTGTGCTGTTGATGTTTGTACACGCGGAGGATTTGCAACCCACAGATATTACAATTTGGCTAGTTGAGTGTTGCGTTATCAGTCTGGATTTTTGTTTCGCGGAAATAGTGTAACTTGAAATTTCCACAAACCCTTCCAGCTGGTGGATTGAATGAAAACCCATCCATCACCACCAACGCATCTTGTCAGCATAATATAGAATGTCTTTTTTGTTTAAGAGAAATCCTCGTACCCCCCAAGAAGTGGTGAGAAGCTTGAATGAACAGATCTCGAAGATCGATTTAACCAACGATAACCACAAAAAGTACCAGGATGATTGTGCACGGTTTTTAAAGCAAATGAAGGTGATTTTGAATGGTGACGATGAAACAGAACCACAACCTGACCAAATCACCTTGCTCGCGCAAGAGATCTATCAAACTGACTGTTTGTATTACTTGATAACTAACTTGTCCAAGTTGAATTTTGACAGCAGAAAGGATGTTTCTATACTATTTCTGAATCTTTTACGGCGCAAGATTGGTAACCAATCGCCTACAGTTGATTACCTTATCAATTCTAAACCCGAAATCATAATGTTGTTGATTAAAGGTCAAGTCCATCATGAAATCGGGTTGATTTGTGGATCTATAATCAGAGATTGTATTAAGTTCGAGGTGATAAATAGCTTGATTATCGCAAGTAAGGTCTTTTGGAATTACTTCGGTTATGTCCAGAGCGATATCTTTGAAGTTGCCACCGATTCTTTCACTACTTTACATGACTTGTTGACATTGCACAAAAAGCTTGTATCGGAATTTTTGACCAGTAACTACGACCAGTTCAACAAAAATATCAACCAGTTGATCCAGCTGAAAAACTATGTGGTCAAACGTCAAAGTGTGCGGCTTTTGAGTGAATTGGTATTGACCAGAACAAACCAGAACTTTCTTAACAGGTATTTTGATGATACAATAAACTTGAAAGTAGTGATGCTTCTCCTCAGTGATAAACTGAAAAACCTACAAATCGAAGGATTCCACATTTTCAAATTTTTTATTGCCAAACCTAAAAAGTCCCAGAAAATCATGGATATCTTAATCAAAAATAAGTCCAACTTTATCGAGTTTTTGGAAAAGTTTGACTTATCAAGCCTCAACGACTCCACCATTATCGATGAAAAGGATTATGTGTGGAACGAAATCAAGAAATTGCCTGAAATCGAAAGATTATAACCCAACAAAATAACGTAATGAGCCTGATAGAGATGAATATACAACCAGATAATAACAAATTCTAAATTTTTCTATATCATACACACAATGAAAACGCCCAGCTGAGACAATCAGTAATCCTTGGTAGGAGTAGACCAGTTCTTGTACTCCGCTTCACCATATTGGATTTGTTCAATCCAGTCCAACAATTGCTTGGTCAACTCACCTGAAGATCCTAAAGCAACTGGAACATTGATGTCTTCCCCTCTGAAAGTAATGTTCTTGATTGGAGAAACAATGGCAGCAGTACCAGCACCAAAAGCTTCAATCAACTTTCCTTTGGCAGAGGCTTCCTTAACCTCATGGATGGTGAATTTACGTTCGCTGACAATCCACTCATTAGGGTCCAACTTTTCTCTACACAAATCCAAGATGGAATCTCTGGTAACACCTTCCAAGATGGTTCCGTCCAATGGAGCAGTAGCGATTTCCTTCTTTCCATCTTCAGTCTCAAACACAAAGAATGCGTTCATGGTTCCAACTTCGGTGACGAATCCTTCTTCACCAAACAACCACAAGTTTTGTTGGTGGCCTCTGGTAGCAGCTTCTCTTTGAGGTTTAATGCAAGGAGCGTAGTTAGCACCCAATTTACTGTTACCACTTCCACCAGGCCAAGCTCTGACGGCATTTTCAGTAGCTTCCAACGATACTGGCTTGAATCCGGTCTTGTAGTATGGTCCAACAGGAGAAGCAATGACAAAGATTAAGGCCTTGTCTGGAGTATTTACTCCCAAAGAAGCAGTGGTCCCAATCATAGTGGGTCTCAAGTACAAGGAGTAACCGTGGCCTTCAGGAATGAAATCCTGTTCCACTTCAACAAACTTTGCAATCAACTTGGACAATTCAGCTTCGTCAAACGCTGGTAAGTCAATTCTTTCAGCAGAAGCATTCATTCTCTTCATATTCTTGTTAACTCTAAACAATCTAGAGTTACCTGACGCATCTTTATAAGCCTTTAAACCTTCGAACAATTCAAAGGCATAGTGGAAGACAACAGCACTTGGATCCAACTCGAGCTTGTGGTAAGGGTTGATGGTGGGAGTGGCCCATCCGTTTTCAGCAGTCCATTCGATCTCCAAAATGTGATCGGTGAAGGTCTTACCAAATACCAACTGGTCGTTAGGTAACTTGGCCTTTGGAGTGGTGGTCTTGTTGATGACTAAACTGCTAGCGTCTAAGGAGGACATGCTTCTGAATAATCCTCTATTTTGACTGGAGATTCCACTTCTTATAAATCTGGTGAACATCCGGCTATTTGAATTTTGAAAAATTTTTATGTTGTTTTGTATGAGTCAAGGCCGCGATTTTGGATTCTTTCGGTTATACAAGGAACTACTGATATTTTGCAGCCTTCTGAACTTGGGACCGGTACCGGTATTTATAGACACTTGAAGAACCTGACTCATCAGAGAGTCTATACGGCATTCGTGTTGTTATGCATATCTATTGTTGTCTACTGTCCTTTTATGTTTTGTGTACTTGTGTACTTATGTTCTGTTGTCACTTTCTTCGCCCAACGGCTATTAATTCCGAACCTTATTTATTAGAGTTCTGTATTATGTAATAGGTAGAACACCTTAAAATTGGCATATTCAATCTGTTATTCGCAAGTTCTCTATCACCACACCATCAAGAAGAACCTGTGAGTTGTATATGGTTAGACGATCCTTTCTCTTGTTTGCGCCGGGGCGCTTAAGCTGATCTTGCGTGAATCTCGAAACAACAAGTTCATGTTCAGGTTTAACGAACACCCCATTAATGCGTGTGATTCTCACTGATGCATCGTAGAGAGTTATGTTTGGATCCAACACTCCTTCCACCAATCTCAGATTAGTGGTTTCTACTTGCTGCTGAGTAATATAATTATGCCTCGAATCTATTTTTCCTTTCTGTATTAACTCCATCGATAGGCGGACATTGTCAAACTCATGGATCCAGAGAGTGTTCGACAGTGGGATCAACGTCAATGAATTGTTTCGAATGCTAGTCTTGTCACCTATGAAAATGTCGAATTTCTCGGTGTTTGATTGAAGTGAGCATGTGAGCTTGGGATTAAATAGAGTGAAGCGTTTGTAGAAGTCATCCGCCAACTCGATGTAGCTGTTATCTAGACTTGTTTGTGGAAGATAATGGGGATGGTAAAGGTGCGAGGAATACTCGTAGTCTAAATTGAACAAGTTATCTAGTTCATAGTAGCTGGACTTCATGAAATCTGTACTACCACTTGTAAATGGGTTGACTTCACACTTGTCAAACTTATACTGGAATGGATCCACAAACTCATGATCATCGATATACTCGATTGTAATATCTTTGGTGGTTCCATCTTTTAGCTTTCGAGTGGTGCTGAAAAGTCCTTTAAATGACTTGAACATCAGGTTCTCACGGTGTCCCTCAGCGACAAACTCATGTTTCTTTGGAGTGATATTAGAACCTTTAAACGTCTTCTCTGTATTGTAGTCAAACCATAATGGATGTCCCTCTGTGGAGAATACCCAGTTTGTATCTCCCATTCTTTTGCTGTGCAAAAATACCTCGTTTTGTTCGTCAAATAGCAAGTACAAGTACTTCAAGGTCTCACTAAGGACAAACGACTCCATCCTATTTTGAAATGAACCTGTTCTAACGTCCTGGACCCCCTTGAACCCGCATGGAGCCATGAACTTGGTTTTGAAGAGATTCAACACCGTTTCACCGATTTGAAGGTACATGGGATCGTGCGTGGCTTGGTATAAGTAGTAAGTGGACTCTACAAACTCGGGTCTTAAAGGATACCATTCCAAGCCAATGGTATCTTCCTCCAGTTTAATCGCTTCTTTTGGTAGCAAAAAATTCCATCTTTCGGGGATTATTTGAAAATAATCCCAAAGCTTTAAAAACACCATATGTGTACCAATGGCATCTTTCAACTGTCCACTTAGCACTTGCACACCTGGCCAAAAGCCGCTCAACAGGTCAATCCAAATTGTAGCATCTAGCCCTTCCTCACTACCAATGTTTGCGAAGATTAGTGAAGTGAACTCGTCTGGACTACCCTTAACCAGATGGGTCATAAGTGCCTTATATGAAGTTTTGAAAACTTCCCACATATGCGTATCATCAAATAATATCGATCCTTTGACGCAATACTCGTAGAAGGAATCAATTGAGGCTCCGATTCCTGTAATCGAATCCTTCCATTCACTTTCCGCTGGGGAAATCGTCATGGGGAGCAAATCCAAAGACAGTCTTGAATTCCAAATCTTCCAAAATGCTAGCTGGGTGTACTTTTCAAATTGTAGGTCACCCGTTAACTTCGAAAGTAACGTCATTTCTAGGACTGGCGTGGTGACTCCAGATGTGCATGTTTCTAATTGTAAACTGGATGGCACTCCTTTGACACCTCTTTTCAAGTTAACTCGCGGGACTGGAATATTATTTGTGGTTTTGAAGGCAGGGATCAACCGCTTGCCCAAATCATATGCCATTTCAAGAAGAAACCCATCGTAATTCTGGCATATCTGGCGAAATCGCAAGTTCTTCATTAGTGAGCTGTCACTCAATATTGTATGTATCGAAAGTAATCCTCCCAATGACCGGATGGTCATCTCGAACACTTGTACTACCACATCCTTGTCAAAGTATGAATCTTTCTCTCGGTACAAATACCCCAATGCCATCTCCAAATCATCCCATTTTTCAAGAATCACCAACGTATCAAGATTATCCATTAGGGTCAGAGATATATTTCCAAGAACGTCGTTTCGTATCACGTTGGTGTAATCCTTAACGTCGGGGCCATATGGCTCACAAGTGATTGGTCTCACCTCATCCATAGGAAAGCCATATTTCATGTATGATGTCCAAGCGTGGTCAAAGAGTGATTTTGTTTCGTTTCTCAAATAGCGCATGTGATCTGGCGTAAAAGATGAATTGAAGGAACTTGTGGCTTCAAACTTAGGGAACTGTACCTCAGCACACGTAGATATTGTTGTGAACCATAGTACCCACAATATACATCGTAGCATTATCGTTAGTAAAAAACAAAAATCACTAGTTGCGAAATTAATGTGTGCGGTAAATCATATTATGTCTATTATCGTAAAGTAACGTATACCGAGTGAGATCTACTTTCCAAATATCCGGTTCACTTGGCTTAACACCTTGTTGACTCCAAACCATAACGTTATAAAAATCAAAACAACGTTGATCAATACTTGTAAAACTCCATTTAACATGAATCTCGGAGCAAATATCTTCCACACCATCAAGTGTCTTCGGAAGTGGGCAGTAAATATGAAGCTTGACAAACTGAGCAATGTCTGATAGGTTATTAACGAGGTGGTGATACTTATCACTTGGGATAATACCGCAATGGGCTTGTTAGTGGGAGGAACTCTCCACAATATCACCAATGGAATTGCCAAACACACAAGAATGAAAGACCCAAAATTATTCAACACGAGGTTGATATGAGTGAACGGAAACATTATATCATCATTAGTTAGAAATGCAACATCCCATTGAATGGAAGGGATGGTGGCTTGATGACCAGTGCTAAAGAAATTTTGGTATGCCAATAATCCAAAAATGATGGGACTTATAAGATTTCTTCGTAAGTCCAACAAATCCATGATCTCCAAAAATGACAAGATTTGAACCAATAACCCAGCAATTGATAATGCACCCAATGGCTTAGATGTGAGCATTATGGCTGCTGCAAAATTGATAACCAACAAGAAATACGAAGACCCATAGATGTTTTCGTATCCTAGAATGGTAGCAGTTGGTTTTTCTTCTCCAAGCTCCTGAGAATCATCTGGTGAGCTCTTTGAATCTTCATTTGGCTCTGGACTTGTGATCTTGGGCTCTTCCATTTCTTGGTCTGTTGTTGACTTGGAGAAATCAATCTTCACACACAAAGGGCCTCTGGACCAGCCGTAGTTGGCCAATACCAAACTAATAAATAACACGATTCTTGAAATCGCCAACTTGAAGGACTTGATCAAGTTGTTGGTTAAAAAGTGGGTGAAGGAAGTACTCAAATGTAACTTCTCAAAAATCCCATTATCATCCATGTACTCCAACGTCCAATAAGTGGCATTCATGAAGAGAAGAAACCGAAACCCTGACTTCATCCATAAAGGAGCCGCAGAGTGGTAGGAGTTTGTTAATCTGTAGAATGATTTGATGACCAACGGAAGAAAGTAAGCCATTACATGCAATAGTAAAACCGACCACCACGTCACTTCGAACGTTGGACGACAGTAATCTCCTTGTTCTTCTCTGCACAAGTTCACCATTGATATCAATCTGGTAACAACCACAAACGTTAAGCAATGCAAAATTCCAAGAATACGGGACTCTTGGGGTGTTTTAGTGTTGGACGCAATGGATATTATCCCACATACTCCGAACATCGATAAGAAGAAGCTCGCCATCTTGTCCTCCCATATCACATAAGAATTAGAGGCAAAGATGAGACAATGCAATACCAAGTAAATCAATCCCATGAACGACCAGCTATTGAAATTGTATATGAAGAAGTCAAATATCTGGTGAATCAACCAATTGACACTGAATCTATCCATTATAGGGGCCCAGAATCCAATCACCATTCCTATTCCAACTCCACCGGCCAAACAGTGTCTGAGCATAAGATTGTGAGGCATCAACACAATATATATGGACAAGCTCAAAACAATTCCTAGTAATGACATAGCAATCACGGACCCCAAAAACTCAAAAGACATCGTTGATACTCTCACGGATGGGATTGATCTGGAATAGGTTAAAATGAACACGAACGATAATGCCAATAACAGAAGTCCAAAAACAATGAACTTCATATCGAATCTCGCCCACAATGATTTGCAGTATTCCAAGTTGTCGTACTGGAAAGATTTCGAAATAGATATCAAATCGGAAGTGTACTTCTTGTTACCCAGGAACCTTTCGTAGTTGCTGATCAAGAACGCATACTTATCGTTCAACTCTTGGTTTTTGATGATTTTCTCGTTATTTGAGTTCATTCTGAACTGGTTGATTTGTTGAACCACTTTATAAGAAACCTGATTTAACACCTTATCGCTTTCAAAAAGTTCATCAATAGGAAATCCCAAGTTGTTGTGCGGTATTGGTAATCCTAATAATAAAGATATGGTGGGTACCAAATCAATCTGGTTGACTGTTCTATAATTTGTACCAAGTTTCAGAATATCATAGGCATTTGCCTTCACCTTCTGCTTATTCATCTGGAAATTCTTTTTCTTTGTGTACATGAATAACGTCGATTCCAACTCATCAGAAGAGTCTCCTCCATGATTTCCAGTAGAGTCCATTCCGTGGTCTCCCATCACCACTAATAGGGTAGAATCGTCCATTTCTTCAATAACCTTCTTGATTTCTTCATTCATTTGATTCAACTTCTCCTTCATTGTATGGTGATTGGGCCCATACCGGTGGCCTATATGGTCCACTCCCAAGAAATGACCTATCAAAACATCCCACTTGGAACTTTTTTGAGGATCCTTAAGAAGCGGATGAAGATTCTCCAATACCCCGTTGTCAACCGTATGGAAATCCCACACGTTCAAAGATGGATATGGGAAGTTGAGCTGTGGATTTATGTACTTCTTAAACAAAGCTTGCCAAGTATCATCTCCCATGAACGCCACCGACTTGTTGTGGTTATATAGCTGTAGAACCCAGTTATCCTCGTCTATTTCATCCCCGTTGAAATTAGAACCCGCATCGATGAAGGTTGGCAAAGAGCCCGTCGTTAGCCCTTTTAAACGTTGTAATGTTGTTGTGGGAGGGTCCGCTATAAACTTTAACAACACAGACTTTTGAGGTTGATTCGTATGAAGCTCGTATAGAATAGGAAAATTGTTATGGTAGAACATTTCACTGCCTTCAACAGGAATGGCAAAGTCGAACCGCAACGCATCTATAACCAATACTATTGCCTTTTCGAATTTGGGAACAAGACAGGCCTGGACTTCATCGGAACAATTGGATATTATATCTGGAACTTCTCTAGATAAAAGGAATCCTTGAGTGAAAAAAACAATGGATATTACTTGAAGCAGTGCAAAAAACAACAATACAAGGAAGTATCCAAAGAAAGTGATACGAAGTTTCTGCTGTCTTATTCTGCTCCGTGTTGTTCCTTGTATCATCAATACGGTGGCTATTCTTATCCTTTCGAAAATCAAAACAGTGAGAAATTTTGAGATGATTTGGATTCCTTCTGGCACATGAGGAATCACTAAGACGAATGAAGGCTTACATCAAAATAGGCCAATCTGCTTAGGAAAGTTTCTGTTTACTAGTCATCCACATATATCATTTAATGGCCAAATCTACCATATACGGGCCAATTGGGTGGTTATCTATTAATACATAATTGTACAAAGTATCGTTTTATTCCATGCTGTGGTCAATTTGGCTCAAGAAGTCCTCATCAAAGTTACCGTTCATAATGTCATCATCCTGGAAGTTAATAAGGCCTCCCATGTCATCATCCACTATATCATTCAACATGTCTTTCAGCTGAGGTTGTTGGAACTCCAAGAATGAGTTGTCAAAATAGTCATTGTCCCCATTCCCACCATCCTGACCATTAGTGTGAGAGTTTCCGTTCTGCCCCAAACCCGGGTTGTGGGGGATTTCAATGTTGTTTTGTTCGGGCAGTTGTGGCTGGTTCATATTTATCATTGAGTCCAACAGACGAGGGTTATAATTTGCAGGAGCACTGTCCACGTGGACATCTATAGACGCTTTGTAAGGCTTATAGTTTTGGATGGACTCGAATTTCATATGGAAAGTGTTTTTGTACTCAGCCAATATCTTTTTCATCTCTGTTTCCAATGCCTCAATACACAGCTCATCTTTGAGGTCACAGGTCAAACGGGCCAAACGAGCGGTGCTTTGACTTTGAAATTCGTACTCTTTACTGAGTGTTATGTCTTCTTCTTTACTGTTCAATTCCTTCTCTAGCTTCTCGTTTATGTGCTTCAACGCTGCCAAATCTCCAAAATACACTTCATCGTATTTTAACGCATTTAGGTCTGAACTCTTGGGAAGCGGGTCGGGGAACGACTTGGGAGGTATGATCTTAGAAGAGTGGATGTACTTGGAGACCACGTTTTCCAATAGTTCTTGATTGTTAATAAACCTTGTGTATGCGTCAGTTCGAAACGATATCAAATCGCTCTCATCGTGCAAATTGGTTGTGGGCTCCTCTTTTATGGGTTTGAGGTAGTGTTGTGGAACTTGTTGATGTGGTATGCTCTGACTTGGGGTCTTATTGCGCCGTCTTGGTCTACCAGGATGTGCCATTTTGGTTTAACTATGCTTCGTTTTGGGTGTTAGTTTTGGTTTTAGTTTTGGTTTTTCGTTCGCGGTGCCTGTCGTATGGGATGTCGTGCACCGTTCATTTATCTAGCCATATATTAATGAACAAAGGTTATAAGGTAAGGTAATATACAAAGCTGTAGGTAAAATTACAAATCGAATCTTCCATTGATGAACTCTTCATCTTCCATATCAACATCCATTTCATCTTCCTCGTCGATTTGATCATCTATAACATCTTCGTCAGGAGGTAAATTAGGGTTACCTGGAATAAAGCTACCGGGAGCTCTGAAGCTGTTGTAACGGTGGCTTTTGCTGAAATGGTCATCCATGGCTGACGCATCCACATATGTAAATCCCTTGAAGTTGGCTTGAATTCCAGGACTCAAAGGAGTTGATGCCATTTCCATTTGCTTCTTTAGCACCGAAGTTGACTCGTTGGTGAATTCAGGATCAAAGTTAGAGGTGTCGAGCTCAGACGTCAAATGGGGTTTGAAAGGTGGAGGAATGGTTTTGTTCTTCAATAATTCCCAGTCGATATCGTGGAAAAATGGGTGTGCTTTCAATTCTCTGGCATCATTAAGGGAACCTAAACGATGCTTAGGGTTCCTGTTCAATAGTCTCTTAACAAATAATCTTCCTTCGCTGCTCAAGATTTCCTTGGGGAAGCGAACTTTCCCAAAGGCAATGTTCTTGTACATTTGCTGGGTGTTTTCGGCGTAGAAGGGAGACCAACCACAGCACATTTCGAAAATTAATACTCCCAACGACCAGAAATCAACCATCTTGGTATATCCCAGTTCATCAAGTAACACTTCAGGAGCTAAGTATTCGGTGGTACCACAGAAGGTGTTGGTAGTACCATCATTGTTCAAATTGGCTTTGGATAACCCGAAATCACATAATACAATATGCCCATTGGCATCAAGTAAGATGTTTTCTGGCTTCAAGTCTCTATAAACGATATCATTATCATGTAAATGTTCCAATGCTAACACCAATTCAGCAATGTAAAACTTGGCTCTGTCTTCTGGGAATCTTCCTTCCTTTTGCAAATGCCAGAATAATTCTCCTCCTGACATGTAATCTGTCACCAAGTATAAATCAGTAGGGGTTTGGAAGGAGAACTTCAATCCAACAATAAAAGGAGATTGAGCTGCTGAAGTACGAACCAAAATATTCCGTTCACCGATGGTGTGTGCGATTTCTTTCTTCTTGACAATAACCTTTTTACTTAAAACCTTCATAGCGTAAATTCTATTATTATCCCGTTTTTTCACCTGGTACACCTTACCAAAGGTTCCTTTACCCAATAATCTCAAAATCTCAAAGTCTTCGGGTCCGTAGGAGTGGTTAAGAAGATTGGAATATTCCCATTTGATCTTAATGGAGCCTGAAACCCGTTCACCAGCCACTCGAGGTGCCAAATTGAACCACGAACCATTGTTACGCTTCTGGTCGTACAAAAATGGGTGGATACGAACATGACCCAAGAACGAGTCATCTGTGCTCAGGTCGTAGATGGAGATTTCCAACTCCGACTTGTTTCCCACCACGTCAAAAATGGCTTCATGATTCCATACAGGATTAGAAATTCCAGCTCTATAATCAGATATCGTCAAATGGTTGGACAGCGATTGGCTCTGGTACATGGGCCGGTTCAGGCCATTGTTGCGACCGGCAGTGGTGGCTGATCTGTTGTTAAAGGAATCGGGAGCGTTGGTGATGAACTCAGAGCTCTCAAAGGTGCACACCACGTACGGCTGAGAATTGTTAGAATGAATCAACAAGTTACTGGCCTCTAAAATCGTCACCTTCAACTTACCTTTGGGATGACTCTGCGACTCGGTTTGGTTCATCTGGCCGGTTTCGTCGGTGGTGATGATGATCGGATGAGTGTTGAAATCACTTCTCGATTTCCCTAAATCACCTGACAGTTGGAACAGAGTCTGAGAAGGTGGATGCTCTATCGATTGAGATGCATCAGACTTGAGTCCAGCATCGTCACCAGCATCAACTTGGTATTGCTGGTGGATGTTTTGATAGTTTTCCTGGATTTGGTGCATTGACTGGAACTGGTTAAAATTGGACGTCTGATGAGAATCGGGCTTTTTTAAGGAGGTGGTTCCATACACCATAGAGCTATTTTCAGCGGTAGTAGGGGTGACATTATTTAAGGATTTGGGGTAGATCTTGGAAAACGCAAGCTTGTTATCTTGTGAGGAAGAATCCAGTTGAAGTTGACTTTGATCCTCGGGTTGACCCTGTGACGGCTCATTGTTTGAATTGTTACTAATTTCCCTCTTCAAAGAGGAAAAACCAAAGATCGATTTTGCAAAGTCAGTCATAATATATGGAATTGTATCAATTAGGAATGGGAAATGCTGATTTGAAATGAATAGTAAATTAGGTAAATTATTATGATTGTTTTTGGGAATTAAAAGTAGTTTGAGGAATGTCTATAAAATGTCCCACGGTAAGCTGTTTGGAAGAGCAACCGAAAGGTTGGTAATTGGGACAGCAGTTGTATTTGCACTTATCAAGGTATTGATACCTGTAACCGATTATTTTCCTGAAATCCACCGGTCTCAACCAATTAGCACCCTTTATTAGTGAGTCTTAATTTCCTTTATGCTTTGTTTTGTCTGTCTCCCTAAACGAAAAATTTTCGCAGTCGTGTAGATGGCAAAGTCCGGACTCGACCACCCCTTACAAAGGAGTGGTTTGGGTCTACTGATGTTTCGGTTAAGAACTGGTGGTCCTCCATTGACTTGTTCATGACTGTCTAGTGAAACTGGCAAATTTTGTGTAGCGGCTGTGAGGTTACTGTAAACTTACTTAATATCCATAATCTTAACGAGTGTAGGCGTGTACCTAGGCGATTGATAACGGCTTGATTGTTCCTGCACATATGCTATCTACACCGAATGGGCGCACATGGAATGGGCAAGTTCGTACAGATACAATTTTCAGCAATTGGAGCAGTTGTAGAGTGTAGTAGGTCTCTGCACAGAAAGGGTTGATACTGGGAGGTTTAAAGGCTCCTTTTGGATTTTGGTGCAATTCGGGTAGTTTTGGGACGTCTACTCATGTCATTAGTAGGACAGCTTCCATTTCTTCTAGAAATATTATGTTCGGGTGTCTAGTGGTATTTGAAGTGTCTGGGAGTAGATGTCGGTAGTATATTATTACCTTTTCTGTTAAATTTGTTTTTTGTAGTTTGTTTTTCACCAGTATTAAAGAAGCTGTGAAATCCACGTTTTTGCAGCTGAAGATCAAGAAGAAAAAAATACAGATCTCATGCACAGGAAACATAACTCATGCTTTAGCTGTGCTACTTCTGTGCCATGTTACTTGTATCTGTATTATTCACATGGTTTTTCTAGAAAGGTTCTAAACTACCGGTTGCTCGAGCAGCTTCTATCAACATCTGCAAAAAGCATCTCCCATTTCACGGTACAACTCAACTCGATTCACTGTTTTGTAGCCTACAAGTGAATTCTTTCACGTCTTACCCAAGGCCCAGTATCTTCAAAGTAGTTCACTGCACAGAATAGTTATATCACCATCTCTCTGTCGTATGCTGACGTAATCATCGGCCGTGCTCTTTAAGCGGGCCGCGACAGTCAAATTTTCACTTGACCATCTTCAACACCTCAAATCCACCAAGATCATGTTAACTTTCACTAGAGGCTTGACCACGGGTTCTAGGCTCTTTGCCCCCGACAAGTACTATAAGATTACGAGATATGCGAAACCATTGTCAAAGGTATCCTATAAGGCAGGTGATGTGATTCCTGCTGATCGTAAGGTGTCCATTCCTCCAAACAAGAGACACTATCCTCTCTACGAATATGAAACCATGTTCTTCAAGAGTCAAAACAGGGGCTTATACGGGGGATTACAAAGAACTAGTTCTCGGACTTGTTCGGAAAGTGGTAACAAGAACTTGAGAAGTCATAAACCAAACATTGTTCTGTCCTCAATTTACTCAGAGATATTAGACAAAGTCTTTAAGGTCAAAGTCAGTACCCGGGTCTTAAAAACCATCAGCAAGGAAGGAGGTTTGGATAATTACTTGTTGAAGGATAAGCCTGCCAGAATCAAAACTATGGGTAAGGTGGCCTGGAGAATTAAATATGATATAATGAAGAAATTGGAATCTGATAGTTTACCTGTAATTGAAGGTAAGAGGATCTACTTGGCATACAAGGGCCATAATGTGTATGTTGGAAAGAACAAGTTGTTGAGCTACTTGTTTGAGTATGCCAAAAGAGATACCTATGAACCAATTACCGAACTGCAATTTTTGGCCACAAATAGCTGGAAAGACATCAAAGAAGTCTGTCAGGACTTGGAAAAATATAGCTTTGATTTTAAGCAGGTCTCTGTTTGATTCATATGGAGCATATGCTATTAATAGTGTAATCTTGTAAATATACGTACCATATTATATCATGGAGGGCTGGTACCCTAATAACGTGACCTATCTTATTTAAGAGTGTGCACCCGTCACAAATTTGCTATTTGCAGGCAATATCCTTCGCGGTAACTGGCGCAGTAAAAAGCGGTGGAGGTCCCGCCAGTTTTTTGCCCCCCTCAGCAGCTTCTACCGCGACTAAAACCGAAGTGCACATTACCATGTCGTGTATGTCCTCACTTTATCTTTGTGCGCAAAGTCCTCAAGCGTCAAAAAAATTTTCACACAGAAAAAAAATTTTCAACTACTAGAACGTTAATAATGGTTAAGTCAGGTATGTTTCAACATCCAACATTCAGAATAAACGTGGATATAATATCTCGAACATATGATATAAGTGATTTGTAATTCCCACCGTGAAACTAGGATTCAAGAACGTCAAAATATGACTGATTTACACATAATCTTGAATAAGGAACCACCAACTCCAACAGACAATGGATACAGTTTATATCGCCCTCATCGTCAAACTTTCGACTAGAACAGCAAATAGAAATGGAGCTTTCAATCTCAGTCTGCATAGCCCTACTAAAACCGAAATATCGTTAACATTTCATATTCAATCAGTACTCATCAGATTTATATTCACCAGATTCATAAAAAACCAGTTACTAACAACTCTCTAGGTATTGCCAGTGGATTAAACAAGGGTCACAAAGTCACCCCAAAGGATGTCAAGCCAAAGATCTCTTACAGAAAGGGTGCTTTGTCCAAGAGAACCGTCTTTGTCAGAGACATCGTCAAGGAAGTTGCCGGTTTGGCCCCATATGAAAAGAGATTGATCGAATTGATCAGAAACGCTGGTGAAAAGAGAGCTAAGAAGTTGGCCAAGAAGAGATTGGGTACTCACAAGAGATCTTTAAAGAAGATTGAAGACATGAACAAGGTCATCGCTGAAGCCAGAAGACACTAAACATACTTTCAAAGTCTTTTAAATCATAACATCTGATGTACAAATAATATAAGTCAACATTCTACAATGATAATTATGCTCTCTCTCTCTTCTCTACTATCATAAATTGTATTTTTTCGCACTGCATTGGAACCCCAAAATGCTTCTCAGATCCATAAAAGGCACCATTCGTGAGTGCAGAAGAAGTATACAAACGCACATAGGCCCTCCCACACACTTCAGCTCTAAACATGCTCCACCTAATTATAACGAACTCTCCAATTCTAATAGCATTGAAGTGGAAGTTCAGCGAGCCCCAGAGACGCAAGAACGGCAAAAGGAACACGAAGGGGACAAGCCGATCAGAGAGTTTTCGTCGCTATTAGCGATGATGACACTCGGATATTTTGCTGTAGATAACTACTTAAACCGGGTGAAGTTAGAAAAGCTAAATAACGAAAGTACCTCCATCAACTTGAAGACTTTACAAATTCAACAGGCCAATTTTGCTCAGGAGAGAAGGAAAAAAGACTTGCAACTTCTACAAGAAAGAAAGGAAACTCAGAGACAGTTGTTTAAGTTGTCGGTACATATTGCAATGCTAAGAAAGCAGTTGGCAGATCAGGGCTATGATCCTGTAAACATAGACCAGGCGCTCAAGGAATTTGAAGATTCGGTCAAAATCGACAATTCCATCAAAAACATCAGTGGTCAGGTATTATGGCTAGATAAAACGTCAGACTTACGACGGTATTTGCCTGATATTCATGATTACGAAAAAAAGTCCAGTAAATAGAGTCCCAATTAAATTACACGGTCGTGCCAGCACCACGAAACCACCCCATTGAGGTTTTTCATCGATGTTCAAAATTTTTTCTTCTTCTTAATACAATGTCTTTTATGTAGACGCCCATAGAGTCACGGTTAATATGGTATTTTTGATCCCACATATTTCCATCAACATCCGTTGGATGTGATTTCGTGCTCGGGTAAGTCTTAGATTAAACTCAGGTTTAAGTTGACCTTTTTGTCGTGTTAATCTTGTGGTTAACTATGCGGTTTTAAATCTACAGTTTTCCATTGACGAAAGCTCCGGCTTTCGTTGGATGGTGTTTCCCTAGTAATCCTTATATTCAAACTACAAGCTGACTATGTATGGTTGTGCTTGTGTGATATAATGCTCTCGATGCCCTTATGACCTTCTGGGTCACTTCAACTTTCTGCTCTCTTATCTGACATCATCGCCTATTCAGCTGCAACATCTGGGCATCGATGCTTCCCAATTCTCTCTGTTTCAATTTCAACTCCAATAAGTTAAGTTTGGGACAACAGGTGGTCTGCACGTCTCCGTTTTGTTCGTAATACTTTTTACAACACAAGTATAATTGATCAATAAGCTTTGTACATCGTGATTCATTGTAACCATTTCTTTGCAAGCAATCCTGGATTGCACAGGCTTCTGGTTTGCACGGATCCGTTGGATTTGACATAGTGGAAAAAAAAACTGGTTACTTCGATTGCGAGTTCTCTTTCTCACTTGCTTAGTGGATGACATTCTCGTCCAAATCTGTGTGATAATCATCTTCATCAAATTCACTTGGTTCATATATCACTAACGGTATGAATTCGTCTGAATTGTGAGACTCGGCATTGACTTTCCGCTTGTAGATGTAGAAACTGGCACATCCACTGAACACACACACAAGAATAGAGATGATACCCCATCTACTCAAGTTCCATCGTAAACTTTCAATCTCAGATCTCATAGTTCCGATTAACTCGGTGGTAATCTTATGATTGGCTTCCTGGATCTTCAAAAACATTTTCTTCGACGCCAACGTATTCTCTTGCTTCTCATCATTGATAGTCACCTGGTTATTGTTCTTAAGCTGCAATACATCGTTGTTTAACTCATCCTGGATTATATTGAAATCTCTTTCCAATCCATTGATAAGACTAATAGACGCATTGATTTGGGCTTCTCTGCTTCTGGTGACGTCTACCCTTAACTCTTGCTGGGCACTTTCAAAAAGATACTTTTCGTTTTCAAGTTCATACAATTGAGAGTATTTGGTAGGGAGTTTTGCAAGCTTAGAATTGAGTTGAACAATCAATAAGCTTATAATTTCCTCCGATTGCTTGTCTGTGAACCCAGCGTCGGTCAACTGCTTGAATACTTCATAAGTATCCATATATGGCTCCATCTTCTCAAAGATTGTAGTCAAATACTCGTCGTCCTCAGCAACTGTGTCTATATTTTCCGTTTGGGTTTCAGCAGACATTTCACTTGCTAGTGGTTCCTCGAGAATGACTTTCGGTATATCTTTCAGTTCTGTGTTGGCTGTGTTGTTCGCTACTGTCACTTTTTTATCCTTATTTATGATTGTAATAGGGGTGGCTTTTGGTGTATTTGTTCCGATATTGGGCACTTTCTTGTCTTCTGTTTTGTTATTCAACATCCTTATACCACTACTCACATGTCTGCCTAGCGTTCGGTTTCGGAGGAAAAGCCCCTTATTGCATCTAAATGCTTGATACATAAGATACGATATAATCTTTTTTATTGTTTGCCGCACTATCTGTTTTTGTTATACTGGTGAAGGCTGTTAATAAAAAGATTCACACTAAAAGACCGACAACTCCTGTAAATCACACCACTTTTAAAATACACTTCTGGCTTGTAGTCCTGCAACTTAATGTATTTGGTGTTGGGCAACAAAATGAGCTGGCAAATCTCTGTGTCTTGATGACGTAAATTGATTGTGAGCTCTCTTCGGGTGTCGTCTTCCCAGTCTGAATCTTTATTGCCACGGACCTTCTGGTTAGCCTCGCTTGCTTCTTCAAGTATTGTAGGAAGAATTGTACCTTCACCTTCGATTTTCTCTTGTTGGTCCGACGTAGGTTTGAGAGTAGAAATTGGGGTTATATCATTTGCAACCACCTTGGTCTCAATTAGTATATCCAAAGGATCGAAAACATAGTCGCCAGGTCCATCTACCACTCTAATAATAGGAACTAGCTTTGACAAAACTCGTGAGTCACAGTTTTTGAGGAATCCAAATTGATACTTGAACTCACTTAAAACCATCGTCTTCAAGTGAGAGTAGTTAATATTCAGAACCAAATTGATTAAGCTAACATTGATCATTCCACACCATACTACCAATCTGGAGAAGTTATTCAAGATCCTGAAATTCTCATAATATAGAAATTTCCTTTGATTAACAAAGTATTCTTCCCTTGGTTTCAAAACCGCTTGGATGTCTTCATCTGATGGTTTTACCCACGTCTTGTCGTAGGTCAAATAGGGCTTGGGCAAGCGAAGTGATACAGATATATCATAATCACTGGCGTATTCCACTATGGCAATCGACTTGGGTAAAGTTAAAGACGAAGGTATCAAGTCGATTATGTAGTTGAAAGAATTAGTCTGGATGTTAACCACTTGCAACGTGATAAGTTTCTTCATGGTAGTCACCAACTTTCCAATATGAAACAACAACTTGAATGTAATCAAGTTCTTGGCCACCGTGAAGAGTTCAGTGGAGTCACTGTAGATACCAATTAACCATGTGACATAATGGAAGCAAACATACATCATCACCATCCCGAGTCTAAGAACATGAATCTTCAAAATATCCAATGTAGTGTAATCGAGATTAATACTAATTGATTGAAGCATTTCTTCAGAATCTAAAAACCCCATTCTTTCAGCTCCAAACAGGTTAAAGCATTTACCATAAATGTCTGGAACTGAATTGCCAAGTTCCAAAGAAGTTTCACTTGAAGAGGCATGCCAGTTTGATCCAGGGTATTTAAAAGCACTACTTTGTGATTGTACCTTCTCAAATTCAGGAAGAGACATGATGGTTAATATCTGAGATTAGAAAAAAGGAGGAACGGGGGATATGTATAGTTGCAAAATCTGATGTATCACTCGAGGTACCGTTTCGGGTAAGGTAGTGTCGCATGGTAAAAATCTAGTTCGGGGTTCGCATATATATTACTGCTCTTCCAGGTCCTTGAGCTCTTGTGGCTCTCCAATGACCGGGGCTATCTTCTTGTTTAACCTCTCATATTTTGCTCTATCTCTATCATTAACACTGGGCTTGATATTGTCCAAAGCTATCAAAAAGTCGTTCAGAGTGACAAAGATATCACTTGCATCAACAAGGTCCTCGGTCTCCATGAACCCAGACTTGTCCAAATCTCCGACCTTTTGGTGGTGGAAGAACTTTCTCTTCAATGCAATAACACCAGCTTCTCTGACCAAAGACGACAAATCAGCCCCCGAAAAGTTTCTGCATTTTTGATTGTATACGATATCTTTCAAATTAACAGACTCGTCAATTGGTGTACCGTTAGATTTGATTAACGTCTTCAAGATATCAAGTCTCTCTTCTTCTGTAGGCAATTCAATGTACAATGACTTATCCAATCTTCCGGGTCTGATCATAGCAGGGTCGATCATATCGGGTCTGTTTGTGGCACCAATTACAAAGATTCCCTTTCTATCATTCAAACCATCTAATTCGGTTAAAAGAGTATTCACCACACGAGAACTCGATTCACTCAAAGATGCATCTCTTCTAGGAACCAATGCATCCAACTCATCGAAGAAAATAATACAAGGAACACTAGCTCTTGCTCTTTGGAATACTTGTCTAATAGCCCTCTCACTTTCACCAACATACTTATTCAACAACTCAGGTCCCTTGATAGAAATGAAGTTGGCCCTGGATTCGTTTGCAACGGCTTTGGCTAAAAGGGTTTTACCACATCCTGGTGGGCCCCACATCAACACACCAGCTGGGGCTGTTATACCCACTTTTTCAAAAATCTCTGGTTTCTTGATGGGTTGTACAATGCACATATGTAACTCCATTCTGATCTTGGTCAACGCTCCTACATGATCCCAAGTAACATCTGGAATAGTTGCAAACCCTTCTCTCTTGGCCGTCGGTTGTACAGAAGGGAGGGCATTCATGAAATCGTCAAAGCTTATGGATAGTGGCTGTAGCTGTTCTTCTGTCAATGGAGAAGGATGGCTTATTAAGAACTTTTGAATAATAGAAAGCTTCTCGTCGTCTGACTTATTTTCAAAAGTTTCCACCAACTCCTTGGAATTTGAAACAGCAGATGTTACGGCAGGAGTGACTTTTTGGTCCACCTCCATGGAATTATTATCAAGAGAGCCATTTTTCATTAACTCTTCGAGTTCTTGTTGCTCACTGAGAGTTTCAAATATCCTCTTTATGGCGAAAACTCCCGACGCAGTAACCAAACTCTTTAAATCTGCTCCCACAAAACCTGATGTGAGCTTGGCCAACACCTTGAAATTGAACCCTTCCAAGTTTAATTTCAATGTAGAGGTCATGGCCTTGAGAATAGATATTCTCTGTTCTTCACTTGGCACATTAAGACATATTTCTCTGTCAAACCTACCTGCTCTCCTCAATGCTGGATCTAAGGAATCAGGTCTGTTCGTGGCTCCAATGACAATGACAGGTTTGCCATTAGTTTTGTCTAACGTCAACTCATCCATCAAGGTCAACAACTGTGCTACTATACGACGCTCCATTTCCCTTTGGGCACCTCCATCTCTTTTTGGGGTGATTGAGTCAATTTCGTCAATGAAAACCAAACACGGAGCGATGTTCTTTGCATCTTCAAAGATTTCTCTCAACTTCTTTTCGCTTTCTCCTGACATTCCAGAAACCACTGAAGGGGCTGATATGCTTATGAATGGGACCTGTAATTCTCCAGCTAATGCATTTGCAACTGTGGTCTTACCACAACCGGGAGGGCCGTATAACAAAACACCTCTTGGTGGTTCAACACCTGTGGAAAGATAAATTTCAGGATGTAGTATTGGTAACCCAATAAGTTCCATTAGCTGGGTTGTGACTTTTTCCATTCCTCCTAGTTGGGATAGATTAATGTCTGGAGGAGTATGATCTATCTTTTTCTTCTTGTGGGAGACTTTGGTGGATGATTCCTTCCGCTTTCTCTTTTTCTCTTCGTCGCTCTTCTTTTCTTCGTCATTCTTTTTTTCTTCATCGTTTGATTCAATAGCAACAGGAGTAACACCCCACGAACTTACTACTGACTTGTTCAATGCATTGGAATCTTTCACGACCATCATGTTGCTTTCGTCTGCGTTTTCGAAATCGCTATCACTTTCATTTGTCTCAGGCTTCTGTGACCCCAAATCATCTCTGTACTTAATAACGTCACTAAGCTCTTCCTGCTCATCTTCTCTGACAATCTTCAAGACTTCTTGAATAGCTTTTTCGACGGTGTTTCTTTTCATCCGGCGCAACTGGAAATCTTTTAGTTGAACGTAATGCAAGATATCAGACAAGCTTAAGTCTCTAGCCAAAGCTATTGATTCAAAAGAATCTTTGTCCACATTGACCTTTTTGTTGGCTTCTGTCCTCTCTTCTAGAAGTTTGTGTATGAGATCATAGATTTTTTGGTCTATACTGGCACTTACAGCTCCCTTCTTCATTTGGGAAGATGTGTCTGCTACTTTAATTCCTTCTCGGTATTTCAAACTCATCGCGATTGTAAGAAGTAGTGCGAAAATCGGATATGATGCCTTTTGCAGCCAGTGAACTTAGCTGGGTACTAGGGGCTCTGATGACAAGGAAGTGAAATAGTGATAATGTGGATAATATAAGGATTACTCTGAAAGTGTATAAATGGTAGAGAAAGTTTAAGTTTTTTGGGTGTAAATCTTGAGTGAGAACAGTGGGAAAAGGTATTGGATAAAGGTGCAAACTTCAGGACAACACACCCGAACTGTTTGGATATAGGTTCCCCAGATCAGCAATTAGAGGTAGAAACGATGACTTTATTGTTGGTATTAATTCCAATTTGACAAAAGTTTCAGGTGCAAAGAATCTTTTTGTTTCTAATGCGGGATTTTTTACACTATACATACGACCATGGATGTGTACGTACTATAGAATTTGGGTTTAACTACAGGTAAACTACGAGCAAATTACCCTTGCTTTCTTTATACAGCTTGGGATTCTGTAAAAGAAAGTGAGATTGCAATATTACACTGCTCAAGAAGAGCAAAGCATCACATGACCAGCCTGCTTGTATTTGAAACAACCCTGTTAGTGGCACTGGCACAATCTGGTGTCTATTTTCCAACACACCTAAACAATCTTCAAAGTCGAGACAAGTCTGGAAAAAGTTTAGGTTTCAAATCCTGCTGTCGACAAATAGCAGCATGTCGATGTGTATCTGTCTGATGTATCTGTAACTATATCCCACCCCTCTTTTGATGTGAATTGCTGCCATGGTTGACCTTTTCGAACAATCCACGTTGTGAGCTCCTTGTAAAACCTTCGTAATTATATAGTCTAAACAAGGAGGGATTTAGTTAAATTGAATCTTTTAATCAAATTTTAAACTGCTGGAAACGGAAACAATTAAGCATCGACTACTAATACCTCGTGGAACCAAGGCGTTTGCTTTGAGCAACAAGATGCATATTCCAGTCAGGTATCATGCAAATTTCACTCGCCACACCCTTCGACAGAGGCTGCTCATTTTGGAAACTCCCAAACCTTAATTCACCCACAACCTGCGCACGACCATTGGTGGTGCACCAGCCACAGATGATAGGTGAAACCTCTTCACTAGCCACTTTTGGAGCATCTATTGCAAACTATGCTTAAGATGATGAATCAATCTCATGATTGTTGTAACAAACCAATGGTTACTTTATTCTTAACTGTTCCTAACCAGCAAAAAAAAAAAAGCAAGTCTGACCCAGTGTCATAAATAGCAATCAAGGTGTAAAAATTATTGCAGCAATTTGTATTGCTATACCAGAAAAGTGTGATTTAAACTTCCTCCACTATTGCTGGGGCCTTGTTGAATAAAAAACTATAAATTGACCCTCTTTCCTCCCCTTCTTCGACATTATTAAAATATCAAACAACAATGTCTGACTTAGGAAGAAAAAATTTTAACGATAAAGTATCTGAAGCTGTTACCCCAGAAAGTAACAAAAGTGCCTTGGAAAAGGCCAAGGAACAAGTCACCGACAAAGTGGATCAATTTGCCGCCAAGGCCACTCCAGATGAACAAAAGTCGTTTGGACAAACTGTTGCCGACAAAGCCAAGGAAGGACACGAAGATGCTAAGGCTGAGGTTTCTAACAACCAAGAATCTTTAGCTGATACCGCCACCGCTTACATTGATGCTGCCAAGGAGCAGGTTGGTAACGCTGCTAACTACATCAGCGGTGTTGTTACCGGTGCCACCGAAGGTGCTAAGACAGGTGCTGACTCCACCAAGAAGTAGACACATAAAATATATCTGATTTTTTATTTGTAGAGATGGAATAAACGCAAAATCGAAGTTAAAACATTTTATGTAGAATTCACATTTTTGAGTGAGAAGTGATAGTTGAGATTCGTGCGATGCGAAATCGATTTTTGTGCTCAACTCATCTCAAGTATGTTAGACTCTGAATATGAGAGTACAGCTAAAAAGCTACTGTCAAAAGTCCACTCTGATTCGGAAGATGACTTTAACTACTCTGAAGACGAATATCCTATCGTCAAAGTTCAGAAAAAGTCGTATGTAAATGAGCAAGAACAGAATGAGGAAGAGGAGCCAGACGATGAAGAAAACGAAACGGGGGAAGGTGCTCAGTTAACCGATGATGAGGTTGATGAGATTACCCAGGTTAAATCAAAGACAAGAAGAAAGCTCAAGGGACTTACTCCAGAACAATTGGAGAAGGAACAAAAGAGGATAAAGAAAACCGGGGTATGTTATTTGTCTTCCATTCCTCCTTATATGAAGCCTTCGAAGTTACGTTCTATTCTACTGAGATTCGGCAAGATTGATAGGCTTTTCTTGAAGCCAGAAGACCAAAAACTGTATAAGAGGCGTGTTAAGTACGGTGGGAACAAAAAGAGAAACTATACAGAAGGATGGGTAGAGTTTTTGAGCAAGAAGGATGCAAAGTTGTGTGTCGACACCATGAATGGGAACATAATTGGAGGCAAGAAAACGTCATATTATTACGATGATATATTGAATATCAAATACTTGAAGAACTTCAAGTGGATGGATTTGACTCAACAAATCTCCAGAGAAAACGAAATCAAACAATCCAAATTAGCATTAGAATTGTCTCAACAACAGAAATTGAACAAGACATTTGTGAATAACTTAGATCAGTCGAAGATGATTAAAAATATAAAAAGGAAAAAGGGCACTGATCAAGATGATGATGTGGAGATCAGGAGAAATTTCAAACAACGAAATGTCACCAGTACGAGGGCTGATGCCAAAGATGACTTAAAGAAGAACAAACCTAATGAACAATTAAACGACTTTTTGTCTAAAGTGTTTTGATACAAAGTATATATTACTTTAACATTGACATACAATATATTACAATAGCTTCATAAAAGCTTTCTTCTCTTTCTGGAATCTTTTTGGTTTCTAGACTCTTTAAATTCGTTAAACTTAACCAAGAATTTTATTCTTTCTTCCAAATCCGATTTTGAAATGTCCAATTTATCTTGTACAGTATCACTGTTGAGGATGTCCTCAACAGTTAGGGTGGGTGACTTGAGTAATTGGTTCAATTTTTCCCACTTTTCTTCTGGCCATGGTTTATTCAACTGTGAAGGTTTTGGGAGCCTGTTGTGAGTAATAGATTCTTCTTCTACTTCTGGTTCTGGTTCCATGGCCGAATTCCTTCGCTTATTCATAATATGCTTAGCATATTTGTTTTCTAATCGGTCATAGTGTTTTCTTATTGGTGTCATTTCCGGCTTGAATTGCTTGTTAGAGTGATTTGTGGATGATCCTGATGTGGTGAATTTACCTACCTGGGGGTTAGGACTTTGATTTTGATTTCGATTGACCCTTGGTAATCGGCCCATCCTAGTCCCAAACTTGGGAGTACTAACTCTTGAGCTAGTGAGCCTGGTTTTAGATTTTGGCCCTGCTGATATACTGGGGGCAGAAGGTTTTGCTGGACTTTGAAACTTAGGGATGAAAGAATAAGAATTCAATTCGTTCAAGAGAGCACTTGAGTTCTCATCCATGCTGACTTCATGCTCATCAGAACTCAACTCTCTGTCCAAATCCATCTTTATATTTTTAGAGATGTTATCATTTCTCTCTGTTATCACAGAGATAGTGTGGTTCAAATGGCTTAGCGGTTTATTATTCGATAAATCAAAGTCAACTCTTGAGGTCCCATCTTGTAAGCTTCTCTTGCCTAAAACACCGGTCAAAACGGAGTCTGTTTCAAGACTTGAAGCTATATTGTTTGTGTTAGCTTGATTTATGACTATATCGTCAATCTTATCGAGTTTAGGGCTCGCTGTTCGAATTGTGAAATTATCAACCTGAGGCTTCATAGAGAGCTTGTCAGGATCCTCCTGATTATCAGAGGACCCAAACTCACCATCGTCTTCATCAACATCATTATTACCACCATTTACCATCCCCACAACCGGAGCTTGAAACAACCTTATAACCGGATCTTCCTTTCTCATGGGCTTGTGTTCATCACCTTTCTTACTAACGTTCTTTTCCTTCAACTTTTCAAAGTCAAATCTCTTGATTTTTGTACGCCCAGGTGAGGGCATCGGATGGTCCCCTATTATTTTACTGGAGCTATTCTCTGTAGACTTTAATAATCCCAGTCTTCCCTTGAGGTTGGGAGAGAATTGATTATCATCAGATATCAACTTGTTTTCTCTGATCAAGCTGTCCTCTCTGTCCTTCAAGACACCCAGTCCATTGAAACGATTACTTACTGGTGAACTAGCGGTTTTGGTGTTCTTTTTGTTATTATGGGGTGTTGACGGTTGTTTTCCCTTCTTCGCCAGACTGTTCAATGGAACTTTTATAGTTGTGCTCTTGATACTGAATATGCCAGAGTTATTGATCGAATCGTTTCGATGGCTATTTCGTATAATCTTGGGGGTCTCCAAATCTTCGAATTCTGAGTCCTCGGATGACGATTCATCTCCATTATTACTTTGCAACACTCTATTGTGGACTTTTGATCTGTTGATTTCTAGAAGTTGCTTGGGTGAAGAACCTGAAATTTGACCGAGATTCACTTCTCGAGAGTCTGAATTAATGCCAAACACAGGCTCTGAAATGGCCGTTCCAGTGTTTGCCGGGCTTCCATTCATATCTTCTACCGACAGCCACCTGGTTAATTTGTCTGGATCTCCAAAAAAGTGCGACGCGGTGGGAAAGCCTTCAATAGGGATCTGAGATTTTACTATTTGTGTATTGACTAAATTGTGCTTGTAGATACTTCAGGCAAAGAGATCCTCCATAATGTCTGCTTCACAGGCTTCGAAATCTGTGTCGTATAATCCGTAAACTCTTTCGAAATTGAGGTAGCTGAGACTTTCAAAGAAGCTCTTCAAATTGGCTATTGACTTGATGCTGGTCACCCCTTTAAGTAACGGGATCTTCTTGTTATCAGGCGACAAGGGGTCAATTTTCACAGGCAGTTCTTTGAGAATCGTCAAGTCATACTCCTGAGAGATTTTGTCCACAATAGAGACCATTGCATCTTCAATATCGCTGTTAACATCAAAAGCAGTGTGAACGAAAAGCCAATCTTGCATGTTGAATTCATCGTTATTAAGTAGCAACAATTGATCCAACAACTTACAGCCATATAATATTGATTGCAATTCTTCCTCGCTCAAAAAGCTCAACTCTTTCATGGATTTGTTCAAAATGTTCTCAAAGATCGAAATTACTTGTTGGCACATAACGATCCAACGGGGAAGCAAGTAAAGCTCATTGAACTGGATTGTTATCACCCTGAAAAGAATGCTGATGTGGGTCTTGAACAGTAGTGGAACGTTGTTCATCAACGAAATTTCAATTTGATCAAACAAATCATCAAGTGAGCTTAGGAAGAAGTCCTTTGGTTGGGTCAACATTATGAATGACAATCTTTTAATCGTCAAGATCTTGTTTTCAAGCTCAGCCTTTTCATTGAACATGAACAATGTTCCAGCTGATCCAGAGCCAGTAGCTGAAACCTTAGAAATCAACTCATTGAATTTTTCCGTTTCCACGCTCATCCAACTGGAGATAATAGACTTCCATATCTCAAGTCTATTGGCTGGTAGCTTGAAGAAGTTCGAATCCATGAACAAATCATAAATCAAACTCTTCCACGTTCTATTGGGAGCATACTGACCAATATTCTTCACCAAAGTTAAGGTTCGTAACGGGATCTCATTGATCTTCTTGTTCTTTATTTGTGGAGACACAAAGTTGAGAATGATAACATTGATACAACTTGAAAGCTTTTCCGAATCCTGAATGACTTCTTCGAAATTCTCCATCAACTCACTAAGAGCATCAGTCAATTCATCTTGAACCCCTTGAGGAGTAGTCGATTCGTCTTCATCATCTTCGCTGTTATTCTCTTCGTTGTTGATTGTTCCATTAGCAGGCTCTTCGCTGGAACTGAATAATATCCGCTTACCACTTACCGATACACCCAACAACTTGGAAAATATGTCTCTTAATTCTCTTTTATGTTTTTTATCTGAGCCGAATTTCGAGTTACTCAACTTCAAGCTCAACTTGGAAATAACTCTCAAAAGGTTGGGAATCAATTGCTTGAAATGATGGTGATGGGCTAAGACGTCCTTGAAAAACTGGGTCGAGAAACTCCATATATCTGTGATTGTATCCGTATCGATAGACTCGAAATAGAAAATAAGAAACCTTGATAATTCTTTCTCGGTTATTGAAACATTTAAATGTGACTTTTTAGATTCGTCCAATAAGCTCGGATAGCATCTAGTCATAATTGAGTTGAAAATATTGGGTAATGTGATTTGTGATCTCCCCCCATCCAATAGGTTCAATAGTTTGATGGAAGATTTATAGCCTGGGTCGGCAGCAATCAAATTCTCGATTACTTCCTGTCTTTCTAAGTCCATCAAAGACTCAAACAACTTCTTGGATCTAAATTTCAACTTATTTCCAAGATGGATAATTGATCTATGAGACCCAATTGGACTATCTTCGGTTTTGTACTCGTATAGTTTCGATTTGGAGTCTGCCCACTTCCAAATTTTAAATATCATTTCAATAGTGTCCTGGAAAGCCAATAATATGGAATAAAGTTTATTCTGTTCGCTTGTTCTTACTGCTGGTGACTCAATCAGAAAGACACCTTGGATCACATTTCCCAAGAAGCTGGAATCTTGTTGTCCGTTAGCAGCTTTTGAGTCAGACTTGTTTCTGAATTTAGAAGTCAATAAGTAGCTATGGCTAATTGACAACAAGTCCTCAAGCCCACTGATCAACTCATTTATAGATGCCTCGAAGTCAACGAGGATACCTATCGTTTCTTCCTTGACAATCTTGTTGAAGTAATCATTAATCTTCTCAATTATAGCGGAATTTAGCAATGACAAAACACTGAACACTGACTCATTGAATAAATACAAGGACCTTGTCAAAAGAATCATGTATTGTTGCAAAAGGACAGAAATCTGAGATTTACTAATCCCTTTGATGATGAACCTGACCAAGAATGGTTCCTTTTCCTGATCATCGATATGCAATAAATTTAAATTGATCTTGGAATCTTCAGATAACTTCAACAAATGGAATATGCATTTGAGATATTGGCATTCAGCCAACTCGATTTGGTAGGGAACTGTTGGTAATGAAATGTAGTAGAAGCAATTATCAATAAGGCTGTGGAATTTCATAGTAAAATCCGGCTCATTTCCGCTGATCAATGTGGTGAGAAGTTCCAAACAGTAGTCTACACAGTTGTAGTAATCTTTCAAAATACAACCCCCCTCGTTTAATACATCTTCCAGTAACCTTAAACTTAAGAACTTCTCTATGACGAAGAAAATCAAAGATTTGTAAGTGGATATATCCCATTCATTAGACTTGCTGATTTCCAATTTGGTACTGTTATCCATCACGGCAAACTCGTTGTTGAACGCTTCCTTCAAATTCTTTGGATTGGAATTTATAACATGAAGAATAGTGCCCAAATGATAAGCAAACTCTGCCAACTGATCATCTACCTCGATTTCAGACTTATGGGTGGCCATTAGCTCAAAGTCCATCAAAGGATTGGTTATCATCTTCAACAATCTATTTGAATGCCCACTTTTAATTATGGTTCTGATGAACTCATTGACTTGCAATTTGTTGATACTACTTTCGTCGAATAAGTCATCAAGAACAAGTTTCAATGGTATCTCCAAAACAGAGTCAGTTTCATTAGAATTCGAGTGAGACCACAAACAGGTCATTGCTTTGACTCTGTCATTATGGCTCGACTGTAGAATCAAGCTAGAAATGGCTGGCTCGACGTAATACCTTGAACTATTTATGATCAAATCAAACAAACACTTCACAGACTCTACTTGGGGTTGTGTTGGGTCAGAAGATACCAATGAGGGCCATAAGTTCGTTGTAATTACTTTTATTATTCTTGTTTTTTCGAGAGTCAGTAATTCACTCGATAATAAATGAAACAACTTGGATATACTGAATGCAACAATGGTATTCATATTTTGTGTCTCTGTGGTAGGACTATGAGAAATATTAGTTTGTTTCAACATTAATGACAATATGTCTTCATCTCTAGCCTTAAAAGAGTCACTTATCGGGATAGTATAAACCAACTTTTCAAATAACTCACACAATCTACATGAGTTAATTGAAGTGAAGTTTTCAATGATAATAGCTTTAAACAAAAAGTAAAGATAAAAGGATGTTTCTGACTTGGTGAAAGCAGGTGTAGATGCTTCTTCATCTAATGTTAATTCCCCATAGAAGTTTGAAATTTTCTTCAGAACATCCTCCTTATCAACTTTCGAAGTCAAGCTCTTATCAACGGGTTCTAAGCCTTTAGGGGAAATCAACTCAATAACAATCAGAACGCTGTTGAACCAATTTTTTTCTTCTTGGAAGTTTATCAACAACGTCATCAATGCAAGAGGAGCATGAGTAACCTTCATTTCCTCTTCATTTATATCAAAGTTGGATAAAATAAACTCTAATAAGTCCAAATTGCTAGACTTTATAAGATCAATAAACAAGTTCCAAATATAAGAAGATTCAATACCATTGAAAAAGTCTTGAGAAGATGATAACACTTCACTAAACCTGGTAGTACTAGATTTGGATTTGTTGTAGGTTTCACTCAATATGGGACGCAATATCTTAGGTATCACCATATGGCTGATTTCCCATTTGTCTATAATCAAAGACAATGCCATTTTTATTGAGTCGATTTGTTTGTTGGTGTCTTTCTCGTCATGCACCAAGTCCAAAAGCACTCTAGACAACGGCTCCAATCCAAAATCTTCGAAATATTTAGCTCTTACTTTGGTGGAGTCAACCAATTGATCTGAGTCGGGGCCTAAGAGCCAATTCCATAATCGTCTATTGAGACTCATATCCTTCTTCAATAGAATTTGGATACAAGACTTCACCAACAAGTCCTTATCCTTAGGAGATCGTGCGAAGACTGAGCTGTTTAACGGTAAGTGAGTCAACATCAAATCAAAAAACCCTCTGATAATTATAATGTCATTAGCAGGATTGAAAATAGTTTCAGTATTGATAGCGGTGGAGAAAGCCCTTATCAACAAACCTGGACTTGGATCAATACAGGCCTGAGCCTCATAACTATATTCAAAACCACCGGTTTCGGTCTTGATTGTTGTAAACATGGGTAACCGCTTATTACACCAATACAAAGCACCTAATCTCTTTTCAGGATTGGTTATTATCGCTAAAAACAAACACTTCCAGTAGTGTGAATCGCTTTCGAGCTTCAACTTCAAGGTATCCATCAACTCAAACACGTCGGGAAAACTTTCTGAATTCTCGTCGTCCAACCCTGACAAAAGACTAAGTATCATCGGCTTAGCCACAACTTTCAAGTTCTTGGAGTTGATATTGGACAAAATGTGATTTTTGAACAACTTCACCATTTCCGACTTCACCTGTATGGAGCCAAATGATAACACCGGAAGAAGACCCGGAAGCCATAAGTTTATCTCGTTACTAAATACATCCTCTTTTAAGGACAAAAAGATCGACTCATAAAGGTTCAATGCTTTTTGGTGAACTCCGTTCGGAAGCTTTGAAGAAAGGCACAATGACAATTTGTCGGCAACTTCTGATGCATAGGGAATCAATTCTACCGTGTGGAACGACCGTTGGTCTTGCGGGAGCAGAAGTGCCTTCTGGAGTCTTGAAATAAATGCAATGTAGTCTGCCCATTCCTCGAGCGATTCAAACGATAACAACGACTTTTCGACTTGTTGGTAGTAACGCTTGTCTTTGATGGACAATTGAGACGTTTCAGTTGCCAGCTTGGCTCGAAATGCCGGAAGCACCTTCGAAAGACCTTTTTTCTCCATGATTCTGCAAATGCCTGGAGTGATAAACAATTGTCAAGTTGAAGATCGCGACAGCGCGGTGACTTTGGGGTTGCAAGAGAAAGTGGAATAATTCTATTTGATGTATATTGGTGTCTATAACTGTCGCCTCAAACACACAAGGTTCCGCTCCTTCTTATAGAACATCTTTGAGGAACTTGGCCACATCGACCAATTCGTCGTCACCTGCACTGTGGGCCATTCCTGGATAGCTTTTGAACCGGTAGTTGGTGAACCCAAGAGACTGGTAGAACTCAGCAGTCAATTGGCCATACTGGTGAGCGATGATTGGATCAGCCGTTCCGTGGCCTTGGAACACGGGGATGGAAAAATTCGTACCGTTCTTGTTGTGCAATTTCTTGATCTCGTCAATTATGGGACAGAACCCGCTCAAAGCCACCACTCCACCAACTTTGCTCTCCAACAAGCTGGCTGTGGCCAACGCTATGGCTGCTCCTTGAGAGAAGCCACCAATTATAATTTTTTCCCGTGGTACATTATGGACATTAACCTGTTCTTCTATAAGAGCCTTAAGAACCTCACAAGAACGCAAAAACCCGGGAATATCCTGACGAGCTTTTATGTTACCAAATTCGAATATATCGAACCAGCCGGGCATTTGGTACCCACCGTTAACGGAGATGGGGATAGTGGGAGCATTGGGAAACACAAAGTTAGTTGCATCAAGAACGGCTGGAGATATGATTCCCATTCCCTTCAAAAGCTGTGGAAACCATGACCAGCCTTCACCCGAGTCTCCGAGTCCGTGTACAAAGATTATAGCCGACTTGGCGGTGGTTTTTGCAGATACTCTTACTGCTGATACTGACATTTGCTGAAAATAAATTAATGCGCAATTTGCAAAAAGAAGAGGTGGAATAGGCGATACTAAAAATGGAACGGAGGTATATGTAGTTGGGGACGGGTTATTTAGGTGATATAAAGTCTTTGTAGTTGCATTTAAGTGGAGTGTATTATGCATTTATGTTGTCATGGCAGTTGTAAATTAGGTAGCCGAAGGTGGATCACCTAGGTCCATTCACCTAGGTCCATTCAATAAGGCTTTCTAAGGCGATCCCGAAGCAATAAGATTTTTATGGTTTTTGCAAACCTCTAAGTTGTAGCTGCTAAAGGCTCGGTTTTTGATTTTTTTGCATCCACTGGTTCAGCCTTCTCATCCACCGTCTTTCTTTTATTAGTATTGGCTAATTCACTTGAAGCTGCTATTTTCAACACTCGGGTGTTTTGCTTCTCTCCATCGACACGGCGGAAATATGGTTGACATCTCCAATATGGCACTTCTCGATACTGTCCACCCCAGCTTTCATCTTCGCCGACTTTTATGACATCCAAATCACTAATATCGTCTTGCTGATAGATTTTGGCCACGGCTGCTTCAACCTGTTTTACGATTGCATCCCAGTCATCCATGTTGGCGTGGACGCTGGTTCTTCCAATCACAGGTCTGAGCTCTTTGTGCACATTCAAGAACTCGTGCAATATCTTGAAAAAGTGGGCCTTCATAGCATGCTTATTGGCATCAGTAGGATACTCACGTAAGATCTCAAAGTATTCCCTCAAGAGCTTGTCGACTCGAGGAAACTGCTTTTCTTTTTCGTTGGTTTCTGTCCAAAATACCCCAGGGTTGTACAAGTTCCCTTCAGCAGACATCACTGCATCACAACCGACGTGGTTCATACACCTTTGAAGGTCGTTGGGGTAGATTATATTTCCGTTGGAAAAGAAAACCTGGTCTTCAGGAAGGTTGTCCTTTAAGTATTTCAAGATGTCCCAGTTGGCTAAACCCGTAAGTTGGCCCTTCATATCTCTTGTTCTTCCGTGGATAGTCAAAAACTGAGCACCAGCATCTAGTACCATTCTGGCATAAGCGAGAGACTTTTCCCAGTCGTCATAAACCCTTATTTTAGCAGTCACTGGAACCGATAGGTTTTCATGGAGGTTTGTGATCAACTTGCGAACTAACTCCCAGTCATCCATTAGAAAAGCACCATAGTTCCCCTTTCTAGCAATTCCCTGAGGACATCCCAAATTCAAGTCCACGGCATCGCATTTGTTTTCTACCAATTTGGCCGCCTGGAGTAAGTATTCGGGATCGTTAGCACAAAACTGCACAATTACAGGCCGATCGATGTCCTCATTACCATCAAACTCACTCCACATATTCTTACGGTATTTCTCCTCGGTGGCAAATAGCCTGGCATGGAACATGGGAGTGTAGCACAACTCGGCCCCATATCTTCTTGATAATATTCTCCATGCGAGTTCGGACTGATCCACCATAGGTGCAACGATGGTTTTGGGGCTGCCTATGGCTTTGTATAATGCTCTTCCCGTCATCTTTTGGGAGTTGTTGGGGGGTATTTCGGAAGTGGTTGTGGCCATCGTAGCGAGGTTTCGAGACTTTGAGGCGTACAGTGTCACTCTGCTGACGATGATTTTGAAACAATTCACTTTGAATTATATTTTAAAAAATAAGATGCGATGGGGGCGCGATTTTGTACGTTATCGGAGAGGAAAGAGTTATTGGGGAAAAGGAAGCAATTACGGTTTAGTCAGCATCTCGGTACAGCAGTTCAGGTATTACAAATTCCCTCAAAGAAAGGCGACGACTATCACTATCATTTCCACATTCTTCTAGTAATTTCTTTATTTAGGGCAACTGGCTGCAAATTTCCAACTTCGCATCATCAAAGTTTACATGTTAGCGACATAATATACATTAAATTTGATTGGTTCTGGAAATGTAGTTAGCTCTATTTTTCAAAGCTTCGGCAAATCCCATAGCCAAGGGCCAGATTGGCGCATCAGCCAAGATTCTCACGCCCAAAAACAAGCACTTATTGGAAAGTTTGATCAATTTCAAAGAATTGACAATTAGTTTAGAATTAGAATTTGTTTCAATCAATTTCCGGATTGATTCGTAGTTTTCATATTCTTCAGCAAATAAATTTTGCTGAGTGTAGTTTAAGGAGATGGTCTTCTCGCATTTCTTCAAGATTCTTTCACACTTCAACCACAAGATCTTTTCAGTGACACCCAATTGGATTCCGTAGTCTTTATCATTAATCTGTTCAATATAATACAAGAATTGGCTGATTAACAATATCGAAACGAACATACAGGTGACAAAAAACACCGGGGTTCTCAAATTGTTTTCAATCGAATTATTCACCTCCAAAATATTCTGATTCCACAAGTCCATGGTATCTATGGAGTAGCTTATCAGTTCTTTTAATCCATCAAAATCCAAGTGCAAGTGGTCCAAATAGTTATTCATATTTTCCCAGTCCTTGTAAACCACCCTTTCGATAATTGGAGTCAAGTTAACACATATCTTAATTTTAGCCAAATGGTACATGGGCAAAATTAACTTCAATTCGTTATGTTCACTAAGAAGATGACGGTTCATGTCATTAATGATCAAAACTCCATCATTCTTGATAAAATTCATTTCCCATGATTTAAGAAGATCCTTTAAACCTTGATTATTCAATTTCCAGTTGATATAATCGAACTTCAAAAAAGTTGGACACTTGGTTGTGATGATGGTTTTGATGCTGCTGTTTGAGTTTTCCAAACTGTTCTTGGATCCGTTCATGTACGTATACCATTAAACACAACAAGTTGAAAAAGCTTAACTTCATGGTCTTGAACTTATTCAAATTAACAATAAGATCGTTCAACGTTCCGTTGTTACTCAAGTCAATAATGTTTTGCTTGTTATTCATCTTCATTAACTCTCCTAACCATTGACTACTATTTTCACACTTCCACAAGTTTTCATTACAGCAATAGTTTCCGGAACTAATAGTGGAGCCATTGAGCAAGATGGACAAGTCCAATAAAGTCGAAGTTCTCACTTGCTGCAACATGTAGAACACGAAGATAGTTCTAATCCTAGACTGAGCCATGATAAAGTAGTCAAAATTGGTTTGCACCAATCCTGTATCATGGTCGTACTCAACATCGCCTATATTCATATTTTGATCGTTTGTTTTGAGGTGAATAATGGACTTGGGGGGAACCAAAAACTTGTCCAATGGTTTATGAAAGTTGGTGGACTTTATCAACCCCACCATTGACTTCATTTGTCTGGAAGTAATATCAATCATTGGAGGCTCATTGAGAAACATCGAAATGAATATATGAAGCACCAAACACTGGTGTGCCATCAACGGGACTTTTTTGAACTGCAAGTTGTCCAAAGTGACTTCCTTTTCGAAGAAATTCTGGATATGATACTTCGACAAGTTGAAAAGAAGTAAAGTGTTTGCATCATTATAAGAGTACAACGCCCCGATTGATGTCATGGCCAATAACAAAGGGATATTTTCAAACTTATCGACCATGGGATTTCTTAACGACGGCAAGTGAATGAAAGGAAAATACTTGTTGAACTCCTTCTCATAAAGTTTCATGTAGTTGTTGAGTTCGTCGACCTTGGGAAACTGCATGTCGCTCAAATTGCTCATCACCATGATTCTTTCTCTCACTTCATCGCAGATGAAGTATGAGTTGATGTTGGCATCCTTGAAGTAGTCCAAATCCTGGAAGATGTCCTTGTTCAAGTTCATGGTCTGATCCTGCGAGATGTCGATACCAAAGTTGACAATCTTCTCATGGTCTTCGTTATTGGGAATCTGGTTATTGTTTCCCATGGGAATTTGGTGCTGAGAAGCCTGGAGATCGTGGTGGTCCAGATGCATATGCTTGCTTAAGTCCAGCTGTCTGGTCTTAAACAAACTGGTGATTTCATCAAACATCTTGGGCAGAGCAGCGGTATCGTTGGAGAAAACTGGCTCATACGGCGTGTTGATGATCTCCTGGAGCCAGTCGCCGTTATCTGAAATGGACTCATGCTCTCGGGGCATCGCATGCATGGGGCTGTTCAGGTGGATCTGGCCGAACTGGCCCTGGGACGCGTGGCCCTGTGACTGTGTCGATAAAGGGCCCTTCATCAGCGCTGGAGTCCCCACCGACCCGGGCGTCGAGTGGTGGCGACCCTTGTCATTGTGTTTGTGGATGTCCATATCGATTTTGAAATGGCTCAAACCATCGAGCTCGAGATTCATATCCTTGCTATTAGCCGAGGTGGCGGGCGTACCGTTGGGCGAGATGTCATCCACCTTTCGCCGCTTGGAGTCGAACTTGAAGTTGGGCAGCCGATAGTTCTCCTGGGTGTGAGGAGACGGTTCATAGTCGCTGGGAGTTGCGGTATTCTTGTTAATCATGTTGCTGGCATCTTTACGGAACGAAAGGCCATAGTCATTCAAGTGGTGACCCACGGAGTTCTGTAAATCCAACGACTCGATGGTGTTCCAATCGAAATTCAAGTCGATATGGTTCAATTGGGGGGTGGAAAACTCGACGTTGTCGATGGTCGTTTCTTCGCGGATGGCGTTGAAGCTCTCCTTCATAGGCCCATACGAGGTGGACAGGGCAGCACTATAGGACGAGTGACGGGGGAAAAGTTCCTTGTTATCGGAAAAGACCGATCGTCTGGCAGCTGGTACCGATGAACCAGCAGACACCGACTTCACGCTCCGGTGGGCCACCGACAAGGGTATGGGTAACGCTGCATTGGGTTCGGTATTGTTGGGCAATACGATTATGTGTTCGTTATTCATACTAGGACCCTCAGCACCGTCTTTACCGGTACGTCCCATGATGTTAGGAAGATTGGTATGAAGTTTCTGCTGGTGCCGTAACACCAAGTCACGGCGAGCAAAGCACCGACCGCAAGCGGCGCACTGGAAGGGCTTCTCGTTGGTGTGGGACCTCTCATGACGCTTCAAGTGTTCCAACCGGGCAAAGGCCCTGGTACACGTCAGACAAATATGGGGCCGGGGCTTGTCAGTTTTAATTTGTTGTGACTTCTTGGGAATTGGCTGGGTACCCTTCGAGGCGCTCGAGGACCTGGCCCGCACTGGCAGTACGGGCAGCACGAGGGAGTCTGAGATTGTGGAAATGTGATCTGACATACTTGCGTCAAACGAGTCGAGGACGTGATCACTCATTTTGGACGCGGAAACAATTGACACGACAGTACCAGGATAGATGGTAAAGGGGTTGTGGAGTGGCGAGGATAGGGCGGTTGAAAGGCGAGACAAGGCGTCGTAAGTTTGATGCCAGTCGATTAACCTGAATTGTGTGTACTCCTGGCCTATAGAAAAATAATAAAAATTTCCAGTTATATTTCCCCAGAATTCTCAACAACTTTACACAAAACCGGAGAAGGTTTGGATTTTCTTGTTTGGTGGTCTGCAGGCAAGATCCTGGGGAGCCTTCTTAACGGGATTGAGTCCAGATGACAATGACCCATACATACTTCCCAACCAGGGGGATAGATGAATACAGGGTCCAGGTGGTCTTGTATTGATTGACATAAGATGATATATGCTTGAAGTGCTTTTATTATAGGTATACGGATCCCTAACTTTTGATAAATAAACTCCGAATGCCGATTTGGGCGATTGGACAGGTTCCCCAGAAAACCCAAAGGCGATGTGCGAGCATAACTGGTTTAACCAAAAAATTTTGGGTCACGTTAAGAAAGGCAATGTTTGCTCGAAACTCCGGCATGGGGTTCAATCGGGGGGCTGATCTTTATTTTCGGGGCGCCTGTGTAGTTATCCGTGAAACCCGAGTCCCGCCTTTTTCTAAAGGCACAAGTGTGAGGACCCTCCACTGCCCCCTCCACCGGAAAACTCTGGTCCTATTATTTCACAGAAGCCCTTCTTATCAGGCGCTCGACCTCCCATTGTCACCATCGCCGTGGTTGCTCGTGCGGCGGTCCGCGACGCATGGCTGCCGCCAATCGGCTGTTCTTTTTCGCGACTTCTCACCAGTCCCATCCCGAGCCAATGAAGCTACTCATTACTACCGGTGCGACCGTCACGTTCACGCGTCTCCTCCGGTTCGTGCTCAGTGATCCCATGCTTTCCACGTATATCACAACCGGTTTCCGCCACGTGACGGTTCAGTACGGCAATGAAATCAAAAATGGTGTCCACGTCTCACGATGTGCCGTCAATGAAATTCTACGCTCAACTGCCGCCTTCAAACATTTTCAAGTCACTGACGACACATGCCTGTTTGAATATCATGATAAGGGTGGCAGCCGGATTGTGTTGGAATTTTTGTCGTTTTCGCCTGATTTAAACTCACTTATTCGCTCTTCAGACCTCATTATTTCTCATGGAGGAACAGGCACCTTGATAGACATCTTGAAACTCCACAAAAAGTTGATCGTCGTATACAATGAGTCGCTCATGGACAATCATCAGAAACAGATCGCCGAAGAGTTTGCTCGACTGCAGTTCTGTGTGAGCGTGGGCTCGAGCCAACTCGAACAAGACGAGTTTACGGGCTATTTACAAGCGCTAAGAGACGGAAAAATTGTGTTGACGTCATATCACCTGCCAGTAGAACATATAGTTCAGTCTATTGTCTATCGCGAATTGGCCCATGCCCGGCTACACCATTCCAGGGCCAAAAGTTGATCCACAAACTCAAGTTTTTCGCACTCGCACCAGTTTTGAATTCTTTGATACTCAACCTCGTGCTGAACATGTCAGTGAATACCAGCAGAAAACGGAGAAAACAGCGTCTTTTCTCGAAAGACATTGAGCAGCTTCTTTATGCGCTTGGAGACGGACCTTATTCGATGGAGCTGACGATAAATGCTCTCGAGGACTCGCTTGTGGAGTACCTCAGCGACTTGAGCACGGCCACCCAGATATACGCCAGAAGTAAAAACAGAAACAGAATCAAGGTCGATGACTTGCCCTTCACACTTCGAAATGATCCCTACAAACTCAGCCGTCTTCAGTACATAGTGAATCAGAGCCAGAAGATCGAGAATGCTAAGAAGATTTTTGATGAAGATGACAAGAAACTTGCGGACTACGGAGACGAAGATGACGATGAAGATGATGACGATGAACAGCTTTCCAAGCCGGCTGAGGATGAGGAGCCCTCCGGGAAGAAGTTTAAGAAATCGAAGAAGAAAGGTCGGCAGTAGTTGTATCATAGTGTGTAACATAACTTTATTTAATAAAAGAATTGATTAGAGTAGTATAATTAGTGTATTTTATATTCATGAAAGTGGTAAAGTCTATTAACCATCAATATTCTCCAATGCTCTTCCCCTAACATACTTTTCGTTCTTGATCTGTTGGTCGTAGAAGTTGAATAAAGTCTTCAACCTGAAAAACGAATGCACCACAACGAAACCACCAAATGCAATCGGTGCAACTAGCAAGTCCAGGGTTTCATAAGTCTGATGATGCATTTTGTAGGTGATGAAGACGGCACAGGATATTAGAACACAGAATTTTACCAAGTTCTGATAGAGATCGTACCTGTGAAGTACTTCCTTGAAACTGAAAGTTTCGACACCTCGAAGGTCTCTGCTAAAAAAGAGACGAATATTGGGCCAGATTGTCCATGGACTGATCAATAAGTGCCCTGCAATTGCCCACCTATCGATATAGAAGTCGGAGAATGGTAAAACGTCAATGTCCTTGTAGATTCTTAATGGAACGTCCACTACAAATACATGAGCATTAACCATCCAAAGAGTACTCAATAAAGCGGACAGGAAAGTTGATGCAGCAGTGATGGCATTTAGGGGAATAGCAAAGTTCCTTCCAATTCTAACGTTGATTGCTAATCTGTCGTTGTTGCCGTTATTGTTTCCCCCATTTTCATTATTGAAAAGAAACAAGTTGTTCCACACATCAACATGGTCGAGCTCGTTGATAGCAACATAATGGTTGTGATAGTATGCAAGTGTCATCAACTCCATCAACGCACCTATGCTTAATGATGTAATATCTGCCAACTTCCAGTTGTTCCGGTTAATGAACTTTTCTATACTCTTTAATGCTCCTGACAGTCCACGAACAGCCAAGAAATCACCAAATCCAGTAACCACGCTTATAGCCTTTGTAACCGGCTTTCCTAGGACGACTGCTGTTAGGAATAATGAAATAATCAAAAGTACTGCAAACACCCACAACATTATAATTAATTCCACGCACCGGACTTTCAAGTGTGGGGGGTTATAAACGACGGTATAGTTGTCTTCCGTTGTGGTTTCCTCATCATTTGAGTCATCTTCAGGATCTTCTACGGATTCTTCAACAATATCGTTTACACTCAATAGTCTGTCGTCTTTAGTGACGGACACAAAAAGGTGTTTGATATACTTCCTTGAAACAGTATCGTTGTCTGGAACTCTTATGTACGTACCATTTGGCACGAAGAAACAAGCTGCATCTGTTGTTTGAAACATCTGGAGTGCTTCCTTATAAGTCACTGGGTTGGAGTAGTCAGGTTGCTTGGTACCCAAAATCAGATCTCTCCAACTGCGATACACAACATATCCTCTTTCTTGTGGAATAGGTTTTCCTAGGATGAAGTGAGATAATCTCAACTTGTGACAAGAGAGCTCAAAGGCTCTCTTCCAGTAAATCTCAACGTACCGACTAATCAACCCCTTATTTGTGATTAAAGCTAAAACTGCAAACGCTGAAATCACCAAGTCTCCATATGCATACAACTTTACCGGAAGTAATACATTTTTATGGCTAGACAAAAGCTCTGGGTTTAACAAGTATCTCAATCCCCAAGTCACGCTTCCAATGCCAATGAAAATGAAAGCCGTATACACTTTCCCACTCAAATATATTCTGGATAACTGCAATCCCAATGGCTTCACTAATGCATCGTGTATAAGCCTGGCATTCGGGTCATCGGGACTCCTAATGAAGAATAACACCCCAGGTCTCAAGATTTTGTTTCTAGTCATTCCTATGAATAATGCAAATGACAACATGTATAACGTTCCATAAGCCCAGTACAAGGTAATTCTGACATAATTGGCAGAAAAGTAGCTTGAAACTGAAGTGAACAACACCAAATACTCGTGGGACGTCACTTGAAAATTGTCCAATAGCACTGGTGCAAAACAAAAGTCAAGTAGCCAACCACAGTAAACTGGGAAAAAGAATATCTCAATGGAGAATATAAAGAATACTTTGAGGGTTGCAAAACACTCAAATAAAGCAGAGTACACCCTTCTAGGAGTTCCCACCACGGGCAGTTGGTTTTTCGATAAGCCCTTCATCACCATATACGCAATACACCCGATAAACAAGTATCCAGTTACAATGGTTATGGTTCTTTCTACCATACTAGGTTGGTGTTGAGTTAATCTAAGCAAGTCAGAAAATACCTCAATGGTAGGGACATAAACCATATCGTAAAAGATGTATAGTAAGAACTCCAATTGCGTACTATGCTTCTTCATGGTGGAAACATAGTTTGCAATCACACCATTGACGTCCATCAACTTCAAAGGCCGTTCAAGTACAACAGTCTTTGCAACTTGGAATAAAACAGCATTAGCTCCTACCAAAGCACTCCCCAACGACTGGGGGATCAAATAAGTTATGAATAAATAGACGCTAATCACTGCATCACACATTATCATCAACAATATGGGAGTAGACATGTTCAAGTTCAAGCCCAACATTGCAAATACGTTGTTTTCATCGCCATCTTCGCCATCTTCACCATCATTTAGTACATCGTCCATCATTCTGTCGAATTCTTCTTGCGCTTGCAACCGGTCGTTGCCATTATCGTTGTTGTTAGTGTCGTTATTCTCGTTGTTATTGTTATCATCATTGTCGTTTTCATCTCCATCTCCATCTTCGTGATTATCCCCGTCATTATGATGGATAGGGGCACCTACAGCGTTACTCGGTTCAGCGTCCATAGGCACATCAGTATGGGCTTCTGCGAAACCGGCATATTCAAGTGGGGCAATTAATTCTGGATTTTGTTCTGGTTGCTGGGGTTGTTGGAACTGTACATGTTCTTGTGGCGGTGGTCTGAAATGCGTTTCTTCAGAATCATCTTGCTCCTCGTCCTCTGTCTCATCATCATTATCATCATCACCATTCTCGTCTACGTCCCGGAATCGACGAGTATTCTCTTGTAGTTCGGCAATCAACTCGTCCTGCCGTCTCCTCTGCAAATTGGGTCCGTTTAAATCATTAATGGCATGCGCGATCAACTCGATTCTATCCACCACATCGCCGGCGTTGGCATTGCCATCACGAGCTTCCTGCCGTAACCCATTCAATGCGTCCTGAAACATGTCGGCGAGTTTGGACTTGGGTTCTTTGCCAATTCTTTTCATCAACATCTTTGTGTACCCTTCGTCACGTACCACCCATTCATGCTCCACAAAAAGAGCCAAGTGTACAAGCACATACACGAGAATATAGATGACTCCGCTAGAGTATGTGTGGTCCAAGAAATGTCTGAGCTTGTGGAAAGTCAAGTCTGCAGGGTTGTCAAACGATATTGAGTTGAAGGTGCTTTCTCCGTACAAAAGAGCCTCGATAAACTTGGGGTTTTCTGGTGGCAAACGCCCATCAATCCCCCACGTACAAAGCCGCCCCATGAATTTGAAAAATATTGGAACTTGTATGCAAACACAAACGATGTATAACAATATGGAGATACCTTTGCCGACGGTTTTGCCAATACTCGACATCAACTTTAGTAAGATCAGCAGGAGTGGGATTCGAGCGGGCATTTTGGGATCGTAGATGGTTCTGAACTGGTATGGGGTATTACAGATATCACACTTTTTGACCGATTTGTTGCTGTGTTTAAGCCATTCCATTAAACAGTGTTGATGAATATACTTGATTGATCCTTTGCACTTACAAGGATGCAACAAGGGTTCGAGATCCGTGTGCTCACCACGACAAATCCGGCAAAGCGGTTGTACTTCCATGATAATTTCTGAGCAACTTCTGAATGTGTAATAACACGGGAATTCAAGGTGGTGTTCCAATCGTGTCTTGTGATGCTGTTGATTAGTTAGTAGCAGCAGATAATTTGCTTGAACCAGTCGCGCAGTCGAGGCTACCATTTTGTGCCTACACACGACCACAACCTAAAATCTACGAAACGTTGCATCATGAAAAGGGAGCGTATATTCTAAACAAGTGTCAGACAGTGGAACTAAACTAATTGGTTTCCGGGTCGGCTTCTGGAGGGGCAAGAGGCTCTTCTTCATTATTTTTCTCGCTGTTTGCTTCCGGGGCCTTTTGAGAAGACGATTCTTCCGAAATCGCCCTCTTCACAACCTCAAGAGGAGTCTCTTTAGGTTCATTGGGCTCAATATTATCATTGGGCAAGGCATCAGCCTTGGAGGTCTTGGTTTGAGTATTGAAGTTGTACTCACTCAAGTTATTGGGGTAGCTGTTACAGTCAAAGTCCCAGGTTCCCACCAACTTGGCAGCTTCACAACGAGACTTAGTCCATTTCTGCCCGTAAATTAAAGGAGAGTAGTTGATGTAGAAGTAGGTGCTGATAGCCATATATGCACCAAAAATCCCGAAAACAACGTACTTCACTCCGGTGGAATGAGTGGCAAAGTAACTGAGTGCAATGTCCAAGAAGTGAGCAGTCGTCAAAATACCAAAGTATAACGCTGGCAAGTAGTGGTGTAAAAACAATTGTCTTCCCATAATAAAGAATGGGAAGTAGTGAAGGAACCATCCCAAAAAGTAGGTGAGCACTTGGTAGTTGAAATTGAAAACATGCTTCTCATCGACCACAACTTTAGCCGCTTGCCATCTTACAATCTGAACAGTCACATACACAGCGAAAGTCAACAATGATAAAGAAGAAGCCCACCAAATAGCAGGATTTCCAAAGAAGTACACATGCTTGGAGTCTTTGACCCAATAGTTAATTCCTCTCAACAACAAAGGCCATTCATGAGGACTTGATTGCCATGGGTGGTGATCGGTCAACCCTGCATTTATCTTCCACATTCTTTTGTGAACTTCAACAAACTTTTCCAAGAACGAAGGTTCTGCGTAGTTCACGATGAGCGAGTGGTTGGAAGGTACCCGATAGTTTTCGTTGGTCTCGATGTGGAAAAATGTCAAAGGTCTAGATCCCAGGCCAGCAGCAGTAACTTCTTGTTGTTCAAATCCCCAACTAGGTAACTTGGCAGAAGCAGCAAATAGATAGTTACCGGACATGGCATGCTTCAATCTGAAAACGGTTGTTAAGGCTTTAACGTAGTATTTGGAAGGAATATCTTTGGTGCTCTTTTGAATTACTTCAACGATCCAATCATCATTGGCATCACCTGCAAATCCTTCATAACCATAACAACTAACTTCCTTTTGCCAGTCTCTTTCACTGACTGGAGGCTTTTCGTCATGTGAGTGTAATCTCTTTCCAGTGTTGAGGTGCTTCAATCTAATCTTCATACCATCATGAAGTGGTTCGAATTCTTCGGTGGTCGTTCTGTTATAGTGTTCAATTACCCATTTGTTGTTGGAATCCAAGTGTGGGTACAAAGTGATTTGTTGTTGCTTGGAACCAGCTGGATAGAAATGGTTGTGAGAGTGTAAGTAACCAGCTTGAGTTTCCACGTGACGTATAGTGACGATTGAACCCAATCCGACATGAGCCTCAATGTCACGAGGAATGGTGTTTCCATTCAAAGTAGTTCTAAAAGCACTTGACATGAAAGCAGCCCCATCGCCTTCGTTAGGCAACAAATTGAAGTGGATATAGAAAAAGGTGATGTACAAGGCAAGTGGAATTCCCAACAACACAGCACCACGGATTGCAAAGTGACTGAGAATTGTTTTAGGTCTCACCGATAAGTCACCGATGATGAACCACAATTGCAACAAGCAGCATACTCCGACCCAGGAAATCGTGAACAAACCAACCCATTTGGAACTCAACGAAAGCCCCAAGGCAATACCACACGCGATCAAGCTCTTGTACCAGGTAAAAGTAAATGGAACCAGGTTCTCAAATCTCTTGTATGAGTACACGGCAGCCGCAATGAAAAATATCAATGGCGAGTCCAATAAAATGTACCTGGAGATGGTAACATTGGCATTCTCAATAATCAACAACCCACTGGTGATAAAACACACAGTGGGTCTACAGCCGCCAGCACGTAAAGTCAAGTAGCACAATAACACAGTTCCGATACCTAAAAGCGCTGGGAAGATTCTCATAAGTTGGAATGGGACACCTTCAGGGTATTCATTACCGATTTTTTCAAAGGAGAAATCACCCTTGAAACCGCCAACCAATGCTACTGCCGCAAAAAGCATCTTGGCCAAGGGAGGATGGACATCCATAAAGTATGTTCCCAAAATGTACTTCTTGGAAAACCCTCCAAAATGAACTTCATCGAAGACGACCGAGTTAGGAAAAGCTAAATCTGCCAATCTGATATTCACAGCAAACACCACCAACGATGCCAACAAAAGGTACTCTTTTGGCAACAACTTTCTGGCTTTTACAACATCTAAGGAAGGAGTGGTGTTGAGAAAGGGTCTTGAAGGCCCATTGGAAAATGATAAATCATCAATGGGATCATCAACAGACACAGTGGCCTTTTGAATGGGGGCCTTAGAAGACTTGGACTTGGCCATTGTTTTTTCAGCAGGAAATGGACAGAGGAACAGTTATGATACGCAAGTGGGCAACAATAGCACAGTACAAACGAATTCAAAGATTACTGGGAAGTCCTAGCTGTGAAAACAGGTGTTCTTTTGTGAAACAAAACCTAATGTATTTTTCAGTGAACGCGTAATTTGGCGGTAGTGGACTTGGCAAGCGACCTGGGTTTGACCCATACACCCACTTCGCAATTATCACGTGATATAGACCCTGCCACGCTTAGCGATTTTGCCCTCCTCGCCTTGTTCTGATAATCAGTTGCATCACCCCAACAACTTATCCCAGAATTACCATCGAACAAACCCCAATTACCTACAAGTCTGGTCAATAACTCATATTATTTCCTGCCAAACTGCCTCCTTAGTGCTATTCCCTGTGAGATAATGAAATTGTCGCCCATTCATGGTATCTCTTTAACTCGTTTGCAGCATAAATCCTGATTACGGCGGTCGCATTTATATCCACTTTGCTACAACAAAAAAATGTACGAACCTCTAAGTGCAGGCAAGCAAAAAAAATAACATAGGTACACCCCTCCTACCTGGGCTATGCCCGTTATATAGACTTACGGTCAACGAATCGCACCGGCTTGTGAGCGATTTCGATCATGGCTCGGATCGTACCATTGTCGCTCCATATTTTGTGGCCCCTGTCTTATCTTGACACCTCCCGATTACACAAAATATTTTTGCGATAAATCAGATCCCTTTTTAACTCTTGATTTTAAACCACTTTTTTTTCCGCTTGGTTATTATCAGTAAGATCAGAAGTTATATTGTCTACATTAACTCACGTGTTTTGTGTGTGTATCTGAGACCTTCAAATGGCTTACTATTACTATAAATTCGAATGGTACGTATACCACCCTTGATGGGTTTGCAATTGAGGCTTGTGTATGGGACTGATACTTGTATTTTGTTTGATTTACCGATCCCTGTCAGCCCAAACCCATATACTTTAACCCATTGGCCCCCTAAAATCCCTACTAACATTACAGGCCGCTCGAAGACTCAGTAGAGTCCGTGCAAGTGACTGGAAACTTTGATAATTGGTCCAGAGCAAACCCTCCATTGGCCAAAGATTCCAATGGGTTTGCGGGCATAATCAAGTTACCAGCGAAACAGAAATTGATCTTTAAGTTTGTCATTAATGGCACCGAGTGGAAGCTTGGTCCTCATTACAAGACTGCTTCGGATGAAAGTGGAATCGAAAACAACTTCATCGATGAAGATGAGTTGAGCTTGTACGAGGAGTTTGAGAAGGAATCTACTGTTGAACCGGAGTCAGCCCTGGAATCCACTGAGTCAGATTCCGGGGGCAAGGAGCACGAAATTCATCAGGTATTGACGGGTGCCTCCTCGTTTGCTGCCGTTTCGATTCCTAGCAACTCTTCGAAGTTTGAGGATTTGGCAGAAGCAGATAGTCCACCAGTCACACCTACAGAGACACCTGTTACAGGCCTGGATCCACGTCCAACGACATCTTCTGCTGTAACCGGTGGAGGTACTGTCATGAACTTGTCTGACTCCAATTCGACTCTTAACAAACCTGATGAATTGAGAATTCCAGGTTCCTATCCGATATCTCCTGTTGCTAAAGGTGGTGATGTTACCAATACCCCTTCAAATACTTCAGGTCGGTTCAAGAAGGATGGGTTAGTTTCTAAGTTCAGGGGTTTGTTCAAGTACTAGGGGTACTTTTGGTTTGTTTCAGGTTTTGATTGGAGAAAGAACACCTTCTCTATTTCGGTTTCCTTGATGTCTGGTATCATAGGTGTTCAATCCTGTGCTTGTTTCTTGATCCAATTTTCAGTTCTATCATTTTACCTTTAATATCTGTATTGTTTTTTGTGTTATTCAATTGTCTCTGGGAAAAGAAGGAATGTTATATATTTTAATACAGATCAATATATGCTTGTTCTCAGAAATCATTTCTTACCGCTCTTCTTCTTTTTCTTCTTTTTATCTTTAGTTTCTGCTGAAGGAGGTACTGCTGGAACAAGGGTATCGAGTTTTTCAGACTCGTCGAACTTCTTATTTGACATGATACTACTCAAACCTGGTACTTTTTGGGCATCGTTGGAAGTAACACCTCGAGGACCCAAGAACGTAATGAGTTTGGAGAGTTCTTTGACTTTGTACGTTTTGTATTTAATAACCTTCCCCAGGCTTGGCTCAAACACCTTAAAGGAAACATAATTGGAAGCGGATTTCTCGCTAGGTTTTTTGGAATTTTTGGTTCTTCTCTCAAGCTTCTTGTGCTCGTTGGCATACGTTATGGACACCCGGGCCGTCGTAGGGTACGCTGCTAGAAGTTTGGCGGTAGAACTTATAAATGTATCGAGAGTGGACATGATTGGAGCTGAACGATTATTTCTCAGCATCGCGAACTTTTTTGTACAAAAAATCTATTCATTATTCTCGTGAAAAAATGCTATAAGAATCAAACTAACTTAAAAGGGCACGTCGTATCCCAAAACCAAACTTCCGATTAAAAACAAGTTAAGAGCAGTTATGAAGCCCCATACTAAGATAGCTCCGACAGTCGTCAAAGGGCCATTGCTCAAATCCTTGTATCCCACTACTTTATTGTCGTACGGGTCTTTACGATTTGTTGGAATGCCAGCCGCATACTCGGGGTGGTTTATGGATCGTAAGTCATTCGTATGTTGTATCAAACTCTCATTTTCTTGGGTGCTGGAGCTGATTTGAAGTGGTTCTTCTTCTTCGAATCCAGCACATGGATGGCTCTTTCGCAAATCTTGCAACTTGATGGCAGGTTCTCTGCTTTTATACCGCATATGATCGTGTTCACTGGTGTGGATGCTGAAATCTTCTTCAGTTTCAATGTCACCTTCATAAGCTGCAGTTATAGGCACTCTCATGATCTCTTTGGAGCAAGTGAACATAATCAATGGTGCAGTTACAAATGGTAATAGCAAAGATAACACCACCTGACTCAAGTTAAGAACATTGGCCAAACCTTCTCTTCCAGTCATCAACACCACCATAAAGCATGGTAAGATGGCCAAGGCTCTAGTAATTAATCTTCTGGCCACTGGAGGCATTGTCCAACTCAAGAACCCTTCAGAAACCATTTGACCAGCAAGAGTACATACAATACCAGCACTTTGACCACTGAACAATAAAGCCAATGCAAACACTACACCTGCTGTCTTAGACAAGTGGGTTGAGAGAAGCTTGTAGATTGTAAACAAATCAGCATTCTCGTAATGTTCATCTTCGTCATCTGACTCGTTTCCATCATGTTCATGTTCATCATCTCTCTTATCATCTTTCTTCTTCAAAGTGGCTCCAGCCACTATCAAAATGGCAGAGTTGACAAACAATGCCACCGTGAACAAGGAAATCACAAGTTCCACAATTGTGTATGACATGGTATCATTGATAGCATGGATGGAAGGTCTGTAGTGGTCCTCCTCTTCCTGTGCATATTTTTGGCGTATGTCTTGAATGCTATCCTCAGGAAACTCATCCCCTTCGCCTTCAATTTCATGGACATCTGAAACCTCACCCTCTGACGATGGTATAGTGTACCCATTTCTATTGTCGTAGTCTTTAAGACGGGATTGAACAAGGCCTGATCCCAAGTACAATGAATGAGGCATCACGGTTGCTCCCAAGATGGCTAAACTCAAAAACAATCCGTTTCCTCCCTCTCTATCACTCAAATCGATCACCTTCTCGTTGGGTAAAAACCCTTTGAACACATCTCCAAGGTCAAAATCAATACTTTTATCATGGCTCACCTGGTATAATTCGATACCGAAGCATATCACAGTAGCAGTCACAAGAACTGAGACAAACATCTCAAAGATTCTTACGAAAAGAAGGGGGCCGTTTGGGCGGTAGGCCATCAACACCACCAACACATCTATAATGGTGATAAGTACACCCACCACAAGTGGTAAGTTGAACAAGATGTTGAGAGCAATGGCCGTCCCCACCACTTCGGCCAAATCAGTAGCAATAATGGCGATTTCAGCCATCACATACACTAACATGTTGATACGGTGGTTCAAGTGGATGCGGCAGTTGGTGGCAAGATCAAGACCGGTCACACAACCAAGTCGTGCCAGAAGAATCTGGAGGAATATAGCCAAACAATTCAGAAGAAGTATCAGAAACAAAAGCTTATACTGATATACTGAGCCTGCTGCCACTGCAGTCGAGTAGTTACCGGGATCCATATATGCCACCGAAACCATGAGACCTGGTCCGATAAAACGCAGGTACTTTTTTAGGATTACTATGATCCTTCTCATATTGTTCAAATGTCTTGTTGAAGGTGGCTAATTTTGTTGTTAGCAGTGTGTAACTTCGAATGTTGTACCTTTGGTACGTTATTTAAGGAATAGGGTGAAACAGTAAAGTTTTTAACGAATATGTTGCGCCTCAAAGTAGCTAATGTCACCTGTCGTGTAAACAACTTAGCACTTTGCACTAAAAATGGAAACAGAAGAACACTTAATACTGCTGCTTGTAAGCTAGGGCGTGAGTGTTGAACGACGTGTGTTAGATTAGTTTTGGTATCTACCAGGTTCTAGTGGATAACAGTGAAGGAAACTTTGTGTATGGCTGAATCTAGAGATACATTCTAAGAAGTTTTTTTTCTGTGCCCAAGCGCGCCCCGGCGATCGGGGAAGAGGAAGGCTATCACGAGGACAATAACGGTTAGCTCCTGGGAATATGGGTGTATGGGTCAAACATTGAAAGAGCACCTCCCGGCGTCCGACAATTGTCCATCAGCAGATCCAGAAATACATGAGACTCAGAATACCAAGGTTTTTGTCACGTAATTACGTAAGCTCTAGACTCCAGAGCCCACAGGTCTGTCTTTGCCCCGGAAAGTGCGCGCCCGAAGTCGCAAACTCTTCCCATACAAATCGGTCAAATATCCCCGTCCCAACAACAGCTCACAAATTCATTCGCCATGTTAAGGACAACCGCTAGCCACAGCATTCGGGCAGCCAAAAGCCAATTCCATACGTCGGCTCGAATCGCTGCCGCCTCCATCTTCCGCATGCCTGCCATGTCTCCCACCATGACGGAAGGTGGCATCACCGCCTGGAAAGTCAAGCCCGGCGAATCTTTCGCTGCTGGAGATGTTTTAATTGAAATTGAAACTGATAAGGCCACAATCGATGTGGAAGCCCAGGACGATGGAATTTTGTGGGAGATTCTTGCTAACAACGGTGACTCCGGGATCCCAGTGGGGAAGCCTATTGCCTATTTGGCAGAACCTAATGACGACTTGGCTACTCTTGAAAAACCACCTGCGGAGGAAGAACCCACCAGAGAAGCAATAACCCCCGAGGCCTCCAAGCCTTCTCCCTCTAAGCTGGAACCAGCTCCCGCCAAGTCAGCCCCAGTACCTTCGTCTGGTTCTGTAATCACTAAAGCCAACCCCAACCAAAAGCTCTTCCCATCGGTTGAACTATTGCTCCACAAACACCATATTTCTCCTGAAGATGCCTTCGCTAAGATAGAGGCCTCGGGACCTAACGGTCGTCTTTTGAAGGGAGATGTGTTGGCGTACTTGGGAGAAATCCAAAAAGACTCGGTGGTATCGGTCGCCAACTTCATCCATGAGAAACAACACTTGGACTTGTCAAACATCGTGTTGAAAGAACCTGAAGCTTCCAAACCCGCTGAAAAGGCTGCTGATAAGCCCGCAGAGCCTGTCAAGCCAAAGAACATCTTGACATTGAAAGTATCTGCTCCTTTAGATGTGCCAAACGATCAATTCCGTTATGCATTTGAAAACTCCATTCATAGCGCTATCACCAGGACGTATGCCGCTCGGTTCCCCGAATTCGCCACGTCTCCTTCAGGTCTGTCCATCATACTGAATGCAGACGACATTTTCGACGACTTATTGGCTGCTCCTCCCACCAAATCGAGATTCCAGGTCTACGACATCTCCTACAAATTCCCAACCTCAAACCTCAACAGGTTGTTTGCACCAATTGACGCTTTCGATGACTTAATGTCTACTCCAGGCAAAGAGGTGAACTCCGGCTCCGGCTCAGGCTCCGGCGTGGTTGATGTCGAGTTCAAGGTGAAGTTTGACGACAAATTGACTGATTCAGTGGAGTTCGTCGAGTACTTCCAAAACAGCTTATTGGAACAAATTCCCAGCAAAAGCTTAAACGTGGTTGAGTGAATAGAATAGAATAAAATACACAAACATTGCTGGCCTATGAACCTGGTAGTTTTTCTCTAGTCCATGTAAGTATTATGTATCCCACTGCTCATACCTAAAATCGTCCAATATTGTTTACGCGATCTTCGTTAGGATTATTATACAAGGTTTAAATAAAAATAAATGCCTTGTCTGTCTCATAAAAAAAAATCCGTTTTTTTTTCTTTATTTTTGAAGACTTATCACTTCTATCTCAAATCTTTTCATCTTTTAAGCCCACCCCCTTGTACGACTCCACGTTCCTCCGTGGTATCCCCAATCAATTCTTCCTCCACTCAATTTGATTTCAACCCTGCAATTTCATCCCGCTACTTCCAGTTGGAGTCTTCTATCCCTCCTAAAAATAAAAAAATAACAACTATAGATCACTTTCCTTCTAGAAGCCTGAACCATGTACAACCCGTACCCAAGTTATCCTGTGGCACAGCAGGACCGCAAGAACGTCAATGTTAACGCCGTCAACATGAACGCCATGGGTGCTATCAACTCCATTAGTGGCTCGTCACCCAAACTCTACAATGGTAACGGTATGGTAACAAACATGCCTCCATCCTCAACTGTTGCCTCGAATGCCTCGATGTCTGGCATGGGGCATATGGTTCAACCAGCGGTCGGAGGTCCTTCTTCCTCTGGTGCTGCCAGCGGTGCCACCTCCACTACCCGTAACTACTCCAATTATCCACAACCACAAAATACCAGGATAATAAGTAACCCACCCGTCACCGCCAGCGTCACTGGCCACCACTTGGGAATGCCTCCTCGTAATTACTATCAGCAGCAGCAACAGCAGTCTCCCCAAACACAAACAGCCTCTCAACAGCCGCAAATGAATTATCAACAGCAGCAACAACAACAGCAGATGAGCCAGTACCAGAATCAAAATCGCCAGTACCCAGCGCTGACCATATATGATGCTAACTTCCTCCAAATGTATCCACAGCAGCAGTATCAACAACAACAACAACAATACCAGCAGCTTCTTCAGGTTCAATACCCCAACCAATATGGTAGCCAATTCAACCAACAGCAGATGCAACATATGCCCCAACAAATCCGCAATTCGCCGCAGCAGCCCCAGCAGCCCCAGCAGCTTCAGTCCCATCCCCAGCATCAGAGCCAAACTCGTTACCTCGAGCAACTTAAACAGCAGGCGGCTCCTCAGACCTATTCGATGCAATCCATTGGTTATGAAGATGATCATCACTTGGATGGCTACCATCAAGACCTAGACTTGAAACCACGGCAACAACCTCAAGTCCAATTAGTTCAGACGCAGACCCAACCTCAACTTCCAGGAACTCAACAACATCTTCTGCACCAGCATCTTCAACAGCAACAGAACCATCTCCAACAGCAACAGAACCTGTTTCAACAGCATCTACAACAGCAACCACTCCATCAGCAAGTCCAGCCTCTGCACCTCCAAGTCCATGGCCAACAACAACATCACCAGACCCAACCTCAAGCGGTGACCCACGATCAATACCTCCATAAGCTGCCTCAACAGCTCTCTAATGGCCCTTCAAAGCTTTCCAAGCACATAAGTCCAGTAGGTGTCGAGCTGGTATCTTCCAAAATCACATCAGCCTCTGGATCTACTCCCCCAACCTCTGCCTCTTCGGGAGCAGTAGCCGGCCCCGATCAGCCGATTCGTAAGAGAGGAAGAAAACCAAAGAACCAAAGTCTTGAAGCAACAAACCCCACCTTCCATCAGTTTGATAACCCACCACCTGTTCCTGCGGAAAAGAGAAAGAGAGGTCGTCCAAAGCTTTTAATCCTCGATCCTACTTTAAACAGCTACATCGACTCATCGCATCCCAACTATAAGGCGTTGAGGACGCAAATGAAACGTGAAGACGGACCAGTGCTTTCCAGTTATGTAGATAAGCTGCAATCGGCTTACCTTTTGAGAGAGTATGATGCCTCGGAAGCTTCGAAGCTTTTGCAAAAGAAGGATAAGCGTGGCAGACCCCGAAAATTCGCTGTGGAAGAAACAGGAATTACGGTCAAAGGTGTTAGAATTGGAGGTATGAAACACAAACGAAAAAAGTCAGTTACCAATCCCGTGCCAAATCAAATGAAGAGACCAAGAGGTAGACCCAGAAAAATCGATACTGGGTTCTAAGAGCAAAGAAATAAGAGAAGAATCCTCTTGACTCTAAAGGAATAATACCCCTTGTATAATTAGTGTAGCATGTATAAATTATATTATTACTATTGGTTAATATATCACCCTTCACTACTTCCGGTGTGACTTTTTCAGCTTTTTCTTCTTTTTGTTCTTCACATTGTTACTTCTATTTTGGGTATGACTATGCGAACTTCCTTCTAGTTGTGGGTTGGCTATCTCCTGTGATGATGCTATGCCTGTGGGGGTACCTTCCCAGGACGAGTTCAACACTCGCGATGAGCTTATATCTTCGGAAGATTTCAGGTTTTCTTTGCTGCTGCCGTAGTTAGGAGACTTGGCTAACAAAGGGGAAGTCTCTAAAAGAGGAGACCTTTCTGCGTCAGACTGTTGGCTGGAATCTGATTCAAATGTTATATTCTGCTCATACAATCTCTCTCTCAAATCCATGATTTCCTCAGGCTCATGCGTGATCTTGGACTTGCATTCAGCATCATCCTTCTCATCAAAATCGTTAATATTTCCATGTTTGGAAGATGAAGCAATGAGATTACGAGACCGACCAAAGAAATCGAGTTCATCTTCAGGATATTTTGGAGGAAGCTCATCACCCTTGTCCAAGAGTTGATCTCCTCTTAGGCTTGACGAGGTCCCATACTGAGGTAATGATGCAAGTCCTCTATCTCCTCTGATTCTTTTGTAGTCACTAGTAGAAATGAATCCGTATTTCTTGACGTTGGCTTCGATCCAAACAAATCCTAATTGCCCCAAATTCACCTGGAACTTGGCATTAGTCAGAAAACATCCGATTGCTGGGTACATATCCACAAACAAACCTTTCATTACGTCCATCAACTTTTTCCCGTTTCGGGTTATGAAGACGGTTCCAGTCAAGACGTGGTAGCCAAATCCAACAATATCACTCTGTAATAATGGAGGAAGTACCAATGCATTATAAAAGCTCTGTTCTCCCCAATGTTGCTGTAGAGGGGTAGGGAACGGCTTATTTATCTTCAAGTTACCTGTACTTTCGTACGCTATGGAAAAATTGTTGTAACCCGGTAATCTAAAACCTGCTGGATATGGTTTCGTCACGAGACCTATGGAAAAATGTGCATTAGGATTACCAGCGTTGGAGTATTCAAACACTTTGGTTTCAAAGTATATGCAATCGGAGAAGGATCTGTTTTTTACAGGCAAGCTGTAATTCAATACACTTGTGGCAGTGGAGTACGGGGAGTTGTTATCAAGAAAGTTGATCTCGGTTTTATCTTCAACAATGTATCGAGGTTGTAAACTATCAGCATCTTGTTCAAATTCAAATGCATTTACACCTCTCTCCTTGATTATGATCTCATCCTCTCTTGAGATCGATCTTCCTCTAGTGTTATGAAATTCAGGTGGATTATCTCGTGTAAACTGCTCTCCTCTAAGGAAAGAAGACTGTTCTTCAGGTGAAAGTCTTTTGAAATCATACTCTTCGGACAATCCTACCAATGCCTCTTCGTCATTCAAGAACTCTGTGGGTAAGTTAGTGTTATCAACAATGATATTGCCGACTCTAACGTATCCTCTGGTTGAATCAGCACCAGCACACTTGTATATAACAATAACTGCTATCAAAAGTGCACAGAACGAACATACCAAAAACACAACCAAGAGAGTCGTTGGAGTACTTGCATCTGACATGATGAAGTTAGTCAATACGGGTTTTTGTTCGTGGGGTAAGGTGTAAAACAATTGAGATTTTTAGACACTGAGTTCAGCAGTTCCTTATTTTTCTTGATAATGGTTGCGACATCAAGTAGCCACTTAACGATGTTCAAAAGAATTGAAGTCTGTTTAAGAGAAGGTGATGAGTATCATGATAAGGATATTATTGTGTACGGATCATGTACAAAGGACTTGTGAAGTCGAAAGCAAAAGAGTTTGCTGGTAATCTGATTTTATAGAGTACATATGCTGTGATGCCACATTAAGCCACAAGGGTTTACAACCTGAGATGGGCAATTGAAGCAAATACTTCCTTTTCTTCCCTATATAGTTCCATATCTATAGTTATCCATACCTCTTGACTCTCGTACTTTTTCACTATTGTTTATATGATGTATACGATGTGACAAAATTCCCTCTATGTGATGTATCATACTATATGATTATAATGTTGACTACACATTTATATACATCTGATGCTTCTTACGTCAAATTGTCTCGTCTTCTGGTATTATTCTGTTCACTTCCTACACCTTCCGATCGTTGACTTTACTAAGTTTCATAAGCGATCGAGCTCCATCTCGCACCATGGGTGAATAATGCTTATCCAATAACACATTTTCCCAAAGAGTAGCGGCTGATGAGTTACATCTTTCTAACTCCACCTCTCTCTGTATTTCAATTCCAAGCTGGTATGAACCTTCGCCACTGATTCTCTCTTCTGTGTTCCATAAGCCTTTCAAACTCTCACCATACTTATTGACAAGCTTTCCAATGAACTTGAGGGTAGCCAAAGACGTCTTTTCTGGTGTATGAAGGATAGATAAGTAGAGCCGTTTAGTAAAACTCACGCTTCTTGATACACTTCCATTTCTAGACCGGAAAAAAATTGAGTCAAGACAATTAAGAAGCAACTCTGACTTCGTCGAAACGTTCACAGATGGCTTCTCAAGATTCTCAGAGTTTGACAATGGGTCCAATAGTCTTAAAGACTTGGAACTAAACTCGAGCTCACAGTCCAATGCCAAATCAGATAAAATAAGGTACATGGTTGAAACAAACCGGGACAAATCTATAGATATAGGCAATTTACCGACTGTAAGATGATTTAATGTAAGTTGGAAAGACGTCATGATACAAAGCAAGATGGTTCTTATTTGTCTTGAATCGAAGAGACCACATTCGCCTTCTTCGTATATTTCGTCTGCATCGTCTTCGTTGGTCAAAGAATTGCTACTCACAATATCCGTCATTATTTCCCGTAAAACTTCCAAAAAATCACCCAACAAGTCAAAATTGGCCATTTTCCCAAATTTAGATAACCCTTCAAGCACAGCTGCCATTAAGAGACCTGCGTCATTCTTTTCATCCACTGAGGAGGCACCTACCTTTAAGATCTCCAAATATAACTTCAATAACCTCTGCAAAATCTTCGCCTGGAACTTTTCTCTTTCTTCAGCGGTAATGGTCTGTTTAGCCTTTTCCAATTCTTCCTCAATTTCCTTCATTTCCTTCCTAGATTTTCGTTGCTTCTTAGACAAATGAACCCTGTCCTTCTTCTTGAGCTTTGGAGCCGACCTTCTGCCTCCCTCCGAAGGGTTGTAATCATCCAATACTGATAATGATAAAAAGATATTGAGCACCGACTCATCGACTCTATACTTCTTTTCAGTAATTGTTTTACATAAGATATTAGTCAAATCGTGAGATAATTCTCCGTGTTCTTTATCTTCAGCAAGTAACAGTTCCAATAACCTGATGCACTTGGTAAAAACTCTGTGGTCTTCTATATCTTGTGGCTTCTTGTTCAATCTCTTGACAATAATTGTCAATAACTCGTTACGGTTGTTGAAAAACTTCAAGGCCGAAGAAGCCATTTCACAGCAGACTTTCAATGCTAACTGTCCAAGCTTCACTTGATTTTCTGTGATATTCTTATTATTCATGGAGTTCAGCCTAGTGATCCTTCCTAAGTCACCTAAATGGTCAACGAACAATTTATAATTGTATATCAACGATTGTTCAAATTGTCTCAACCTGGCAACTTCCTTACTGACCTTTTCTCTCTTCTCTGCATCCGTCAATTGTCGAATTTTATACCCAGGTGCCAAACTCTTGAACACAGGAACCAACGAAATGATAGCCAATTGACTAACCACAAAGTTCTTCGATTTAGACATTTTTCTGAGTCTCGTCAAGCAGGCAGTATTTTCTTCTGGGTCCTCCATTAACCGAGCTGCCAACTCTGCTACTTCCTCCTTGATCTTAACCAATCTTTCCCGTGGTGAAAGACTCGAGTCGTTAAATTCATCTTCACTTTCTTCCTTTTCCTCAGGTTGTGCTGGAGCTTGTAACTCTTGCTCTTCGTCATCAGATTCAGGAACTGTTTGCTCTCTTTGCGTTCTTTCCACTGTACCATCCAGTCGCTTGATTGGCAAACCTTCCACTACGTCTTTGTGTTTAGCTGATCTGGGCTTTAATTCATAGCTCTGCTCGGCCGTTTCCCAATCTGCCTCTTGATCTATGTCTAAATCAGGACCTTGATGCACACTTTCAGAGAAGACTCCATTGTCTAGTTGAGAATCTGCATCTTGTTTGAGCTTCTTTCTCCGGTCGTCACTGGTTTTGGATTTAGTCTTCCTCTTCCCCATACTGTGATGAGTAAAAAAACTTCATCTCATCGCGAAATATAGGTCTGCGAGCACAGTCTCTGGGCCCGATACTACCGCGATATGGTGCCAACTCGGACCTATAGAAGGTCGTGGGGAGCCGGGGTCTACCGCGAAAATATTCTGGCGCGCGATCATCGGCCAGCCCTCGGAGTGGGGCTGGGGCCTGCAGTGCGCCCTCCCAGTAAATAGTTCCTCCGAGATGTGCACGACCACTAAACGATCGTACAAAATCGGCATACGAGGAACGAGTTGGTCGTTCGCGAAGCCTTAGTTAGCTAACAAAGCTTTCAAAAATCCTTTATCTGTTTCCTCTTCGCTAGCATTTTGCCTGATTTCTAATTAGCCTCCATCATGAGTGTTAATGCTACTAGCGCTATTGGAGATGAGCTCTCTGTTATCAATGCAAAGTTTTTGTGGACTTCAGCCACCGACTACTTCGCTCAAGTTTCCACTTTGCAGTGGATCGTTACAACCCTTGTTTTGCTTTTGACTTTCGAGCAGGTTAACTATCTTATGAAAAAGGAAGTATTGCTGGCCCAGCTTTAAAGATATGGCCCATTATTGGTCCGTTCTTAGAGTCATTAGACCCTAAATTTGATGAATACAAGGCAAAATGGGACTCTGGTGATTTGTCTTGTGTAGCTGTTTTCCATAAATTTGTGGTTATTGCTTCTACCAGGGAATTATCAAGAAAGATCTTGAGCTCTCCAAAGTACCTCAAACCGTGTTTGGTGGATGTGGCTATTAAGATTTTAAGACCTTCCAACTGGGTCTTCTTGGATGGACAAGCTCATGTTGATTACAGAAAATCCTTGAATGGGTTGTTTACTACCAAGGCATTGGAGGACTATATTCCAATCCAAGAAAAGTATATGGAACGTTACTTGAGTCAATACGTAGAATACGAAGGTGCAAGACAATTTTTCCCTGAATTCAGAGAATTATTGTGTGCTTTGTCGTTGAGAACGTTCTGTGGTGATTACATTAATGATGAACAAATTAAAATGATCGCTGACAACTATTTCAAAATCACTTCTGCTTTGGAGTTGGTCAACTTCCCTATCATCATTCCCTACACTAAAACTTGGTACGGTAAAAAGATTGCCGACGACACCATGAAGATTTTTGAAAAGTGTGCTGATAAAGCCAAAATTGATATTATTGAAAACAATCGTAAACCTCTGTCCTTAATGGAAAAGTGGATTTTTTCAATGAAAGAAGCTAAGAGTGGTGACCAGTCTAATGAAGAGACTAAATTGTTGAGTAGAGACTTCACTTCGAGAGAAATCTCTGAAGCTATTTTCACGTTTTTGTTTGCTTCCCAAGATGCCTCGTCTTCTTTGGCTTGTTGGTTATTCCAAATTGTTGCTGATAGACCAGATGTTGCTCAAAAGATTAGAGAAGAGCAATTAAAGGTCAGAAACAACGATTTGAGCGCTAGATTGGACTTGGATCTCATTGGACAAATGAACTACACTAGTAACGTTGTTAAGGAATGTCTTAGATACAGACCACCCGTTCTCATGGTTCCATACTTAGCTAAAGAAAACTTCCCAATCACAAAAGACTACACTGTTCCAAAGGGCTCGATGATTATTCCATCGTTTTACCCAGCCTTACACGATCCAGAAGTCTACCCTGATCCAGATGAATTCATCCCTGATAGATGGTACAATGCTACTGATGAGATGACTAAACGTAACTGGTTGGTGTTTGGATACGGTTCTCATGCATGCATTGGTAAGAACTATGTATTGACATTATTCACTGGTATGTTGGGTAAGTTTTTGTTGTATGCTGATTTGATTCACCACAAGACTGAATTGTCAGAGGAGATAAAAGTTTTCGCAACCATTTTTCCAAAGGATGATTTAATCTTGGAATGGAAAAAGAGAGACCCATTGCAAGTCTAATTAAGACCAGGTCGAATAAGTTTGTTACTGTTATAGATATTTATTTTTCGTCATCAATGAAATTGTTTTCCCCATATTGACAAGTTATTTTGGTTTGTTTATTAGTTTGTGATTTACCTAAAAAGAGAGATTCTTGCACTTGGCTACACGTTTAAGCGTCGTAAGTAGAAGCAGAGATGTTACCACCTCTACCAGTCCAGTTAACGTGGATCCATTCGTCCTTCTTCAAGAAGTCGTTTTCCTTACCTGGCAAAACCTTGAAGGTGTGAGCACCGAAGTAATCTCTTTGAGCTTGCAACAAGTTAGCTGGTAAAGTTTCAGATCTGTAACCATCGTAGAAAGACAAAGCAGTGGTGAAAGCTGGAACTGGAACACCAGAAGTAACAGCCTTACCAATGGTTGCTCTCCATCCAGATTGGGCCTTGGTGATAGCCTTGTTAAAGAATGGATGGAACAACAAGTTTTCTAAGTCTGGGTTTTCTCTGAAAGCAGAAGTGATTTCACCTAAGAAAACAGATCTGATAATACATCCACCTCTCCACATCAAAGCGATGGCTGGGTTGTTCAATTTCCAGCCGTATTCTCTAGCTGCTTCTCTGATCAACATGAAACCTTGGGCGTAAGAGATAATCTTGGAAGCGTACAAAGCTTGTTCCAAGTCATCAACAAACTGTTGCTTGTCGGTGATAGTGATTGGAGATGGACCGGTTAACTTCTTGGAAGCAGTGATTCTTTCATCCTTCAAGGCAGAAAGACATCTAGAGAAAACGGCTTCACCAATTAAAGTGACTGGCATTCCCAAATCCAAAGCGTTGATGGCAGTCCATTTACCGGTACCCTTTTGACCAGCAGTGTCCAAGATCTTTTCCAACAATGGGGTGTTATCAGTTGGGTCATTAAAGTACAAAATGTCTCTTGTAATTTCGATCAAGAAAGAGTCCAAAACACCCTTGTTCCATTTGGCCAAAACATCACCCATTTCTTTATTAGTGAAACCACCGACTCTCTTCATCAAGTCATAAGCTTCACAAATCAATTGCATATCACCATATTCGATACCGTTGTGGACCATCTTCACGTAATGACCTGCACCGGCGTCACCAACCCAGTCACAACATGGTTCACCGTCGGATTTAGCAGCAATACTTTGGAAAATTTCCTTGATATGAGGCCAAGCATCCTTGTGACCACCTGGCATCAAAGATGGACCATATCTAGCCCCTTCTTCACCACCGGAAACACCAGAACCAACGAACAAGATACCCTTTTCGTTCAATTCAGTGTATCTTCTGTTGGAGTCTGGGAAGTGAGAGTTACCACCGTCAATGATGATGTCTCCCTTTTCCAAGTGTGGCAACAATTGCTCAATAAAAGCATCGACTGGCTTACCAGCCTTGACCAACAAGATAATTCTTCTTGGCCTCTTCAAGTTGGCGCATAACTCTTCAATAGAGTGAGCACCAATGATAGACTTACCCTTGGCTTCGTTATCCAAGAATTCATCGACCTTAGAGACAGTTCTGTTGTAGGCCACGACAGTGAAACCGTGGTCAGCAGCATTTAAAATCAAGTTTTGACCCATGACGGCCAAACCAATCAAACCAATATCACCACTAGCAACAATGTTAGTACGACTATTATTACCACTCACATGTGAGTTAACAAGTTGAAGGCGATCCATTGAAAATGATGTATCCCCAAAAAAAAACTGGGGAGAATCGTGGATTTATGAGAGCGCCGGAACGGAGCAATATATATGAGCGGTGAAAAATTTCACATTCGATTCCACCATACACATCCACGGTTCAAATCTAGTTCCAAGGTCAACCTATGAGATTGTGGATTCTAATACATACGTTGGAGCAGACATGTTATAGAATTGATACTATTAGTTAACACAAATATATAAACAGCAAAAAAGCGAGTTTGTGTTCAATAAAATCCAGGCAATTTTGTTGGATATTGGAGGTTATTTAAACCAATTTTTTTTCGGCCGCGAAACGACCCAACGAGACCTGATTTCGGCGAAGGTAATATTTGCTTTGTAAGACTCTACAAGGCTGGTTTTCTTAGGTGGGGGGAGCGGAAGGAACCTTCGGATGGTACAACAATGTTCCGGCAATTAGTAATTGAACATATCTCTGGATCGACCTGAAAATAGATCTCAGGCCAATAGTTACATTGAAGACCATTGGTGCTGCGCACTCAGCGATCACTCCAACTTCTCCGGTTCTAGCATACTCGGGATTGTCCAGACCGATTTACTTACTAATTGGGGTGATTCACTTTTCTGGCGGCCTTCGACGGGCAAGGTGCGAAAACTAATGCCATAGTGGAGGTATTTAAGGTGCAGTTGGATATTCAATTTCTAAGAACGAACATTGCTCACCATTCCAAGTTATGGATGGAGGACAGATCATACTAAGTGACAATTTACAATTAATGTGCAAGTGTTGAGCTCCGGTATCGCAATAGCTAACGGCTGCTCACTAGGAACAATGAGAAGAACCTAAATCTACCTAATCCTCCCCCACGTTTCGTGCGTGTTGACGTATTCGCCTGACCGATTCTTCGCGTTTGGGTATCATCAGGATGCTTGTGGCCCCAGACGAGGCATAAAAAACTGAATCTATCATTAGAATCTAGATTAGCGTGGGGGCTCGCGTGGGGGACAAATGTTCAAGATTAATTGTCTCTCTTGCGCGCCTTTCACGACATTTTGTTCAGTGATTCCCAAGTAGATAACCCATCTCTCTAGAATGAATGTCGCATGAATGTCTTCAATTTCTTTACAGCTATTTAAAATTCTTAACCAGCCTTATTGAGATTTCGTACTTTGATTATTCAATATCTCTACCATCCAAGAAAAGTATCAAAGTTAAGCACTTAAGAATTTCTGACTCAATACAAAAAAATTATTGGCTCTACTTATAGATAATATTGAATCATTAGGTTCATTCGGGCAAGAAAAATTACCCATAAGCAATGAATTATTCTAAACGGATGGTGAGATTTTGTAGAGACTAACTGAGTTTTAGTGAAGGTAAAACGTAAAATAGATGATGGCATTAGTGAAATTGAAAAGTGTTAAGAACGAAGCTAAATATTTGATAATGCGACATTTATTTTAGGGGGGTGCGCTACCTGTACCTGAACATAAACTTCACGAAATTATTTTGCAGCCTTTCCAAGCTTTTTCCGCCACAATACCAAGCCTGGGCTTTTTACTCTACCCTGATGTACTTTCCCTTCCTGAGTGTCTCTGATTAACACATGCCCAGACATATTACTGCTTAATTAGGGTAGCTGTGGCCTTATTTTTCTTGTGTTTGCCTCTTGACTCAACGAAAAGCTATTTTGAAGACTAAGTGAAATTTTTTTGTCAACTCACGTGCAATTTAACAATGATTACAATATTGCATTTATAAGTTGAATTTAAAAACTTTTACTATTTCCTATTCATATCTTTAAATTCCATATAACCATGATTCTTCAACCCCACGGTGGTGTATTACAAGACTTAGTTCTCAGAGATGCTGGTATCAAGCAAAGGTTAATCAACGAGATTGCTTCTGAGGGCTACAAGAAGTATATTTTGACGGACAGACAATTATGTGACTTGGAATTGATCTTAAATGGTGGATTCAGCCCTTTAACTGGCTTTTTGAACGAAGATGATTACAACTCGGTTGTCAACCATATGAGATTGGCTTCTGTTAAGAATGAAGAAGGGAGAGGCTTATTATGGCCAATACCAATCACCTTAGATGTGGATGAATCTTTCGCTAAAACTGTTAAGGTTGGTGAAAAATTAGTCTTGACGGATTTAAGAGATGACAATAGTTTAGCGTTGTTAACCATTGAATCTATTTACAAACCAAATAAGCAACTCGAAGCTGAAAAGGTTTTCAGAGGAGACCCAGAACACCCTGCTGTTAAGTATTTGTTCAACACCGCTGGTGACATCTACATTGGTGGTTCTATTCAAGGTTTGAGCTTTCCTAAACATTATGATTATGTTGAAATCAGAACGAACCCTACCGAGTTGAGAGAGCAATTTCAGAAAGCTGGTTGGAATACTGGAAATCACAAAACTGTGGCATTCCAAACTAGAAATCCTATGCATAGAGCTCACAGAGAATTGACCATTAGAGCTGCTAAGGATTTGGGTGAAGATGGTCACATTTTGATTCATCCAGTTGTGGGCTTAACTAAACCTGGAGATATTGATCACCATACTAGAGTCAAAGTCTACAAGCAAATCTTGAAAAAGTTCCCAGAAAACTTAGCTAATTTATCTTTATTGCCGTTAGCCATGAGGATGGGAGGTGACAAAGAAGCGTTATGGCACGCTTTGATTAGACAAAATTACGGTGTTGACCACTTTATTGTTGGAAGAGACCATGCTGGACCTGGTAAAAACTCCCAAGGTGTTGACTTCTATGGTCCTTATGATGCTCAAGATTTGTTGGACTCTGTAAAAGATGAATTACCCATCACGATTGTTCCTTTCCGAATGGTCACATACTTACCAGAGGAAGATAGGTATGCTCCAATTGACACCATTGACTTGAAGACTACCAAGACTGCTAATATATCTGGAACTGAATTGAGGCAAAAATTGAGAGACGGTAGTGAAATCCCAGAGTGGTTTTCGTATCCAGAAGTTGTTCAAATCTTGAGATCCACCAATCCTCCAAGAAAACAACAAGGTTTTGTTATTATATTCAACAACGGTAAAGGATTGAAACAATCTGATTATATTTCCTTCGGATTTCAATCTGTTCTTAATGAATTAAATTCTAACAGAAGAATTACCAAATTGGTCGACAATAATGACCCTTTCATAATCAATGAATTGGTCAAAGCTGGATCTGGTGTCCTTGTTTTATCTTCTAACATCGATGAAATCACTACTACAGTTGGTGCCTCTAACTCTGTTGTTGTTAACGTGGATGAGAAGGAAGACAAGGAGAATCATTTCAACTTGAATTCCAACGAAAGAGACTTTTCCGAATTCATCGCTACTGTCATTGACTACTTGAGAAAACAAGACTTCTTGTAAATTAAAAGTTTTCCTGATTTTTAGACTATTTATTAATTCATTATTCATATTCAATTTCAATGAAAAGCTTCAAGTTTTTGCCTCTCTAGGTTCAAACTCGATTTTCATTGTTTGCTAACATCTCCTTTACTCACTTGAAAGGTTCGAGTTTCGTGATATCTCATTAGCAGTTTCCCGCTGTCATTTTGTTCACTTCTTTGAAGGCTAATGTATAATAGAAAGCTTTGACACCTGAGTATGCTTAGATTCAGACTACAAGATCCCTCAAGCAATCACGATGTTTTGGGTTTGCATGAATCATTTTTACTGTCCATTGGCACCATTTCTTCATTTTATCCAATAATCGAGTACCAGTTATTCTGGACCCAATAATCATTATTTCCTCCTTCATTAATACATTCACTCTCCTTGAGCCAGTTTAAAACTTCTTTGACATCGCTCGAAGTCAAAACCGATTCAAATTTGTTCGATATATCGAAAGAAAGGACTCCCGGCCTGAAAACCATGTACCAAAGAACTGAAGCAACTATCTTTATCCAGAGATCCGTGTTTATTTTGCCATCCAAATCCAACCACACGTGCGAACAAGCTCGCCCTGTCGGAACAGGAACTTGTTTCGTCGCTTGCAGCTGTAGTTTATTTTCGCATTTGACTATAATGTCACAACCGAGCTTGGTTTTGTCGACCAATCTTGACTCATAGCCAACGAACCTGTGGGGTTTGTTGATATGAACCAATGAACTCTCATAAAAAGATACGGATCTTAGCAAACTTATCATATGGCCACCTTTGATCCCTTGGGATAAAATGATACCTTTACTATCTTGTGCAGCTGTCTCTATGTTATCGGAGAACCTAGAAGCAGCTCGCAACATTTGAGGAACAGATTTAAGAGGTACCAAAGAATTTTCGAACTTGTCTGTCAAGACGAATGACTTATCTGTGTCCTCGATACCACTGTATACAATTTCTTTGTCCCTGATCATCGATGTCAATACATATTGAACTTTATCATCACCGTAAGGTTCAAGGATATTCAAAACTGCCCTGGATTTGAAGCTTGACTCGTCAGTCATACATAAAGCTCTCAAAATTGTTTTAATTTGATCGGTTACTTTATCTTTTTCTTTTTCTCCCTCTTTCTGTACTTTCCAATTGCCTTCTTGGTAGAAAACATGACTGGCAACTATCACTTCCTTCTGTCTCATTGAATTACTAACCATTTGCTCATATGGAATTGGATGCAAATCTTTTGTCTCTAAAGCTTCATAGTTCTTATAGTTCTCATTCAGTTTGAAGTATAGACTTTTCAGGAAATCACCGAATCTCAAATTGTCCACCTTTTCCCAAAGTTGTAGAAAGAACTCGAAGTTGATAGGTTCTTTTAAGTCTTCCAATCCTACTGTTCCATCATTTACAAATTTTCTGATGATAGCTTCGAACTTTTCTATGGCTTTTAATACAATAATAACACCTCCAATTTTCTTTCTTACTGATGTCCACTTTTGTTTCAACTCCTTACCAGTAAAGTTCAAAAAGAGTTCTGCGAGATATTCAAAATCAATCAGTTTAAAGAATGTCCGGGAGATCACGACCAACTTAAAGAGTTTTGATTCATCACTTTCGGTGAAAACTAGTGGCCTTCTTCTTGATGAGATGGTGCTACTCTCTGTTTCACTCTCAGGCCCTTTCTTGATGGGTTTAGTCCTTCCCTTGAACCTTGCACCTACATATGTTTTCAAAGGATTGGTTATTTTCGTGACCTGTGTTTCGCCAACATTGTTAGGATTCACTTCATCGGACATAGTATTGCTTCGTTCGAGCTTAACTCGAGTTTGACTTTTGGCTTCATCGATTTTCGTTGTCCTCATCCTGGAAGACGAAAGATCAGTCAATCTCTGTCTTCTCTTGTGTACTTGAGTCGAGTAAAGGGTCACATCAGCTTCAATGAACTTCCTATCAGTAAGGGTTGGATAGAATCTTTTTCCATCATCAGCTTCACAAAGTTTTTGAACCTCTTCGATCTTTTCCTTCATCGGCTTGAAATTCTCATCTTTAAGGATTAAAACTTTACGGGTAATATTTTGTCCTGATCTCACAGTTCGGACATCTCTCGATTCTACAATACCAGTGTGGACCAATATTGCAATGTCCCTCACCAATGTTTTCATATCAGTCGATGTGGAATTGTCTAGCTTCCGGTCCAAGGATCGAAGAAGTTGGGCAGAAGTGAAAACTACACCACCAGACTCTTTTATCAATTCAATTAGGGCTTCTCTTCTTTTTATGGACTTGATTGAAGATAAGTTTGAAGAAGTGGATATTGGTGTCGAAGAAGACTTTCTAACTTCCGGTTGGTAAAAGTGTGGAGGTTTCAGTGAAACTGAAACTATATTAGAAATATTTTTTTCCTGTTTTGCATCTTGTCTTATCGAAATTGACGGTGTCTGTGGCGACTCTTCGTGTTTCTTTCTTTTTTTCGTAACTTTCCTGTTTTCATCTACCCTTCTTTTTTTTCCTATCAAAGAATCAGACTTTATCTTCCCTACTGAAGGTAAGGACTTCCAATCCAATGATATAATATTAGTTGTTGGCCTTTTTTTAGAAGAAAGTGAGTTGTCCTTGATTTTCTCTTTGCTGTCACAGAAATATCTGTAGAATTTAAACTTACCTTCAAAATCATAGCTTCTAGATATAGATATGCCTTCATAAGGTTCCTTGAAAGTTTGAAGTCTTTTGTCTTCATCATTTTCTTTAACAAATGTGGTGATGCTATCCAAAATCTTAACGAAGGGCTTGTACTCAGAGACACCAGTCAAAGAGTTGCACAAATCCATCGAGCTTGGAGGAAATTCAGGCAAAGATATGTTGTGATAAAACTGAGTACTAATAGGAAACACATGGTTTAGCCTAGGCAATGAAACTGGCCCCTCGTCGTCATTCTCGTAATCATTTTCAATCATATCTGAAATATCCAAATGATCGCTGTGGTTAGGAATATCTTTCAAGAATCTAATGCAATATATATGCAGCAATTCTTCTGGTTCTCCTTCATCTCCATCATTTCTGACTGTGCTTCCTCCTAATGTACCAAAAGAAGCTGCAGACTTGACCATAACCTTTTCCAAGTAACCTTTTTTATATAAGGACATAACAATACCACGGAAAAACTTTGCCATTGACCTACTTGTTCCAAGATTAAGCTCATGCTTCAAATCTGATAGGGACCGCAATCCATTGGGGGCTTGTTTGACTTTTTGAATAATTATATTTCTTAATTTTTCTGCATCTCTTGAGTGGTTTATATCGTCACTGAAATCCAAAGAGTTCAGATCAGTCTTATCATCCACAAAACTTGAGTGAATACACAAGCTAGTGTGTTGAGAACTAGATTTATTATAAGCGTTCACCTTGAAGATGAACTTTAGTTCCTCAAGCTTTCTCAATCTGACAGACACGGATCTTGGATCTTGACCAGTTATCTTGTTCAAATCAGAAGCATAAATACCACTTGGGCCATGCTTTGCTATTTCACATAATAACTGGAACGGATATTCACCCAATTGGGTTTTCAACTTTTTGGAATAGTCCTTCCCAGTCAAAAATTTCCATTGGGTTTCGGTACTTGGGTATATCCTTAAATTTTGCCCATTCACTCTTTTAGACATGAAACTTTCATAATCCTCATCTGGATCAATCTGCTTATCCATCTCCCATATAAATAAAGCTCCTTTTACATCCTTATTAAAGAATAACCACTTCCATATGATTTGTTTACTAAACAAATCAAGTTCTGAGCTTTTCAATTTCTTGGAACATATATTCCATAAATCATTGGTCGATATCCCATTATTCCCTGAAAATGCAACCTCTTGGTGGATATGTCCAATTAAGTTACTTGGTGTACATGAAAACACCATCTTGTTAGACCAATCCACAGGTTTCCTACTCTCTAATAATTTGGTTATCTTGCTAGTGCGATTCTGATGGCTGGTAAAAGGGTGAAGAATGTGAACTCATTTGTATCAAGTCAATAAAATAAATGATGACCACCTTCCAATGATGGTTTCAAGCTATTTTTGAATATCAGCACCCCTGAGAAGTTATCCTTCTGTTCAAGAACGATTTTGAATGTTAGAAGCTTCAATATTAAACATCAATTCATGCGTGTGTCTACCATGAAATCTCCTTTGGGCCCGCGATAGCCATCAGAATGTAAAATCTTTTTTGACTAAATTAAATATGGAATTTGACAATGATGAACCCATAACCTTATCCGCACATGCTTTAGCTGCATTGCAAGAGTTCAAGGACGAAGAAAAGAAAAGATTGGAAGTCTTTGAGCAACTTTACAAAAAGTCAGAGGAAGACTTTGATGCGAAAAACGAAAGCCAACCAACCAACAACCAGCCAGTAAGTATTGATAGTTTTTCAGAAGACTGGCAGTTGTCACAGTTCTGGTACACTGACGAGACCTCAAAAATCTTAGGAAAAGCTTTATTGGAAGGAGCAGATGAAGATACTGTTGTCGTTATCGCTAGTGCACCAGCAGTATACGCTGCAATGATGAACTTCAGCAAAGAAGAGCTTCCAACTGATAAAATTTATCTATTAGAGTATGATACCAGGTTCAAACTCTTGGCTGGTGACAAATTTTACCAGTATGATTACAATACACCAAATGCAATTCCGGAAATCTTGAGACATAAATGTCATAGATTATTGATAGATCCTCCATTTCTAGAAGAGGAATGCCAGAAGAAATCTGCAATGGCTGCTAGAAAAATGCTAGTTAAAAATCATGACTTGAAAACAAAGAATGGAGATTTGCAGTTCAAGTTAATCTCTTCAACAGGAGAAAGAATGAAAAGCATTATGGAAGAAACATACCCTGAATGCCAGACGACAAGCTTTTTACCTGAGCATAAAAATGGATTGAGCAATGAGTTTAGGTGTTATGCTTCGTTTGAATGTAGCCAATGGACATTCCAAGACGATTTATAAGTTTTTCCTTCACTAATAATATCCCTGTGTCTTATTTTGCAGCTCATCGTAGAACTAGGTTCTGAAATTTACGCGTATACGTGTATTAAGTGTCATTATACCAGATATTTTTGCCTCATTGCGAGGACACCCAACGCTGAAAAATTTTACAAATTATTGATCTTTTTCTTTCAATACAATATGTCTTTTTCTGACTTTACTAAAATTGACTCAGTCAAGTCTTTAGAACAATATTTGGCTGACAAGTCTTACATTGATGGGTATGTTTATTAAGATTGATATCAATCATGTCATCTTTTAACAGATTTGACTGGATAAAATAATTTTCAATTTCAATTTGGAGCAACAGGTAAGAGCTCCTTGCAGTTCCTTTTTATCCTAAACAATATGATGATCGCAATCTTTGGTCCGTGTTTATGAGGTGGATTCAAGACCCACCGCATGAGTGACAAAGGAGATTAAAATAACGTATCTGATAATTGAAACGTCCAGTAAATTAAGTGACAATTTTGAAAACTTCTGATTGTTATACTAACATGAATTTAGTTCCAAAGCCACTCAAGCTGATGTCACTGTTTACAAGGCTTTCCAAAAGGAATACCCACAATTGACCAAATGGTTGAACCACATCTACTCTTTCGCTGAAGATTTCGAAGTTTTGCCAGCCGGAACTGCCCCTGCTGCTAAGGCCGTTGAACAAGAAGACGATGATGATGTTGATTTATTTGGTTCTTCTGATGATGAAGTTGACGAAGCTGCTGAAAAATTGAAGCAAGAAAGATTAGCTGCTTATGCTGCTAAGAAGGCTGCTAAACCTGCTAAGCCAGCTGCTAAATCTATCGTCACTATGGATGTCAAACCATGGGACGATGAAACTGACTTAGAAGAATTGTTGGCTAATGTTAAAGCTATCGAAATGGATGGTTTGGTTTGGGGTGCTTCACAATGGATTCCAGTCGGCTTTGGTATTAAAAAATTGCAAATCAACTGTGTTGTTGAAGATGACAAGGTCTCTTTGGAAGATTTGCAGCAACAAATTGAGGAAGATGAGGATCATGTCCAATCCACTGATATTGCTGCCATGCAAAAGTTGTAAGCACTTTCAGCTAAATTCTAAATACGAGTAATCAATATTAATAACGCAACTGTTCGTAAGTCACCGAATGTCGTCGCTAAGCGCATATCAGTGAATAAGAGCTGAGCGATTATTCTGCTATTAGCAGTTAACTCAGCTAATTCTTTGACTCTACTACACCCATCCCTTCACTAAAAGTTTATGTATCTTGACTATAGCGTCAAGAAATATGTAGTGCCTAAGCCATCATGAATGTGTCATATTGACCTTCGATAATCAGTAAACAAATAACCTAAGGGCTTCTGAAAGGATCACTTTTAAGCAAAGCTAAAATTGATTTGATTACAAGCATGTCAAAGGTTATTATGAAGTCAATGCAAACACATAATCAATATTAGAAAGCTCAATCATTGAAAAAGATATTTATAAATGTGAACACAACGAGAATATATTGCTTGTGTCCATATGCTGGTGATTTGCATGAAGTCAAACCAACTACAAGCTCGATTTACAGAGCATTGAGTTCCAAGGCTACCTCATAAAGGGTAATTTATTATTTATGAGATTTGCGAATTTTGAACATATTGACTGAGAAAACTGCCCAGCAAGAATTTACAGGTAAACCAATATAGCCTGCTGAATCAGACAGCATAGAAATTCACCTTGATTCAAAAGATCTTTCTAGCAAAACGAAATAATCAAGCAAGAAACTTAATCTTTTCCTGAACGAATTGTACTCCTGGAATTTAAACATGTCAAAACTTCTGCGGTTTCTCTACAATTAACAAATGTCTTGAGAGGAATTGAGGAATACCTATTACTATCTTTTTTGCAGACAACGTTACTCATATAGTTTATTTCTTTAATGAACAGTATTAAAGATGTCTGAATATATGGCTGTTTGTAGGCTCTAGAACAAAGGAGTCCCAAATTCAAGAGTGACCTTACAATGGTGGCTGCAAAACTAACACACGCATGATACAATATCAGGTGTGGTAGGATATCGAAAGATACACCTCCTGATATATTTAACAAAGACTAGCATCTCTGAATGCTTAAATGTTTAGTTAATTACTTGGGTGATCCGTCTTTGTGCGCTCATGTGGTTATCCTGTTTGTGGATCAGCACGAGTATATACAGAGTCATTGTCTCATCAGTAGAATTTCTCTTCTTCCCACTCTTTTATTTCCAAGTTTGTTCTTAAAGAGTTTGAATTAAAACCTTTAAAAAAGAACCCTGAAATATATCCCACTTACGCTTCACAGCCCTAACCTTCTAACTTCGTGAGAGCCAGAAGCCAGGATAAACTAAAAATTCAAGATGATG